CCGAACCTTGTTGACACCAACCCAATTCTACCGGCGCAATGCCCCGCCGAACGCGAGTCACCTCCCCCCAGCCTGGCAGCCCGCCTTTTGTAATGTCCAGCGCAAGCCACAAGTCAAGGCCGCGTGCTCACCTGTCAAGCGCTTGATCTGCGTCAGTGGCGGGAAGCGTTGCACAGCTGTGCTGGACGTGGGAGTGTGGGCGAGAGGGGTATGGTGTTTGGCTAGGAAGGAGTGGTGAGGTTGAGATATGCAGATATCGCATGATTCGATTTTGTGTGTTGTGTTTTCCTTCTTTCCAGACACACACACCGCAACGGCCCAACGGTCCAACGGGGTTGGCCGTTCCGCCCAGAAAAACGTCGTCACAACTAACCGACCACGAGGGCAGACAGCATGAACCCGGGTCTTGTGTGCGGGGGAGGCCGAGCGGGGCACTGGCGCTGGGAGGGAAGGCCACCAACGACGCGTGCCGGAATAACCAGGGTTTGCAACGCTGTCAACGGCCACCAACGGCCGGCGAGCGGCCAGTGGCCTGAGCTGCGTGCAGATGACTCTGTATGGGGGTACCCGCTGCCGCACTTGCAGGCCTGTGCGATGCACACACCACAAGACCCATGGAACGATTACGGTATGAGCCCACTGATCACTGATCCTACTGACCGAGAACAGGGCCACAGGCCGCTCCGAACAAAGTGCTCTGCAGGATCCAGGACGAGGTCCTGTCCGTCCTGTCAAAAGGAGAGGATAACCGTTCCCGCCCAGTCGTGTACCTCCCCTGGATCTAGCCAGCGTCTGGAGCTGTGAGCAGCAACCCCGTCGCAGCATTCCCCAGCTCCCCAGCTGGCCAGCATGGATGTGTGCGCTGTGCTGCGACTGCTGCTTTGAGTATGGGCGGGATGTCACCCACCGCCACCGACCGCGCGCGCCAAAATGAACCCTTGTGGAGATTATTGCCGTTTGGCGTGCATGGCGTGGAACAAACAGCCCGTGCGCACAGGGGGTGGTGGTGGTCGTCGTCTTGATTACATTCGCGCGCAGACCAAAGATACAAAAAGAACGCGCGCGCGCAGCTGTGGGGGTTTTGTAGTTCTACGCTCATGACCAACCCAAGGAATGGGGCCTCCCGGCCGTTGGATACGGACGAAGGCGAGAGTGTATCTACAGTATGCAACAAGCTTTTATCTGTTCATGCACATATGCATGAGGCCATGAGGGCCGACCTTTGCATGCTGTTGCTGCGAGTGGGTGGGAGAACGACACACCCTCTCCCTTCAGGACGAGCCGGACCCGGTGCCTGCCAGGGGAGCAGGGGGGATCACGCACACTTGATCGAGCCTCGCGCAGTGAAAGGGGCGTGGCATTCGAAACATGGAGCCAACACGTCGTCGTCGTACATGCCCTCGTCGTCCAAAGGTTCGTCGTTCTTTCTTGACGTAAACGAGAGAGGGGTCCTCGCAAGCAAAGCCTAAAGCGGTAACCAACTCCCATACTAGCATCGAGGCCGAATGGTCGTCGCAATCCTTCCTTATGCCTCTTTCTGCTATCAACACATCTGTGCATGACGGCATGGGTGGGTGCTTTTGCTACAGAACCCTCGTAAACAGGTCTCTCTCCACCACCCCACTTCACTGGTGTCACTCAGACTTGGGCTTGGGCTGGGTCTGGGGCTCTGGCTCCCGCTCATGGCGTCCCAGACTAGCTCCAATGGCGCTGAATTGGTCATGTTCAGCCGTGTAGCTGTGTCACCGTCAGCGTCATGTGGCAATCCCTATTGTGAAAAAATCAAGCTTTCGGCGTCACGACCCGGCGTGTGCTTTTCCTTTTTATTGAGCCCACGGCCACGTCGTGCCGCTCAGCCACAGAAGCGGCCACACGGCTCCAGCCTTTGCACACTTCTTTTTTGACTCCCAGACTCAAACTTACATTGTGTAGAGGACAAGAATACCCGCCACCGCACCGACGGCCAGCAGGATGGCCTGGTCGCGCAGACTGGTGCCCAGCCTGTATGCGAGAACCCACAGGCCGGCGCCTGTGACTGCCACGACATACCGGACGCGTGCTTTTGGCACAATCGCGGCAAAGGTCAAGGGCGTGCCTCGCTTGCGAAAGAAACCTTGCGCGTGGGGCCACGCATACGCGATGCGCGTCGACATGGCGACACACGACGAGTAGATGAGTGCTTGCTCGGTCGTGCAGTGGAAGATTGAGGTCAGGAGGCCTGGTGGTGGCGACCTGGTGACGCCGCCGGCGGTGCGGCCATAGCCCATGAACCAGCCCGCGTACACGCCCGTGAACACCACGAGGCTCCACGCAAACGCTACCGAGCTCGCAATCATGAACCAGGCCTGGCGGGCGACCTGCTCGGGCGTGGCACTGGCGGCGTGGAATGCTTCAAGGATACCGTTGAAACTCAGCACAGGCAGGTAGCACACGAGGTACGTCTGCAGCGTCGACGCCGCGTCCGTCTCGGTCACGTACCGCCGTGGCAGGAGGACGGGGAGGACGATTGGGAGGAGCGGGGGCAAGAAGACGGGGAGGAGCAGCAACAGGTGCAGCGACAGGCGGAGCGCGAGTGTGAGCAGCGGCAGCGTCGAGGGCGAGTCGAGCGCTCGCGACCAGTGGAGCAGGAGCGTCTCCTCGATAGGCTGGAAGATGATACGGGCAACGAGCGAACCTGTGGCTGTGTCAGAGCCAAGCCAAGAGTAGTTTTGGGATTTTCAAGCCCTCACCATAGTTCATCGCCACGGCATAACCGCCTTGGTCACCAAGGGGCGAGATGCGGCCCACAGCGAGGCGGTCCGCTTCCGTGAGGACGTGCTTGACGACGCTCTGGCGGGTGTTGGCGATGGCGAGGGCTCGGGTGCTGGCCGCACCCGTTTCTTCGCGCTTGGTCGTCTGGTCGTTGGTCTTGGGGAAAAAGAGCGAGGGGAGCACCTTGAGCCCGCCGTACTCGTACACGTACCGCGCCGCGAGCCAAGAAGCGCCGGCCGAATGACCAATTGCAAACCCGAGCAGCGCGCGCTGGCCGCTGGGATCCAGGACAAGGCAGGCAAACGTGACGACGGCGCGCACGATCGCCATGCCTCCCTCGGCCTGGACGCGCACGCGGATACGCGGCGGGCTCTCGCGCAGAGCCCGCACATACAGCGGCTCAATGGCGAGTTCCGCGAGCGCACCATAAACGTACAGTCTGAGCGCGACGTGGAAATAGGGCTGGGATGTCGTTTCCGCCGACGACGTGGAGAGGTACAGTGCCAGCACGGCGACGGCGACGCCGCACCCGAGCTTGAACGGGAGAGTAGCGAGGGCAGCGTCTTGGGTCGAGAACCCGGAATTCACATCATTATCATCATCGCCCTTCCGCCTCAAGAGTGCGTTGCGGACGCCTTCGCGCGAAAGGAACAAGACGGTGGCCGCGACGAGGTCGAACTGGATCGCTGCCGTTCCAAACACGGCCGGAGGGGCGAGACGCACCAGACCTTGGTTGAGCGCAAACGTCAGCAGCCGGCTGAGAAGCTGCAGGAGGATGAGCGCGCGGCCCGTCGTGAGTGCAGACGAGAGGCCGTCCGACGGCGCCGATGCTGGCTCGGCCATGGTGGATGCGTCGAGGTGGATGGTGGATGTGGGTGCAAAGTCGCCGATGACGCAACGACAACATTTCCCGTTGGTCGTGATTGCCGTTTCAACGCGCCGTGCTTTCCTCCTTGCTTTGCTTCCTCCCATCCTCCCATAAGCTTCCAACCGATGCCGCTCCACCCACACTTGCACCTTCTCGTCCCCTCCTCGACGGCAAGCATCGCCCTCGAGGCCCGCGTGTACATCTCCCGCTCAGCAGCGGCCGCGCTCTCCGGGTTGGCCACGACCTCCACCTCGTCCGAGCCTACCCCGCTGGAGGGTCTCACAGACTCGCAGCGCGCAACAGTCGCCGGTCTGGGTATCCGCAAGATCGTCACTGCGGCGCACCCATGGGGGCGGTTGGGCGGGAACATGCTCTTCCCGTGAGTCTGGGAGGTTGTTGGCAGATAGCTGAGTTGGGCTGGGTAATCTGCTACACCTCCGAGTTGCTGCAAGACTCACGACGGTTAACCCAACTCGTCTCCAGTGTGATCGCAAACTACCTCCCCAACGCCGTCTTTGGGACTCCCCGCGCCGACGGTGCCGCGCCAGACACCGCCATTGCGACGTTCAACGTCCGCGGTGTCGGCCAGTCGGGCGGCAGCATGCCGCTGCCGGGCTTCGGCATCGGCAACGACGGCGAGGACTTTGCAGCTGTCGAGCGCGCGGTAGCTGACCTTGTGGGCGGGCAAGCAGAGCTGTACCGGTTGGTGAGTGGTCTCATACGACATACTTTGAGACGACGCTGACAGTGCCTCTTCCTCATCCACAGGGCTACTCGTACGGCACCAACCTCGCGCTCAACGCTCCCCTCCCAGACCGCGGCGTCAAGCGCACCATCCTCGTCTCCCCGGCACCAACGCTGTTCAAGGCCATGACCCTCCTGTCGGGTCCAACGTTTGCAACAGGTCTAGACGCAGCGCTCGATCGCGCTGCGGCGTCCCGGGAGTCTGGCAAGGACGCGCGTTCGCTCTGGGTCGTGTTTGGCGACAAGGACGATTTCACCGGCGCGGCCACTCTGCGCGCCCTCGGCGGCGACAAGAAGGACGAGATTGTGGCAGTAGAGATTTCGGGCTGTGGACACTTTTATGCGCGTGTCGAGGACGGCGACGCGGCTGAAAAGGCCATCGCGGCATGGATCTCGGACAGCTGAGGCAGCTCTTTGTGTCACAAGCAACACCTGCATGTACATTATAACGACCAGCGACTACAACCTACGTGATGGATACCCGGGGCATCGACACTATCTCATATCCAAGAGCCTAGAGCAGCCGCTCGCCCTTCGAGAGCTTGACCCACACGACCTTGCGCCAGATATCGTGCACCTCTGGCCACAGCAGCATCAGCAACACCCCCGCACATGACACTCTGCCTTGTCTTGCCGACTCACGGTTCTTTGTACGACCGGGAAACGCGGCCGCCACAGCGTCCCAGTTGGGCTTGGCCGTCTGCCATCAGCACACCACATCATACATCAGCACCCCATGCATACGTACACCGAGAACCGCGGTCACAAGCTTCATCTTCATGGCCGTGTCCCAGCCCGGTCCCGCCGTGCTCCAGTCGTCGCCGCGGAGGAGGGCAGGGTACACGGTCTTGCGCCAGGTGTCTTTGCACTCTGTGTTGTCAGATACCGGTCTGATTGCTCCAATTTGCAACTGACGAGTACCCGTCTTGCCGACGGCCGCGCCCAGAGCGTCGTAGTCGGCAACCGTTGCCTATCCATCAGCGCCAGATACATTCCAGCCAAAAACGAACGGTGCGAGTGCTCACCTTGTACACCTCCGACACAAGCAGCACGCGGTCCCAGGTCCCCTTGGCGCCGCCGCTGGCCTTGTTAGGCTTGGTGTAGCCGTCGCCCGGGAGCGGGTAGGGTTCCGACTTGGCGATGGACTTGGGCTTGGTGACGCGCGGCATTGCGGTATGTGTAGCAAACTGTTTGATAGTATGGGGAAGAATGGAGCAGTGGAGGAGTTGAAGGATGGCTTGGAACTGTGTTGGAGGAGGTCGGGAATGGAGAAGAACGTGGCGAGTGCAGCAGAGGGGCAAAGTGTGGGAAATGTGGAGCGAAGGATGGCATCAGCAATACAACTGTGCCGCCGGCAGCTGACGCGAGAGATGTGTGTACATGTGCGCGTGGATCGTGTGGAAGGAAGGTGCACACACACACACGGGGCGTCCAGTCATCCACCATCATCCATCTCCGGTCGTTCATTTCCAGTCTTCCATTCCTCCCGTTTCCTCCACTCTTCCCATTCTTGCCTCTCACACCTTCCTCCCCTTACCGTCACACTCTCTATCATACAGACACTCCCTCCTCAGCATGGTCAAAGTCACTCCCAAACCCAAGGCTGTCTCCACCACCAAACCCAAGTCGTCCGCTGCCCCAAAGGCCAAGCCCAAGACCAAGAAATCTCTTTCCCCGCCACCCTCCCCTCCGCGTACTGCCGTCCTGGACAAGAACCTCGTGTGCCGCATTATCCTTGCCAAGCTCGACGAGAGCAAGACGTGCGACTGGTATGCTCTTAGCCAAAAGCTCGCGGCTGAGGACGGTGGCAACGGGGTCAAGACCGGTATTATCACCAAGGCCGGCACCGGCAAGGGCGGCAAGGGCAATGCAAAGGGCAAGAACGGCAAGAACGGCAAGAACAGCAACAACGCCCTGAGTGGCAGTGACCTCCACGACCTGTACCACAACGTGAGATTACTGGAATAGATAGCCTAGGGTTTAGCTCATGGACAGAAAATCCTCCCAGGTCTCCGGGCTGGCCGCGCTCTCTGGCGCGAGTCGCCACCCCCGGACGCGAGGGACACCTACGAGAGCCTCACCCCGAGCGACATTATCGGCAGCGAGGTCGACCGCATGGTCAAGGCTGCGCGTTCAAACTCCAAGAGGGCATCAGTGGGCAATATGCTTATGAGCAGCGACATTGAGGAGGACGACGAGCGCCAAATGGACGAGGAAGACTTTACGGCGGAGGACGAGAGTGAGATCGAGACTCCTTGAGGTGAGCTATCGGTCCGTTGCATGTAAAGCTCACGCCACAGCGGTTCCGCAACTTCTCCACAGCACAAGCCATCACAACTCATGACCACGACCACCCAAAGCAACACCCAAAACAACGCATCCACGGACGTTACTGGATACATCCCAAAGCGCTTGGCGCACACCCTCCTCTCCTAGCAGTAAGCTACCAGGCCGAGCATTTTTGACAGCTTCCAGTCTCCCCCAGGTGCCACCTTTTCCAACCTGAGGCGTATGAACACGCATCACGAAGTTAGCTCAATCATACCCGTCCAGCACCTCCAGCTCACACCATTCAGGTTGTTAATACTGGGCCAGGAATCCCCTCCACCCGCAAAAACATGTTTCATAGCAAGCGTCGGTTGAGCAGATTGTGAGTTAAGCCCCCGAGTACCAACTCTTAACTCCCAACACAGATTTAAGAAAGCACGACAAGTGTCCTGTACCTAGGAAGGCACCGAGTTTGTGAGTTGCCAGTTGTTTGATATCCAGCTGACTGCAGTGATCTTTTCACGCGTGAGATATCTCTCGCGCGCACCCGAATCATGCTCTCGCCACGGGAACTTCACATTGTAGCCACTGGTATTACCTGTACATGCATCGTGGCCCGAGTACAAACCCCACTCACGTCTCCCTTCCTTCAGGTTGTAGAACCGCAAACCTCTCCTCGAGAACGGCAGACAGACCGCCTCCCCACCGCTTCCCGAACAGCTCGGCCGTGGCACGGTCGTTCAGTCGTGCAAAGCTCGTGTCGTCGATATTCTCGTTCGACGCGTCCGCATAGTGGACCCAGACCCACAGCTCTTCTCCCTGTACGTTCCGCAGCTCACCCTCGCCACGTAGGCGCTGGAGGCAGAGTATGATGCGTTCCTCGTACAGCCCGGCGAGCGCGGCGTACTCGCCATTCTCGTTCTCGTCATCCGCTCCCTCTGGTAAGCCCTTGGCTAGTGCCCAAATCTCTGTTGTGACAATCCCCGGCGCCGTCCCGCCAGTATACTGCCACCCCCACTCGGACGGCGACCACCAGTACTGCGCCTTGTCCTCGAGGTCGTCGCCCGTGACTGCTGCCGCGTTCTCGAGCGTGTCGGCCGCGACGAAGAAGCCCGTGAGGTCCTCCACCATGCCGATAGCGAGGGCGTGGACGTGTGAGCCGAGAGGATGGGACTGGGGCTGAGCCATGGCGGTAGACGACTCGAGCTTGAGCTCCAGCTCGGTTCGGAGGGAAGCGAGGGCAGCGCGGATTTCCGTATCGATCGCGGCGTCGAGCGCGGTTGTATCGTGTGTCGCGAGCATTGTTGACGGTGCGGCCTCGTGCCAAGATTGGGCTAGTGCACTAGTGACAGTGAGCGGGTTTGAGGTATGGCGTGTCGCTCGGAATCGGAGGTGGTCAAGCGTCCCCACTGGCCACTGGCTCTGCCACGGTACTGGTAAACCGACAGATGTTTGCCGAAGCGCTGCGTTTCAGCTATGGGAGTTATGCCAAGCGTGATGGAGAGGATCTGAATGTTTCGCGAAAACAAGCGCGTCGTCACGTCTCTCAGGCCCGCGGACCGCGGATCAATCTCGGGAACACGCGACAGGTCGGTCAGATATCTGCGTGGTCCTTACTGATGTCCGCGGATGGCCTATGTACATAAGGCAGAGGCAAACGGGCTTCTGATCAGTGCTTACACTGTGGACCTTTCACACAGCTCGCACCGCTGGTGGGAGTCGTGCAACCAATAGGAGATATCGATACATGAAACCCATGAGCTACCAGCAGATGCTTAAATCTCGTCCTCGTCGCTAGCAAAGATGTCCTCCTCTGGGAAGTCTCCAACAGTGACCTTGTCCGCGCGCACGAACACGGCGTGCTTTGGCAAGCAGGTAAAGTAGCGCTTTCCCTCCACACTGAGTTATCGACTGTCAGCATCCATTGCTCGGCTACTGGCAGAAACCGTTCTGCTTGTGAACTCACCTGCCATCACCCTTCCCCAGAGGCTCATCGAGCTCGACGCCGACCCAGACGCCACCACGCGCAATCTCTGCCTCGCCGACGAACCGCACGGTGCCGCGCTTGGCAATGTCGCTGTCGCCGGACACGACCTCGCAGCGGGCGCCGGCGACGACATCGGAAGGAACCGAGGAGGGAGGGGGAGGAGCGTGCGCGAGGGTCTCGGGAACGTCGGCAAAGCGGCCCATCTTGTTCGCCTTGAGGTGTGCCAGGACGGTGTCTGGAGCGGCATTAGTAGGTGAATGGCAGACAAGACAACGGATGACCTACCAGGACGAGCCTCGTACTCCTCCTTTGTCAGCTCAAACTTGTCGACGGCCGAGAGGTCGGAGAACTCTCCCGGACGTGCGTTGGGGTCCGTGTTGTCGACCTGTTTCGTCAGCTCGGAATCACACAACGCCATGCCACCCACCTTGATACAGTTCCACTCCTGCAGGCCGTACGCGCCGAGCGATTGCGACTCGTCAGTCATGGTCGCCACGGGCGCTTCGTTCTTCTCGGCAGCCTCGGACGAGCGAAAGAGGCGGAGGACCTGGTGCTGCTGCGCGATACCGGTGATGGGCACAAGCTTGTCCTTCAGGTGATGTCAGTGGGCGGCTCGATGAAGGGGGTGGAAAGGAACCTCACCTTGAGCTGGGAGACGGTGAGGTCGGTATCCAACCTACGCTCCGAGTGGGTATCGGGCGACGAGACAAAGAGGGAGACGAGCATGGTAGTGACGTTGAGCAAGGGAGTGCAGTGCAAGAAGGGATGAGAATGACGACAAATGTGTCGTCGCGTCACGTCGAGACGCCAGATTGACCTCCACCGGCGCGGCAAGACTCGTTAGGAATGTCGTTAGGAATGTCAATGCTAATGGTGTATTTGATATATTTGATCCCGCGGCTAACACGCCCTCCCCTCCACCACACGGATCCACGGACATGTTGACACGAAAGCCATGGGGAAGATGGCCGCCCCGGTTTGCTTCGTACACATCCACGACAATGAGCCCCAAGAACGTCGTCATTACCGGTACGCCCTTGCATGACCCCGCGAGTTCTTTTCTGATGCTCAGGTGCTAGCGGTCTGCTCGGCCGCGCGGCCGTGACCTACTTCCGCGCCCAGGGCGACAATGGTGAGCTGCACATCGCTTTGTCTGCACTAGCTAACGAGCAGTGACTGCCCTCGCATGGACGCGTGCCGACAAGGACGCGAGCTACACCAAGCTCGACCTCACCGATGCTGCGGCTGTGGACGCGTGGTTTGCTGCCAACAAGGTCGACGGTACGTGCAGCGTGCCGCAAGAAGACACGAGCGATGGCGCCATGGTGACTAACGCAAAACAGCCGTGGTCCACTGTGCCGCTGAGCGCCGCCCCGACGTTGCCGAAGCGGTAAGCTGAGAATTTAGTGGAACACGGCTGATGACAGAACCCCGAGGCGGCCGAGACCATCAACGTCGCCGTCCCCAAGCACCTCGGCGAGCTCGCTGTCAAGCACGGTTTCACCCTGCTTTACATTTCCACCGACTATGTGTTCAACGGTCGCAAGTGGGTATTCTGACCTTCCGATTCCTGAACCCATGATCTGACTCTCAGCCCTCCCTACGAGGTCGAGGCCACCCCCGACCCGCTCCAGATGTACGGCCGCCAGAAGCTTGCGGGCGAGAAAGCGACCCTTGGCGCACGTGAGCAGGGTGCCAATGCCGCTGCTATCCGTGTCCCCGTCTTGTGAGTTGGGTTTTCGTGATCGGTGCAACTGACAATAGGTTCGGTCGTGCCGAGTACAATGGCGAATCGGCGGTCAACATTCTTGTAGAGGGTGAGCTCAACGTACCTCTTCAGACCTGACCCCCCCAAAGTCGTCAAGGACCAGTCTGGCAAGGCTTACAGCATGGACGACTATCAGGTCCGTAACCCGACCAACGTCGAGGACGTCGCCCGTGTCCTGTACGACCTTACCCGTGGGTCCCTTGCGTTGAGTTGGACGAAACTGACCCAGCAGACCTGTCGAAGCCCCTTCCCCCTCTCATTCACTTCCGCTCGTCGGGTCCAGACATGACCAAGTGGGACATGACCAAGACTCTTGGCCGTATCCTCAACCAGCCCATTACGCACGTCACTCCCCAGAGCGGCAAGCCTGAGATCAAGCCTGGCCAGACTGAACGTCCGTGGAACACCAAGCTCACGGTCAAGGTCCTCGAGGAGCTGGGCGTCAGGACGGACGATGAAAAGTCGTTTGAGCAGTGGTGGACGGCGTACCTTGCCGAGAAGCCCAACGGATTCTAAACAGGCTCTCGAAGAACCTGTGTAGAGCATGCGGAGCATCTCTGAACACGATCGCACGCAGCAGCTAGTGGTATATGTGCATGATGATGCCTGCCTAGACTATGTAGAGAATGGATGTCAAGTCCCGCGATGGTGGATGGAGAGAAACACAAAACAAAACGGGGACGTGGGTGCACAACGAACAACGAACGGTTCGGGCCTACTTCTGTCGCCTCTTCTCGGTGAGCTTCTTCGACTTTGGCAGCTTGATCTGGCCGTCCGACTTGGGGGCAGGCTTGTCGTCGACCTCGGCCTTGGCCTCGTCCTTCTTGGCAATCTTGATACCCTTGGTCTTGAGGAGGTGCTTGCGCTTGCTCTCCGAGATGAGGGCCTCGTCCTCCTTGGCGTCAAAGGTAGCGGGGGCCGAGTCGTCCTCGTCCATAGCGTCGTCATTGACGGCAGCAGAGCCGGAAACCTCGTCGTCGTCCTCGGCGTCGGCGCCGGCCTTCTTCTTCTGGCGCTTGCCAACCTTGAACTTGGCAACGTAGAAACCGTCCATGTTGTGCTTGTGGGGGTAGTAGCGGCGGGTGAGGTTGAGCGAAGGGTGGAAGTGCTTGCCCTCAAAGCTAGTGTAGCCCTCGACACCAAACTCGAGACCAGTGTCAACGAGCTTGCAGTGGGGGCGCTTGCGGAGCGCATAGTCGACGACGGACTCGTCCTCGTCGACGGTGACCGAGCAGGTCGAGTAGACAATGTAACCGCCAGTAGCAGAGTTGGCGTTGACCGAGTCCAGGGCGCAGAGGATAAGCTGCTTCTGGAGGTGGGCAAGCATCTGGAAGTCACGCTCCGACTTGTTCACCTTGACGGAGGCGTCCTTGCTGATAACACCGGTACCCGAGCAAGGGGCGTCGAGGAGGACACGGTCAAAGCCGCCCATGACCCTGGGGAACTCGCGAGCATCATAGTTGCAGACGACGACGTTCTTGCAGCCCATACGGTGAACGTTGGCGGTGAGCGACTTGGTGCGCGCCTTGTTGCTGTCGTTGGCAAAGACGGTACCAGTGTTCTGGAGGAGGGCAGAGATGTAGGTGGTCTTGCCGCCGGGGGCCGAGGCCATGTCGAGGACACGCTCTCCGGGCTGGGGGGCGAGGGCAATAACGGGGAGGAACGACGAAGCGGCCTGGAGCATGTAGTGGCCGGCAAGGTACTCGGGGGTGGCACCCACGGGGACGGGCGACTCGAAGATCTGGAGACCGACCTTGGACCACTTGCCGATAGGCTCGAGGTTGACGCCACGGTTGATGAGGGCCTGGGCGAGGTCGCGGCGACGGGTACGGAGAGTGTTGGCACGGATGGTGACAGGGCGAGGAGTCTCGTTGGACTCGAAGAAGGCAATGGCCTCGTCGGCGTTGAACAGCTTCATGAGCTTGTTCACCAGGAAGTGGTTGTAGCCAAAGTAGGTGGCAATGTCGTGCTCAAGCTGGACGAGGTGGTCGCTGCGCGACTTGCCAGCAACACCACGGATCTTGTCCTCCTTGCTCGAGCACACGCTCACAAGCCAGCGCATACGCGCCTCCACCTCGCGGAGCGAGGTGCCGTGCTCGTGCTCCTCAACAATGCCGTCAACAGCGGGCAGAGTCCATCCCTCGTCATCCAGGTCGTCCTCGAGGTTGGTCTGGATCTCGCCGTTAAACTCGTCGTCCGAGCCCATCTCAACCTCCTCGCCACCCGCGGCACCCTCCTCCTCGTCCGAGGCGAACGCGCTGTCGACCTCGTCGTCCTCACCCATCTCGTCGTCGTCCTCGCTGGGGAATCCAAAGTCGTCGTCGCCCATAGCCTCGTCGTCCTCGGCATCCGAGGGAGCCTCGTCAAGGTCGAATGCGTGCAGACCAGCAGGCATGCGCTCCTCCTTGTCGTCATCCACCTCCGCCTCCGAGTCCGAGAACACGAGCTCGCGAGCAGGTCCACGCTCAACACCGGGCGACGAAGCCTTCTTTCCCTTGGTGGCCTTGGCCTTCTTGGGAGCGGGCACCTCGTCCTCCGAGTCCGAGTAGTCACTAAACAATTCCGTCAGTTACCCCATCGTCGCCACTGGACCATAACCCAGACTCACCCCTGCTCGAGTGCCTCCTCGGCATCACTGTCCTCATCCTCGCGGTCGACAGCCTTCACACGGGGCTTCTTGCCCTTGACGAGCTTGGCGACGGGCTTTGCGGGCTTGCCCTTGTTGGCCTTGTCGGCCTTGAATGGCTTGGACGAGTCGGCACCGGCGGACGAGGCCTTCTTCTTGCCGTCGGCACCGCCGTTGCCACCCTTGTTGGCACCCTTGCGAGCCTTCTCAATGTCGCGGCCCGAGAGGGGCGCGGGGACGCCCTGCTTCCGGGTTGCTTTGCGACCCATTTTTGTTTGTTTGTCTAGAGGGGGTTGGGGGTGGGTGTTGTGGATGGCGGGAAGAGCTGCTGGTGGAAATTATGACCCGGAGCTGGTGGAGGGAGAAGCAACTTTTGGCAATTGACGTGTACTTTGACGTATCACAAGCAATTAATTCAGCATTAGAATTTCGAATCTCAATGGGTATTACAAACGCTTTTTCTTATTGTTAGAGTACGACTGCATACACCCAGTACAACCATCCTATACACTTATCTCCCCAGTACAACCATGGCATTGCGCGTTTCCTTACTTCTTCGCCTGGCGCAGCTCCTCAAAGAAGCCTTCAATGTCCTCGCGACTGACGGCCTCGCCGGATTGTGCGTGGGCCGCAAGCATGACCTTTAGTTTATCCCTGATGGGTTAGCATCCGCGAGTGACACGCAACCCACTTCATTGCCTGGTATCCGTGCAGAGCCTCGATTGCCTGCACGCGCGGAAGCGTGCTGACGACACGCTCGGTAACTTCTTCCAGAGTCTCGACCTTGTCCTCGTCTTTGGGAGGCTCGTAAATCTCCTCGTCTTCGAGAGGAAAGGGGAGTGCCGCGGCGGTTGCAGCCTGGCGTTAGTTAGTTGGCTCGAAAGGCTGTGACTCACGTCTAACTGGGCCTTGAGCTCTTCGCGGATCCCATGGGCAAGGAAGATATCACCTGCACCCTTGCGGGCAGCCGCTGGAACAGGTGCCACAGCCTCTGCCGTCTCTGTTGGCACCACTCCATCGGCTTCGACAGGCGGTGCCGAGACCACAGTTGGGTGATCCGACTCTGCCGGTGCGTCCTCCACACGAGCCCTCTTGGGATCCGATCCGCAGTCTTCTTCGTTTGCGCGCTTGCTGCCTGCCATTTTCTTTCCAACAACCTTCCACTCTCCTTCCTTGTCATGTGGCTCGATGATCATCCATCCGTCGGTACCGGAACGCTCGGCCAACAGAGGGTGCAACTTGGCACACTCGGCGCAGATGAGACCGTCATAGCTGTCAGACGGGATTAAGCAGTCGCTTTCTTCGTCCTCGTCATCATCGACGTCTTCCCTGGGTTCGGGTCGGGGCTGGAGGTTGAGACACGACTCGTGGAACCAGTCTTCGCACGCGATACATGTGACCATGGCCTCGATCTCAGTCTCGGGGTCATAGTCGCGTCCACATCGACAGAATTTGCCGGAGAATGTCTGGCCGTAGTGGTTGCGGTCGTTGGGAGCCTGAGGCTGTTGCTCGGGTGGGTTGAGCGAGCATCGTCGCTTGGAGGGGCCTTCCGAGGGGCACATTGCCGAGGTGGGACAGTCGCATTGGAACGACCTCTTGGTCCACAGCTCAACCAAGCGGTGGTCTGCGCGTTAGCTGAGGCTGGACGATTGCGCATAGCTACTCACCAGAGTGACAGGAGATCGAGCAGCCGTAGCATACGCCTTTTTCACCACAATCTGGAAGGTCAGAATCAGTACGCCAGGTCAGACAACGCACCCAGACAAGACCACACAGACTGGCGGAGGTATCCCTTGGAGTACGTGCACTCGTCGAAGCTGTACGGAAGGACCTCACGGGCCTCTTCTGCGAGTCGATCCTGAGTGTCGATGAGGTTCTGGAGGGTCATCTCCGACGAGCCTGGCTGTGTAGCCAGGTAGTCTGTAGGAAGGACAGAGAATGCCGCCATGGTGATAGACCGGTGTGTGAACGAGAGCGATGGAGATGGCAATGTTATTGTAACGCGCGACGCGTCCAGCAACTCCAGCTACAGAGTGGAGGGGCGTTGGAGACCCCGCGTCCGGAAATATGTCCGCGGCGAAATGACGTGTGGCATCCCGCCGCGGCTGCGGCCAGGCGACGATCCTCCACCAGCTAATTGCCACTGGACTCCAACAACACTTGCCATCCCCCTTCTCTCGCCACTTTCTACCCCGTCAACCGCGGCAAGAGTGAACAGGAAAAAAAGCTATGCCTCGCTCCCCTCGTAGGTCCCGCTCTCCCGAGCAACGGCGCTCCTCACACCGGAGCTACCGAAGCCCTTCCCCTTCTCGTTACGACCGCCCCCGCGGCGACGACAGGCGTGAACGCACGCGCGACGACCCCCGAGACAGGCGGCGCCATGAAGACGACTACGATTCCCGCGACCGTGATCGCGTGAGGGACCGTGAACGTGACTATCGAGACCGAGACCGTGAGCGCGACCGTTACGACCGCCGTAGGGATGACAGAGATGATCGCCGGCGAGACGACTACCGCAGCGATGACCGGGACAGGCGCAGGGATGACCGCGACCGCGACGCTCCGCGCGACGACTACCGCCGCGACAGGGATGGCAGGAACAATGGACATGCGGAGCCGTCAAGGCGCGACCGGTCGTCTGAGCGGACACCGCGCTCGGCCATGTCTGGTTCCCCGGCCGCCCAGTCCGAGGAGGAGAGGTTGCGCCTCAAGCGCGAGCGTCTTGAGGCATGGAAGAAGAGCCGTGAGCTTGCCAAGAGTCGTACAGCGTCGGCTACCCCAGAGCCAGACAAGGCAGCTGCTGCTGCTCCACCCAAAGGTGAGTCGCTGACTCGTGTGACACGCAACAACAACAAAGAGCTAAACCTCGCAGCAACAGCACCACCATCAGCTGGCGCTCCCGGTGGCGGCTTGTCGTTCAGCGCTCAGCGCATCGGTTTCTCGATCAAGCCAACCCCTCTTAAGCGTTCGCTCGCTCTCGACGACGAGGAGACCGAGGACCGCAAGCTCCAGAAGCTCGACCTGCCAGACTTTGCCCCAGAGGCGCAGAGTGGGGAACACGTCGAGGCAGTGACGGCGGACTTGGCCGCTGAGGAAGCAGACGAGAAGCCCGACCTGGCGAACGGACAAGCCAAGATGGAGGTGGACGAGGAGGAGGAAGACCCCTTGGACGCGTTTATGCGTACCAACGTTACCGAGGTCATCAGCGTCAACAAGGCGGACGCCAAGCGTGCTGGGTTGATTGACGGCGGCGACAGTGAAGACGACGAGCCAGAGATCAAGAACAAGGCCGAAGAGGACCTTGCCAAGGCTGAGGCGCTTCTTGCCATGGCGGCAAGCAAGTCGAGGAAAAAGGACCTGCCGACTCCCGACCACTCCCTGATCGACTATGAGCCATTCCAAAAGGCGTTCTACAACCCTCCTGTCGAGGCGGCTGAGATGACCGACGAAGATGCCGAGCTTGTTCGTCTCGAGATGGACGGTATCAAGATCCGTGGTGTCGATGCGCCCAAACCCGTCAAGAACTGGGCTGCGTTTGGTATCCCAATCGGCTGTCTGGACGTTATTCGCAACAATGAGTGGAAGGAGCCTACGCCTATTCAGGCTCAGTCCATCCCCGCCATCATGATGGGCCGCGACGTCATTGGTATTGCAAAGACCGGTTCCGGCAAGACCATTGCATTCTTGCTCCCTCTCCTCCGTCACGTCAAGGCCCAGCGCCCAGTGTCTGGCCTCGATGGCCCCATCGCCCTCATCCTTGCGCCTACTCGTGAACTCGCCCTCCAGATCCACCGCGAATCCAAGCAGTTTGCAAAGGTTATGAACCTGCGCGTTTCGTGCTGCGTCGGTGGCCAGTCTATTTCCGAGGACATTGCGGCAATGAAGAAGGGTGCCGAGATTGTTGTCTGCACACCTGGGCGTATGATCGACCTGCTCACTGCCAACAATGGTCGTGTGACCAACCTCCGCCGTGTCACTCTCCTTGTCATGGACGAGGCGGACCGCATGTTCGACATGGGCTTTGAGCCCCAGGTGATGAAGATTGTCAACAACACTCGTCCCGACGCCCAAAAGGTGCTCTTCTCGGCCACTTTCCCCAAGACGATGGAGTCGCTGGCGCGCAAGATTCTCATCAAGCCGCTCGAGATCACCGTCGGTGGCAAGTCGGTCGTCGCCGCCGAGATTGACCAGCGTGTCGAGGTGCGCGATGCCGACACCAAGTTTTCGCGACTGCTCGAGATTCTCGGCGAGCAGGCCCAGGACAACCCCGAGACCGACGTGCGCACCCTCATCTTTGTGGAGCGCCAGGAGAGCGCCGACGACCTGTTCCGTGACCTCCTCAACCGCGGTTACCTTTCGTCGTCGCTGCACGGTGGTAAGGACCAGATTGACCGCCTCGAGGCCATCAAAAACTTCAAGGACGGCACGATCCCCATCATTGTCGCCACCTCGGTGGCCGCTCGTGGTCTTGATGTCAAGGAGCTCAAGCTTGTTATCAACTATGACGCCCCCAACCACATGGAGGACTATATCCACCGTGCCGGTCGCACCGGTCGTGCCGGCAACACTGGCGTGTGTATCACGTTCATCACCCCCGAGCAGGAGAAGTTTTCCGTCGACCTTGTGCGCGCACTCGAGGCGTCCAAGGCGTTCATCCCCGACAAGCTCAAGGAGATGTCCGATGGCTTCCTGGGCAAGATCAAGTCGGGCAAGGCGCGTGCTGCTGGCAGTGGTTTCGCTGGCAAGGGTCTGGAACGTCTGGAGCGCAAGCGCGAGGAGAAGGACCGTGCCGAAAAGCACACGTACGGCGACACTTCCGAGGCTATTTCCCTCTCGTCTCGCGAGGGCGCTGTTATTGCGTACAAGCCCAAGACCAACGACGCCAAGCCCCACATTGAGAGCTCAGGCAAGGGCGAGGGCGACTACACCTTTACCGAGATCACCGTCGACGTGGTCCACGGTCCTGCTCCCGACAAGCTCCCCTCCGGCCCCGCCCAGCGTGGCACACGCGCCGAGGCGGTCAACCTGCCGCAGCAGACGCTCGAGGCACTTGACAAGGCCCGCAGGGAAGGCAGGCACATTGACGCCGCAAACCTCGCCAAGATTGCTTCTCGCCTCACCCAGACTATCGAGAACAACAAGAAGGCTGCTGGTCTCGCTGCTGCCATCGCTCCCGACTCGCGCGGCAAGACCAAGGACCCGGACGCGACCGACTGGCACGCCCTGTTCCCCATCAACGACTACCCGCAGAAGGCTCGCTGGAAGGCCACGCACAAGGAGCAGATGACGCTCCTGCAGGAAATCTCTGGCGCGTCCATCACCATGCGTGGTGTCTACTACCCGCCTGGAGATGAGCCTGCTCCGGGCCAGGAGCCCAAGCTTCACTTGCTCATCGAGTCCAACGAGGAAGTGCGCGTGCGCCGTGCCGTCGACGAGCTGCGTCGTACACTTGTGGAGGCATCCGTCCAGGCCCTGCAAAGTGCCGACAGGTCGGCGACGACCGGTGGCAGGTATGCGGTGTAGTTAGTTTTGTCTCGTTTCCCCCAGTCTTCTCGTCTGCACTGTCCCGCTCGAGTCTCCTTTGCATGTATGCATCTCTGTATGAGCTTTAGCTGCTTCGCAAATATGTTTACAGGGAGCGCTTACAGTCTTGAGACGCCTCGACTCGGTCAGAGTGTGACGAGTTGGTCAAAGGGCGATGTCAATAAGGATTGTTAGATGCCTAAGCAACTCGGATCCGACGCGGCGCTGAGTCCAAAATGTCAATCAGCCTGTGACGTTGCCCTCCACTTGTCCAACTTGTCACCTACCACGTCTCATTTATCCACTCCACACCACCTCCAGTTCGTCTACCGCGACACACGCACAATGCCTGCACCACCATGGGTCGCAAAGGGACTCTCTGATATCCTCGGTCTTGGTGCGTTGCCTCGCGCACAATGCTACTCAACGCTGACAATGGACACAGACACTGAGACAGTTCGCGAGGTCATCGTTCCGGACCTCGAGGGATACTCAAGCGAGGTCCGCCTGAGGGGACATCTGCTGGTGAGTGCAGCTTATTGCAATACAGCTGGATTATCCCCTAGTCTATCTAGCTGGTTCCTACATGCTGTCCAACGCTCTCTCGGCCTACTTTCGGCGTCCTCCTCCGTACATGGCATCACCGCTCACACTCTCCAGGACTTCCTCGGCACGACCCCCGAAGCCCGCGCCTTCTCTGACAAGTACACTTCCTTCCGCTTTCCCTCCTTGGCCAGCACCAGCACGCCGCGTATCCTAACTCCCGACCCGGACCTCGTCAAGCCCAAAAAGGAGAAGAAGCCCAAGGCATCCAGCAAGCCCGCCAGTGGACGCGCGACCCCGACCACCTCTACCGGCCCGCTCAGCGCCGATGCACTCGCCAACGCCTTTGGGTCGGGCGGCCGCGTGTACCAGAAGCACCAGGACGACCTCTTCCCCAGCCGTGGAGGCAGTGCGAGCGGCGTTGCGAGGAGCACGCCGGGCAGCGGGGCGCACACTCCCGCGCCTCTGCGCCGTGGCGGCGCAATCACGGTCGTCGAGTCCAAGGCCAAGGCCGCTGTTAGCAAGGACAAGGGCAAGTCGAAGGAAGACAAGATCTGGGACTTGCCTAAGAGCGAGGAGACGAAGCGGCTGGAGGGCATTGTGAGCGCTCTCCGTGCGGTGCAGTCTGGAGAAGGCAAGGCTGCCGTGCCCGACAAACCACCATGTTTCTGCCAAGGTGTGTTGGCCCGCTTTATGGTGGCAATATCGCCAAATCTTTAGCTAACGACCAGCTCGCGTCCACCCCATCTCGACATACACTCCGCAGTGCGCTGCGTGCGGTCTCATTCTCTGCGAGCTGCAACCTGCTCACGCGGCATGCCCGTCGTGCGCCCGGCCCACTCTCTCCCCGCCAGCCCTCGCGCGTCTCATCCAGCGTGTGGAGGGCGACGTCGCTGCCCAACTCGTGCGCGAGGAAGATGAACGCGAGCACGCCGAGCAGCTCCGCAAAGAGCGCCTCCTCGCCGAAAGCGGTGGCGGCGCGTTCCCTTCTCTCCCCGGCGGACCCGGTGGCGGCCGTGCGGGCCCCAGCGCGGCCGACGTGACTCGCCGCGTGCTTACCATCGGCAAGCCCGCAAAGGGCAAAGGAAAGGGCAAGGCAACCATCACGACCACGACGTACACTTCCGTGCCCATGACCCCGTCCTCGTCGTCCAACCCGGGCACGCCGGCCCCTCCGCCCGACGACACGATCCCGCGTCCCCGCTCCCCACCGCTCGAGGCCAAGCGTGTGGCCAAGGAGCTTGCCAAGGCGCTGGCATGGCGCGAGGACAATGACCGCCAGTGGGGTGACCCCAAGGCCGAGCGTCGCGGCGAGATGTGGGAGTACATCCCGCCCCTGCTCATTGAGCTTCCCGGCGAGGAGGGCACGGGACGCCGCCGCCGCGCGAACAACAAGAAGAAGGCAGCATCGGGGACTGGCATGGATGGCCGTGTGGTTGTCGGTGCGCGCTAAGCACCCCGAGAGACTGAGATAGGCAGACATATAGACCTATTAGGCGAGCTTGTGTTCGTTCGTGTTCAAACCTCCAGCTCCCATTCCACAGTCCCTGTCATTGTCTCGTTTGGCACATGTGGAGATGCAGTTAGGCCAACTCGCGCAAGCAGACGGATGGACAATGGGCAAGAACATGAATGCATCTGTGGCGTTGGACAACAGTGGTTGATACAGGGTGAAGACTTGGCACAATCACCACACCAGCAGTCTCGAGGCCCGTGTTCACTTTGGCCATACAACGGCTGTGAATCAGCGGTACAAGGGCTGCGGGCTCAGAGGAGACCAGTGCTGGGCGCCAGTCGAAGACAAAGGAGGATGCTGGTCGTGATCACTGAGTGAAGCCCAGTGACATGATGATGTGGGTGACGACGATGACATGTGAGGGGGGGGACTGGTGATCGATCGTCAGTGGGGCTGGGAAGTAGACGACTGTGGTGGAGAACTTGCTGGCGTCGGTCAAGTCCTCTCTCACGACCAGATGTTGGTGGCCGTAGTACTTTGCAGAGAACCGGCCGAGGTCTTCGATGGCAAATGGTGCACCGTTGCCGTGGGGCACGTCGGTGACGAGCACGGCCTGCTGACACCATAGGCCCAGTGCATTCTGGAGGAATGGGCGGATCACTTCATATGGGGGTGCTGAGGCGTTGTGGGGCAGTTCTTGGCACGCCTTTCAAAGGTCAGATAACATCAACAAATGTCACTCACGAGCAAGTACACCTTCTTCACCATCTTGTCCGTGTCGGCCTTCCAGACATTGTTCGTGAGTCGCGGTGGCCAAACGGCGTTGCCACGATGACTGCCGACAAAAGCGTTGCTGTCAGGATGTCAGCTTTGTTCGCTATCGACCGCCGAGGTCGCTCGGCTAGCAACTCACACTTCAAGAGCTTTGTCGAGTACGGCAAGCTTGAAGCACGTCGCATCGACAAGGTCGCCTTGGTCGTGGACATGTGTGAAGACCATGTCACCGTTCTCGCGGGCAAGGACACGAGCCCAGCATTTACTCGCCTCACGTGCTGCCCAACATGCTTCATACGCGTACTCGCCGCTCTGGTACAGGGGGCACGCCGAACACGGCACGCTCCGGCCATGTATCGCGCGGAAAGGCCGGGGAGAGAGGCGGGATGGACGCCGGATCGTTGAGGTACTGCGTTTTGTCGTAGGAGGCCGGGGGGTCGTCTGGAGGCAGGCAAGACATGGTGTCTAATGAGAACATACATGCGCGTATGGGACGCGGCGGTCGCTGTTGTTTGTTTGCCACTCGGAACACTCCTATGGCCTATGGCGGACAGCCGTTAACGGGAGCCAAAAAAGGCAGTGGCAAAAGCTAATGTGCCCCCTTGAGCCGCCATTTGCTTTTGTCGAACCCTAGCAGTCGAGTTCCTCACGAGCGGTCTTTTGTTTAATGACCTGGCCTGGCTAGTGGCGCTACAGGCTCTGCTCTCTGTTGGAATCGAACCCCGGCAGGTGCCGGGGTGATTTATGAAGTGCAACCCTTATAGCAGTGTTAACGACACACGCAGCGTCTTGGTAATTATTTGGGTTTGAAGTGCCGTTATGAGTCGGGAGGGGGCATTTTGATCGGCAGATCTGTCGGATTGTCCGCACGGGGCGGTCGGACAGCTCAGACGATGGCGCGCATGGGTTTTGTAAAAGCGAAAGGCAAGGTCTCTGTGCATCACGAACACCCAACATGCATACGCATTCCTGCAGCTACATGCAGCATTTCACCCCCACTTGAGGCAGTCCGCGGCCGTGGGTTGCCGAGAGAGCGGCCCGGGAGACCGGAGTGTGGGCTGCCTCCCTGGGCCAGGCTGCAACGGGGGGGGGGGGGGGGCGGCCGACGACGACGCACGTCACCGCTGTTTCTCTCAGCAAACTCTGTGGTGGTGGCCATTTCTCAGTGCGGTCTCTCTCTCTTTCTCTCTGTCCGTCCATCTTTTGCATCGCTCTCACCACCTCTGTCGCGTCGCCCTCGCATCCCTCCATCGTGCAGCGGCCGATAGACACCACCACCATCCTTCCCCTGTCGCCCCCGCGCACGTCTTTGTCGCCACCCAGCAGCCCACACTACCGTCGGGCCCCCTCATTCCGCCCGCTGTCACCCCCGGAGAGCGCGCGATAAGCGACCAACGACCCACGACGACGGTCAGCTTGGCCCGCGTCTTGCATTCCTTCATTCACGAGCAGCACGCACTGTCTGGTCCGCCCGGCCATTGTCTTCCTCGTCACTCTGTCTCTGTTCACGCATCTTGCCGTGGTTGACGACCCTCTCTGCAAAGCATCGCATCGGCCCGCGGCCCCCGCCCACGCAACCCTCACACCCCCGCAGCCACCCCCTCGGCCAACCCTGTACATCGCCGCCGCCCGACGACTCGCCATTAGCGTCACCATCACACACGTCTCCTCTCCATTCTCCAACTCTGGCTGAAAGCGTCCCAGTAAGCGCATCATGGGAAACGCAGCGTCAACGCCGCACATGGGGACGCCCCCGCCGGCATCCGACTCGTCGCAAGCACCGCCCTCGACCGCGCCCAAGGAGCCCGCAGCGCCACCGAGCCCCGCGCCCCCGCAGACTCCGCTGCTGCTGCCGTATGCCGGCCACCTGAGTCCGCAGAACCCACATTGTCTGAGCCACCCGCAGGCCCACGACTACAGCAAGACGGCAGTGACGGGCCTCATTATCGAGCAGCAGCTGGCCCCGTTCTACCGCGGCCTGGATGACTTTGAGGAGGACTGGACACTCGATGATGTGCGCCGGGAGCTCGACGAGACCATCGAGCGCGATTACCAGGCAGACATCAACAACAGCGCGACACATCGGCTCAAGGAGGAGCGCGAAGGCGGCAAACCGGCTGGATCGGCCGAGGACCGCGCCGAAAGGCAAAGCCGCGAGACAAAGGCGTACCTCGGTGCTGTCGAGTGTCCGATCTGCTTCTTGGTATGTTGCGGGTGGAAATGGCGTGTGCCGTGCGGTGCAGGGGCACACGTCGTCGGCGTGTGACTCGGTGACTGGGTAGATTGTTCACAGAAGCTGACACGCTTTTTGTACAGAATTACCCGCCCAACATCAACACGTCGCGGTGCTGTCAACAGCCCCTGTGTACCGAGTGCTTTGTGCAGATCAAGCGCGGCGAAGCGACTCTCACGCACATTGAGAGCGAGTCGGCGTGCTGCCCGTACTGTGTCGAGACAGATTTCGGCGTCATCTACGAACGCCCCACGCCTACTGCACCTACACCCGTCAACGGGGCCTCTGCCTCTGCCATTAGCGCGTCAGCCATCCACCTTGCCTCCTCCCCCGAACCCAATGCGAGCGGGTTCAGCCAGGCCCTCAGCCTGTCGGAAGACCCGCACACCGGCTCGGGCTCAACGTCCCCTGGCCCGCCCGTGCCGCCAAAGGAGACGGTGCGTCGCAAGAGCGTGTCGTCAAAGGCCAAAGAGGTCGTTACTATCGACCAAATCCGGCCGGACTGGGAGAGCAAGCTCAACGCCGTCAAGGCCGCTGCGGCGCGGAGGGCGGCGAGGAGAATTGTCATGCGCCAGGTGAGTTAGACCGTGCGTGTGTAGTGAAACTAACTCTGCAGGTCGGTGATCGTCTTATCCCGATAGGATACACGTCGTCGCGCGCCACAGGGCTTGCCGACTTTAGCATGTCGGTCCCACAGGCGGTAGAGGATGGAGGCAGCCGGCGGTCGCGCCGTGCTCGCGGCCGCGAGCGCGAGATGGAAGAGGTGAGTTCCGTCATCGCTTGGATCATCCAGCTGACCGTGCAGATGATGATCATGGAAGCGATGCGGCTGTCGCTTCTCGACCACGAGGAGCACCAGCGCAAGATCGATGAAGACGAGCGCAGGAAGAAGGAGAAGGATGCCAAGGGCAAGGACAAGTCCACTCCCGTTCGTTCGGGAGCTGGTACGCCTACGCCGTCGTCGTCGCGCCGCTCATCATCTGCAGGCACGACTCTTTCGTCGTGGCGCTCCGCATCAGGTTCTGGCGGAGGCGAACATGGACGTGCGCAGGCCGCCGCCTCCAAGCTGTTATCCAAGATCACTGTTAACCGCTCTCGTGCAAACTCGAAGAGCAGCGTCCACTTTGCCCCGTCCCCGACCACTCTGGGTGAGAGCAGCGCAAACTCACCCACCCCGGGTGAGCAGCAGGGGCGCGCTCGCTCGTCGTCTACGCCTAGCCCAATGCCGAGGGACCCTCCCGAGCACCACGTGTCTCCGCTGGCGCAGGCTGAGGTGCTTGCGCCCCAGCCTCTGCGTCGTACCGTCATACCCGCTACCCCAGACCGTCCGGCCAGTGCGGTGCCGGGGTCCAGCGCGTCCCCAGAAGAAGGCACCAAGGTGACCGAGTTCACCAACCCGACTGCGTCTCGTGTGGCTGCCGCAGACGCAGTGCCAACGGCTGCCAACCCCCACCCTGATCTCGCGGCGCTCATGGGCGAGGCGCTGGGCGATGACTCGAACCTCCCTGCCCCACTGGTCCCGTCGCATCTGCCTGCGCCCGCTGTTGCATCCATCATGGGCGGCACCTTTGTCGACAGTCCAGAGGTGGAGCTGCGTGGCGACCCCATCCTCGCCTCCGGCACCTTCACCGGCTCTCCCGCTGTCGAGATGCGTGCCGACCCTGTTCTCGACCAAACCCCTCCAGCCCCAGAGCCAGTCGCCGTGCCGACCACGGCGCCCATCGCGATTCCTGCCCTTCATGAACCATCGGCCGTCGCCTCTGTTCTGAGCTCGCCACCACTGGCCTCGCCGGCCGCCGTGTCGACCTTGACCGCTCAGCGCGATAGCATTGAGCGCAACACCTCTCCCAGCCGCACCACGCCTCAGCGCATGGAGAGCAATACCTCGGTTGCCACAAGCACCTGGACCATGGACTCGAGCGTCGCTGGCGAGCACACGCCCCCGCTCCAGGGTAGTCCCAGGCCAAACAAGCCGCTGGCGGCGCTGGAGAACGACGACGCGGACGAGTAACGCGCGAATCGTGCGAGCTCGCGCCCTCTGCAGCACGCAACAGGGATACATGTTGCTCTTTCAAAAGGCCTCGGCGGATCATTGCATCTACCACTTCATCTCCACCTCTTCTTATCCCTATCCCCCCCATGTCTTGTCACCCTCTGTGTCTGTACCATTACCCCGCCCCTCCACCTTTTACAGTCCGTCGTATGCGCAGCAATATGCAAAACCCCTTCTTTTCATGCCATGCCGAGTGTCGAGTGGAATAGGGAGGTGTCCAGTGGCCAAGGCGACCGTCCTCTGCCACTCCCAGGCACCATCTCTCCGCTGTCGGATTCCCACCGCGCCCAGACGTGGTCGCTCAATGGGATCCGGTGCTCTGGATCTTGCGGCAGCGTGCGCAAGTATGTGTACTTTCTTGTCGCTCCACACGATGCCACCACTGTTGGAACACAAACTGCTTGGGCAGCTGACACATACAGTACCTCCCCACCGCCCGGCGATTTCCGAGCCAGTGGCGAGTGTCTCGTTTCGTCTGACGTCATGCCGGCATTGGTGGCCTCGTAATAGCCCGGGGTCCTACCAGCGATCCAGCGATCCAGCGAGCCTACACATTGCGGTTTCCCATAAGAAGTGCTGCAGTTGCGTGGGATCAGTGCTCTTGTTCGCTCTAACGCATTTCTGGATCCTTCCATCGCATCCCTTGCTCCAGCATCCCTCACCCACCACCATCTGCATTTAACCCCCCACCACCCTCGCTACAGCAATGTCCATGACCCGCATGCTCGCGTCGCGCGCACTCGCGCGCACCGCCCGCCCCACCGCCGTCGCCGTCGCCGCTAGGCAGGGGCAGCGCGCTGTCGCCATCCGCTTCATGAGCCAGAGCGCGGCCAAGGCCGCCGACGAGGCGGCGTGGACCGAAACCAACGAGGTGAGCGGGCCGTGGAACCCAGACTCTCCGATAACGGCGTGTCGTTACTGACGCTCTTGTCTCTCTCTTGTGTGGTATGTGGCGCCTTTTGTGCTCGGTCATATTGTACCATTGTCGTCGTCGTTCCTCGACCCGGATCTTGCCCATTATTCTCGCGCCGTCCTTACTTCTCCGCACCGGCATTCCGCCCATACAACGAACAACCTACCTCACGCTTGATTTCCACCTTCCTCACGCCTCCAGACCGAGTCCCAGGCCGACGTGCGCGCCGACGCCACGGCCCCCGGCAAGCCTGACAAGGAGCTCGTCAAGGAGACGGAGCGCGTCCTGCGCCGCAAGGACGAGCTCGCGCGCGCCGACGCCGCCAAGGGCGCGCACAACCCCACCGAGTCGGAGGCAGACGTGAGTAGTCTTTGTGTGGGCGGACGGTTGTGAGGGTCCTGGGGGTCCGCTCCGGGACAGTCCCCCGGCCGTCGATCTTCCGAACGCCGGAGTTCTACCTACACCTTGACGCGTCTAGAAGCTAGACGCTGTCCTGTGCATGTGCTGACAAATACCAGATCCGCGCGGACAACAGCTAGTGGGGCCATTGTCGCTGTCGCTGTGCATGTGCGATACGAAGGCAGTTCCTCCCATCTACAATAACAAACGAGGCGGTTGAGGAGTTTGCGCGTCAGTGGAATAAGCATGAAGCATACGGTTCTGGTTTTCTGCACGAATGCTATCGCAAGTGCTAATACTTGTACTGATCTGGACGCGGGAGACTGATGTATATGATGACCTGAGGCGAGAGCACAAAGCAAAGCGAGAGCAAAATCGAAAATAAGGAGGAAGCCATCAAGGCGAAGAAGTGCGAGACGTTGTGGGGTGCGAACATGCAAGTGATGGGATGGCGGGGACAGGGAGCAGCTGGTGGAGTGGCGCCGTCGTCTCAGAGGGACACCAGCTTGGCATCCTCTGCGGCCTTGGCCTCTCGGAGCGCGCGGGCGCGGAGACGAGGGTCGCGAGACCGGTCAATGACGGGTGCGGGAACAGCGAGGAACGTGGGGACAGCTGGGGCGAGGATCTCGTTGAGGGCCGAGTTGAAGTCGCTGGCCAGCGAGGCGAGCCCGTCAGGCTTGGAGGAGGCCTTCTTGACCTTGTCGGGACGCGCATAAGGCTTGATGTCATGCAGCTTGCCCTTTGGCGCGGTCGACGAAGCCGTTGACCCCGCGTTCACGAGAATCGACTTGGTCGGCTTGAGAACGCGGTGGCCAGAGACATGGACCTTGGCGGGGGCGAGGGCGGGGATGGCCTTGGGCTGCTCTGGAAGCTCGTCCAGGCTCGTGCTCTCGGTGACCTCCTCGACCTCGTCGTCACGCATCATGACCTCGTTGCCGACAAGCCTCTCTTCGGAGCTCGCGAGCGGGGTTGACGGAAGGTCGGAGTCAGACTCTTGCGAGTCGGAGCCGAGGTAGAGCGAACCCGACGAGTCCACGTCCGTTGGGTAGCCCGTCATCACGTCGGGGTCGAGAGCATCTTCCACGAAGAGGTCGCCGCAAAGAGTGGACGTTGGCGAAGACAAAGGTGTGGGCGAGAGAGGGATGTGGAGCATGCCCTTGGCCGTGGAGTGGCGACGGGAGCTTTCAGTAGACGCACGAACGTGTGCCTTCTTGAAAGAGTCCCAAGTGCTCGTCGAGGTGGCCCTCGAGGGAGCCTTGGTCTTGCGGCGGGGGGGAGTTGGAGGGAGCTTCTTGAGAGAAGCGAACTTGGTGCCCTTGGCTGCGTGACTGGGCGAGAGAGTGGGAACGGCAACCTCGGTGGCGACCGCATCACGCTGAAGCGTGTGGAGCATCTTGCGCTTAGACGAGGCTGGACCTTCATCGTCGAGGTCGCTGCACCTGCGCTTGCGGAGAGCCTGGCGTGAGGCTTCATCCTCGGCCATTGTTGATTCCTCCGAGGAGGCAGTGTATTGAGCCGAGGGAGCAGCAATGGGAGTGTTCTCGACCATAGCAATCTCCTCGGTCATGGTGCTGACCTCGGAAGTGACAGTGCCGGCAGGCATGGAGGTGGTTGAAGGGCGTGACGCAGGAAGACGGGCGATGACGCGAGAGAGAGAAGTGGGAGCAATGCTGCCAATGGCCTCGGTGATGGCATGGTTGGCCAACGAGGGCGACGGCGAACTAGTGCCAGTTGTCGGGGCACGAGGAGTAAGAGCGGCCGCAAGAGCAGGAGCGAGAGAGGGAGAGGGAGTGACAGCAGGCGCAGCAATAGGTGTAGGAGAAGGCGCGGGAGCAGGAGCAGGAGCAAGAGTTGGCGAAATGGAAGGAGCCTCAAGAGACTGGGGCTTGGAGACGGGCGCAGGCATGTCGATGCCACGCGCGTTGGCGAAGATACCAGCTCGAAGGTCCTTGGTGGTCGATGGAGCCGGACGAGGCTTGACCGCAGGCTTGGGGTGGTTGCGAGTGGACTTGCGGAGGAACACATCGCCGGCAGTAGCCTTGGGAGGTTGAGCCTTGGGGGCGGGGCGGGGGGTGGACTTGACCTTGGCGGAGCCGTGCTGGGTAGCAGTGGTGGTGATAGCCCTGGTACAAGTCGTCGTCGAAACAGGTGCGTTGGCGGGGATGCCGTCAACAACCTGAGTCGAGGGAATGAGCTTGAGGACCTCGGCGGAGCCGTGCTGGGTAGCAGTGGTGGTGATAGCCGAGGATCCGACCGTAGCGATGCTGGTGATGGAGGAGGCGTGCTCGGTCATGGCCGTAGGCTCTGTCTCGGCCAGCGAGACGGAGCCAAGCTCAACGCGGTCCGAGCTGGGCTCGAGGACCGGGAGAAGAAGAGAGGAGGAAGAGGTAGAAAAAGAGGAAGGAGAGGAAGAGGACGAAGAAGAGGAAGAGGACGGAGAAGAGGAAGAGGACGAAGAAGCGGAAGAGGACGAGAGGCAAGTGGGCTGGATGGGGGAAGGCGGGAAGACATGATCGACAAGCTCAGCGTTGGGCTTGGCAACCAGCAGAGACGAAGTGTGAGAGACGGGGGGGCGAGGAGAAAGGGTACTGTGTGCTCCAAGATTGGACGACCCAGCGGTGAACTTGGCCGTGGCTGGAGCAGTCTGGACGGACTCGGTGGAGTCCATGAAGTGGAGTAGGAGGGAGTTCTCGTAGGCTGGTATCCACTCGTGGGCAAGGAGAGGACCGGCGAGCTCGTCAACGGCATCCATAGTGGAGGGCCAGACGGGAGACTCGGAGATGAGGGATGGGTTGGTGATGGCAGTGAAGGGGTTGATGGCCTTGGGGTGGTGGATGGGAGCATCAAAAGCCGCAACGCGGCCGGAGGCAGAAGTAACAAAGGCCGCCCAGTCAAGAGGCGCGGGGAAGTCGTCGTCGATATCCATGGCTGACGACTCGTCGGCGGGCTTCTAGTGTGAACATTGCGCTCATGCACGTGGATGGATGCAAGGAAGGGGCGACATACCTCATCAAAGTTGACATTCTGGATGGAGGAGCTGTAGAGAGTGGCAAGAGAGCAAGATTCCTGGTAGCAGTCAGCAGGGGGGGTCTGTGAAGCCTGTCGCCGGTGACTCACGGAGTCGAGAGAAAGGCTGTCAATGGCGGCAGTGAGGACGTTGAGAGCGTGGCCGTGGTCGTAGACGGCGGTGTAGTTCGTGGCGGGGATGGGCTCCTCCATGACAGTGTCGTGGGAGGGCTGGGCGGAAGGGGGAGTAGTGATGGCCTGGGGCCAGAGCCAAGAGGTAAACCACATGGTGGCGAACGTAGGCGAGAGGAAGGTAATGGTAGGAGTATAAAGTGCTGTAATAGCGGATGAGGAGGTACAAAGTACGGATGTTAGAGCTGGATGCTAAGAGCAAAGAGCAGGGATGAGAGAAAGAGAGAAAGAGAGAGAAATAGAAACGGATCAAGGACGCGGTGCGGTGGTTGGGGGGGTTGACTGGACTGCTGTCAGTTTCCCATCCCCCATCAGTCGTTGGTGCAACTGTGAACGCCACTGGAACAGCCGCCATCAGTCACACTGGACCAAGGATATCTCCACCACCATATCCTCTGCCACTCTAATACTTGCGGGTGTACGTGCACTATTTTGGGGCTACCTCCTCTCACTCGAATCATACTCATGCATGCTATGGTTGTGGAGATCAGTGCAAAACGACACGAAAAATGGGGTTCGTGGCGGTCGCGTCTCAGGTCGCGTCTCTCAGGCCTTGGAGCGCGGCGGAGATTTGCTTCCGCACTTGCCTCTTGCGTCCAGAATATGGGTGGCGACACGACCTGCCCGGAAAATAACTCAAGCGCGTCGACAAGCATGGAGACGGCGCCGTCAGTGGGATTTGGATGGTCAGCCATTAGCAACCATCCATGCCGTCGAGGAGTCCTTGCCCACTGCAGCAGCAACATATCTGCTTCGCTTCAGTAAAGCCCAATGCAACACCGTGTGCACACAGGCACAACATTCATCAAGACAACAACAGCTAGAAATGTCACTCTCCCTCGCCACTCTCTGGGTTCACCACAGGATCACCCGTCAGCCGATCCCACCCCCACTGCGCCTCGGGCAGGATAGCCACACGCTTGCGGATATCCACTTGCTGTCGCAACGCCGCAGTTTCAAAGTCTGTCAAGAGCGCGCAGTGTCCATCCTCGTCCACATCAAAGTTCTCGATAGGCTCCCTGTCCTTGTCAAATTTCGGAGACGTGAGAGTGAAGGGTGCTGGACGTGACCATGACATACCATGTGGCCTCGTCTAGCGGGTATCCGTCCCACAGGACGAGGTACTCGAAGACACGTTTTTTGGTTGTGGGATCACGGGCAACGGCGCGGCGTCTGTTTGTCAGCTAATTGTCCGTCGAGTTGAACCTTAGCTCACCCAAGAACCTTCGAGATACAGTAGCGTTGCTCATCCATCTCCTCGACCTTGATGGCCCGGTTGAGCCTGCACTGTCAGCTCCCAGGGACGTAAACGTTCACACCTAGGCTCACCTCTTGCAGCAGTTATAACGCACACAGCTGTCTGCTGGCGCCGGCAGGACCTGGTCGCGGGTGTCATCTGGTCACGTTAGCATTGCTCAGGGCAAATGAACCCACTCTTGAAGTGGACGAGGCAGTCCGGGCAGTACCATGGCGACACGTCATGCACCGTGTCCTTCTCCAGGCCGGCACATGCCCAGTGAATTCTAACAAGTCAGCTTGATCGTGTCTGTGACATCTGCCGGACACCTGACACACCTGCCGTTGCACTGGGCGAGTTAGCATCGTCAACTCTGCGACTACCCGGGCTTGCTTACCATGTCACACATAATCTCTTGCTGGTGGATCAGCCAACGAGCCATACAGTTGCTCCTACCCACCTTGAGCATGATCCAGGTATTGGAATGTTGCGGGAACGGCGGCCACTTTCCATCACCCCTCTTGGTGCCGTCACTCTTACCCAAAGTTTTCCATTCGTCCCCTTCACCTACTGAAAAGGACTTCTGCCGACGTCTCCTCTTGGAATGGGTGTTGTACGAATAGTCGGTGACCAAGTCTTTACGCTTGGACAATGGCGTCATTGGCCGGGAAAAGATTTCTTTCCAGAGTGCGGGGATGGGGGTGGCGAGGACTTCCCGGGCCGCCAGGGCAGCCTTGCGCATGGGGCGGGCGGGGGATGACAACTCATGCGAGCGGGCCCTTTGGTCCCACGGATCTGTAGAGTGGCTGGAGTGGACGGGTTGGCTCGCAGAAGGCATCTGCATCGGCGATGGGCTGGGAGGTGTGCGCGAGGGATGCGACTTGACCCAGACTGGCTCGTCCTCCGGCGCATCCATAGCAGGGTCGCCTGTCTCGAGGCACAGTCCAGAGGGATATTCAGTCTCTTCTTGGACAGAGGCAGAGGGAGCAGGGGCTTGGCCACTCGGTGCCGACCCGTTGCTGCTGTACGACCCTGCCACGCACGGCAAGCCGTTTTCGATTCCGTGCTGTCTGACAACGCTCGAGGAACCTGGCGAGTGGTGGCTTGGTCCGTTAGCAGCAGTTGACTGCAGCGGTTCGTCTCCAGTGTCTACTTCTTTCGTCGGCAGGGCGCGTTCAAGAGAACGAGATGCGCTGTGGTCGGGCGATTGGACTATCCCCTCAACAGCATTATCGTCGGCGTCGGTTGAGCCGGCGCGAGTCGCTGGACGAGAGAGTGATGGTAGAGAAGCAGGGTCAGACACCGGTGCCGCAACATTGACAGGCGTGGTGGAGCGGGCGCTCACCCGGCTAGCCAGGCCCGAGCGAATCCCGTCTTGCGGTCCAAGCGTTGGCGGTGGGCGCCCTTGGCGGCGATGATCGCTGATGGCACTGCGCAGACGACGGAGCGTCCCGGAGATGACCTCGGGCTCCGGCAGCTGGGAAATGTCAAGCAGCACCTCGTCTACCTGGTCGAGGATCCACATGAACTTGGCGTCAAGACGTTCGGTGAGGCGAGCTTCCATCGCGGCGAGCTGCCCAGCAAAGCCCTGTCGTGTGCCGTCATCATCTCCGGTGGCTGAGCTCGATCCGGCGGTATCCACCTCGCCCAAAGACAATCCGGGTTGCACCAGAGAAGGTGGAGAGGGGTACGGCACTCGTGTTGGCTGCTTCCCGTTGACCAAGGTGGCAAGTGCAGCCTCCACCGCTGGTGTTGGGACCGATGTTTCTGGTTGCTGCCCGGATGTGCCGGCGGCCGTGGGAACTGTGGAAGCTGCAATTTCCATTGCAAAGACCTCCAGAGGTAAACTGGCCAAGTCTGATTTATAATCTGTTGAGGAGTGTTGGGCTCGATTCAGAATGATGTGGCCCGCACAAGGTGCTGACTCCAGGTAACTGGCGTGTGAGCCTCACGCGATGGGTGATGGGTGATGGATGGGCGGTGATGGAGCAGGAAGGAGGGGAGCTGTTACATACTTTCCTCAAGAAGAGTGTCTCTATCTGATGGACACAAGAAAAGCACCTGTGCGGATCCTAGGAGAGAGCAGGTGTTTGCCCCCACATGGAGAGAGAGTGTGTGGTTGTGACAGAGCGGCAACCTTCGGGATCGTCATCACCATGCAATCTCCTGTGTGGGGAAGGGGAACCAGATGCGGGGTATATTTTGCTTCCGCAACCGGCGCGACAGTCCGCCGTCATACAAGTGTTCCTCCACGTCGCGTCGCGGTCCTTGCTCGTCGTCGCCTGTACATTGCCCCTTCACCCTTCCAGCAACACCTTCTCCCTCTATCCTCCCACCCCCCACCACATGTCGGGACACACGATCATCGATATGCCCGCAGCCATGTCTACAGGTGCGTCCCTTCATGTTTCTTCCAACCCTTGCTTCATGAAATGCGGCCGAATTCAAAAGCAGGGACACGTTCATGCCCGCTGACAACCCTTCCAGAGAGCGACAAGTACTCGGTTATCCTGCCGACGTACAATGAGCGCAAGAACCTCCCCGTCATCACTTGGCTGCTGGCCAAGACGTTTGAGGCCAAGTGAGTGGCTTCAATCTGCTTGCCGTAACCCAACTGTGTCCTGCTTGCTCTTGGCGGCCTGCCGACTGCCGACTGGACTTGATTGTTGTTTGGCTCAGCTACCGGGTTAGACTTGAGCTGACATGCCAGTGGCCTCGCTTGGGAGATTATCGTTGTCGATGACGCGAGCCCCGACGGTACTCAGGAGGTGGCGCGCCAGCTCGCCAAGATCTATGGCGACGACAAGGTTGTGGGTATCACGGTCCACTTGAACCGGTCTCTGGATGGGAAGGCGGGTTGGGGATGTGCTAGAGTACCGGCTACCTGGTATGGTGTGTCCGCCTCACTCGGTACCAGTGTGACTGCCATGTCGCACCGCATGTGCGACCCCGAACGCCGGAGCAAGCGGCGGTCGTTGCCAGCTCGGCTCCCGTTCATGACCACCTTCCGTTCCGCCAGCCACCAAGCTGCACTTTCAACAGAGGAGCACAGCTGACAATCCCAGATTCTCAAGCCTCGAGCCGGCAAGCTCGGTCTCGGAACTGCCTACGTCCACGGCCTTAACTTTGTCACTGGCAACTTCGTGATCATCATGGACGCTGACTTTTCTCACCACGTGAGTGTAATAACGTGGAAGGAAGCGTGGATGAGGAGGTGCGCGTGGGGCCCAGAGAGGCACTGCGTGTACAAGCTGTTATGCTACATTCGTCACACAGCAGCGACTGTCTCAGTTGTGCTTTGTCTCAGTGCCGGTCAACACCAACCCCCGCCACTCCATGGTGCACACCTCTCCCCTCGGCTGGCAAGCCAACTGCTCAACTGACAAACCCTCCGCAGCCCAAGTTCATCCCCGAACTTATCAAGCAGCAAAAGCTGCACAACCTGGACATCGTCACTGGAACGCGCTACGCCTCGACCCCGTCGCCAACCCCGAACCCTCGCGGGTCGGTCGGCCTCGGCCCCGGCGGTGTGTACGGCTGGGACCTGAAGCGCAAGCTCGTGTCGCGCGGCGCCAACTTCCTCGCCGACACGGTCCTCATGCCCGGCATCTCGGACCTGACAGGCTCGTTCAGGCTGTACCGTACCCCCGTGATCAAGGACATTATCAGCAGGTGTACCTCCAAGGGATACGTCTTCCAGATGGAGATTGTGGTGCGCGCCCGTTCGCTGGGGTACACTGTGGGCGAGGTGCCCATTACGTTTGTGGATCGTATCTATGGCGAGAGCAAGCTGTCCGGAAACGAGATTGTTGGCTACGCAAAGGGCGTCGTCAACCTCTGGTGGAACGTCGAGTAAAACAACAGCATTTAGAGCCAAAGCAATGGGAGACCAGTAGTGTAGTAGTGTGTGTCAAGACGACGACGATGATGATGTACAATGCATACCATGATACAACGCCACTTTTGCTGGCAGTGTGGTGTTTGTTTAAAGGTGCGACGTCCCATTCTGGCGCAATTATTTTGCTTTGTTTTGTTTTTATTTTTCTCTCCCTCTCCATGACCTCTCGAGATGATATGGTCCACCATCGACATGTCAAATATCACACAAACACGCTCCCTACACGGCCTTGACGCTCAGAGGCCGGTGTAACCCCGTCTCACTCCCCAGTCCCGTCAGCCCGTCGCCGCCCTCGGCCGTCGTCTCAGCGACCCATCCGGTCATGGCGGTACGGAAGCTGTCCCGGGTATACACGCTCGACCTGCCGGCGCCATCGTCATTTTCGAGATACTCGGACCGGCGGTTGAGCGCTGAGAACATGCTCGCCGTGTCGGCGCCGACGCCGCCGGGACCGGGACCAGCTCCGGGCCTCCATGACCAGCGAGATTCACTGCTCTCCCACGACCCGCGGCGGCGCAGAGCGCGCATAGACGCGTCGTCATCGGCCCGGCCATATGCGCGGGTACGGTGCAACGACAGCGCGTGGGTGGACAGCCCGTCGTACAGGCTTCCTGGGGGGGCCGGTGCACCTCCCTGTTGAGGGTCTGCGAACGCGACCGACGGCGACGTGCTGAGATGCGGAGCGTGGTAGGCAGACGGGCTTGTCGTGTGCCGGATAGAGCTGGGACGAGGTGCGGCTGGGGATACCAGTGCAAACGTGCTGCTTGCCAAAGTCACGGTCGACGCGTCGGGCCCAGGAGGCGAGGAAGGGTGCGGGTTGTTACGCGGGTGGTACCGCGTGTGGCGGGGGACACGAATGTCGTCCTCTGGCGGTGGGGGTGCTTCATCTGCGGCAGTGTCCTCGTGCACAATCGCTGGTGGGAGGAACGTTGGCGAGATGGGCGAGGGGACACCTTGGATAGACGAGCCTGCCACGGCACTGGCCACCGTCACGGGCGAAGAGGTCGTCGACGGTGGTGCGACAGCGATGTGCGCCACAGCTGGCGGGCCAGATTCAAAGGACATGACGGTGGTTGGTTTAGTACTCGCAATGGAGATAGACTCCTGGCGAGAGTTGGCCCCATCGTCTGAATATGCCGACGTGACTCCCCCAAGGGATGAAAATGTGTCACGTCGCTCTGGATGCGATGCGGTCGGCAATGGCACGCGACGGGGTACCGAGTCGGAGCGACCAAGCGGCGCTGACCCAGTGCGAGAAATAATGCTGATGCTGCGTTCCGGGGAGGGAGCAATGGGACGCACACTCGCGTCCTCATCTGCCACACGTCCGGCGAGGGGGAATGATTCCGCCACGCTGTCGTCGTCCGCCACAGAGATGTGCGGATGGGCACGGCTGGACAAACTGGCGAGACTGGGTGTGCGCGAGCGCGAGAGCATGCTCATGCTCGGCGGGCGGGAACCAGAGTCGATCGTCGAAGCAGGGTACGACCTCCGTACGTGTGGGATGGGAAGGGAAGGGTAAGGGTTGTTGAGCTCGCGGCGACGCTCTGAGATTTGAGAGATGGATATCGAATACGACCTCAGCGATACCGACTCTGTGCGCGCGAGATGGTCGTCCGTGAGGGGCAGCGCCGGACCGAAAATCTCAGCGGGCGACAGTGTCAACCGCGCGCAAGAATCAGGCTCATTGCCACCTCTTGCACCTCGCGGGGTCGAGAGCACTTCCCGTCCGTTCCGTTCCCAGGTGCGTGGGTCACCGCGCGGCGTCGCGGGGGCACGGTTGTAGATGGTCCTCTTGGTCACCACGGCGGCCGCATCGCGAGTGTGGTCTGCATCACTGCTGCGACGCGCCCCAAGCTTGCCCTTGAACCACTCAAAGATGGGCTTTCCCTGTCGACGCACAGGACCGGGGACCTGCGTGGGTTGTTGTTGTTGTTGTTGACGGGGAGGCGGTGGCTGGAGGGGCGGTGAAGTGTGCGTGTTCATGTTGGCGTGGGGGGAGGGATGGGAACCATTGTTCAAGGCTGTGATGTACTGTTGTGGGTGATTCGGGAGGCTCTGATTCGGCATCTGGGGTTGGGGGGTAGACAACGTGTTCTGGTTCGAAGACGGCGGCGGGATACGCGCACGAGATCCTCCTTCACTGCTGAGCGAATCGACCACATCCCCGCCGCGGTGATGTCGGTTAGGTACCGGTTGCGGTGGCGGTGCTGGGCGACCGTTTGCCATGTTCATGCCGGGAGTGGGTGATTGAAGAGGAGCTGGGTGTTGGGAAAGGAGGTCGGTACCATTCTGGTCTGAGCTAGCGGTAGCGGTAGCGGAAGCGGGGGCGTGCGCAGGCAGCAGTCCGGGTGGCGGGGGGGCTGGGCGGCGAACTGGCTGGAGGGCGAGCACCTGGTGCTGCACGACTGTGGGCATTGTGTGTTTGTGGGGGTATTAGGTGTGGGTGATCATGCTCTTGATGAGATAAATGAAAGGCGGTGGGGGAGTGGACAATAATGAAGAAACGGGTCGCTGTGCGCGAGAGAGACAATGACACAACGGAGGTACGGAGGGTGTGTCCCCAACTCGCAGATGGCTGCAACAGTGCGTTCATAATTACATTACGTAATATGATGTGATGGTGGGGGAAGCCCGGGGAGAGAGAGAGTGTTTCACATTGACCATGGGCCCACGCTCTGCTCCCCACACCAGGCGGCCGTATAAATTCACACTGTGCAACGAGTGCATGCTTTTGCTCTGTCCTTTGCCAGTCCTCCGCACCGCCGTTGCGCTTGGAAACAACGACAAACGAGCTGCAAACTGCGGACGGCTATCGCCGGTCGCGTTTGTCACCATCTTTCACAGCGTCCAAAGGCACTGCTGAAACGCGTAGAGCCCTTCCCCCTGGGGCCTCAACCCACTGGAGCCCTGGCGTGTTGCGATGGACATGGCAGTCGGCTTGTCAACAGGAAATGCAAAGGCATGGTCCAGCAAAACAGACACAGTGGGGTCTGGCTGGCTTGTGGATGTTCACAGCTACCATCTACTGCTGACACGCTGACACGTCAGTGGGGAGAGTACGTAGCCGACGTACCTCGTGGTCAAAATATCTGCCAAGCAAACGACGATCGGCGACGTGGGTCTGGTTGTCAGAGCAGTTTGTTGTTCAGCGTGAAAGTAGGCTGCAACGGCTTGACCACGAATCAACCGTTTGGCCGCCTCTTCTCACACAGCTCCACGGCGACGGATAGGGCCGATGAGATGAATCTCGCAACCACCTGGAGACGGTACTCATGATCGTACGGTGCCATCTTTGAAGCGCAACCCTCACAATGTCGTACGCCCAAGCCCTCAACGCTGGGTCCCACGCGCCTTGGACATGAAGCTTGAATACCGGAGGATTGTAATAGCTGCAATTCAACGAGTAGGCGTGCCGTTCGACAACGCGGCCTCGGGGATCGCCATGGCAGAAGGCGGCGCAGAATATGTGGCGGAGATTCCATTGATGTCCTACTAACATGATGATCCCAATCATGGACACAATGGGACCAGGTCCTGCGAGTGAGTGCTGGTCCACGTTCGGCTGCTAGCCGGCCGCTGTGTCCCTCATGTGGCCTTTGTTTGTCATCATCTTCCTTCGACAAGTTTAAGGAAAGCGAGGACAGGGAAAGTGCGTGGCCCCACGGGACCGCCAAGGTCGGGGGCACGGTAGACAACCATCTTTGCTGGAGACCCAGTGGCCAGTGGCACGCAAGAGACAATGACTTGGCCAGAGGAGGTAAAGGTGAGTGCTTGACGCATGCCAGGCAGGGACTAGCCGTGCCAAAACCGCACCATATCGTAAAACGGCTTCCGCGTCGTCCAACCCGTTCATCGGTCTCTCCAATTTGTCTTTCCACCAGCTACATGGTACAGTTCGACAAGGGCTACAACCTACGATGGATGGCAGGCTTGCACGAATGCATGCACGCTCTCAAACGGCTGTCCGAGCGCGCCGCTGCTCGCCAAGAGCTGAACATTAAGACACCGTTGGTGAAACGGTATCATGCGTCGTTGCCACTCCTACAAGAGAACGATTCGACGCGGCAGGGGTTCGACTCCCTTACGGTGTACTCTTTTGGCCTGTGAGAGGTCTGCAGATGTTTGTTTTGGGCTCTGGAAGACTCCCGAGCGGTTGGAGATGAAGTCGGAATCGATGAACCGTCTGGAGCATTTTCCGGGGCGATGGAAGTCGCGGATTCTGCCTTATCCACCTACCGCATCCACTGCCAGTACCATTGACACGTTAGGTACCATGTCTTCTCTTATTCACACATGCAGGTCTATGTGAGTGCTGCAGGATCGTTGCAGGCATGGTGGCAACCCAATCGACGGACACGCTGATCCGTTAGTGGAAACACGAAATTCACCGAAAATAACCGAAAAATCGGGATTCTGTTTTCGATACCATTTCATTACTGCAATTGGACTTGTGATTACTACCTACTATTACTACAATGGAACCTCTGCCCTATTACTCTCCCCTCGGCGGCTTGCTAGCCCCATCAGGACCAAACATCATGGGTGTAAACATGAGGGGCCCGTCACCCCCTTCCGGGGCCGCCGCTCCAGGCGGCAGAGGCAAACCCAGGACCTCATCCTTGGCGTCCGAGTATCGAGGGTCCGTTGAGCGAGTTGAGGCAGTAGTCGAGTAATCGACTCCTGTGACCCCCGTTCTCGTGCTCTCGCGCATAAGTGGGGCGCCGCTGGTGGATTCGACAACCGATGAGCCAGCCATGGATGACCAGTCGTCGCCTGTCGGTCCATGGAGCAGGTTGTCGCCAGCAGTGGCCTTGGCGTTGGCCCAGCGGGGCTGGTAGATGGGTGGGAGGCGCTCGAGGCCGTCGTCGCCCATGATGCCTGCGTCATCTGCATCTTCTTCGATGATAGGTTGACGGGTACGGTATTCGGGTTCCGAAGAGGTACGCGCATTCTTGCTCGTTCCGCCGGTAACAGAGGTTGAAACACTGCGGAGAGATGGGTCAGGTCTTGTGTACGAGAGTGACCCTGATACGGCTACTCACTCGGAATATCCGCCGTTGTCAGTGAATGGGGTTGCCTCGACATTGTGATCAATCTCAAAGGTGGCCGGGTCTGCCTGTGACCTGTGTCCATGTCAGCGATACGATCCTCTGTGCCTCCTGTTCTGACGCACATCTTCCTTCTGCGACGGGACCTGCAGTAGGCGCCCAAGTACCACGACGCGGCTGCAATTGCAATAGCGCCAATGATGCCGCCCACCACCGCGCCGGCAATTGCTCCTTTGCTCAGCTGCAACGATGCAGAGTTGGCAGCAGGTGCATTGGGACTTGAGGTACCGGATGTGTCGGTTTGCGAAGAGTTTCTGCGGTTGCAATGTCAGTCATGAAATGGGGGTTTCAAACAATGTTCCAACGTACGCAATGGCGGAGTAGTATGTGAGGGACGAGAGATGGCCCATGGCAGTGGCGTTATAGGCCTGGTTTATCACGAGATTGTATTGCAGGGTCGGGTCCAGGGGGACGGTCAGGAGGGGGACGTCGGCGATGTTGTACATGAAGTCCGCATCCACAAAGACCGTGAAGTTGTCAGACTCAAGCAACACGCCAGTATCCTGTGGGGGGACGGGCCAGGGGATTGGCTGGTTAAACGTGAAGGCCCATCTTCCCCAACCTGACCCAAGACTGCCATGGACAATGGCATAAGACGTGTTGTGGGGAATATTGACAGAGACCTGGGCAGTGAGGTTCTCTTGGTTCCAGTTCAAGGCGGCGGAAGTATAGTTGATTGGAGGTTGAGGTGAGCTATTGCTATTGTTGACAGCTGCTTCAAGTGTAGTGGACACTTCCCAGCCCACTTTTTGGGCAGTCCGGCCGCCAGATCCCCCGTTGGCAGTCCAATCAAAGTTGGGGTTGAGTTGGCCATCCACCACAAACTGGTCTGAGTAAATGTAGACATCGTCCATTGTTGAGCTGCATGGTGTTAGTGGGGTGCGTTCGTGGACGGTGGAGTGAACTTACGCATTGGTTACCAACCCTTGAGTAAGCGTGATCGCATGCACATCGAGAGTCATGTCTTTGGCCATGAGCATACCAAAACTGACGCGGTGGGAGGTGTAGTTTTGTTTTGTGTTCCATTGCGAGTTGGCATTGAACGCCTGCATGTTGGTACCTCGCACATAGTTGCCATCGACCATAAGAACCAGGTCTGATGGGGTTGGGTCGTCCGTCTCGCGCCACACATAGGCGTTTTGGCCCGTATAGTTCCACGCGATCATATCGTAAGTACCGCCGTGTAAGGTGGCGTTGCCGATCCCTGCTGCGCCAGCCGACTGGTACTGCGAGTCGCCATTGTCAAAGGTGAGCGTCCAGTTTGTACCCGGGAACTTGGTCGGCCCTCCACTGGTGGTATCTACGGGCGAGTAGATTGAAGGAGTGTCATTGGCACGAAATTGGAACCTATTGGGCACATAATGGAACAGTGGCGCGTAGACCGGATACGTGTAGTTGAACAAGAGTGTGGGTTCCACGTACATGACAGCGGTGGTGGTGGTGTGTGTGGAAGAACAAAGGGGAGCCCACTTCAGCGTGAGACCTTGTGTCTGATGTATGTACCTGCAGCAGCTTCTGATCGCTGACCCACCACCAACCGATAGCCGAAACTTCCATTGGCAGCATTGCTTCGTGCCCATCGCCCCGCCCTTTGCGGTACTTACATAACCCCAGACATGGCTGTACCGTAAGTAAGTACGTGCACTGCCATTCGGCATTTGATACCGGAGGCACGCTCTTGGCGGCCAGTGCTCCGAGCCTGGACTTGACTGGTGGGGACCCGTGACAGCTCCTCATTCCCATCAGTGGAAGTCAGTTGCAGTTTGGTTGCATGTGTACCACCGAGTGGTGCAGTGAAGGACGTTGCGTTGGGACCGGAGGATTTCTGTTGGACTTGATAGTACACAGCAAGTAGCCCCTGCCAGTCCACAGCTACTGGCATGAAACGGCGGGTAGACTGCCACCCCCTGCGACGCGAGCTGGCCAAGCTTGTTTGGTCAACAGGTTGGAACAATGTTACACCACCAGCTGTGTGGAGTCGTCAGTGGTCAGTCATTCGTTCGACATGCAGTGCTGAACGTCTGCAGATCCTGGCTTGATCGATGCGCCGAACAAATCGCCGTAAAATCGGGGAAATGTGCGGGTTTGTGCTGGCTGCCACACGGCTGCTTTTACCAAAGGGATCGGCTCGGCGTGATGCGCATAGGAAGCATTGACAGCTGAGGGAGAACAGTTGGGTTTGGAGAACCTGGAGGCTCCTACTTAGTAAGGAGCTATAGACTGTATGTATACGTCACAAGTCTACCTGACAACTTACCCCTTCAGAGGTCAGATAGTGCGCTGAACTCCCCTGTAGTTTATTCCTGGGTATCCTCGCACGCGGCGGAAGGTGAACAACTGGAGCTGACGCTCTGATCTGTCCACCCACCCAACATCCACCTCCATGGTACGAGGGCTCGCCCACCGTGTGGCATTCAGTACCATATAAACAACCGTTTGACCACGAATTAACACTACTGGGTCAGGCGCGAAATGGTGCCATTGTGATCCGGCGAGGCCCCTGTGGCCTGTGGCCCCAGGAAGGGGTTGCAAAGGACACGTCTGTCAGTTACCGACGGGAATCCAGGCTGACGTCCGGTATTCACCCCTGTCTCTAAGCATGCAGAGGGCACGCAATTCCGTAATGTCGCGCGCGCAAATAGGGGGTTTTGTATCGATCTAAACACCGCAAACATTGAGCACCATCCGTCCACCGCGGGACGACGTGAGCAAAGGACGCGTCCTGGGCCCTTACCGCTCCCTGTCGCTCACCCCTGCGGCTTGCAGGTTGTTCTTCGGGACTCCGCGTCGGAGACCTTCCGGTGCGCGCATGCTGTTCCGGGGCCGTTAGGAGATGCAGGAGAAAACAGGAGGTTCCAAACCCGCCTGTCACCAACAGCAAACAGTCCGACAGCCAACCAACAGCACCGGGTGCCTTGGACGGACCTGGTCACGCCAGCCCACGACGCCAACATCGGAGTCGTGTCTCGGCTGATGACCTCCGCTGCTGCGGCGCTGAGGCAGGCCGAGAATTCAAGTTGTGCCCGCCCAGAGAACCAGGACGCGACCGCGGAGAACGGCCTCACCGTCACGGTGCAGTGAATGCACACGCTGTGTGGGGACTGTGTGGCATGTGTGGGGGGACGATGTATCAAGAGCCAAGACTATACATAGGGAACGAAGGGTCGCTCGCGCCATCCCCCCGTCGTTTTTCCTTCACGCCTCGACACGTACGCAGCCAGCATTGCCATCTCACGAACCACTACCACGACCACAGACACGCCACCCACGATCCACGGACCCACAGCAGGTGCTCTTTCGGACAGTGTGCCAAGTAGTGTCAACGTACCAAGCTCTGAACCCAAATCCAACGGGACGAGGCAGAAATGGACATGCCGTTGCCTGAGGCTGGAGAAGCCAGTAACTGGCAGCGTTCGGGTGCCAGCACGGGGACCAGCGCCACCTCTGGCCCAAGCACCCGCGCACACTCGTCGTACAACACACAGACAACGCCTCCGGTTCCAACGGCCGACTCGCACTCATATTCCCATTCTCTGACCCAACATGCAGGCAGCACCTCATCCTCCTCTTCCATCAACACTGTATCTCCACACCACTCCTTCTCTGCAACGGCTGGTCCGGCATCACATACAGCATACTCCCACTCACATTCGACTCGTTCGCGGCCCGTGCGTCACTCACGAATGCCGTCGCGTGAGCCGCCGCCGCCGCTGCCCTCATCGTCATGGTGGCAGCGGTTCACGGGGCCATCACAAGTCTCGCAAACCGCTGTTGCATGCCTGATGAGTGCGGGGTTCGCCCGTGCACCTGCCCGCCGCGCACTCGCCCGCACCTCTGGTGACATTGGTGCGGCTATGAAGCTGCTGCAAACCGAGGGCGATGGAGTGGATAGCAAAACGGACAAGACAAATGCCAAGTCTACCAAGGGCAAGCACAAGGACACAGACACGTCCAAGTCTGCCGCTCTCCCGCAATTACAAAAGCGTAAATCGCAACGCTGGTCAAGCTCCGCCCTTAAGCGCAACACAACCATTCTCAGCAAGCCACCACGGCGGGAGCCATCGCTGGATTCCGAGCCCCTCCCTACACCACGCCGCGAAGCATTCGAGCATGTCCGCCGGCCAGGTCTCGAGCCCATTCCGGAACCCTGGGTCCTCCTCGAGCCCGAGCTCGAGCCTGGACTCGAAACGCAGTTCGAGTCTGAGCATGACACTACATCCCGACACCTTGCGTCCCCAGAGCGGGTACACCGGCCGGACCCCCCGAAACTGGAGTTGGCAGTTGCGCCGTGCCAACCGCTCTTCTACACGGAACGCGAGTCCGAGGCGGCCATCGACGACTGGGATTCCGAGAGCTGCTCCAGTTACTGCAGTACAGACACATTTGGTGTCAGGGGAGCTGGTAGCGGCAGTGCCAGTGTCGTGGCCACCACCATTGGCACCCCCACATCGTCCGCTGGCTGTCAGCAAGACTACCGTGTTCATCAGCGGTACGCCTCTGGCGTCGAGGTGTGGGTTGTCGAGGTGGCCAAGTGGCCCGGGAGCCACGAGGGTGCGGCCGATACAGCCTGCAGTGGAACCACAACAGCGACGGCGTGGACTGCGAGGACGAGTGGAAATGGTCTGAGCGGCCGGAGCATCCGCAGCAATCGCAGTGAACGAAGTACCAAGGTGCCCCGCTCGACTGTGACTGGATCGACGACGACTCCCAACTGGGCCACGACCGTTGGCTCATCAACAACAGCATTCGCATCGGCAACCCCTTTTGTCACTGAAGCGAGTGCAGCAACAACAACAACCACCAAGCCCTCAACTGTGGCATCCGCATGGCTTGGCGAGGAACCGGGATGTGGTTCCTACCGGACCCAACTGTACACTGACGAGATGGAGAACGATGAGGACAATGGCAAGGACAACATATTGTACTGGTAGAGACTATATAATCACCCGATACCTTTCACGACACACGACAACGATATCACATACACACATACCGAGTGGCAGTGATGAATATGAACACTGGGCAGTGCCCCTATGCCACATCCCTCCCAGAGGACGCGTCACCAACCACAAGCTGTTAACGCGAGTTATTGGACGCAAGGGTGTAAGCACGGGATTGGACAGGGGGACCGGTCCAACGGGGGACGTCAAAGGGTGACACGCAAGGAGGGTTGGCCTGTTGAGGACAATGTCGAGAAGTCGTGGGGTAATTGCGACGGAGCTGGAGAAGGTCCGCCGGTAATGATCCCGCTGGCAGCGGGCCTAGGGCCGTAGCAGCAACGTACACGGACACCAGAAAGAAGTGGGCGGCAGTCAGGGAGCAGTGTGAAAGCCATCCAGTGAATACGAGCAAGCGAGAAGGAGCGGGAGGCAAAAGATATGCCTCCTCTGAGACTCGAACTCAGGTTTCGGGATAACACTGCGATTGCAGCTCATATATTAGTGAATATGAGACCCGCTTCCTAACCACCTAGAAGAAGGAAGCATCGATGTTGTTGATAAAATTGTGAGGCTGATAAGGCGAATGACTCGACTCGATTCCCTTTCATGGCCTCGCAACTGGTGGCTGTCAGTTCTTGGTTTCTGATCTATGAAGTGCAGGGGAGGTCTCCAGATCGGCCACAGTCACATCCAGGGATCGCATGAACGCGTCCCTACGTTCGCGACGCCAATGTGAATGCCATGCTTACAACGTGTCGTCAACAAAGCGCAACCAACTTTTGGTCCTGGCGAGTGGCCAGTGGCCAGTGGGGTTCTTGCTCTGCAAAGCTCTGTGCGTTGTCTGCCGTTGTCCGTTGACGGCAGCACGAGTGTGGCTGACATTAAGCTTTACTTGAGTTGCATAGGTGAGAAAGAGTCAGGCCGCAGCAGCTCGTAATTCCCCCTTTCAGTCAGAGTCGCTACCCCCAGGCACCCCGCTCGTAATGTGTGCACGATTCCTCCCTCTACCTCCCGCTTACGTGCATCAGAGAAGAAGGGTGGGTTCTGCGTTGCAATGGGCCCCGACATGACGAACATGGGACAATGACGGGTGACGGAAACGTACTTTGCCCAAACGAGTGCAACCAGGCCAGGCAGCACGCCGTAAGCCGGCGGAGGAGTGATACCGGGATCGCGAGAGATGCTTTAAAAGGTCGACGGCAACCGGTGACGACCATGCGACCCCCTCGTCCCAACTGCATTGCACTCTTTGAACCCAAACCGCAAGACTGTAGGCCATGAGCGCTTGGTCCCCACGATCTTCCAAGACGTCCAAGTCTTACAGCAGTCCGCTCAGCGCTCGGAGTAGCAGTGAGTTTACGGTTGTCAAGGACCGACGTTGTCTCGTGGATTGGGTCGCTGATGGATCAGGCTCTGAGAAACGCAAGTTCTGGGGGCGTTCCCCAGGGCCAGTGGACCCGTTGAGTGTGGCTCATCTCGCTCGGCTGGGTTTCAAGCGCGAGACTGCCCGGAATGCGCTCGTGTACGCCCGTAACAATGTGGCGCTCGCCATTGAGCTAGCTATTCACGATACGCACGACGACGGACCGATTCCAGACTGCCCTGTCTGTTCCTCCAAGGAGGAAGGTAGTCATCTGCGGCACTGGTTCATTGGCCAGGACATCTGTCGCCGGCCGTCGCCTGCTGTACCCAACGGTGGTGCTGGCCCTGCCTCTCCGGGCCTCGAGCAGTCGACGACTCATGAGCCTGCCAGCCCGGAGACCCCTCGTTTAGAGACCCCACCGTTCACACCGTTCATGATGGGTCCACTGCCACCGACGCCGACCTTGGCAGGCCAGCCCTCTGCGTCCACCAGCTACCGACGCATGACTCCCGCCGGCCTCCAACCGCCAGCAATGTACACCCAAAACAATTCCGGTGGCGACCTCTCGTCACGGTCGTCACACCCAACTGTGTACGACAGCGCCTACAGCATCTACTCGCCCACCATGATCCCCCTCAACGATACCGAAGCCGGTTCCCGGCCCTCGACGTATCTCACTGCGTCGGCCAAATTGTCACGCGATGACCTGGGATCGTATGCGCAGTCGACCCCGCGACTGTCGCGAGAAGATCTCGCCGGCACCTCCTCGTCGGGATACTCGTCTTATCGGTCCTCGTACACAGCCATGGTGTCTCGAGATGACGACTCGTACCGCAGCCACACACGAAACCACTCCGGTGGCAGTGGCTTTTACGGGTGGTACAACTCGCCCAGTGGACCAGGAGGTAGCGGTGGTCTCAGCAGCGGGAACAGTGGTGAAGACCTGAAGGCGTTCACCCGAGGTTCACTGGGAATTGGAAGGGCGATGTAGCAAACAGTACTGTAACATTCTGGCAGACGCTGATACTGGCATACAAGGACAGATGTAGATTATGAGGCAGCACATACGGTGCCGTCGGTATCAGGTTAGGGCCTACATAGAGGAGAGGCTTGATGGCAATGGACTATACTCTGTTCCCACCCTTCCAACCCTCCTGGTACGGTTCCCCGCTGTTTCGTTTCAGGTGGAAACCAGGTTCACAGAGTGATACAGCATGCCTGTAGCCTGCTGTAGCCTGCTTCTGCCTCACGGGCGGCCGAGTTCGGAGCTCAGCGGGATCGAGGTATGTCGTGAGCTGGATATACAGAGTTTCTGTGCCTTGGAGCAGCTGTGCAACCTATGTTGGTCTCACGGTTTCTTGGAAGTTAGGCTGATGGTTACCAACGTAGCTCAAGAGGTGTGCCGACATGCCAAGACAATGCACTCTCCGTTTTCGGACCTTATCCGTGATGGTTTGGCACGCTCAGCTCAGCTGGACACAGCCACATCCAGCGTTCTTCAGATACTAAAGCATGTGTTGTTGACCCCAGCAAGTACACGGTATCTCGCTGATCACTCTCTGGCAGCCACAATGTCAGATCATCTCGCCAGCCCCCCAATTGACTCTGATGCCAAACGTCCCCTATGGCGTCGAGTACTCAAGGTCGAGCCCACGCCCGACTCACCAGAACTAGCCCTCCTCATGCGTCTGGGATTTGCCCGGCACACGGCCAAGCAGGCCCTCGCTCTCAGCATGAACGATACGGACAAGGCCATTCACGAGGCCGTCCACATTCACCACAAGATTATAGGCTACTACCCAGAATGCCCCGTGTGCCGTCGAGAGATAGGATCGGTGTACGGCACGGAACCCGATCCAATACTCACCAACGAGATGACGGGGCAGGGCGTCAATGTCAAAGACGCTGCGCGAGTCCTGGCGGCGAACGGCAACGACATAAAGGACGCGTTCGATCAGCTCACCCATGAGCGACATGGCCTCCTGGATACCAGCGGCACATGTCACGTCTGTCACCGTATTCGCGAAGCAAAGCTCGGGGTCTATCGCGGCGTGCAGGAGATGCACAATCGCCGTCTGTGGGAGAGTTGATGTCGCATGGTTGCCGTTTGGAGCACTGCGCAATAATAGCACATGCTACTCGAGATTGACTCAAAAGTGCTGTCGGGCTTGTCCGCCTCTGCGACGTCACTAAGGGTTTGACCACAAATCTCCTATATTTCAGCAGACCGCCGCTACATTTCTTCACTCATCCCTCGTTCATCCCACCATGGCGTCCGTCTCCTCGCCTCCGATGCAGCGCAAGCTGTACGCTCACGAGCCACGTACACTCCTCACCCTCCTGCGCGGATACATGCCGTTTTCGATTTCGGTCGTGTCTACCATCGTAGCAAACCCGTCGGCCAACGACCACAGCCCAGACCCCAACTGTCCGGTCCTGGCACCCATATACGCGACCTTCCCTCCTCTAGCAGGAGGAGGAGACCTGACTCGTGAATCCCTAGCCGCTGCTGGTATCGGAGAGTACGACTGGCTCGTGGCCGTGTCATTGCCCGCGCCCAGTGTTCAGCTGCGCATCCATCACAACCTCGTGTCTGCCCCCACCGAAGTCCAGACTCTCGACGCGATAGAGGCCGCTCGGGACGTGTATAGGGAGGCCATGCGCCAAATGTTCACCCTGTTTCCGACTCACTTGAAGGTGGGCAGTGTACACGAGATGTTCCTCGACGCAGCGATCAGCGTCGCTGGTGGACCCCGCCGCCCACCTGTGTGGATGTACGTCGCACCAAACATGGGTGCTGGTCCTACGGTGGTGGACGTTTCGGACGTGCCGCCATATGAAGACGAGTTGGTTCTCGCAAGCGGCAACCCCGCAGACGCGACACTTGTGAGTTCTGAGAGACAGTACATGACCTGACACACAGATCCACTCAACCAACCCATACCGGTCCGCAGAGTACTATGCCGCCAGGTCGGCGTATACGACATCGCTGCGTCCTCGCACACCGGATGGGTCATATTCTGAGCCTGCAGCTTGGGTCATGACGCACGGTGATGGTAGCCTCGGTGCGCTTTGGACCCAACCCGACTACCGCCGTCGAGGGCTCGCCAAGGTCATCGTTGCGAGCCACTTGGCAGAGGACGAAGCGCGCGGTGTGCCCGGTCATTGTCATGTTGAGGATGGCAATGTTGCGAGCATGCGTCTCTGGGAAGGGCTTGGGTGGACGCGCTTGTCATTCACGTCATTTTGGGTGTATGAAGAATGAGCGTGGGGGGGAGCATTAGAGTGGGCAACCTATAACCTAGAAGCATAGATGTGAGTCGCCCGGCATGGTCAGTCATTTAGTGGCGACCTCCCGTACCTTCTTCCAGGACACACCTTGCAGACCCTGTGTCACCAGTCGTTGCTTTCTGCCCTTTGGTGAGCGAATCATGACCGTCAAGCGGCGCCAGTGGCCGGCGATGGGCCAGCGGCCAGCGGCCAGTGGCGTCATAGTCGCGCTTGACTGAATGCTGTTAGGTTAGACGACGAAACCCCTCACAGACTTCCGCGCCTCAACACCGCCGCCGCCGAATACACAACAGCACCGCCCAGGGGCTTGTTTTATGGCGCACAACCGCCTTCACCCCAAACGTGCTTCTCATCCGATGCCAAGACTTGGTCCGACCGATGCAGACAAATCGGAGATGACCCCCTCTCACCATCCGCAGGCGGCGACGAATGCGCGGCGGCAACACTACTGGCACAACAACCACCTTTGTTGCACGTTTCGCATTCAGCGACATGAATACTTCGACTTGCTTTCCTCGCTCACCCCGTAACCTCATACTACTCTCACATCAACACACATATCTCATCACTCAGTACTTACGCTTCTGAAGGGTGACAGCTACCGCAAACTCGCCATGTTGAGACGGTTCAAATCCAACTCGTCAACTACCTCTGTGACACCGTCCATAACGTCGACGCTCGTCAACCAACCGCAGAATGGTGAGTCACCTCCTCTGTCGCATAACTGACAGTAACAGTCCAGCCTGCTGTGTCGACGAGCGCAGCGAGGCCAAGCTTGTTCCGGCGTATCGTTCCCCCGAGCCTGATGGTCAACCAGGACCATGTTGATTACCTCGTCGGCCTCAGCTTCTCGCCTGACCTTGCCCGTCAAGCGGTGATAGACTCGAAAGGCGATCAAGAGCGCGCCCTCGAACTTGCAATCCACGCCTCCCACGGCCCTGCCGCTCCACCAGAGGACAACAAGGCAGACTGCAGGATCTGCGCGGCCGAAGTGGCCAACGCCGCCGAGGCCAGCCAGACTCTCATCGAAGTCCGCAAGCGCATGAACAGCGGCCGCTTGTCATGCGTCCATGTCCCCTTCCTCGAGGCACTGAGGCGGAAAGGCTTCCACCGTGAGATTGCCGCACGGGCACTGTACCTGTCGGGCGGCGACCTCAACGTTGCCAAGAAGTACAGCTTCCACATTCAACAAGGCCACATCCTGCTGAACGGCGCCTGTGATCGATGTGACGCCGCCTGGAGCCGCGTCGGGCCGTTGCCAGAAAGCAAGGAGAAGGCGGCCATGGACCGAAACGTGATCGCACAGGCTATGCGTGACGAAAACTCGCTGGCTATCCTCCGCGCATTGGGACATACACCTCAGGTTTCCAAAGTCGCTCTTCGTGACGGCAGAGGCGACCTGTTACTTGCGGCCGACCTTGCAGACCACATCTCGGCAGGACACAGTCGCAACCTGCCACAGCAACCGACTGGGTGTCTCGCGTGCATCGAGGAGAGGGGACGGGTCGATGCCGAAGAAGCACGGAAGCGCATGTTGGAGCACGACCGTCAAGTTACCAAGGCCCACCGTGCACTGAAAGGGCGAAAGTCCGGCGGGTGCAGTGGCGGCGGGGGCAGCACGGGGGGTGGATGTTCATCCAGCTGCGGGGGAGGAGGTTGTGGTGGTAGTTAACATGTCCGTCCTGCTGTCAATTGTACCTCTATAATGACCATTGTATTCATGTCCACAGTGTTGACCCGCTGCAATCCCCTTGCAAGGCGCCATGGTGGAGGAGGGAGCGAGGTGGTGTCGGTGGCGAGTGTTTCCATCTCAGCAACGTCGGCTCAGCACCCTTTACGTCACTACCAATCGGTTCTGTGGTCTGTAGAGTGGACATGATCCGGGGCGAGGTCAGGTGCTATCTCTTGGTGGCCGTACGGCTGACAGTGCTGTTCATGATTCGGCAGCAGTGACAATGCTTGCTGCTTGTCTGCAACTGTACGTCATCACCCTCCAGGTGCAAGTACAAAATCACGCACATGCCGCGGTTTGTCCCATCCCACATCCCGCACGGTTATCAAGATTGCCCTCACTTTGCCGTTCCGTCCCTACAAGACGCTCTGCGTGCACATACACTTGTGCGTCAGTGCCTGTTGCACCGCCTAAAAGTGCAAGTGGCTTCCCAGACCGGAGTTGCAGGACGGTCTTTGGCTCAGCACAGCTCGGGTCTGTCGGCTAGATAGAGCTCTTTAGTTGCCGTTCCTAAGGTCCTCAAATCGTGGAGTTGGCTGTGCTACGCTCGGATCGTTCACAACACCGCCCGCGCCTACCTTGTCCAATGCCACTGCCAAGAGACCTGACCCATTGTGTTTGAGCCACGAACGTGATTCCTTCTGGTGAGGGCGATGCAGACATGCTATTCCAACCGAGACAGGTCCGACCAATGTTGAAACGAAACACGTCGCAGGGTGTTGCGCAGCCCAGGAGTTCAGTGTTGATGGCGGCTGTCCCTTTGATCCCTACAACGTCTATGGCATTTAAACATCCCCTCGACATTGTCCAAGTGTTTCCCTCAACCCTCTCTACGTCCTGCACCACCCCACATCCCATTCAATCTCGCACCAGCGATCATGGTTGTGTCGCTGAAGCGCAACTCGGTCGCTTCCACCTTGACGCCGACGCTGGTCGACAGCCGTGGCCAGAATGGTTTGTCGCCATCAGCGACAGGTTCACCCACTGACAGACCAGCCGCACCGGGTGAACTTGCCTCAGGAATGAGCATCCCAAATCCGTCCAGGTGGAGCCGCATTGTCGGTCCCAGAGTCAACGACCAGGACCTCCGAGCTCTCGAAGCCTGTGGCTTCCCCCGCACTCTTGCTCGCAATGCCCTCATTGGTGCGCAAGGTGACCGCAACCTTGCCCTTGAGCTTGCCACCCACGCTGCTCACGCCGACAAGCCTACCGAGAAGACGGCGGCGGCGTGTCCGGTCTGCCAGTGGCGTGCGGCGGAAGCAGCCAGGATGGCCGCCATGGTCCAGTACGTCACAAAGCGCATGAACACTGGCCGTGAGGCTGCGATCCACTTCCCCCTCCTCCAGACCCTCAAGAGGAAGGGCCACACAGACATTGTCGCCGCACGTGCCCTCTACGACTCGGGTGGCAACCTCGAAGAGGCGTACGTGCTTGCCCAGCATGTCACAGGCAGCCACTACCCCAAGTACTGGTCTTTCGACCATTGCACCGAATGCCAGAGGGAGGCAGGCAAGGCCGACGATGCGTCCACCTCCGACTCCAAAGCGGATGTCAGCAAGCCCACCATAGCAGAGAAGGAGTACCACCCGATCCTCCTCGCCATGGGCCACACCGACGTGACTGCCAAGATCGCCCTCAGTGTGTCAAGCGGTGACATCTTCCGCGCTGCCGACCTCGCCAACCACCTCACGCAGGAGCATCTCAAGAACCTGCGCACGGTATGCCTCGCATGTGTCGAGGAGCGGAGCCGCCGGGGGATCGACTCGGAACGTTTCAGGAAGGAGCAGGAGGACCGTGCTGAACGTGAGCGTAAGGCGGAGGCTGCGCGAGTCGCAAAGATACAGGCTCGCAGGCTTGTACACTTGACCAACTACTCCAAGTCCAGGTCAGAAGCGGCTGTTGGGTACTCGGTCACGAACAACCCCGGTCTCCTTGGAGTTACTGGTATTGGGTACAGCGGTGGTTGTGATACCGCCGGTGGACACCACGGTGGTCACGGAGGCAGCAGCTCCGGAGGCGGCGGTGGTAACACCTCGTCCTCGGCTTGTGCGAGCAGCTCGTGTGGGGGCGGCGGCTGCGGCGGAGGCGGCGGCGGTGGCTGTGGAGGAGGAGGCTCTTGAGCATGGCTACAACGCACTGCTGTGGCACAATGAAGTTTTGATATATGTTTGTAATGTCCTTATGTATCGCCTCCTCAAACTTGAATAGCTGTAAGCAATCCTCAGGTCAGTGCGCATGGTGTACGCAGGGGTCAGTGGATTCAGTGTCACCGTAAACACCATTTGTTCCAAATTTTGAACGGCCTGCAACATGCATTTCTCCCCAGTTAAGAATGTGACGATCACGCCTGCTCCAAGCCAGGGGGAAGGGTATAGCCTCCCAGTTTGCGAATGGAGTCGAAAAGCTGCAACGATCAGTCCTTGCTCTCCTCCCATCACTCACGCCAAGGACGAGTGCCGTCTCTGAATGAGGCATGGTCGCGTTCTGGAGCTCGCTATCTGTCTCTGTCAGGAGGATACCTACGCCATTCAGTCCCACTCCACATACCGCGCAAGGACCGCGCAACACTGTCCGCTTCAAAGTACAGCCCAAAACCAGGCCCAACGTCGGCGTCCACCTTGACGGGCTCCTTCCACTTTGTGATGAAGGGCGCGGGGTCCTGGTCAATAATCTTGATGGTCATGCCCGAGGGACGCGAGAGGTGGCCATGGAGGACGATCTCTCTACGGGGTCAGCGGGCCTACACTGACATGAGTACTCACCCCTTGGTGCCAACGATCACACACGGCTGGTCCTTGGGAGAGTTGTATGCGATACTGGTCGACATGATGGCCTTGGCGTCAATCCGGGGAAAATCAAAGCTAAAGCTCGTGCTCTGGTCCGTGCCCTGGCGAGTCTTGAGCATGGATGCCGATAGGTGTTCAGGAGGCGACATGTGGTTGTCCGGGTTCTCATGCAGCGCGATGAGGGCAGGGAGCATGGCGTAAGCTCCGAGATCGAACATGGCGCCGCCTGCAGCCTCGAGAGCGATCGTGCGGTGCGTGTCCGGAAGGGCTGCATTGTCAACCCACGGTGCTCAACTCTGGCACTCACAGTTGTAAAACGCCATTGAGAAGTCCGATTGCACGAACTTGATGTCACCGATAAGCTTGTCTTTGTGGAGAGCGTCACGCAACTTGGAGGTAAGAGGCTGGAACCTCGTCCACAGTCCTGTGAGTGTCAACGTTTGCATTTGGCCCTGGACCTCACCTTCCATCAAGAAGACACGCTTCTCCTCGGCAAGTGCGGTGAGTACCGCCCACTCAGCAGCGTTAAGGCATGCTGGCTTCTCGACGAGCACATGCTTGCCCCTGAGGAGAGCGGCTTTGGCAGCGGTAAAGTGGGACTGGTTGGGGGTGCCGATGTAAATGATATCCACGTCCTTCTTGTCAGCTCGAGTCCACGAGCATCTGCGACCTACGGGATGGTCGTAGACTTCGTCGTATGATCCACAAGGCTGAGGCTTGGCGCTGTACACGCCTTCAACCTGGGCACGCGCACCCTGAGGCATGTTCTCGGCAATGAACGCTGCGGCCTTTGCCTTGTCACGTGATCCTACGGCCACAACTGCATGCGAGACGTCGGTCACCTCTGGGCGGATGAAGGCAAGGTCCTTGCAGAACTCTGACGAGATCCACCCGCATCCGATGATGCTGGTATGTGAGTATGTGAGGAGGATGGGAGGGAAGGCTGGTGGTGAGCCGGACTCACCCCCACTTGGCGACAAAAGGCTGCGCTGGCGAGTCTGTGATGGTCATGATATGGGAAGGGGGTCAATTGGACAGAATGAGACAAGGAGTTGTGGGTTGTGGGCTATCCATGGTGACAACAATACTTTCTGCTCTTATGGAGGGCAGTAACGGTGGTCCAGTGGTCCGGTGATGACAAGGGCACATGTCAACAAGCAGCAATGCAGCGAAGCAAACCGTATGCCGCTGGTGTTGCATGTGGGCGCGGTGGGCAGAGACCGGTATTTTTCCGCTACTGCTTTATTTATCCGCTGTAAGTTTGGTTCCGGCAGGCCGACAGTCGGACCCTCCGTGACAGGGTGGGGGCAAAAACTCGGATGCTCGGATGTGTGTCTGGTGGTGGTGGTTCTCGGCCGTTCAACAGCGATCTGCCCAGCTGCTGCCGACAGTGGTCGCCGCAGTCTATCAGTAGTGCGTTCGTTCCACCATTCCAGTTGTTGCGGCCTTTGGTGAACACCACATGGTGTCGCTCTGTCCTCACTTTGCACTCCATCCATTGGTCCAAGACCGACATACGAGCCACATCCATGGCACCTCCTAGGGCGTGAGTCGCGGAGGCTGGGACTCCCCGGGTTGACCGACATTGCCCCCCCGCCCCTGCCTTGCTTGAGCTGACTTTCACAGTTGTATTCTCTGTCGCGGTATCAAGGTTAGCAATAACTCACCTCGGGACTAGACGCTGAAGCGGACAGGTCAGATGCGTAAACAACGAGGACTATGACCAACCCTGTGAACGTTGTCGTGAGTTGTCATCGTTGGCCAAGGCTAACTGGGAGGCCGACTAGACTTACCATGCGCCTACCAGCGGACGCGCCGAAACTTCAAAGACCGATCACGGTAAGTCTCTAACAGCAGTTTTCATAATCTATTACTAACATGGCCCACGAAGCAACGATGACACTCCCGTGCGCCTTGCTCCAGCTCCCCCATCTTTCCCCAATTCGGAATCTGGGCCCCAAGTGGTGGGAGTGACACGGTCCACCGATGGCTGCGCCTGCGACCCTGTGGAGGCTTCGACTAGCTCCAACGCCGTCGCTTCAGTCTCACCACAGTCTTACGTGCCCCTGCTGATGGAACACCCATTTGTTGGCTTCAACAGACACGGCACCGACGGCCAGGCAAGGACTACCATTCCGAGTGCCTCACCCTCATCCAGCGGCTTGACACCTTCAGTCCGCAATGTTCACTCCCCCAAGGCCACGTCTGTGTTGGAGATGGCCCATACAGTCCCACCCCCACAGATGGCGGGAAAGAAGCGCTCCTTGCCTGACACGGATATGTCAGGTCTCAATGTAGCACTGCGTCGGCGGCGAACGGTACCAGACACTTTGGCAACGTCCTCGGTCTCACAATCACAGGCCGAATCGAGTGATCACGCCCGGCGAAGGCTTGTAGATGACCCCGGTGAGTAAGCCAATACGTAACACAAGACATTACTGACATCGTATAGTCAGCAGCGGCTACATTGGCGAGCACGAAGCAATTCGACTTGTACAACTGTGAAGTGATGATATGCCGCTGGCGGCTAACATTCTCAGCTTCCACGAGTGCCTCAATCCTCCTATTTCCCTTCTGGACCCAGACTGTAAGAAAGAGTCCATGTTGCTGTTCTAACTTTAGTACACACCTACGACTACCTGCGGGACTCGTCATCGGTTCTGTTCTCTGCCGTTCTCGCCGCATCGTGCAAGTTTTTCCGCAAGGAATCGTACCCGCTCCTTCACACACATTCACAGCGCCTGCTGAGTATTGCCATTGAACAAGGCACTTGTCATAAAACCATCGTGCAAGCAACCCTAATCCTAGTTTACTGTATGTACTGTGCCGAGGCGAGAACTCATCTCCACCAGGGAAACAACCAACCGACCAAACGGCCTGGATCAAGATTGGACTCGCAATTCGCCTGGCATACCAACTTGGATGGCATAAGCAGCAGCTAACTGGTCCTGTCGATGACCTGCAGGAGTATAGGGAGAAATTGGCAAGTTATATTGACACAAACAAAATATGCTAATGGTGGCAGGATACGGAAAGGACTTGGTTTTGTGAGTTGTGGTTAACAGGGATATGTACTTGGACTGACACGAGCCTCAGGTTTGGCCGGTAAGACTCCTCCAAAGAATTATGGACTTGGGCTAACGACTGGTACGAAGCTTTTGACCACACGTGAGTTGCCCGCAGACAGTGACAAGTAACACAAAGACTCATGTTGCAGCTACTCCACACTCTTTGACCTCCCTCCTACTCTCCGTCTGAGAGAGATCGGTGACGTAGGTACACACGACCGTCGGTGGGCGCTGATTCCAGTGCGAGCAATGGGCTAGACAACACACACACCTAAGCGTCGTCGATATCGACCTGAAGTTAGCTTGGTCCCTCGAGTTAGTCCTTGCCATGTGTTTTCGACCTATATTAACCCCGCAGAATGCTCCGTATCGGCAGTTTGTGTAGGGATGGCATGTCAGAGTTCGAAACAATAGGCGCAACTCAATCCCTCATGCGACTCGAGCGAGCATACGACCTGATGCGTGCTCTTATGAAGAAGTGGCAGATGTTTGGTAAGTGCCCTGTCTGTTTTGACCGATTCCGATTTGACATCCCTTCAGATTACGGCGCCAGCCAGACTGTCAAGGGGTGCATCACGACCTACAGTTTCATGGAGATTGCCTCCGTCCGGTTTCGCATGCTCGACTTTGTTCAGCCTGTAGAGGTTGAAAGTGCAGTTGTCGACTGCCTCCAGTGGTCCATAGACGCCATTAGCGAACTCAGGAACGCGGAGCACACCATGCCCTTTCTCCAGGATGTTCTCTCAGCCCGCCTGGCTTCAGTGGGCTCGTCCCTTCATGTAGTGAGTCGCACACAAGCTAGATCCCGTTTTCACTACTCACCCACGGGAAGCTGTATCGCAGGGTGTCAAAGTCGCAACAGCGGCTCATTGTGTCTCTCCTGAAGGAGCTGCACCAAATCTGCTCCAGAGTTTCAGACGACGAACCAGAATCGGCAATGGCCTTTGTCTCGAGGTTCTTTGAGAACCTGCTCGCATCGTTCAGCAACCTTTCGCGGCAGGCCAGCCGGCGATCATCCCCAGTGCCCGCCGCCAAGACACAACCACACGTTCCGGGCGTTCCCGCATCCACCACCTCGGCCGAGGACGTGGACTTGCATGTCTTGGTACGTTTTCAGGTCCTATCAACACTAACCCCCAGCTGAACCTTCCCGATGGAGCGTTGGACGATGTACTCGATCCCAACTGGACAGCGCTGGATGAACAATATTGGTGAGTGGACCAGACTCATGCCTTTCTGATGGATAGGACGTCGCTGTTTCGTACAATACCCGGCGACTGGAACGACTTCATTTCTTCATAGATGATATTATAGATGATGGTATTTGGTTAACAGCTCGTGCCAAGCCAATGCGCAGCTAAGCCAATGCGCAGCTCTCCCCGCCAGTTTCCTGGTATTCCCCATTGACCAAAGTGGGCTCCACCTGGACAAGTGGCTGGACATGTGTGCCGCAGTGGGCAGCCGCCCCGGCCGACGATCACGACACGCGGTGGGCACAGGGAGTGGTTTTTCCGGTAAAGACCATGGCCTGAAGGGATTTAGATAGTGTGTGGGGAGTGTACCGCGTGAATAAAACCCAAAATGGACAACTATCGGTTAAATGTATCGGCGGAGGCCGGCCATAGCGACACCGACACTGCTACTGCAAAATGGATATCGCATCCTCTTGCTCTGATCCAGTGATGTCATGGTGGCTGATGTGTTGCGGATGCCATGAACAAACAATCTTGGGGCCCATTTTCGAGCGCTTCCTGATAGCATTTGATCCATGATACATTTCAGAGTGACTACCTACCATCAAACTGTCACCATTGCGTCCATGATCATCTTGAACAGCACAAGGTCCTCTGTAGCTGGATCATGTCAGTTTCCACTCTCGTTATAGGCGGCTTCTGCTCCCACTTACCATCCACGACGCTCGTCTTGACCTCTGCCCCCTGTGTCAGGCTCGCGTACAACGCCTTGTACTCGAGGGTAAAGGCATCCTCGAAAGTGGGGCGGATCACTTCCTCGCTGTGGTCGCCATTCTCGAGGCTGCGGAGAATGGTGGTCGTAATAGGCAAACCCTTGACGTACGGTCTGGCACGTCAGTGTTAGAACAATCGCTTTAGGTCTTGTGTGGATCAAGCTCTCCACATCAACAAAGTATACTCACGTGTCGTACGTGACCTTGAAGTGCCTGTCCTTGGCATACACCTCGATGTGCGCGTCAAACTTGCGCACGTTGTCAATGCCCATCTCGTAGTATGTGACAAAGCCGGGGCTGAAGTCAGCATGTGCCTGCCCGCCGTGGCAGACGTACTATTGCATCGTGACCCAGACGAAAAGACCATCCGGAGAACGGACAGCGCTGAGGATACGCTGTGGCATTCCAACAAGCTCGCGCAGTGCGCTCAGGTCGTGCGATGCCAGACCGTTCAGGAGCATCCATGTCCGCTGGTCGAGTTCGTTTCCGGCCTTGACACCCAGTGACTGGGCGAGCTGCAGCTCTGAGAGCTTGCCACGCTCAGCACCCGACCCGGCAGGGAAATCGGTAAACTTGAGAGGGAAGGTCCCCGACTGTTCCACAAACAAGTCGTTCTGCAGGGTCAGTCGACGAACGGTCAAGCTTTCATTGACGCCGATCCGACAGCTGCAAGTTGCACTGACCATTCCGATGATGTCCCGCACGCGGATGTAGTTGATGTGGCCACTGGCCACCTTGCTGAGCTCCTCCTTGACACGGAGGAAGGCAGTAGCGTAACGACGCATGTAACCGACAAAGACTACCTTGCCACTGGCCACGCGCGCGGCCTCGATGTCGTTCGCTCCTTCGACGGTCATCGCCATCGGCTTCTCAATGAAGACGTTCTTGCCTGCCTTCAAGCACTGCACAGCGTGGATGGCGTGGTATTCGCTGCCCTGTCAGCATTACGCCAACCAGCTACCAAGCAAGCCACCCACTTGGCATTCATGATCATGACAAGTTCCACCTCGGGGCAATCCGCAAGCATCGCGTCGCTGTGTGTAAGTTGACGAGCGGCATCAAGCGAACTAGAGCTCACACAGTAGTGTATGTCTTGGGGACATGGAACTTTTGGCTGCAGTGCGCGAGGGCCTGTTCGGAGATGTCCACAAGGGCCACTGGCTTGAACATGTGCGAGCACAAGGTGAGAGTAGGGAGGTGGGTGTTCATGGCAATCTCGCCGACGCCGATGAGCTATGCATGTCAGTTCACCTGTTGTGATCCGTATTGACTCACGGCGACGGGGATCACATGGGCCGGCGAGGCGGTAGACTGGGTGATGGCCATCTTTGAAGCAGGTAAAAGGTCTTGGGAGCGGTGTGGAGTTGGCCTTCAGTTCATAAGACAACATGGGTCTTAATATCATGACATCACGTGTGGTATCGCATATCGCCGGTCACCCGTTGCATGCCATTTGGGTGCGTGGACGATCGTGGGAAAGGAACTGTGGAAAAACCACCCGCACCGGCCAACGGTCACCGGTACCGGAGAAAAGCCAACATGTCCAGCACACACGCCCTTGTAATCGGCTACTAGAATGCCCCTCGCGGCGTGGCGAACGGGGGTTCCGGACCGGTGCTCATGGCCCCGGGGTCTCGGCATGTGGAGCACTTCCGGAGAACCTTGTTGTGGATGGGGGCCACGGTGGGGAAGCCCTGTTGGAAGGTCGGACATGTGCCCAATAAACAATCACACAGGATTCTAGCTTTATCCGACAACATTCCGCAAGCATGGCCCACTTCCAGTCTCTTTACCCCACAGGGCCACCGCCCTGTTCAAGCTGCGCAAACTTGACTTTGGTGAGTGGTGCCAACTTGTCACAGCCTCGCTTGGCGGCTTGCTCTTCCGGCTAGGTCAAAACGAGTCAGGACCAGGAGCAACGTGCCAGCAATATATAACAGCAAAGACGAAGCACCTTGATGTTCACAACAACGACACAATGCCCTCTACCTACAACGGAGTTGAGAACAACACCCATCCATCGTGCGTGCCAAGTTGGCGATCGTATTCCTTCGCACGGTACCTAACTTGCCAGATGGTGGAAGGACCCTGGCCTCCGCTGGAACGTCCTCTGGGTCATGACCACCGCGATGGGCCAAGTCGTGGGCGGCTACGATGGCTCGCTCATGAACGCCCTTCAGGCCGTTCCAAAGGTGTGTTCCCATAACACATATGTCAGTGGCACTAACGTGGTAGCTGTTTGAGGCATTCCCTCGCCTGGAGGATTCCAACATCCTCGGTGTCACCAGTGCTCTTCTCTTCCTTCCCGGTCTTGTCGTCCCGTTCCTCGCTGCCTGGCTCGCGGACACTGTTGGACGCAAGATTCCCATTCTCGTTGGCATGAGTGGTGTTGTCGCTGGCGGCATTATCCAGGCGACTGCGCAGAACCTCGGCCAGTTCATGGCGGGCAGGTTCGTAATGGGAACCTTCAGCTGCATCGGCGCCGTCGGTGGTCTTTCGCTGTGTGCAGAGTTGTCCCAGTGAGTGTTTTTCCTCGGAATGCCGCTTACCCCCAGCCCCCGTTTCCGTTCCCAGGCCACATCCATGCAGATCTCCGTCTACTACGTCGGCTCGATCTTGTCGTCGTGGGTGACCTACGGCTGTCTCCAGCACCTTCCCGACTCGCACTGGTCGTGGCGCGCGCCTGTCCTGATCCAGTGTGCATTCCCCGCCATCATGCTTGGGTTCCTCATCTTCATCCCTGAGTCCCCCCGTTGGCTCATCGCCAAGGGACGGACTGAAGAAGCACGCAAAATCTTTGCGAAGCAGCACGCCAACGGTGACGAAAACGACCCACTTGTCAACCTCGAGGTGGAGGAGGTGCACATCGCTCTTGACGCCGAGCGTTCAAACAAGACTGGATGGTCCGCTCTGTGGGCGACCAAGGGAAACCGCAAGAGGATGTTCATTGTCATCACCACCGCTGCCGGTGCCCAGCTCAACGGTGTCGGTATTATCAGGTACGTTACACCCTCGTCAACGTGAGACTGAAGCTAATTCGCCGCAGCTACTACTTTGTGCCCGTCCTCAAGTCTGTCGGTATCACCTCGTACCTTTCGCAGAGTCTGATCTCCGGTGGCATGAGCATCTCCAACCTCTTCTTTGCCGTTGCGGCGGCGCTCCTTGTTGAACGCCTCGGCCGTCGTACCCTCTGGCTTGCGTCAACTGGTATGATGCTTATCACTCTCGTCATCGTCACTGTTCTCTCGGCCGAGTTCCAGAAGGGCGAGTCACCGGCAATCGGCGGTGCGACCATCGCCTTCCTGTACCTCTTCTACGCCGGTAAGTAACACCGACGTCTGACTTGGCAGACACTGACGTGTCTCAGGATACGACCTTGCATGGTCTCCCCTCAACTCGGCGTACACTGTCGAAATCCTTCCGTACACTATCCGCGCCAAGGGCCTGGCCGTGTGGAACAGTGTCACGTACGTGACCCTCTGCATCAACACCTGGGTGAACCCCGTCGCGCTTTCGGCTATTGGATACTACTACTACATCGTGTACATTGGTATTCTCACCTACCTCTGTCTCATCATCTACTTCGTCTACCCCGAGACCCGAGGGTACGTAAAACACTTCTGAGCTCCCGCTGACATCCAGACGCACGCTTGAGGAGGTCGCTGAGGTGTTCGACAAGGACTCGCCTTTGACCTCGCACCACCACGAGGACATTGAGGGGCTTGGTAACAAGGGCGGTGACGTCGAGATGTACGAGGGCAAGGAGAATTAAGGATTGGACGGGATGTAGGGGCTGCAAACAAGGGAAGGGTTCAAGGTGGATGTTGTCAATTAGGATGGACCGATGCAAAGTTGTTGCCGGTCACTAAACTTGAATCATCCCGGTTATAAGTCGGGCGGAGCGTGGCACCCGCAAGACAATTTCTCTTATTTAATTTGAATTTTGTGGCACCTGACGCCGATCCCCGCATCCGCTGGAATCCTGCGCCGAGGTGAATCGTGCATGCTTGACATCTCGTATTACAGTACGCTGCCAGATTCAGACTGTTAGGCCGCATACTTATAGGTGTATTCAGTACACTATTTCGGAGCGGTTCGGCGACAGTGCGTTGGGACTCTCGGAGGAGACCCATACATTGGAAGTGGCCGTTAGTCCTAAGTCTGGATAAGGCTTTATTCCCGTATCAGGGTAATACTCAACCAACCGCTTCCGCCTTGGTATGACACCTCCCGTCGCTTCCAAGTTCTGTTATGGATTGTGGAAACATGAGTCGGTAAGTGGGTTGGACAAAAGAAACGATAAAAGGGCCGTTTTTCAGCTTTGGTGGCGGGCCGACACTACTCCGTCCAAACTCCAAACTTTCATCCACGTTGCCCGTGCTAGGTTGGAACAGAGCTAGTTCCAGTGGTGCACGGATTGTCCTATGCGCCATGGGTCACAACTCACCACGTTCAAGGGGTCTGAAGACAGTACCGATGTACCAAGTGGCCCAGCCATTGTCCGACTGTGGCACCGCATATCCCGTATGTCCATTTTTTTCGATTCTGAACCTTCGCCCCTGTCGATCTCACTTTTGATCTCATTTTATGAACCCGACCCATGCTGGGGCCTGGGTGCACGTGAACCGCACGTACATGCATTGCTGTGCCAGTGCAGACACTTGCGGTGATGCCCACTGCGGCATAAACAGAAGAAGAAACAGACGAATGGCGCCACTCTTGCTGTCGGAAAACTGTTGGTTTTCCACCGCGGCGGTGCTTCGACTCTGCGTCCACGCGGTAGTCGAGACACATCGTTCGATCCAGAACCCCATTCAACTCCCAAGACCAACATTAGCACTCCGTTTCCTATGGCTCTCCTACATGAGCCGTTGTTTACTTTACACGTCCGCTGAGCCTAGGCACCCGCTCAAGCTCACTGCGGTTGGGCAGGACGGCGCACTCGTCCTCGCTGGTGGCGACTTCAAAGTAAAGTTCAGCCTCCAATCCGTACCCAAACTCCGACGTTCTGGCCTGTCCGATGATGGATCGACAGGCTGAGAGGAATGGTGTCGTCGGACGGGGCGGTTACTCACATCGTTTTTGCACTAAGTGTCCTTTTCGGCGCTACCGGCTCGGCGTGGCGGCATGGCGGCACCGCGGTCCGTGCCGGCTCCGAACCCAAGTTTCCCAACGGCTCGGCCCATTATGCTGCCTACCGCAACCTCGGCACCACCACAAACTTCACAAGGAAATTCGTACCTCGGTGGGTGTAAAAGAAGCAGAAGCAGAAGCAGAAGCAGCAATTCATTCCCCCTGGTGCCGAGGTACTGGCGTGGATTGTTCGATGCTGTCGAACTCCCACCCGTGTGCCACCAGCGGCGTGCTCTTAACAGTGGAACCTGGGCCTCGTGCAAGGCCGTCTTGGTCGGGAACATCGCTGGGGCTCCCCCATGTGTCGTCCACCTGTTCTGGACCCCCGGGGACTGCAATGAGGACCTCTAAATCACTGTGGGGGCCGGTGGTTCGGCGCCACGAAGAATCCCACCTGGTGAATTTTCGGGAATCCAGCGCAGCTGATCACCGCCGACGCCAAAGCACTGACCTGGAACGCAGATCATAACTTCAGTACGTTGCACGAACAGCTGTACCTGGGACCTTCCCAAGGAAGATACCGTAAAGCATCTTGCATTGCGAAAGATGGACTTCCTAGCTTTTGCGGTCCCTCACAACGTAGTTGGGCCGGTCACGTCGCGCCAAATGTCTCTGATAATCTGTCTTTTTTGTGGGGCAACGGGCAGATCAGATCTGAGACTGCGTCTGCCCACGCTGACCCATCTCTCGGCTCCTTCTTTATCTGCTGTCCCCCCAGTGGCTACTGCTGCAGGCAACTTGCCGACAACGGTAGTTGGACTCCTTCGGCGGTACCTTTACAAGTGCCCCACGCCTGCAAGCAATTCGAGGGTAGCGCCCAGTAAGGCTGTCTCTACCGACGCTCGGACGTGTCGAAGACAACAGTGCACCCTTATGTGACCAGTGCATTCTGTGCTATGGTCATGTGGTGTTTGCTTGACTGCGCAAGTGTGTCCAACCAAGAGAGGAGCGAGGAGGAGAAAAAAAAAAACAGTGGCTGCGCACCGTGCGGGGGTGGCGCCGTTGCTGTCACGGCAGTAAAACAGAGGCGACAGGTCGAAGGCCAAACTCGCGTCCACCGGCGCGTCGTTATGGTGGCGTGGTGGCGGCCCTCTTTGGAGCGATCTGGGTCGCCTAGAGTCCTTTGGGCCTGTTGCGTCCTTTGTGTTTCGGCGGTGCGCACCCGAAAGATGCAGACTAGCTGCGCGACGGCCATCACATCACAGCACTCATTCCCGCTTTGGCCGCGTTGCACAGCCTACATGCCGACAACGGCACGTCGGAGCGCCATCACCGCACCCGCCGTCCCGCACAGGCTGCACACCCGGGTGTTCGAGTTGACTCCGCGCCGCCGACTCCCACGCACGCGGCGCACAGGCTCGATATTGGCGTTATTGGGCGCGACAGTTGGATGAGTTTTCGGCGGTTTTGGTGGGTGGAGGAGAGCTGTTGCGGGGGGTTCCGCCTGGCCCGGATGTCCGGAGTCCAACTGTGGGCGCTGGTCGGGAGTCCCCACGGGCCAAACGATTGCAATGGCTTCGGCACGCACCGGGGAGAGATATCTGCATTCCAAGATCCGCAAAAGCTGGCTGATACAGCCTCAGGAAGTGGACGGACACATTTTCTTGGTTCGCACGTCGAAACGTCTCCGGGTCGCCAGGTGGAATGTGAATGTCGCTAGACGCTCTTTGTACCTGTTGTCTGCAAGCGAGCGTCGACTACGGATATCTTTCCAGATCCATGCTATTACCGCCTTCATTGAGCTCGCACCTGGGCGGTCCGTGTTAGCTCATCCTACCCTCAGTCGTTTGGGTAGAGCAGCACGGTTTCGCCAAGACACCGTGACCGCGCATTCCAGGACCCGGCACATTATTTTGTCGCGACAAACCGAATCGAGCCGAAACCTGGTCGTCCAAAACGCCAGAACAAACGCCATGCAACCGCAACGCCAGAGCACGGCCATGCAAGCCATAGCACAAGCCATGGCCAGCCGTGGAAACATGCTACGTGCCTATGCACCTCGTGTGTCCTGGCACTGATGCCCACATGATGGGCATACATTAGGAGGACCCCTCGAAGACTCAACAAGGCCTTCGTCCCACCCCGTTCACTCTTTTTTCTTGTTGCCTCTCCTGTGATCTCTCACCGATCGCTGATCACTGTCATTATGCCTTCACAACAGACTCGTAAGTCTCGCACCTCAACTCCAGAAATGTTTGCTCACCACATTAGTCTACCCCACGGGTCTCTACCCCGCCCCCATTCAGTCCCCCGTAGCCCCCAGTGATGGTTCACCGGAGCCACTATGGAAGCGTGTCTTTGGCGGCCACGACACTGCTCCCCTTCCTCCGGTCCCTCAGCGCCAGGCGTCTGGCCACCAGCCAAACCCCAACAAGCACGCCGAGCCCTACCGCTACGTTCACGAGGACGACTTTAGCTTCAACGACTTTGTCGAATACACTCCTCCCACTTTGCAGAACCCTCAGCACCGCGACAAGGGTCCAACACACCACACTTCGTACAACGAATACAGCCCTCCCAACTCTGCTCGCGACAAGTCTCCGGCGGCTGCCAAGGCTTATGGCGATTTCAGCTCCACCAACTCTGCCCGTGAAGAGTACCTCGCGGCAGCAAAGGAGCAGTACATTGCTGAGCAGCGCAAGAGGTACATTGCCAATGCTCGCGGCCAGCCAACCGACAACCTGACCCCGGAGGAGGCCAAGCAGCGCGCCAGGGAGCGGTACATTGCCAACGCCCATGGCAAGCCAGCCCCGCCTCCCGTTCACGCCGCCCCGTCGTACAGTGCCCAGCCCCCACCTTACTCGGCGCCGGCGCCAGCGGCCCCCATCACCTCCCCGCGTTCAACCCACGGCCACGGCCATGCCCCGCGTTCTCCGCGCGTCCCTGCAGAGTACCCTGTCCAGGCTGCTCCCCTTGCCCCTACTCGGAGCCACACGGCCCCAGCCCATGTCGCCCATGTCGTCCCCCTCACCCGGGCCACCACCCGGACCGCCCCTCCCCCACCTACCCCCGCGCCGCCCATTCCAGTGGCTTTGCCCAAGAAGGTCGACCCCATCATGACCGTCACCGAGCTCGCCAACTGCACCCCCAAGGTCGCCAAGAAGGCGCTCAAGGAAGCCAAGGGCGACGTGACGCGCGCATCGCACATTGTCAAGCATGCCAACCACCCCAAGGGCCGCGGCCACGAGACTGGCTGCAACATCTGCGCCGAGAAGGAGTGGAAGAAGATTGAGGAGGAGGAGCGGTTCCAGGCAGAGCTCAAGCGCATGGCCGATCTCCGCCGTATGCGTATCGCCACCGCCGTCCCTGGCCAAGAGCACCTGGCGGCCATGGGCTTTGTGCCTCCTCGCAAAGAGTTCCTGGACCAGGCGGGCCTCGGACACGCAACGGGCGGCGGGGGATCGTCTGCTGGAACCCCCTCGATTCATTCTCGCTAGGGCGGTGGTGGTGGGCGATGGTTGGTGATAGGGAGCTCCTGAGGTCTCTTACAGGTACAGCCCATTGCAGGGCGCGCTGCGCGGAGCGGCGCACCTTTGGAACGCCGCCAGTAGAGCCGAGACGGAGGCGTTGTTGGACTCAGCTATAGCTCCTTAGCAATTAGCGGCGTCCAGGTTGTGAGTGGTCTGAGATCCGAGGTGATTTAGTGTCGTTGCTGCAGGTTTCATATAGGTTTCTTAGGTTTCTTAGGTTTTACCACAGGGGGCGGGCGGCTTGTTGCGCCCCTCAATGCTACATAGGTAGTTATAATGGACATCGTGTTGTATTGGCATCGTCGGCTACGTGCTCGCGCGCTCGTGATGCGTGATGAAGGGAGGCCTACCGCCTAGGCCGGCGGAGAGGCTTGGTACTTGACACTTGATGGGGGATTCTACGTCGTGGGAGTACGCAGGAGTCGCGGGATGAGACTGATCGTCAGCTTTCCGTCTTGTCCTTCTGCGACTCACAGCTCCTTGTAGACGATGATCATGCCTTTGGTGATACCCAGCACGATCTGAACGGGGAGGACGACCATGAACGTGATAAAGGGAAGGACGAGGGCCAGGAGGGCGTAGAACCAGGCAAAGAGTTCGGACTGGGGCTCCTCGGGCGGCAGAGGAGGGAGCTCGGCATGGCTGCGACGAGGGGTGAGAGGGGTGTGGGGCATGGCCGCCGTGCCGTGTGAGGTGGGCTTGGCCGCGTTGCCGTTCATTTTGGTTGTGCGGCGTTGGTGGGTGTTTGTTACGGAGGAGGGTTTGAAGCGCAGTGGATGATGATGGCGAGGGTTTGATGGGGATGCATTTGAATGTGGCTGGTGGTCGGTGGGGAGTGAGTGATGAGACAGATGTGTTTGTTGTTGGGTGGCGAGAAGGGTCGCACCATTGTTTGGTTCTGCACAGACGCCCCCAGTTTGATCCACACTGTACACTGTTGTGCCAGCCCCAACAACATTGACAACACCATGCACTCGCCGTGCAGCAGCGCGTCTCGTTCGAACCAGCCCTTTTGTGACCGACCGTGTCTTAGCTCTTGCCACCCGTATCGGAGCAGTGCTCTTGGACGGGGGCCCAAGTGTCCCATGCATATGTACAAAGATGGCCAACAACGCGACTCAGAAGTGACCGTCTTGGCATACTTGGTGGCCGTGGTAACGTGTGGTGGGGGCGGCGCGCGGCGCGGCGGCGGGGGTGGTCTGTGCGTGGTACAAAAAGGTGGACTCAGTGATCAGTGGCCAGTGGCCAGTGACCCGGTGGCTTGGCAGAAGCAGACCCGCAGAAGCACAGTGGGTGGCCGCACTGGAGCTATCGCGCTATCTATGCATCGAGTGCATGCATTACACACTCTACGGCTTACCTCTACGTCCTCTACAGTAGTACATACCATTGGCCATGACATACCCGGCAGACGACGACAACCCCTGGACCTCTTTGGACGCCGTTCAACAAGTCACAAGACGCTCAAAGGAATACAAGATGGCCCTGGGGGAGATCAACAAACAGCGGGCAAAGGACAAGCTCAAGCGATTAGAAGACTTGCCTGTCGGACACCCACTGGCAGCATCTTCCTCACCGTCTGTTCCGACAGCCTCCTCATCGTCGCAGTCCACACCAGCCGCATCTTCATCTTCCGCACTTTTGACCCCAGCAGCGTCTACTCCACCGTCAACCACTGCGGGGACGTCCTCACCCCCAGCTGGTGCAGTGTCTGCCCCACCGCCAGCGACTCCCATAACGGTGCCAGAGAAGACGCGCGAGGAAATGTTTATCGTCGTATTCGAGCGTCTCAGTGACCTAATCCGACAGATCAATCAAACAGTTCAGCAAGTAAAGCGGAATGACCGGTCCTTATCAGACCACTCTGTGAAGGTCAATGCTGTCAACGAGCTTAACCGTCAAATCAAGGACATCAGAGACACGATTAAGGAATTATACGGCCTGGATGCCCCGCTTTCGAATAATGAGACGGCTGAGACTCTCACATATCGTCGCTGTTCCCTCATCGAGCTGAACGACCAAGTGCAAATGCTTTGCCACGTGATTGAGCACCAGTTGCAGATAGCTCGTACGGCCATCAAGGAGCCTCTTGGATCCTTCGGGCCCGCCTTCAGGGAGGTTCTTGACCAGGTCCGACAGCTTCATAAAGCCATTCTTTACATTCAACTGGAAGGCGACATTTTCGAAAACCGTGGCAAGGAAATCCTCACGGCCAAGAAGACCGAATTGGACAGACTCAAAGGACAAATCGTACAGCTTGAAGACAAAATTCTGAAGAGCCAGACGGAAAATCCCGGCCCCCTGGACATAAATTCAAGGTGGGGTAACATGTCGCATGACTACGTACATACTGTATGCTCACCAGTACTCCAGAGTCGTCTACGACGTGAAGCAGCCTCCATGGTATCAGAGATTGGGCAAGAACTTGTCAACAAGGATCGATATGTCTCTTACACCGTTCCCGCGTTATCCAGGAACCACTCCAGCGCTAGACATTTTGAACATTATCCTGGGTAAGTTAAAAGACCAACGTCACGGTGTACTTACATACAGCTGACCGCAACAGACATCACATTTTCGGCCTCACTCAGCTTGTACGCCAACACCCACATGTTTGCCAATATGAGAGATATCCTCAACTTCTTCGCGTATGTACCGAACTTCATGCCTCGTCTAATCCTCTTCAGGTACTACTCCGTCATTTTTGCCATGTGGTGGTCGCAGCGTCCCATCTGGGGTCGAAGTGTTCCTGAGATACACATTGCTATGACGTTTGTCAACATTGTTGCCTTTCTCTATATTGGCCTTGCCAGCGCAGGATGGGATTTAGTCGGTCTTACAACCTGGGACGCAGACCCGAACGATGTCGCATATGGTGAGTCTCCACGATCACCATTGAAGCAGCCGACTCATCCTTTCAGTACAAGCCATCGAAAGCTTTCAAGTGACTTTGGTGACCTTTGCAATTCAACGTCCGATACCCGTCCTAATAACGGCTCTGAAGAAGGCGAATATTGTGGCGCGGTGGCCCACCTTTACTGTTCAACGCCCCATACCCGTGCCAAACACGACTCTGAAGAACGTCAATCTCTTGCGGTGGCTCCCCCTTGCTGTTCCGCCCCTCACATCCTTCCTAACCTCCCTTCCGAATACGGTGAAACGCTTGCGGTGGCCGAATAGTAAGCGATTGCGCCTTCGGTTCTGGCGAGCGTGGCGCCGGCTTTACCTGCCTATGCACCAGAGGGCAAATTTGGCCGGTCAATCGCTTGAAGTCTTCTCTGTCCTTGCTGTCTGGGTTGCGCCAGGCCTCCACTCGGTAATTGGAAAAATCGCCCTAATGTACCTCGCCGTGCTCTTTGTCTTTGCAAGGTCATTTCTATCTGCTAGTAGTGTGGTCTTGAAGCGAGAGAATGCCGAGTTCCTTATACATGTAGGTTACTCGCAACGATTCCTGTCTGTGATTCGTGGACGGTACCACAAGGCCGGCAAACATTTGGGCAGTTGTGTGGTAAAACGACGTCGACAATACGCCTATTTACAAGTCGAGGCGGCTGCCGATCCTAAGCACTGTGACTCTCAAATCATGGTCGGAGAGATTCTGGCCTGCCTGCTTTTCCTTCAGGAGTGCAATGGGCAGCTTTTGCGGCGTGCCCATGCCCTATTCAAGCTCCTCAAACCTTGGTATGACGACCATGTCGAAATGGGCGAGGACGCGTCCTATAGTATTGTCAAGCAGCTCTATCAAATATTCAAGACCATGGACAAGCTGGATCAGGGGGCCAACCTCTTGTCGTCAAACCCTCCACATCGCGAGGGCAAACAAGCCGAGCAAAATAATCAGCTTCGCCCTCTCTCGTCGGACTGGACCGGGCACTGCAACATCGCCCGCAGCCTACACGTCGAGGTCCAGGAGATGATGGGCCATAACACCGCCGATGAGTCCAATGACGAGAACTTCACCCGCAAGGCCAGGAGGCGAACCTGGCGCCTCAATGTCCGAAAAGCTCTCGAGGGCCAGGAGTTACGATCACAAGACAACCGCTTCGCCGCCCGTAACGCACAGAACGCTGCAAACGGCAGACGAAGGGAGCGATTGCTGTCTCTGACTTTCATCATTCTGTGAGCGTTGTCCCTAGTTGCCTTTAAAGATTTCTGACATGGCACACAGAGGTGAAGGGTTGAACAATCTGACATCGCCTTTCGAAACTGCCCTGTCGATTTGGGGTGTGAAGTCTATATTCGTCTGTCAAATGCTGCTAGGTAAGGAGCGCACTCCCGGGCTTGACAAAGTTGAAGGCTGACGGAAAAGTCGTTTTGGTTGTGCTCTCCCTGTGTCGCTTCATTTGGATGGAGAGGAGCGGATTCAACGACATCGCAGAGCTTCGTGTCTGGGCGTTTGAGATGATTCACTTCCCGCTCCTGTTTGCTATTTTTTTATTGCTGGTAGGAATGGCAGTGAGTACACAATATACAGCTGTATCCATTTACTCACGCCTGAAAGAACGCCATGCAATCGATCGTGAGCGGAGTGTGGTTCCTCAAAGTCTGTCAACAATTCGACGCCCTCGTGAACAATCCACACGACACCACCCTGAGGCTGTCACTTAGCAGCAGCCTCAAGCGCCTCGACCTTGACCCAACGTTCGACACTTGGCTTTCTGAAACCAACGTTTCAGACACGTCAGCAGCAGTTGACGTGTACCAGTACGCCGGCCAGATACTGGGCAAGGTCATTGATGTAAATACATACACTGCCAAGTCCCACGCTGACCCTCGTCTCAGGCTACTGGCTGGGATGCCGGAGTGATTGTCGACGACTCGTTAGCCAACCTCACCAGCATCGACAACACTGCCAATAATACCCAAACAGCATTCCAGCTGTTCCAAACAGGAAAAACCAGCTTTCTGTCCGAGCTCATTCGCGCAGCCTTCTGGTTACTTCCTGTTATGGTGAGCTCCTATTGAATTCGAACACTGATATCCAGGGTATCGTTCTTGTGCTCCTCGCACTTCGTGTCATGTTGTCGGATGGTTACATTGCGGATAAAATGGTTGAATGGGGCATCTATTCTCGGAGGCCGGACGCTGCGGGGAGCTCCGGTGGCGGTCCGATCCGAACTGGAACTTCGAAGATCATGTCTGCTGAGGTCGCCCAACTGGTTTTGGGATTAGGCGTTGTCTCGGTTGGTGCAGGTATCTACAAGGTCAAATCTCCCGACTCGCCTATACCTGTCAACGCCTCATTGGCGTATGTGCCATTCCACAGTGCAATTTGGAACTGGCTCCAAGCAGAGTGGATCATCCCGACTCTCAGTCTGATCTGTCTGGCTGTAATCGCAGTCAAGAGTGTGAGTGACAAGTGTCTGATACCTCTTCTGACTGTAGGCCGTCAAGTACGCGTGCACTTTAGTCGAAAGGCGGCAGCTTGATGCGATCAGGAATGATGTTGAGGCCTGGAGCGGGTTTGCGCCAGTGACAAACAGGCCCAATTCACAACGCCCCAACACACCCACTGCCAGCCAAGGACATGGTGGCGTCCAGAGTCCGACCGCCAATAGCCGGAGGTCAAGTGCCAGCCAACACAGTACGATACCGATGGTCCAACTTGGCGTGCAGAGTGCAGTCACCGGTAGCCCCAGGCCAAGTTCCAGCCAACAGAGTGCGGTACCGGTGGTCCAACCCAACACGTCTCGTGCCAACAGCCACGGTCAAGGGTCTATCAGGCGCCAGAGTTCCAATGGTAGCCAGAGGTCAAGCGGCAGTCGAAAGTCAACCAACAGTCAAGGAATTAGAGGCACCAGCAGCCCGATGCCAGGTGGCAGCCAACAGAGTGCGGTCCCGGTCGTCCAACCCAACACACCTGGTGTCAGCAACGGCCAAGGGTCCATCAGGAGCCAGCGGTCAAATGTAAGCCAAAGGTCCAGCGGTAGTCGGAAGTCCACCATCAGTCAAGGCATCAGCTACAGTCATAGCAACGCGGTCTAGTCCCAAGCGGTTCTTCGCCAGCAAGTGAGTTTAGCGTGTCTTTGGGGTATGCAAAACTGGGGCTGTGGCTCACATGCTGCAGTGAATCCTATACAGAACGGAGCTGCCCATCGACGGTGAGCTTCGGCCAAGACAATCTGCCAAGGAAATACCTAGTTCATATGAAATGTGTCGTTTCTCACCAGTGGCAATGCGTTTCTCGTGTCGGCCGTCTCGGCGGCCAGACATGTGTGAGCCGAGTGCACAGAGCTCGGCTCGTGATTCGCGCTCTTCCTTGTCTGACCATTCAAGACAGCAGGACGTCGCAGTTATGCGGCGCAGCTCCGTTCTGTAAAGCCCCTTGAAATATCCGGGACGGGTCAGGACACCACTACTGGCGTGATTATCAGTCACGTCAGCAACAGCTATCAAACGTGTACCCGGAGCGCGCAGACCGTTCACATCTCACGGCACAAGCTCCTCCTTCACCCATGTCCCGTCACGCAGCGTCCATGCCGTGCGCCTATGCGGTGTGCACTTGAGCTCCAGCACCTCCACCATCGTGGGGTCCAGCGCAAGGATACAAAAGTTGCTGTGGGCAAACGCGAGCTGCGCCTGCTCCTCCGGGTTCTACACCATCGTGTCAGCAGCTAGTTAACTACCCCAACAAATGCTACTCACTTCAAACCCTTCCCGCCCCAGCTCTGTAGGCCAGGTAATCGCCGGTGGCGCGTCCTTGAGCAGAGTACCAGGCGCTTCTGGGCGTGCAAAACTGGCCTTTAGCGCAGGCCCGATCCCGCGCTCGAACAGCCTCTCGCGCTCGTGTTCCCAGTATTCTGGCGTTTCGGCCGTTGGAGGGTGTCCTCCAGGATACGTGAATGCAGTGCCGACAACGCGCACTTGGGTCCACGATACGCTGAAGTACCACGCGATGGACGCGGCCGGGTTGTTGTCAAGCTGCGTGGCCTTGGGCATGCGTCGGTCTGTTGTTGCGAGGAACAAGCCCGAAGGAGAGACTGTGATTGATGTCAGCTACGTTCTGTACTGCGCGAGTGGAGAAGCATCACGCCTTGGATATGAACCGCACTCACATCCACGGTGTATTACATGTCGCACCCTCGGCGCCCTATCTTCGACGGTCGCGAACGCGTACACTGTCTGTGAGCCCTCTCCCCAATGAGTGAACTGTACCATTAGGCACGGCAGAAGTTGCACCCTGCTCCTGCACGAGGTTGTTGATAACGGAGTGCCACTCTGGAAGCGACATGCGTGTGAGTTGTCGAAGGTTGCTCGTGTTGGGCAGATGTGGAGAGGTGGGGAAGAGGGCGAAATCGAGATCCCACTTTCAAAGTCGGCCCGGTTGGTCGCCCTCCACCAGGTCCACCACCAGTCAATGACGCAATCGGCTCGACCGCTTCACGCTTTCTGAGAAGGACATGCATAAAACGTCGTGGCCCAACACAATACAAGGCATGGCACGCTCAAGGGTAGAGATGAAGTCATATGCATCAAAGGGGCCAATGCATTATGTGTGCATTCTATGTTTCTACTCTTTGAGAGGAGGCTCGGGAAGCTCCTTGCCCACGATGCCATACTGATCGATCCTTTTTTGGATGGCGAGCGGAATTTGCGTGCGCGTTTCGCTGCTGTCAGCTAAGCTCCCTGCGACTAACTCACCCAACGACGCCCGTGTCAACGTCACAGATGAAAAACTCGCCTCCCTCGGCGTACATCCTGTCGACGTCGGGGCTCTCCTCTTTGATACTCCTCAGACGGCCAAGCTCGCGGCCCCAAGGGTCGAACGCAAGCGATTCGCCCCAACTCGAACGCGAAGGGTTGTGGTCGCCGTACTGGGCCGCAGCCAGGACGTAGACTTGGTATTGGATTGCGACGGCGCGGCACAGGGTGGCTGTAGTGTGTCAGCTACATGCGAGGTACTGGTCAGCTCACGCCAGTGGTCCTTTCCTGTGCGCAGTGTGAATGCGCTAGGGAAGGTCAGGATGTCGGCACCCAATCGGGTGAGGATGATGTGGAGTTCGGGGAAGCGCAGGTCGTAGCAGATCTCGAGACCGATGTTGCCCACCCCGGCAATGGGGATGGGAGGGACAATCTCACCGCCGGGAATGATCCGGTCGCTCTCGCCCGTCCGCTTAGGCTTGGCCGGAGTACCATCCTCGTTGGTCTGGGCGAGCTCGACGTCGAACAGATGCAGCTTCCTGTACCGGGCAAGCAGAGAGCCGTCGGCGCCGATGAGGACGTGCGTGTTGTACACGCGGATACTGCCCTCGGGCTCGTGATTGGGTTCGTCTGCCTCGGGAAGGTCGTGCACACCCGCTGAAACAGTCACGCCCAGCTCTTTGGCGAGTTTCTGCAGGCCGAGAGCATAGGGGTGCTGGGAGAGAGGGAAGGAGAGGTCACGACATTCTTGGGCCGAGGTTGCTATGAAGTCGGATGCTTCAGGAAGGAAGACGGCCTACAGTAAGCTCTGAACACCACTGGTAAAAGCTCACTTTTGCACCGGCAGCAACGGCGTCACGGATGACCTTGCTCGACACGGCAAGGTTGTGTGCTGGGTCGTTGGTGGACAGGATCTGGCAGACGGCGACCTTTGTCATCGTGGCTAGCGAGGTGGAGAAGGGTCGAGCACGAGATGGGAAGAGGAAACGAGTGCGTTGGGCAGCAGCTGTGCGGCCGATGGTATAAACACGAGGTCGTATGAGTGAGGGGGTGGTGACAAGAGCTCTTGCGGCTGACTGTTGCATGCTCCGTTGGACAAAGAGATAAGACGACTCGTTCGACGGAAGAGCCCGAAATGGCGACACAGCTCGGCAAGACGCGCGTGGGGTCCCCACAGTCAAGTCACGTGGGAGAAAGATGACGGTGTTCGAGCGGTCAACTGTTGCACTCTGTTGATTGCTGTACGTTACTCTCATCGTCTTTATCCCACCAACGACAAGAGACCTGCATCATGCAATCCCAAGGGGATCCGGAGAGTGAGTGGAATGACGAGCCCACAACTGACGGCAGGCGAGCCCGCTCTCCGCCTCCGGATCACCCACATCTTGTCCTCAATGGCAGCACCCCTCCCTTCCCTTCGCGCTCATTACATCCCCTCGACGCTCCCCACCGCTGTGCCCCCAGGCGTCGTGCCGCAGCAGTTTCCAGTTATACGCATCTTTGGAACGACCCCATCCAACCAAAAAGTCTGCGCCAACATCCACCTCGCTTACCCGTACTTCTTCGTTCCTTTCCCGATGGACTCGATCGACCCCTTGCGACCGGAACGCGTGGTGCGTATGTGTCAGCGGTTTGCCGTCTCCCTCAACAGTGCCATCTGTATGGCGCTGAGGCAAAATCCTCATGGAACTTCCGCCGCTGCAAACTATGCTGGAGGTACCGATCCACGACACCTTCATGTCGCGTCCGTTATGCTGGTCAAAGGCGTGCCGTTCTACGGATACCACGTCGGCTACTCGTACTGGCTCAAGGTCTCGCTCATCAACCCGGCGCGCATGCGAGTGGCAACTGATCAACTACGCAAACCGTCCGTCTTGGGCCGAGAATGGCAACCTCACGAGGCGCACCTCAGCCACGTCCTTCAGTTCATGTGCGACTTTGACCTTTATGGCTGTGGCAACCTCGACCTCTCAGGAGGCACGTTTCGCGAACCACTTCCTGGCTTTGATGACGACGACAATGTCCTTGAAGACATTCCCGGATTCATCACCACACACAACGCGCCTGGTGATATGGTCTACCCACCGGGTCTCTCGCCTTCGAAGGACACCACTACCGCTCTAGAGATTGACATCCTCCCGCACCAGATTATGAACCGCAACCGTCTCGAACAACGTGATCTGCACCACGACTTTATCGAGCTGCTCCATAAACCTCTCGAACCTGAGGAGAAGCTCGTCCCGGCCATGCGCGAGCTGTGGGAGGACGAACGCCGGCGCCGAGGGGCTCGCGGATTGGGCACTTCCGAGAAGGAGATGCTCCCCATCTCGGGCGGTGGACGCGGCCGCACCATGGAAGAGCTCGGGTACAAACTTGACGGTGCAGACGTCAATAACCGCGGTGGTGACTGGAAGATCTCCGAGGAGCTGTGGGGTATGCTCCAGGATCGAATGGACGTCGAACGCATCCGACGTGGCAAGCTCACATTTGACCGCTTCTCTTCTGACATTCGGGGTGGGAAGAATGGCGAGAAACGGAAGTACGACAGGGTAGGTTATATCGTCATTGGCCACAGCTAACCGACAGTGGATCATGACCACGTTCGAGGCCGTCTCGGCTCATTGGCCCAGGATGTACCGCACTCAGCGAACTCAGAAATCGCAACCGTCTGTACGAGTACCATCCCAAGCTGGCCCATCCCCAGCTGGCCCAGTCGACCCAAGCTCTTCACCACAGCCGTCCTCTCCTCCTCTCTTCGACGACGATGACGAGCCCAACCCATTCGACATTGTCGCCAGCCAAGCATCACAGGGCGAGCGCGTCATGGCTGAGGTCAACCCCGATGCCATCCTCCCAGCCATCGACGAGGAAGAGGCAGGAGACGACGAGGATGAGGATGAGGAAGAAACGCTAGCTCGACGTCACGCTCAAGAGAGTGAGCGTCTTCGCGCCACTCAGAAACCTCAAGGCGACGATGATGACGAGTATGACTACGACGAGTTTGATGAGATGTTTCTCCAAATGATGCCCGGTGAAACTCCTCAACACACAAGACAGTCCACTCCGACATCCATGGGCACCGGCCATACCGCTACGTCGGTAAATGCCTCGACGGGAAGGCAAAAGGTGGCGAGGCAACGTCGTCTTGCGGAACAGGCAGGATTCGGCGATCTCAGGTAAGCGTATGATTGCTGTCTTCCTCACTGACAACAGCACCATCATGGACATGTCCGTCGCGTTCTCCTCTCCTAGCGCCAACCCGTTCGCGGACCCACAGACCCCAACGAAAAGCCGAGGTACGAACGGCGAGCAGGCGACTCCCACTTCGCTGGTACGCAACATATTTGCTCGATCTCGTGGCTCCCCGTTCGCTACGCCCAGCAAACAGACTCCTCGTATCTCTCCGCATACTCCGTCAAAGACACCCGCAATTGTCCTTCCAAACACCAAACGGAGCCTGGCCAAGTGGTCACTCTCACCCGTACAGCCCTCGCCGCTGGACAAGCAGCAGAGGGAAGAAGACGAGGGCCCACAGAGCCCGACACGGTCGGCATCTAAACCAGAGCTCCTGGAGATCAAGGCCCGTAACGTCGAGGACATTGAGTTCATTCCACCAAACGCTCAGCCAACACCGCCAGCTACCCGTGTCCCACCGAAGATGCCGCATACGCCATCGCTCCAGGTCTCGGCCACATTGATCAACACCCAACTCAACACATACGATCCAACACACGCCCCTACCCGCGCACCCACTCAGCCAGCTTCAACCTTACCTCCATTAGCAGATGCGCCGTTGAATGGTCGACCAAAGAAGCGTGTACGCCTCTCCAGCCCCTCTCAGCCTGAACATAGAGTCGTCCCCACTCCACCACTCACGGGCCTCAGTGGACAGAGCGGTGGTACTTCCACATCCGTGGTGTCAACAAACAGTGGACCGGATCTCGCATCCGCTGCCTGGACCTTTGGCGATCCACCTCCTTCCCTGCGACAGGTCGTCGAGACCATGGCAGATTACGGTCTCGATACCGTTGAGTACCGTGAACCGTTCTACTCCGATCCCACCGATATCCCTCCCGTTCCAAAGCTCTTTGCGGGCCGACAGTTCAAAGTCAAAGGAAACGGAGTGGCCGACATTCCCCAATTTGAGTCGGAACTGCCAGCTGCTGCAACCGGGTGGCTCAAGAGCAAGGCTTTCGAACTGGCGAGGTCGCAAACGGGCTGGGAGTTCGCGGCTCCTCCACCGACTCTACGCCAAGTCCTCTCTTACTGCGAGAAGGAGGATGCTACCGCTGTTGCTGCCTCTCAGCTAGCAGTCCCTACACAGAAGAACCGATTTGGCTTCAAGCTGTCGCAGAAGAAGCCGCAGCGTGAGCAGCAGAACATGTCTGTCTTGCTCCTGGAGGTTTTTGCGCCTTCCCGGCTGCACTTCCTCCCCGACCCAAAACAGGACGACATAGTAGCCGTATTCTTCTGCTTCCAGAACGATAGGGCTGATCTACCCAACACGACGAGATTCCCCGGCTATCATGCAGGATACGTTGTCGTGGACTCTGTCCAGACTGCCAATGGCCGTGCCAAAATTGAAGGGGTGCCGTGTCACTATGTCGACTCGGAGTTGGACCTCATCAACTGGGTCATTGACGCCGTCAAGGACTGGGACCCGGACGTGCTTGCCGGGTGGGAGCTGCATAATGCTAGCTGGGGATACCTGCAAGCTAGAGCGTATGAGGAGTTTGGTAGGCTTATCGATTGGAATCAAGCTGATTCGAAGCCATCGACTTGCCCGATACAATCTCGCGACTTATTTCGACTCCTGGGGGAGGAAATCGCAAGGACGCCTACTCGGCGCACCACACGTCGACGTTCAAGGTCACCGGTCGCCATGTGCTCAACATTTGGCGTATCATGCGTGGCGAGGTGACGCTCAATGCGTACACGTTTGAGAACGTCGTGTTCCACCTCCTCCGTCAGAGGTAAGTTTCTCGTGGAACACTGCACATGCTAACCGCAGAATACCCCAGTTCTCGGCGGCTGACCTGACGGCGCTCTGGAAGAGCAAAGTCCCTGGGCATACCACTCGCGTGCTCAAGGTACTCTTCCAACGTGTCGTCATTTACGCGGAGCTTGTCGATTCTGCCGAGCTGATCAGCAAGAGTGCCGAGTTTGCACGTGTCTTTGGTGTCGACTTTGACGCTGTCATCTTCCGTGGTTCCCAATTCAAGGTCGAGTCGTTCATGTTCCGCATCGCCAAGCCTGAGAGCTTTGTGATGGTCACACCGTCCAAGGAACAGGTCGGATTACAGAACGCGCCATTTGCTGTGCCTCTCATCGCGGAGCCCGAGAGCAAGTTTTACCCGCACCCAATCGTCGTACTCGACTTTCAGAGTCTCTACCCGTCCGTCATGATCGCATACAACATTTGCTACTCGACCTGCCTGGGCCGCGTGGAGAAGTTCAAGGGCACCGACAAGTTTGGCTTTACCGAGCTCAAAGTCGCCGACGGTTTACTGGAGCTCCTCAAAGACTACTTGACTGTTACGCCCAATGGCATGGTCTATGTTAAACCGGCAGTGCGTAAGAGCCTGTTGGCCAAAATGCTCGGCGAAATCCTCGACACGCGCGTCATGGTCAAGCAGGCAATGAAATACGCACGGGGAGACAAGAGCCTCACACAAATGCTGAACGCGAGGCAGCTGGGGTTGAAGCTCATGGCGGTGGGTTACCGTATCGTGAATCCTGCTGACCCACCAGAATGTGACCTACGGTTACACCTCTGCGACATTCTCCGGCCGCATGCCCTGCATCGAGATTGCCGACTCGATTGTGCAGACTGGCCGAGAGACGCTTGAAAAAGCGCAAGAGCTCATCCACTCGCGCTTAGACTGGGACGCCACTGTGGTGTATGGCGATACAGACTCGCTCTTCATTGCGCTCCCAGGCCGATCAAAGGAACAAGCGTTCAAGATTGGCAACGACATTGCCGACACGGTAACAGCCATGAACCCCAAACCTGTCAAGCTCAAGTTTGAAAAGGTCTACATGGGCAGCGTGCTCATGGCCAAGAAACGCTATGTGGGGTTCAAGTATGAACACCCCGACGACACGGAGCCCGTGTTTGACGCAAAGGGTATCGAAACCATTCGGCGTGACGGGTTCCCGGCTCAGCAAAAGATTGAGGAAGTGTGCCTCAAGATGCTGTTCCGAAACCAGGACCTGAGTGAGATCAAGGCCTTTTGCTGCCAAGAGTGGACCAAGATTCTCGAGGGGCGTGTGAGCATCCAGGACTTTATCATTGCCAAGGAAGTGCGCCTGGGCACGTACTCGTGAGTGCAGCTAAATGACCCTCTGCCAAATCCAGCTGACATTGCAGCGAGGACGGTGTGCCTCCTCCAGGAGCCGCAGTCGCGTACCGCCGCATGCTCAAGGATCCCCGGGACGAGCCCCAATACGCCGAACGTGTGCCCTATCTTATCAGCAACTCCACCGGCCGTCGGCTGATCGACCGCGCACGTATGCCTGAGGAGATGCTCAAGGAACGCTCCCTGGACATAGACACCGAGTATTATATCCGCAACCTCCTCGTTCCACCCCTAGCACGCATCTTCAACCTCGTCGGCGGCGACGTCGAGCAGTGGTATCGAGACATGCCGCGCAAGAAACGTGTCCGCTCGTATGGCGGTGCGAGAGGAAGCAAGATTGACGCGCATTTCGTCTCCTCCCACTGCCTGGTATGCGGTGGGGACGACAATACAAACTCGAAAGTCTGCCGTGATTGCCGTGCTGTTCCCGACATGACAGCACACGCATTGCTCAGCCGCGAGCATGTGGCCACGACACGTTTGAGGGAGCTGCACCAGATCTGTGCCTCCTGTTCCAACACCCCGCTCAACGAGGCCATCATGTGTGGCAGTATCGACTGTCCCGTAACGTATGCCCGGACTGCGGCGGAGCGCGACGCGGATGATACCAAGGGCGTTCGTGGGTTGATTGCCGACCTGGAGTGGTGAAACGAAACCCAACCGTCCACCAAGTAGAGTGACTTGTATTTTGAAGACGACCTGCAGCTGTAACCATACCCCGCACCTGCTACTACCCCCCGTGTAATTCCATGTTATGTATCCTGACTTTGGTCCAGCCGTCAATCTGACAGTTCTGACACGGTGTCCATACCGCCGAGCCAGGTTTGGTGGCGCCAGAACACTGATTCAACCCAGCCGCATCACGAAACAAGGTCTGACAAACTGCGGCGAGCAAGGAATACTGCGGTATGCGGATAGCACCATGCGTTAGTCGGGGCATGTGGCGAGGCCCGTATGGACGGCACGCCGTCCATACAGGGCGGCTGCGCATGAGTGCATCGGAAGTGGACGCGAACAATGGGCGAGTTGATGGCCAGGATTTCCGACACATCGCAGTGCCCTTGCGACCTGTTACCCCAGCAAGGGAGCTAGTCACCGGGACTCCTTTGGTCACCACGAACCGTCCGGTCTGCATCGGAGGCGGACCCCGCTCGCCACATTTGGTTTTCGATGCTTGTTTTTGGCATTTTGGGTTGTGGCCGGCGCCGCGTCCCCGTCCAGCTCGGGGCAGTGTCCTTCGGTAGCTGGGTTGTCCCCCGTCATCCTACGTTTGTCATGTTCATTAGCCTCGCACCATAAGACAGCCAGTTAGCCGCCAATTGCTCAAAGTCCCCTATTCTACCTCCAGCTTCACACCGGTGGTATGAGTTGGCAGAAGCAGCACACTCTCCTCGCTTGACCGCTCGAGGGACGCAGGTGCCTGTCCGTGCGCAATGTGACTCCTTCCTCACGTCTTCGCACGCCACAAACTCCTATTCCCCAGACAACAGCTGTGGCACCGCGCAGTGGCCTCCGGGCGGGCGCCGCATGTCCGGTCCGGCGCAGGCGTGTGTCCGCGGAGAAGGCTACTCTGACAGTCGAGGACGGAGTGGCCTTCTCACGCAGAGAAGAGCAGGGAAACTACGAAGCAGTACAGGAGGAAAATAGCAAGCAGAGCAAGAGCTTTCGCACACCTCAAGGATATGACGCCAACGACAAAAATGTATCGGCGAGATGGCCGAGCGGTCTAAGGCGCTGTGTTAAGGTTTTCTTCTGTTTCTTGCAGAAGATCATCCGCAGTCTTCGGACGTGGGTTCGAATCCCACTCTCGTCAAAAGAGTATTCAGTTACTCCCAAGCCAACTTTTTTCTGCGGGGGAGAGACGGTTGGTGGGAAGAACGTCGGACGAGTTAGAGGTTTTGGTGTGGAGGCGGTTTTCTTTCGCCGGGGCCACGTCTCTTTGTGCCACATTTTCACTACTAGCTACTGGCTTACGATGCTTCCTCACTTAAACGCTTCTAACGGCTGCTGTCCGGGAGCAACGACGGCGCTGCAGCTGCAATCCTGCCTGCTTGAAAGGTGGGCCGTTTGAATCTGCAGCTTGCACCTGTCCACGCGAGTAGGGCCGCTCTATGGCCTGCGTAGGCCGCCTGGCCACCGGGAATGCCCACGCGCAATGCCAGGACTGTGGTAGGGCGCCGACGCACACATCGTTGCTGGGCCAGGAGCGTCGAGCGTGTTATTATCCGCTGCCGGCCCACCTGGATAGCCGCTGGTCCCTCACTGATCACTGATCGGCGACCTGTTCACTACTCTGTGATCTCTGAGCGAAATGGTGTGTTCGTCTTGAGCCAGACGGCATGTACCCCTCCGGTCCGCGAGCCACCGTAACGAATACCCAGATGCAGGCGGCCAGAACCGAAACAAAAAACCAAAACCCAAGCAAGCCCATCAGGAGGTGCTCGTGCGCGCGGGGAAAGTTGAGAGCAGAGTACCCGAAGGACATTGTTGCAGTCAGCGGCGAAGTGTTCGCTCGGGTGCCCGCAACCGTGCCCTGGACGAGTCACGGAAGAGGCGTTTGCCGTAGGGCCGCCACTGTGATCAAGAGTCTTTTGTTGTGCTCTTGGGTTGTGAGTTTCGTACTGCATGGCAGGATGGAGTAGTGTTAGTAGTAGTAGTGGTAGTGGTAGTGGTAGTGTACATGCATTGCAGCTGCCGGCGGCAGGTGTGGGTGTGAGGTGGGACAAGCGAGCAGCAGAACAAGAAAGGAGCTGGAGCTGTGCGCCAAGGCCAGACGGACGAGCCAGAGGAAAACACACTACGCGGCCCATCGGAATGTCTCCCCTGGCCGTTGTTGCAATTGTCCATCTCTCCATACATCCACCCCATATCGTCCTGCGCATTTCGCTTCTCCTCCACGCATCCCCCACGCTTCCCACAGCCCCCTGCCCGCACCACGCACAGGGGCATGCGACAATAGGACTTACATATCCCCCCAAGCTCCTCAGCAGCCAGCAGGGCTCCGCCTATTCCTTCTTATATACTCCCCACCCACAGCCGCCCCGCGCCGCCGTCATGGCCACACACCCTCACAAGGCTGCGTCCGGCTCCCATAACCACAGCCAGCAAGGAAAAATGATCTCAACCGCCATCCGTCCGCTATCAACAACAACCCCATCCCAGTCAATGGCCAACAGGACACCCACCGGCGCCAACTGGAAACCACCACAGATGTCGTCCTCTAAACGCGAACGTGATGCCGAGGAGTCGCACAAGTCCAAAAAGGCCAAGCGCAAGGGCGGCAAGGCATGCGTCTACTGCCGGAGAAGGTGAGCTCATCCTCAGCAACACGACGAACAAAAGAAGCACCACCGCAGGCCGCTGACACTCCATCCACAGCCATATGGTCTGCGAAGGCGGTCGTCCATGCGAACGATGGTGAGTACCACAGCAGCGACTGCCCCCCTGCGGCACTGCTTACATGCCCCTCCAGCATCAAGCGCGATATTGCCCACCTGTGTCGCGACGTCACGCCGCCAGCGTCCTCTGGCCCCGGTCCATCTGGCACCGGCGCCGACGAGTTGTCCACCCCCATCAAGGCTGAGCCACTACCACTGCCTCAGCAGCACATGCCGCACATGAGCCAGCCGCAGCCGCAGCCGCAGCCGCTCATGTACGACGCGGCTTCGTCGTGGCCTCTCCTTCCCGACGCGAACCCCGGTTCAGAGCTTGATTTGAGCGCGGCCGTCACGGGCGGCGGGTGGGGAGGCGCCGAGAATGCCGAGTTTGGGATTCTCAGGTGAGTGATGGGTGCGAAGGGTGTGGATGGGAGTGTTGGAAAAGGGAGCGAGGGAGGACGTGCTTGGTGTACGTTGAGGCTAATCATGTTCCAGCGACATGCTCAAGACGCTGCGCGTCCCTACACTCCCAGGCGGCTTTGTCGACGTCCTCTCCCAGGTGGTGCGTAACACCAACGGCGCACCGGCTACGACGGAACCGACAGCGACCACTACCAACAACAACAATGTTACGGCTGTGCCGCCCCCACTCCCTGCTCAGGAGCTGAACGCCGTGGCCGGCCCCATGCCCACAGACCCGAACGGCATTACCGACAAGGGCAAGGGCAAGAGCAAGGCCGAGCCCTTCTCGACCGTTTCGCGTATCGAGCAGTACCTCCTCGCGGCGGCCGACCAACCAGACGGCTCGCGTGCGTCACGTCTGACCCAGGTCATCCGCGCAAAGTACGAGGCTGGCCTGCTCAAGCCCTACGACTACATCAAGGGCTACGAGCGCATGAACCGGTGGATGGACTCTGGCCGCGCTGCACGACTGGAGCAAAACTCGCGCGCAACCTCGCCAACAAAGGGCGGCAAGCGCATCGTTCTCCCTCCCCCTCCACCAAGTGGTAGCTCCATCTCGCCCGAGTCGCGCCGTCGTATCCTGGCCGCTCTCGAGGTGTTCCGTCCCCGGTTCAGGCGCATTGCCAAGGAACTCACCGACTTGGACCTGGTCTTTGTCGAGGAGGCAAACGAGCGTCTTATGCTTCAGTACGACCGCGCTCTCGCTTCCATCCACACTCCCTCCTGCATCTTCCGCCGCACAGGCGAGATCCAGAAGGCCAACCAGGAGTTTGCAATGCTCACAGGTATCCCCGCGCCGTTGTTCCGCAATGGGCAGCTCTGTGTCTACGAGCTCATGGACGAGGACAGCGCCGTGCGCTTCTGGGAAGGTTACGGCAAGGTCGCTTTTGAGAAGGGTGAGTTGGGGTTCTAGGAGTTGCATGCCCACCAAGCTGACAAGTTCCAGGCCAGAGTCACATGTACACGCACTGCACGCTCAAGATCCCTCTGTCGCTCACGCGCGCACAGCCAGCGCGCACCCATAACAACACGCCAGCACACGCCCCCACCCTAGCGCTGTCGACTGTCCCCGACTTGTCTCTCCCGCAGGCCATGACTATGGTCCACACGCCCGCGAGTGTGCCGCAGGGTACGATTGAGGAAGAGTTCCGCGTGATCAAGACGTGCTTTAGCATTACGATTCGACGTGACCGGTACGACATTCCTGTGGCCATCATGGGCCAGTGGATCCCGATCAAGCCGGCATGAAGGGAGACGGACGGGTGTAACATTGTGCATGTAGATAAAGGCGAGAGTGTATCAGAAGAGTTTGAATACGTATTTTATGCAGCAGAGCGAGTGACTTGTACGCACGAGGAGAAGGGGTATGGCCTGGGGGAGGACACGGAACAGGACAAGGACAGGACTCAGATTGCCAGGTTGCCATGACGTAGGGCGGCGGACGGAGGCATGTTGTGGTATACCACCACCGCCAGCGCTCCATTCATCCCGCACAAGGGCCCAGAAACAAGCAGAGACAAGTGGCCAGTGGGCTCGAGCCTACAGACAGCCTGCTTCTGCGTACGAGGGTGCGAAAGCCCGCCCCGGTTCGGCGGCAATAACGAGCACGCGTGGACGCTCTGGCGCGACGAGAGTAGACGCAGATTGCTGGCGGGAATACGAGTTTGTTGGGCTCCACAGTGTCCGATAGCCTCGTCCCGCCTGTTTGCTGCATCCCCTTCTCACACTTTCTCTCCATCCCATTCATTCACATCCACATCGCACTCGCATTACCCATAACCCTTCTCGCCACTCACACCCCTCCCTCCCCTCCTCCTCCATCGGCCGCCCGCATCCCGCATCCTGTCTCTCCGGGCGGCACACGACAACCATGACTCGGTACGTTACGTGTTCTGCCCGCCCCGCATCCCCCACACTGCCCCGCCCTGCGTCTTCACGGCGCGCATCGCGATCCATCGCATCGATGCGTCGACTCCACCAGTCGTCGTCGCCACCACCGAGTGCTGTCACAGACGATGCATACTGCCGTCCGCTCCACCACTGGGCTTGCCCCTGTGCCCACCCCCCGTGACCGCCGCCCACACACCGAGACGTCATTCTGACTCACAGCGACAACACCCCGGCCCTCCTGGCCGCATCGGAACTGCGCGACGTCTCGCTCGCGCCCACCGCCATCCGCTCTGCAAATGTAACCATCATCCACCCGCAGCTGCGTGACTTGGTACTCCCACTCGGGAGAGGCAATGTACTCTATCCACACGGGACCAGCGTGGAGGAGCAGCGATGGAGCGCGAGCGACGACTATGGGAGTGGCGATAGCTCGGACTACTCGGACAAGGACGGGGGCGGCAAGGATAAGACCTTCTCCAGCTCCAGTGCTACTCGTGCTGCTGCGTCTGCCGGTGCTTTGCCTCGCTCGGCGCGGTCGGCGGCAAACGTCACTGGTACGACGCGCGAGCTGTTCAAGTTGTCGTTTACGCCCACTTGTCTCACGAGCAGGTACGCCTTGGGAGCTCCATTGTTGTGACGTCTCGTTAACGTCTCAGCGGCGCAATCCTCGCGTGCGGTGGACAAAAGGGCGAGCTGTTTCTCTGCGACCTCCCGCAGGACGGTCGCATGAAGCGCGCCAACCCCGTCAAGCCATTCCAGCTAAACATGACCCTCCCGAACCGCTCGATCAACAATGCGATTACAATCCTGCCCACTTGGCCGAACGGCTGGGTGCAGAAGCAGGTCGACTGGAAGCACGCGTACGCCGGTTACGCGAGGGCGCCACAGAGCAGGAGCGGCGTGGACGACGACGTTGACAACCTGTCCGAGAGTAGCGATGAGGACGGCGAGGGTGATGGCGACGACGACGACGACATGGAGTTGGACGATGACGATCTCGGGAACCCCGCCGTCGCGACCTACCCCAACTCGTTGCCTTTCGGCCACGCCCCGCGCATGTCAGGTACTGGACCGGGGCGGCGCTGGAGCCATGGCCACAACGCCCCCCAGTACGTCACCTCGCACAGCAGTTATGGCCACCACAACCAGCGTCACCGGTCGCCTGTGCCCTCGACTACTTCGTCTGGCCACTCGCGCCGGTCGGCCAATAGGCCGAACGAACCGCGCATTCTGGTATCCAACAATGACCAGACAGTCAAAATGTTCTCCCTTCGACGCGTTGGCGATTCGTCATTGCCGCTACCTCCTCCGATTCGCGATCCCCAGTGGGAGACTGTACCGGCCGTGTCGGCAATGCGCCAGACACAGACTACTGTCAGTGACCCGCGATACCATCAACGTACTCTCGACGCCGCCATGAGCCTACCTCCCGGTAGGAGCCTCTTCCGTTCGTCGTATGCGTACGATTCCGCTACACTCGGCCTGCCCTCAACCAGTGCCGGTGGCAGTGGTTCCCCGACCTCGGGATCGAGCGGGATGGCGGGCGTCAATGCCTATGGCGCCCCACACACTGCCCCTGCCGCGAGCGAAGAGCTTTCGCTCCGCTCGTCGCGATACTTGGGCGAGAGCCCCAGTGCTTATCGCGCTCGTAACCCGGCAGGGGACGCGGCGCTCACTGCGCGCACTCAAGCTGCAATGCGGGCGAGGGAGGAGCGCCACGCCGAGATTGAGAGGCGTATGGCCCTCACTGCGGAGGGTGTTGAGCCCCGCAAACTCAGTCGTATTGGCGGGACAAAGTTCAAGCTTGCAGTAAACCACTGTGAGTAAGGCAGAAAGACCACCGCCCTATTTGTCTGGGCTAACCTAGTCGATAGCGTCACTCTCGCCCGATCTCCGCACCATGGTGACTGTCGGTGACTCAACCGACGTGTTCCTGTACGAAGTTATCGACGGTGGCCGCGAGTTCCGCAAGATTGGCGTGTACAATGCCGCCACTGATTCGGGGTTCTCCACCTCGTGGTCCAAAGATGGCCGCAAGTTTGCGGTCGCGTCTCAAGACGGTCAAGTGACAGTATGGGACCACCGCACCTCTCGTCCCTTGGCCCTCTTCTATTCTGCGCCCTCCACTGCCAGGTGGGACTATGACGACACACTGGCCCACCTCGCCCACGACCCCGTCTCCTCCACGAGTGGCCGTGAAGCTGCCCGCGTAGTGAAGTTTTCCCCAGAGGGCAGTGACCGCGACTTGCTCGTCTTTTCAGAGGAGTTGACCAACATCCACATTATCGACGCGCGCACTTTCCACACGCACGTCGTCGTTCCTGTCCCCTACGAGGCTCCCGCGCCAGCTCCACCCGCCCCCGAGCGGCGTACGGGCGTCGACAGCCAGACGTGGGGCATCAGCGGCATCGCATTCGATCCCACCGGTGACTGGCTTTATGCTGGTACGGAGCGGACGGTCGTCGAGTGGGATTTGAGGCGGCACGGGGGTGGCGAGGGAGGTACATGGAGCATGGCGTAGGCACCGCAGCCACGATGACATGTTGTATGGAAGGGCAGGGAGTGTGACGACGACACGACATCGACCATAAGCGTAACAACAACAACCGTATAGCCACCAACCAATCAACCAATCAATCAACCAATCAATCAATCAATCAATCAATCAATCAATCAATGTCGGAACAAGCAATAAGAACAACATGAAGAGAACAGAAGAACTTGGAAAAGAGAATACGGCCATATCCTAATTGCATCGGGGGGGTCGAGCGGAGAGTCAGTACAGTGGTAAACGTAGTTGTGTGCAGCGGCAACTGTCGTTGAGTTCTGTAGTCGTGTGTTGTGGGAGTGAACTTGTTGTGTGATGCAGTTTAGTGCAAATGTCTGTTGAATGCAGGTTGAACGGACTGTGTCGAGCCACGCCTATGAATAGGACGCACAAGATGGTTTAGTACAGTAAGTACACCGGTACACCGCACGTGTACCCTACTTGCGGGTGGGCCAGTGAAGTCGATTGACAGCAACGAGTCGCACCATCGTCCGACGACAGACTCCTGCCAAGCCGGCCGACGAATGCTTCCCAACTGGTGCAGGTGTTGCCTCCAAACAAAGCCCTTACACTTCAAAAGCTCTGTTGGACTTTTACCCTGTGCATTACACTTTGCTTGTAAGTCGCCGTAAAAGTAACCGCCCAGGCAATCAATCGCCTGATCGCCCCGCCGGCCGCCGTTCATGACCCCTCGTCCCTCCCGTCTCGTCGTGACAAACTAGCGCACCCTCCCTCTCCGCAGCACTGGCAGTGGAAACCGACATGGTAAACACTGTTCGCTTGGTTCTCTGTGTCGGCACTCTGCATGACATAGAGCTGCACAAGGGCGCTACGAAGATGCAGACGGAGGACGGTGATGGAAGCGAAGCTATTGCAGAAGGCGTTAAAGAGGATCGAAATCGTAATCGGCGTGTAATGCACGTGGTGGAAACGAGAGAGACCGCCGCGCTCACGCGCAGCTCGGATTGTCGGTGCCATCGGCTCTCATTTCAGGCAACACAATCAACCTCATCTTGTCTTCCATCTGTACTCTCCCGCTCATGCCCAGGCGACGTTAGCCTACCACCTCGTCGCCCTCACCCTTCCCTCTTCTCTCCCATCCTCTCACAGGCCGACGCGACCGCGACACCATCCATTCGACAGCTCAGCGCCCGTGACGTGACGCGTGTGTTGTTCCCAGCCGCCGGCCGTCAACTCCTCCTCGTCAACTCCCCCCTCGTTCACCTTTCGGCTCCTCCCTTTCATCACACACCCATTCTCTCCACCTCCCCTCCCATTCGTGACCGAGCATGTCACGGTTCACGCCCGAAATGACGCAGCCCGCAGGCTCGCTCCTCTTCCGTGTGGACGGCGAGGACGAGCTGGTCCCCCTCGCTCCGCAATCCTCGACCGCTGCCAAGGATGTGGACAGCAGCAGCGACAGCGACACCGAGGAGCATGACCGGGCAAGCAGCACACGGTTCCCCCCACCACGCTCAAGGCAAGGCAGCGGAGCGACCAGTGCTAGCTTTGGGAGTGCGGCCGCCGCAGCCGCAGCGGCAGCGGCACATGCGCAAGGTGTCCATCTGGCTACAATGGCACAGAAGCGCGCGTTGTGGTGGCGCAACGTCCTCGTCACGGGCATGTTCATCTTGTCATGGTAAGTCACCGAGTCTCAATTGTTTCCCCATCCGCCGAGTCGCTCATTGCTAATGGCGCAGGTACACATTCGCAACTCTGCTGTCGCTGTACAACAAGTGGATGTTCTCGGCGGAGTACTATGGCTTTACGTACCCGCTGTTCGTGAGCGCGTGTCACATGGTCATCCAGTTTCTCCTCGCCCTCGTCATTCGGATCCTGTTCGCCAGGAGGTTTAGGCCTGCTGAACGACCCTCGAGGCGTGATTATGCGTGAGTTGGGTGTCGCGTTCGCAACCGGCTGTCAGCTGACCATGAACAGCACGCGTATTGTGCCCACTGCATGGGCGACGGGAACCGACATTGGTCTGTCCAACTTGAGTCTCAAGACCATTACTCTGTCGCTGTACAGTGAGCTGCTTCGTGTCGACGGGGAAGCTAACGTACAGCTATGTGCAAGTCGTCGGCTCTCATCTTCGTGCTCATGTTCGCCTTCATGTTCCGCCTGGAAAAGTACTCCATCCGCCTCGTCTCTGTCATCCTCCTCATCTCGTTTGGTGTCTTTTGCATGGTGTTCAACGCCACGGAGGTCTCCATTCCGGGCATCATCATGGTCTTTTCCGCCTCGGCAGTGGGCGGTCTGCGATGGGCATTGACAGAAGTCATCATGCACAAAAGGGCCATGGGCATGAGCAACCCCTTTGCGACCATCTTTTGGCTTTCGCCCATCATGGGCGTCTTCCTCTTTGTCGTCTCCCTCGCTGTGGAGAGCTGGCACGACATGTTCACAAGCCACTTTTTCGGCTCACCGCTGGAGGCGCTCAAGACAGTTGCCATCATAGTGCTCCCTGGTGCGCTGGCTTTCTCAATGGTCGCTAGCGAGTACTTCATCATCCAGCGTGCCGGTGTGGTCCCCTTGTCGATTGCCGGCATCTTCAAGGAGGTGTCCACAATCACGTTTGCCGCTTGGGTGTTTGGTGACCAACTTACCGAGCTCAACATTATCGGTGTCGTCATTACGATTAGCGGTATCGCACTGTACTCGTACCACAAATACCAACGATCAATCCACCGGGAGGTCCGCCTGGACGCGGCTCAGAACCCGATCGATGACCCAGATGACGAGTCGGCTCCTTTACGTCCCGGCGCGGCGCCCCATGGGTATTCTCGCACCGCGACTACAGACGAGCATGACCGCAGTAGGCGTATGAGCGCGAGCAGCGAGGACGGCGGTGATCGACCCACGCTGTCCCCAATGGCCGGCCAGAGCGCCCTTCAGCTGCACAGCTTGCATTCGGCCGTCTCCAGCGAGAGCCGCGAGGAGCGCACCACGCGCCTGAGGGACGAGTTTGAAGGGTGGAACAATGGCGACACCGAAGACGAGGACGACGAGAGCGAGGCGGATGAAGAGGAGATTGCGCGCAGGAGGAGTGACCGTGTTGGCGGTGACGACGATTCCCGGAGCCGTTCAAAGTGGAACGAGTTTTGGGATCGGTCGATGTAGGTGGTGTCTGTACTGTAGGAACCCTCATGACATAGATTATGGCACGCGATGGACGAGCTACAGCGGTGACATGAGGCTTCAAGCTGAAGGGACGGTGGGACTAGCCGTGATTTACAATCTTTTCGCCATTTGCCACAGAGGGAGCAGCTCCTCATGACCTGCTTCCAGTCTCATCATTGACCACGTCCTTCTGAACCTCAAGCAAGCGGTATAAGAAAACAAGTACACCCTCGTCTCCAGGTCTGGTCGGAAGATATCCCACTGGCCGCAGGCGCGCCACCACGTCACCAATCCGCCGCACCCTGGCCCGCGCGTGCCATCCCTGCGTTGGCAGCTCCACTTGGCCTTCCTCTACCTCTACAGAGGCCTAAAAAGGTTGGCTTGGGAGGCAATGAAGCCCCTGTTGACGAGAGTGGGATTCGAACCCACGTCCGAAGACTGCGGATGAGCTCTTCCTTGGAGGAAGGAGTCACCTTAACACAGCGCCTTAGACCGCTCGGCCATCTCGCCGATCACGTTTAAGGTGTTTCTGCCAACGCTATGCGTATGCATTCATATGAAAAAGCGGTGATTCGGATAGCTGACATGCATGAGCATCGTCTGGGAGAAAATGGAATGGCTAGCGGGCAATGGACGGTGCACAGCCTATGAATAACGTGAGTAGATGGATAAAGTGAGTGGTTGCAGTGGTGATCCAACATAACCTCCACACGGGACCAAATGCGTCACACTCACCACCCATTCACTTGCAACTAGCTCTCCGTTCACCTTCGCGTTCACACATTCCCCAACGATGGACACCAATCCAAGCTCGCCAGCACCGACAGACGGGCCTGCGCCGCCCATGGAGCCAGAGACCCCCCAGGCTGGTCCATCGGTGCCTGCTGTCCCGAAGCGCAACTACAACCGCAAGACGAAGGCACAGGTGAGGAAGAGGCGATGGCATAACATTGCAGTGAGCGAGTGCTGACACTCGGAACAGCAGGCCAAGGGAGATGGCCTGACGGCATACACGACCGCATTTGTCCCCGGACTGTGGGTGGTTTAGATATGGAGTCTGCGCTGACCCACAAGGTACAATGTCAAGAACCCCGCGGGCGACTTTGTGATACGCGAGAGCAACGTCGAGGTGATCCATCAGCTGAGCCTTGCACGATCGAAGAAGGAAAAGGAGGAGGAAGAGGAACGTCGTGAGGCGATCCGCGAAGAGACCCGCCGCACGGCCGAGGAGGAAGGCGTCGAGCCGGAACCTGAGGTGGTTGAGAACCCACTGAACAACATCCTCATCATTCACCCTGGCTCGCGACACTTGCGCCTGGGCCGTGCGAGCGACTTCTACCCGCACGAAGTACCCAACTGCATCGCTCGTCCTGCAAGTGCGTCGTCTGGTGGCTCTGATCCACCCGTCCCGGGACAGAACAGTGATGAGGAGAGTGTCGACACAAACATTGGCTACCTGCGCGACTACCTGCGTAACCGGCTGCGACAGAACAAACTCACCACCGACTGGAAGGAGGGTCAGCGCGTAAACAATGCCAACGCCAAGGCCAAGCCCGAGAGCATTCCCGAGCACAACGACCCGCGCAGGATAGACTGGACAGAACTCGAAGAAGGACGTCCCTTCCATGTCGGTAACGACGCGATTCGTCTCCCGGCCTCGGCTGGATGGAGGATACGGTACCCGCTCTTGCAGAGGCGGCTGAACGGGCGTGACTGGAGCAGCACGCAGCTTTTGCTCGACGACATTGCCATCATCTTGCAAGAGTCCCTCCGGACTGAGCTCGACATCAAGCCTGCGGACTACAGCAAGTACCAAGTCGTCCTCATTGTTCCCGACCACGGCGACAGGTATTACGTGACCGAGATGGCCAACATCCTCTTCAACGTCATGGGTTTCAAGGAGATTGCAATCCACCAAGAGTCGTACTGTGCTATCTTTTCGGCGGGCATGTCGTCGGCGTGTGTGGTCGACATTGGCGCGCAGGAGACGAGCGTCACATGTGTCGAAGAAGGAACAGTCAATGCCGATACGCGCATCACTCTCAGTTATGGCGGTGATGACGTGACTGTCGCTCTCAAGGCGCTTCTTGAACGTTCGTCATTCCCTTACCGCGACCTCGACCTTGCCAAGGCCCAGGACTGGATCATGCTTGACCAGCTCAAGATTCGCATCTGCACCTTGGAGGAGCACCTGGTCGCGAACACCCCCTGGGAGTTTTATGTCCTCAGCGAAGGGTTGACCAAGAAGTACATGCTGCGCACATATGACGAAAACGTCCTTGCTCCGCTGTGCTTTTTCGACACCCGCATGATCAACTTCGATAGCAAAAAGGGAGGCAACAGCCTCAATTTGCACTCACCCGACGTCGACGACCTGATCAAGAGTCACTACGACGAGGCCACTGGCGCCATGAAGGCGTGCACTGCCCACCTCTTCCCGTCCAAGGAGCCCGCCGGGGATGTGACTATGAAGGAGGAGACTCCTGCCGTGGGTGAAAATGGCACGCCCGTACCTCAGTCGGGGGCCACCACACCCGTCCCGCCCACCAGGTCTACTCCTTCGGCTACTCCTACCCCAGCACCGCCACCAACGACCGCGACGACCCTCCCGACCCCCATGGCCACCTTGGTCCCTCCCACAACCAATCCTTCTGCGGCTGCTACCCCTGCTCCTGGAGAGGATGCGGACGATGGACCCAAGTACGACATTCCGTTCGAGGCATCCAAGACTCCGTTGGACGGCGCCATTGCCGCCTCTATTTCACTCTCGGCGTCCGAGAACAAGGTCAAGACCGCCGCATCGTCCATCCTTCTTATCGGCGGCGGATCCGCTCTTAAGGGCCTTGCGCCGTTCATTGCCGACAGGTGAGTTGAACGGTGGTTGCGGGCGTTGCGTGAGCTAACACTTTTCCTCAACAGGCTCCCTTCGCTCCTCCGCCAAAAGGGCTTCCCCCAGGCTGACGTGACCATCGTTCCCCCACCGCGCAACTTGAACCCCAAGTTTGTCAGCTGGAAGGGCGCGAGTGTCATGTGCAACCTGGACAGCTTGAGCGACATGTGGATGCGCTCGGATGAGTTTGAGGCCATTGGCGCAAGGGCCCTCAAGGAGCGCTGCTTGTTCCTCTAAACGGGTGAGAGACAGAAGTTCGGGACGAGGGCATGAGAGTGTGGCTCTAGATGCATGTGCTATGGGGTTGATGCTAAATGCTACGTATCTATAAACTTCTTTTTAAGCCTTCTCAAACTCCTTCTTGGCGTTGACAAAGAGCTTCTCAATGTCGTGGACAAGCTCGTCGGTCATCTTCTGGACCTCGTCCGCGCCCTCTTCTCCCCTTCCACCAAGCGCCTTGAGACCTTCCTGCCTGGCCGTGCGGATCTGGTTCTTGGCCATCTCGATGGTCTCGTGCAGACTCTTCAGAATCGCAGTGCGCACTTCGCCCGTCGGGCGCGAGACCGGAATCTTGAGTGCGTTGCCATCGCGCTGAGGGGACATGCCGGGCAGGTTGGCCTTGTGGATGGCCGACTCGACGTGCTTCATTGTAGGGCCGTCCCACACTTCAACCCAGAGGGAGCTCTGGCGGACGGTGATGGACGCGACGGACTTGAGGGGCACGGAACCCTGGTCTGGGATGGCGACCTTGACGTTGTCGAGGAGTGCTGTTTGAGATCATGTCAGCTTCCATCCTTGGCAGTGAATGTAAAACGCCGAGCTGGTGCCAGGTGACCAGCTCATGTTACAGTGTCTTCATGGGTTCTCTTGCTCCACTTACCAGGCATGACACGGCCACGGCCACGCTCCACACCGTCAAACACGGTGGTGCGCGCCCAGTCGGCGGACTTGTCCATCTTGCTCCGAGTCTTCTTGAGCAAGGCGTCAATCTCCTCGCGAGTGAGGCCGTCGGCCTCGGCGCCGTCCTCGTCGGCGTCGTCCTTCTTAGACTTCTTACCGCCCTTGCCGCCCTTGTCGGCCTTGCCTCCCTTGTCCTTGCCTCCCTTCTTGAGGAGGGTAGAGGTGGAGGAGAAGGGACGAGTGCTAGTGGGGGCAGCTTGGGCATGGAAGGCGGAGGTGGCACGCAGGGCCGGAGCGGCCATCGGAGAGACACGCTGCGTGAGAGTGAGGCGCGCTGCACGTGCGATGGTAGCTGAGAGACGCATGGCGAAGTGTGTTTGAGTAGAGTTAGGAAAGAAGGAGCGAGACACATGACTTTTGGTGCACCATCTCGACGTTCATGAAGAGGAATTGTCACGTGACCTGGGCCCCAGTGGGTGGAGGTATTCCTTCACGTCAAAAGTTGGAGACCATGACCCACACCTTCAACAACATCCATTCCACCATGGCGCGCTTCACCAACATCGGCATGCCCCGCAAGACATTCGTCGCCTCTGCAGCAGAGGAGGCGCGCACTGAAAAGGAGGCTCCCGCTTCCCCGCCTCCTGAGGCCGGTCCCTCGACCGAGACGAGCGCGGGCGGCAAACGCAAGGGCTGGGGCCGTGATCCCGAGATTGCCAGTGCGTGTCGTGCAGCCTCTTTTGCACATCCATAAACACCCATAAACTAACGGTGTATTCTAAGAGCGCGCAAAGGACAACACAGACCGCGGCGAGCAGCGCCGCCTGATGCGTATCGACGAGCGCGCGGCTTCCACTACTTGTTTCGCCTGCCGTGGTCTCGGCCATTCGGCGCGTGACTGCCCCAACATTTTGCTGGCTGCCACTGGCCAGAATGGCAGCGCGGCCATGCTCGAGGCAGACGACATGGCTGCTCGTCAGGCCAAGGCGCTTGCTGAGGATGGTGAGGCTGAGGCTGAGGCTGTCGAAGGCAAGGGCAAGAAGGGCAAGAAGAACAAGGGTGGCAAGGAGCCCGCCAAGGATGTCACCGGCGCGAGCATCACGGGCGGCAAGTGCTACAGGTGAGTTCTAAGCTGTCCATATCTCGTTCTGAGTAACTGACATGTTCTCCAGGTGCAACTCATCGGCTCACTCGCTCAAGCACTGCCCCAAGCGCGCAGACAAGTCTAACCCGACCCCGTACGCTACCTGCTTCGTCTGCCTTGGACAGGGCCACCTGTCCGCCGCATGCCCCAAGAACCCTCGCGGCGTGTACGTCAATGGTGGTTCGTGCAAGGTGTGCGGATCCGTCGCTCACCGCGCCAACGACTGTCCCGACGACAAGCGTGGTCCCAAGCCTGCCTTTGCGGAGGGCGACGGGTTCGGCTACGACCCCACACGCCGTGGCCCCGCCGGTCGCCGTGAGAACATTCTCGGTACGGGCCGTGGTGCTGGTGCAGACGAAGACGACTTTATGGCTGCCTCCCGTGGTGCCACCGCCAACGATGGTTTCGAGTTCCAAGGTAACCGTACCCGCCACGCTCCCGCCAAGAATGGCCAGCGTGGCATTGCCAAGCGTCCCGGAGAGGAGGGTGCGTTTGTGCCCACCGAAAAGCCGGCGCCGGCCGCGGCAAAGCCCAAGCCTAAGAAGAAGGTTGTCTCGTTCTAAAGGAGGATGTACTGCGGAGTCGATTGCCTCGAGTACTTTGTAACATCGATATAGAGGGATGTGTTCATTTTTTTGGTTTAATCACGGCGGATGTGGATGTATGGCAGAGGGAGAGCACCCAGAGATACCAAAGATCACACACACTGAAGTTCTCGTATGATCCCGCAAGTTCGGGATGCATTTGGCCGTTTTCGCTACTGTCTATAGCTACAACATGTGTCCTAAGCCCAGGACGGAAACTGTATCTCGTCGGGACGCCCAGTTCAGATAGTATAGGTCTGCCGAAGGTCGGCAATGACTGGAGCGGTATCTTATGTAGTGAGGGACACAGTTTCGTTGTGTATCATGTGACCCGTGTGCGCAATCGCAGAAGGTGTTTGGCCACGAAGGAGCACAGATACCCGTGGTGCGATGATGGGAGTTGGCCTTCCCCAAGGTGCGGGACGCCTGGTCGTGTGACGTCCTCACGGAAACGTCATTCGTCCTCATGCAGGCGTCTCGGCAGTGATGGACACGAGATCTGTGTCGAACAGCTCGATAAACTGTTGCGGTGCGTTAGCGCTCGCTCCTCCATAGGTTTACACTGCAGAACGCTGAGCTACCTACCTGCTCGTTGAGGACGCGGACCTTCATACCCGCATACCGCCTGTACTCTTCCAAAATAGAGCTCAGTGCCCAACGCTGTAATTTACGCCAGCACCCGACCACAGTTCCTGTCCTGTGTCGGCCCATGTTGCAGCACACCAAAGTAGGGAAAGTGGAGGGCTGGAGGAGGAGTGTGAGGGCGTGGATGATGAGCGGCTCGGTTGGGGGTGGGAGTGGTGGGAGATGGTCTGCAAGTGTCAGTTACCGCTGCACATGGCAGAAGCCTTGGCTTACATTGTCCACTGAGAGGAACAACGCCCGAGTCACAGTACCGCGGGGGGAAGTGCGGATTGAGGCTGACCTGTGGGGCGAGGTTGTGCAGAACGATCCCTTGTGACTCTAGAAACGAGATGCTGTGGGGGTAAGCATTGTGTCTTGAAGCGACAGGACCATGCAAGGTACTCGATCACATCCGTGGCAGCACCAGTGGCCAACTCACAAGACATCAGTCGGTTCCTCTGCACCGACCCAAATGACAGTCCTCAAGTCGAGCTTTTCCAGAAAGGAGAAGTTGAGCTCTGTGGGTTGTGCCGAACGGTAGAATCCTTCTACTGTCAGCTCGCTGCCTATACTAGGCTTATCCCTTACCGTCCTCGACGAGGCCAAAGTTCATTGGCGGTACAATCTTGGCCATTGTTGCTGGTTAATAGTTGAGAGACGAAGGTAGATGGTGGTTGAATGAACGTTCGTCATCGGAGCAAGCACCGAGTGGTCACCTGTTGTCAACATTAGGCCATCTCTAATTACTAATGTTGTAATTCTAATGGACATGTATTTACACGTGTCCTTTAAGTCGCCACCCATCTCCCTTATCAGCCCCCACCTCCACCCGCGAGGGACTTCACTGCTCAGATTTCTGAAACCTCTACAACAACTACCACCATCGATACAATGAGCGGCAAGCGGTCCAACGTCGCCCTCCTCACAGAGGGCGCAGACTACATCAAGCGTGCCAAGAAGGCGCGTCAGGACCAGGTCGAGGAAATCAAGTTCGACGACGAGGCCAGGCGGTAAGTGGACCTAGTGACCAAGTACGGTGTCGTGCGAGCACGCTCGACGTCCATGGACTTTGGATGATGCCGGCAGTTTGCTGACATTCGCCCTCCGGCCTCCTACAGAGAATGGCTCACTGGATTCTCAAAGCGTAAAAAGCAGCGTACCGACGAACGCCGTACCCGTGCCAAGAAGCGTGACCACGAAGCACACCTCGAGGAGCGCCGCAAGGCTCGCAAGGAGCTCAAGGACCGTGCCGAGCAGAATGTACGCGACGTGCGTGCCGCCCTGGGATTGGCGCCTCTCGGTAAGTAGATAATAAAGCATCTCTGGTGGCAAGATCACTTGGCCGTGCAGTGCTGACCATATGAACAGAGGAGGAGGGCGACGACGACGGCAGCGATGACGACGAGGCGGGACCCTCTGGCAAGATTGAGGAGGAGGAGTACTCGGACGACGAGCAGCTGGCCACTGTCACCATCGAGGAGGACTTTGACCCTTCATCCACGCGCACGACTCGCAACTACGGCTCAGACTCTGAAGACGACGACGACGAAGAGGCCGCCGCGGCAAAGAAGAAGAAGGCCGCCGCCGCCGCCGTCCCTCTCCTCCCGGCCTCCTCGAAGCGTGCCGAGCAGCGTGCCAAGCGCGACAAGGAGAAGGCTAAGGAGGCAAAGGATCTGGCCAAGAAGAAGGAGAGGAAGAGCACCAGCATGGAGACTCCTGCTGAGAAGCGGAGGGCTAAGGAACACGAAGCGCGTAAGCGTGCCAAGCGTGCGGACAAGGAGAAGGCCCAGGCAGAAAAGTATGGTGTCACTCTTGTCCGCAGGAAGAGCGGTGGTGGTGGCAAGAAGACGGGTGCCAGGTCGTCAAGCGCCAAGAGTGGCAACAAGGGAGGAGGCAAGACGAGGCACAAGGGCAAGGCCAACCACAAATAGATGTGATAGTGATATTTGTTTATTCATGATCGTTGTTGTGCATAACATTGTGATCGTCGTCTCGTGTGGGTCATATCTCGGACATTTCTATGCGGTCGGACAGCATGCCTCGGCGTTCTTCTGCGTTGTCGAGTGTGGGTACGGGTGCTGCTTGTCGTGACCTCAACAGGGCGTCGCCCCATTTGCGAGGGAGGAGGTAGGCCACGTCGTCCAGGAAAGAGTCCCAGGCCGCTAGATGAGTTAGCTTGCGACAGGCATTGGAAACCCACTTCCTAGAGTTGCACGGACTCCGTCGTCCTCGTTATCAAGGCGAGCATAACCCTTGCCCGACGACCGCGCACGTGATCGAGCAGTCAGATAGTACATTGGCACACCGGTGGCCATGAAGATGAACGCCGCCAGTGCCTCCCATGGCGCCGCAAAGATGGGCATGAGAAGGAGGAACATGGCGACCTGTGGTGTGAGCTCACGGGTGGGTGTTTGGCTCACAAGACAAAATATAATAGGTGTCGAGAGCCACGTGCGGTACGGCCTGTCGAGGTGTGGCTCCTTGACGCGGAGGTACAGCAGACCCACAACCGTGGCAAGGTAGAGTGTCCACGAGGTCACCGAAAAGAAGTTGAGCAGTTCTGGTGTCAGCGCCGCCAGGATTCTTACCCACTTCGGAAGCCGCCACCAAACACGACAAAGAAGATTGTCAGGCCTGCATTGAGGGCCATGGCATTGTCCGGAGTACGACGTTTGGGACTGAGGCGCGAAAAGAGCTTGGGAAGGAAATGGTCCCTCGACGCAGCGTAGATGAGTCTTCCAGTGGTGTAAAAGCCGCCGTTCAACGCTCCAAAACACGAGATGGCGACCAGGGTGCTGAACACAACAGCGCCGAAGCGGCCAATAGTCATGGCCCCAAAGTCGAGGGCGACGGTATTCGATGATGCTACAGTAGCAGGGTCCAGGACGATGAAGTAGGAGATGTTAGCCGCGAGGAAGAGCACCAACACAATTGTCATGGACGAGTGGAGGGCGCGGGGAAGATCGCGGTTGGGATTCTTCATCTCGCCGCCGACAAACTGGCAGGGTCAGAACGCAGTCATTCGAGCCAAACCACTCACACTGCACTGATCCCAGCCGTCGAATGCCCAGAGGCCAGAGTACAGGGCAATGGCATAACTCCCCGGTTCCGTGGACGAGCCCGCAAAGATGTTGCCACTAAAGGCAGGACCAGCGCCGTGGCGGATAAACCAGATGAGACCCAGGACAGCGACGAAGACAAGGGATCCAATCTTGATGGTCGTGAGCACCACTGCAGAGTGGGTTCCTGCGGTGGGGGAAATGACGTTGAGCAGCGAAACGAGGATAATCGCCACGGCAGCGGTCACCTTGAACGTCCAGTCTGGGACGGTGGCTTCGGTATCGCCCGTCACGGCGTGGTAGACCATGCGGTTGAAGTACTCGCTAATGGGTTAGCTGGCAGCGCGTAGCAATCTACATACCCAAAGATGAGAGCGATGATAGCCGAGCTTCCTGGCTTGAGCGCCGACACGGCCGACCAGGTGTAGAGATACGAGGCCATGGGTCCAAACTAGCATCAGCTTCGCAATGTTGTTGTGGCTCACCGAGTAGGCGAGGTATGCCTGCGCTCCACCACTGAGAGGGATCGCACAACCCAGTTCGGCAAAGGAGCTGGAAACTGTCAGTGACGTTCAGATGAACTCGTGAGCCTACCTTGCACCAGTCCAGGCGAGGAGACCACTGACGATCCAAACGACCAGACTTGCGCCAACGCTCCCAACCGAGTCTATGACGACACCAGGAGACGAGAAGATGCCCGAGCCGACCTGCATGCCCACGACAAGAGCCATACCTGGATGTTAGCATTTACTGCAACTGTTTATAACCCACCATGAAGAAGCCCGACGTGTTTATGCTCCACATGCTGCTCGCCCGACATATCTCCTTCCGCCGTCGACAGACTCAGCGGCAAGAGCGTCTGTTCAAACTCGAACCCGCCCATAGACAGTAACGTGTTCGTGCGCTGTAGACCATGCCCGCCGGCATATGCTGGTCCTTGTTCCAATTCCAGCGCACGCAAGGAAGCTGTGGGCGAGCGACTGCCGCCATGACCGTCGCTTGAAACGGGGGAGAGGACGCGGCTGGGCGGCGTGGAGGCCGCCTCCGAGTGGGAGTGGAGGGGCATGGTTGAGAGTAGAGGTTGTTGTGACGCTGCAAAAAGCCCAGCTTATGCGAGCATTGCAGTCGGCACGGAATAGAGGGAGACAAGAAAGAGTGAGTGAATGAATGAATGGCAAGAAAGAAGCGGGTTCATCCTTGTCTGACCGGGAGTGACATGACGGCCCAACCCCACCCATTTCCAGGCACGGCGCGTCAACCGGCGCAGAAGACGCGTCTGGTTGATCCAGTCACTCATTTATCTTTGTCGTCAACACTCTCTCTCTCTGTCACTGCCAGCAACAACGATACATACCAACCTCTCCTGCTGCTACACTCGCCAAAGGACAGGTATAGACCAACGGAACACATTGCACAGAGCATACATAGCCGCACGCCGCCCTCCTTTTGCACCAATCCTTCGTCCTTGCCCCGACTCGCGCCGCCATGTCCCTCTGGGTCGACAAGGTGGGTAGCCTACCCATATGGTACCCATGCTAACTCGCGCCACAGTACCGCCCTCGCTCGCTCGATGACTGCCACTACCACCCCGAGCTCTCATCAAGGCTAAAGTCGCTCGCTGCTTCGGGCGACTTCCCGCACATTCTCTTCTACGGCCCCTCGGGTGCAGGCAAGAAGGTAGGCTGTCTTCTCTGTCGTGAATCAGCTAACAAGTCTTTAGACGCGTATCATGGCGACTCTGAGAGAGCTCTACGGTCCTGGTGTCGAGAAGGTAAGCTTTCATTTTCCTCCACAGGCTGACCGTTCAGCTCCGCATTGACCAGCGCGTGTTTGTTACGCCCTCGAACCGCAAGCTCGACGTCAACGTCGTCCAGTCCAACTTTCACATTGAGCTCACCCCTTCGGATGTGGGAATGTACGACCGTGTCGTCATTCAGGACATTCTCAAGGAGATTGCCCAGACCCAGCAGGTCGACTTGAACGCAAAGCAGAAGTTCAAGGGTGAGCACTGGCGCGAAAGTCGATGAGCTGACGGTTCCCAGTGGTCATTATCAACGAGGCCGACTCGCTCACGCGTGACGCGCAGGCTGCCCTGCGTCGTACTATGGAAAAGTACATGACCAACATGCGTCTCATCATGTGCGCCAACAGCACGAGCAAGATCATTGCTCCCATCCGCAGTCGTTGTCTCCTCGTTCGCGTCTCTGCCCCCTCAGACGAAGAGGTGAGTCCAGCTGCGTAATTGCAACCGTTTGCTGACAGCCGTTCAAGATGGCCACTGTCCTCACCCATGTCGCCAAGAAGGAACGCTTCCACCTCCCGGCCACGGCTAGCGAGTCCATCATTGAGGCGTCGGACGGAAACCTCCGCAAGGCTCTCTTGGTCTTTGAGGCTATGAAGATGCAGAGGCCAGACCTCGAGGGTGACATTGACGTCGCTCGCCCTGATTGGGAGACGTACTGCGCCAAGGTTGCCGACATGATTTTGCAGGAACAGTCGGCATCGCGCCTCCTCGAGGTCCGCGCCAAGATTTACGTGAGTTGGAGCGAGACAGCAAGTGACTGCTTGCTAACCACGCGCAGGAACTCTTGTCCCACTGCATTCCGGCACATGTCGTGCTCAAGGTAGGCCCTACATGATGGACCCAAACTTCGAGCTGCCCGAGCTAATCATTTACCCAGACCATCGCTGACAGGATCGTGGACAAGGTGGACGAGTGAGTTTCGTCGGCAGTCGGATCGGGCTGTGGCATGAAGAGTACTGACACTGGCAGTGAATTGAAGGCTTCAGTCGTGCACTACGCTGCTCACTACGTGAGTCAACAGCTCAAACCCAAGACTGACCCCTCAGGAGCTCCGTATGCGTCAAGGCTCGAAGAAGATCTTCCACATCGAGGCCTTCGTGGCAAAGATTATGTCGTACGTATGAGGCGAACCTTTATATATATGACGCTGACATTGTCCCTCAGTGTTGTGAAGCAGTATGCGCTCATGGGCATGACCGAGGACTGGGAATAAGCGAGCAGAAGTGTAGGAGGAGATGTCTGCAGAGCAAGGACGCGCAGAGGTGTGCCATTTGGAGTGACGACGTACTGGGAGCTGTAGCTATGGCTGCCCGTGGCAAGACGATACTGTACCATGCATAACTATGACTGTACGGAACTGTTTCTGGCCGAAACTTGGGCGTCGGAAGTAGCCATGAGCCACTGATCCACTGAACGTCGGTCTGGCAATGCCATGCACCTCGGCACGGGTCGACATACCCTCTCGTTCCTCAACATACTGGACCAGGCCCCCAACATTCGCGCCTGCAGCGGTGGAGACCACGTTAGAGGCAGCAGCAACTGACCCGGGTCACACACAAGACTTGACCCTTAACCGGACATTGACCCACCCTTTGCAGAAGACACACGCCGACTGCGTTCCGCCGTAAGTAAGACCAGATAGACTTTGCTCATCGACCTCTCTATATGGACTCTATGCATATACTAATATATCTAACACTTAATTCTTGGCAAGGACCGCAAAGTCACCCAGGCTTTCCACCACAAAGGTGGGCCGAATGTCGCTGGGCTCGGGTCCGTACACCTGGTCCTTGTGGGTGACACCTCCCATGACGAGCAGAGTCCTCACGTCGCTCCCCAAGCCAAACGCAATGTCTGTGAGCAGGTTGTCGCCGACCATGAGCGCGCGCTTGGGGTCGAAGTGGTGCTCGGCGATGATAGCGTCCATCATGTGCTTGTTGGGCTTGCCGATGACGGTGGGCTCGCGCTTGCCCTGGAGGGCGAAGACGAGAGGGGCCGAGAGAGAGCCAGAGCCTGAGGGAAAGTGTCAGTGACGTGCAAGGGACCGTGTTGACGGGAAAGGCAAGAGCAAGTGGGTCAGTAAAGGTGTGTAGTGGGTGGTAGGTAACGGCGATCACTGCCACCCGCCGATCCCACCCGCCGCACCCACATGCCACACAGTGTACGTACCAGGGTAGGTTGTGCCCGACGTGGGGAACACACGGTCCTGGTTCGTGAGGAGGAAGTGCACGTTGGGGTCGTCGCGGAGGTACGAGTAGGCCTTGCCAAGCTTCTTGTAGTCTGTGGTTGGTGTCAGCAGTGGCCCCACCAAAAACACCCTTGTCCCTTGCCGGCGGCAGTGGATGAGGGTCTCGGCCCAACTATTCACCCAACATCTTCGACCGCCGTCTTACTCACTGATACCAGAGTCAAAGCCGCAAAGAACAGCACCAATAGTCGGGTCCGCGGGGAAGTGGCTGAAGTCCATGCTGGGGATGAAGACGCGGTCCTCGGGGTCGGTACCGCCGCAGCGCTGGATGCCCACGGCGTCGAGCTCGTCCTCGAGTCCCTTTTCGCCAAGGACGTACACGCGCTTGTCCTTGGGGAAGTTGAGGATGCGGGACATGTACACCGCCGAAGCGTAGGCAGAGCCAAAGATCTCCTCCTGGGAAAGCAAGGTGAGCACGGGTGACTACCCAAGGAGCTGGTGTGGAGCTTACCTCGTAGGCCTCAATGCCGAGCTTGTCAAAGGTCGTCTTGTACATCTTGCGCGACTTGGTAGCGTTGTTGGTGACGAAGATGATCTTCTTTCCTGAACACAGGTCAGCAATGTGTTGGCGGGACTCTTTTCCACCTCACTCACCGGCATCGCGCATCAGCTGGAGGACGGTCTTGACGCCCTCGACGACGACGGGGCCATGGTAGATGACGCCGTCGCAGTCGAGGAGGAACGTGTCGACCGAGTCGAAGAGCTCCTTGTACTGCTCGGGCGAGGTGAGGAAGGGAGGAGGGGCCATGGTGCAAAGGGGATAAGAAATGGATGAATGAAAGGAGAAAAGAAAAGATGGTCAACGTCGGTCGGCTATCGCAATCTTGGGGGGTCGTGCCAAAAGGGGCTGCACCCCATCGCCCGCGCGTCCGCCAGATGCCGACGCGGGATCAGCCACAGCTGCTGACACGAACCACACACTTATTCTCCGGGCCGGCATCTCCGACCGGAATATGACTCACATCTCGTCCATCATCCATCCATCCATCAACAATGAGCACACAGGGACCCCCGGCAGACGCCAAGCAGGCCCAGGCCGCCGCTCTCCAGGAGATTGAGGCAGCACAGAGACGCAAGCGCGCGCTCGACATGAACCTCGTGAGTGCACAACCAAACAGTTTCGGTGTACTTTGGGTGGCGAAAAAAACAACACGTCGCGCGTCAGCGTCGGTCGCCCAGCGTACCCGCGTGTTTACCGAAAGCCATCGCGCCCGCGCACACGCCCTCTGCGTCATGTTGTGTGTATGCTGACCGCCCCATTCAGGCCAATGTCGAAGCGACGATTTGGGCCAACGAGGTGTCATATCTCGAGGACACGACAGCAAGCGGTGGTAACATCATCAAGGTGGGTGCTGAAGTGATCGCGGCGGCGACGTGATGGGGAACTCGTGATGTCGCTCCGCGGGTGGCAACCAAGGGAGGTCCATGCACCCGGAATCCCTGGTGGCCTGGTGGCCTGGTGGGCGAAGCGTTGTTACTGCTCTCGGCGACATTTGTCGACAGCCCGTTGCAGCTATGTGACCTCAACACCAGCACAGCCGCACTCGGAGCTAACGGAAACAGGGCTTCGAGTCATACCTCAAGCCGCCTACATCTTCGCACTCGCACCACAAGCGTAAAGTCGAGGCGACCGAGGACGACCGGTTGTTCAGCGGGAGCAGCGTGTCGTTCCATGAGGTGGGTAGCAGCTTTGCAAGGGCTATGCGACCCAAGCTGACATGGCTGCAGTCGATGCAGTCCCATCAGTAAATATCCCAGGTCACAGGACTGGACAGGCTCCCGCCTGCATTCGGTCAAGCGCTAGCCATGTTCGAACACTTTTCTTGCTGCTTGGATCGCGGCCGATTTTCTCTTGGACCATCTCTCACTTCCGGTCACTTGGGCTTCCTTGGTTTCTTGGCTTCCATATCCGGTGTCAAAACACCGCTTCTCCCCACTCTGTATTCCTGTAGCCCGATATATAATACCATTCTTTGAGGCGTGAAACGATGCATGGAAAGCAGCACACTGTGTTGCGCACGCTCCCTTGAACTATGCAGGTATGGAGTATGGAGACGACCACGGTCTAACCGACCGCCCTTTGGGCAGTTGAAAGCTATGCGGAGAACGGCCCCGGGCCGTCTTTTTTACTTGATATACCACCCACCAACCAACTCCATGGCCTTCTCATCACCCTTGGCGACGGCCTCGCCCTCCTCGCCGCCGACGACGTCGCCAACCATCTCCCATGGGTCCTTGCCGCCACCCCACTTGAGCAACTTGTTGCGCAACACGTCGCCCTGGTCGCGGCTTAGGGGATCATTCTCAAACAGAGTCGAGAAGACCTTGCCGGCAATGGCGCGGTCGAACAGGTACGAATAGTACGTCGCGCCGTAGCCGTACAGGTGGCCAAACTGGGTCTGCCACGCGGTGCCGTCGACGGGCGGGAAGACACCAACGTTGGTCTGGAGGTCCTGGTGGACGGCGGTCGAGTCGACAATCTCCCCGGGGGCAAGGCGGTGGTACTGCTGGTCCAGCATGGCCATCACGATCTGGCCGTGTGTCTCGACTGCGGCAAAGGACTGCTGCAGCGACAGGTGCTGGGCCAGGAGGGGCATGGGCAGGGGTTCACCCGTCGAGTAGTGCGAGGCGAACATGGACAGGACAGCGGGGACGAGACAAAGTGCTCCATGAGGATGGAGGGGAGCTCGACAAAGTCGGTCGCGCAGCGGGTTCCGGAAACATTGTGGTACTCTGTCCTACCAATCATGGCTGCAATTGTCAGCTGACGGCGCTTTTCTACTATCCTCAACTCACAGTGCATAGCGTGTCCCATCTCATGGAACAGCGTCTCCACCTCGTGCCAGCCGAGAAGAGCCGGCCTGTCGCGCTCAACCGTACCAAAGTCGGTGGTAAGGACCACAATGGGGAGCTGGTACTTGCCCTCGCGACCAGGGGAGCTGTCGCCCTCCGTCTCGAGGCCGGGGCCGAAACGCGCGTCCCAGCCCTCAGGCAAACGGTCGCCGGCAAGGTCGTCGTCATCGACACGGCGGCTGCAGCGAACCGTGTAATGCGCAGCGTTAGGTGGCTTGCCATCACGCGAGAACAGGTCACAGTAGATAATACCAATCAGGCCTTCCTTTTCGTCCACAACATCCAGGCGGCGGACCGACGGGTGCCACACTTCTCCGGGAGAGACGGCGGCGGGGCGGAAAGAGATACCGTACAGCCTGGAAAACAGGCGGGAGAGGCCACGCAAGACTGTGCCGGTCGAAAAGTATGGTGCCAGGGGGGACAGTGAGGCCGGGGCAAGCGAGGTCATGTACTTTTCCGTAAAGAAGTCGCGATCCCATGCGCTCATGGGAGGGAAGTGGGCCTGGCTGTCGTTACCGGTGATGCTCATCGACTTGAGGCGCTGGAGGACGGAGACGTCGGCGAGGGCAGAGGTCTTGTGGTGCTCTGCCAGCGACGTCAAGAATCCCCAGACGTTTTCGGGATTCTTGGCCATCTTGTCCACAAGCGCGACTTCGGCCCAGTTACTGCGTCCAAGCACGCCCGCGAGCTCGGCACGCTGGGCGAGCATTTCTTCCAACACGCCGACACGCTCCGGGTCCGCGCGCGAGTTGCCCACATACGCCAGGCGGCGCGCCTCGCCGTCCTTGGCGTAGCGGACGATCATCTGCGCCTCCCATGATCCGGGGACAACAAGGGCCTTGCCGCGACGATGGGGCAGCGAGTGGATAAACTGGGGGCCGAGGCCGTCCAGCATGCGTTCCGGCTCGGGAATCTCGATCAGTGGCTCCGGGGAGGGTCCGCTCGAGGCGGCGGTGAGGAAAGTGCGTCCCAGGGACAAGAGTGAGTCGGAGAGCTCGACAAAGCGTGCCCTCACTTGCGGGGGCAGGTCGATTCCGCTCTTTTCAAAGTCGCGCAGGAAAGTCAGAGCGACCTGTCGCTCGGCGTGACTGAGCGGCTTGGCGTGGTTGGCGTCCAGCGTCGCCGCCAGAGCCTCAAACAGCCCGCGGTCGGTGTTGAGCCCGTTCATGAACGAGCACAACCGTTCGTACGCCCTGTCCGCCTCGGCCACCCAGTTCCTGTCTGGGTGAGCGTTGCGTACGAGCTCGCACATGTCAATGACGCCGCAGAGCAAGTCGCTCAGCCGGTCAAGGTTCTTCACCACTTCGCGAAGCTCGATGCCCGTAGGGTCGCTCTGTGCGCGTGCGATGCGCTCCACAATAGCCTGCGCGTGGACGAGCGTCCGGTCGGTGAGGGCGCGCAGGTTGCGCGGCTGCGTGAGCGGGCCAAGCGTGAAGAGGCCAGTTGGGGTCGACGTGCGAGGCGTGTACGTGCTGTCAAAGAGGTGGCGAACGTCGTCGTCGTTGACTGCCGCTGTCGAGACTGGTGTCGAGGCAGGTGCCGAAGCGGCCGCAGCGTATGCTGAGGGGGGAGGCACAGGCTGGGCGGCGGTGGCCATGCGGTCGCGCGAGGGGCCGGCAGCAGCAAATCCGCGCTGCAAAGCAGGCGCTCCGCCAGCTGCAGTGCGCGCATGTCGCAGGATACCCCTTTGAGAGGCGCGCATGCCTGCCCGGAGAGCGGTGGTGGGGAGGCCTCGAGCGGCCATTGTGTGGTGACTGGGGAGTGAGGAAGTGGGAGGTTGTGAAATGGGCCCCTTGTGACAAGCAGAGGGCTAACAAAGGGTGCGCGGGGGTGGAGGCAAAGTGGCAAGGGACAGGTGGCGACGTCGCCTTGGCTGGACAGCGAATCCCTCCCCCGCTTCTATCCATTCCCTCTTGCATTGTGCTCGGTGATCAGTGATCAGTGGGCTGTCTGGACCGTGAATATGTAACGGGAAAGATTGCAGCTACTGTCACTAGTAGGTGTGTGTGTTGGCATCAAATTATCGGTACCGGCTTTTCACTCCGTATCTCGGATCGTCGGAGCATCCCGCCTAGCCGAGACTCTAATGTTCACCATCGCTATCAACAAGGGCAACATTGTCAGTCTTGATGGTCTGTGTCAGCTCTATCCAGCTCCTTTTAGCTGCCAAGGATCCTTAGGCCCTATAGGTGCACTAACGCCCCGCTTTCCTTTCTGCTGTTCATTGCGACGCTTTCAGAACGATGTTGCTCGTGCTCTTGAAACGTAATGCAAGCCCTCCAAACGGTACCTCAAGCATCTTCTCCCGTGGTCCTCTTGCCCGCCAATTCGCCACCCCATCAGCAAGCGTGGGAGACAGAGGACTTGAAGGTCCTTGTACCGCGCTCAGGTCCTCCCTCCGCCCGGAGCCAGGTTCCTAGTTGCATCGCGCACACCAGCAGCGTGCTCTTGCTACCAAAGTAAGCCAGGGCTGCTCTTGTACTTCCACAGATGCATGCTACAGCTGTACATCCGATTTTAACCTAGCAAGAACCGTAGTATTCTCGTTGAGGGGGTGGGGGGATGGGGTTGTCGTTGTTGTTGGGGATAAGGGGGGAGAGAGTTTTTGGGTGATAAACCTAAGCCATAAGTTTCCTTTCGATGCAAGAGATTAGATGAGGGCCTTGCGGAGGACGGCCGAGGTGAACTCGGTGGTGGTGGTGGTGCCACCGACGTCGGCGGTGCGGTGGTTGCCCTCGGCAATGACGTCGTAGACCGACGAAGCGAGGAGGTTGGCCTGCTCGTCGAGGCCGAGGTGACGGAGGAGCATGGTCGACGAGAGGAGGAGGGCGGTAGGGTTGGCCTTGTTCTTGCCCATAATGTCCTTGCCGATGTGACGGCATCCGGGCTCGAAGAGGGCGTACTCGCGGCCAAAGTTGCAGCCGGGAACGACACCGGGGCCGCCAACGAGACCGGCACCAATGTTGGAGATGATGTTACCGTAAAGGTTGGGGAGGACGACAACGTCGAACTGCTGGGGCTTCGAGACGAGCTGCATCGAGGCGTTGTCGACAATCATCGAGTCGAACTTGATGCCAGTGTGGCCGTACTCCTCCTCAGCAATGCGCTTGCAGGTGTTGAGGAAAAGACCGTCACCGAGCTTCATGATGTTGGCCTTGTGGACGCAGGTAACCTTCTTGCGGTTGTTCTTGATGGCAAAGTCAAAGGCGAAGCGGGCAATGCGCTCGGCCTTGGCGCGGGTGGTGACCTTGAGCGACTCCACGACACCGGGGTACGACTGGTGCTCGAGACCCGAGTACTCGCCCTCGGTGTTCTCACGGATGATGGCAAAGTCGACGTTGTCGTGGCGGGTAGGGAAGCCGGGGAGGGTCTTGCAGACAACAACCGAGGCGTAAATGTCAAGGGTCTGACGCATGGCGACGTTCCACGAGTTGTGGCCCGACTGAGCCATGGGGGTGTAGAGGATACCCTTGAGGCCGACCTTGTTGCGCTTCAGCGACTCGAGCGACTCCTGGAAGGCGGCGTCGGTGACGTTGTCACCCGAAACGTCGTACTGCTCCCACTCGACGGGGACCTTGAGGGCCTCGAAGACCTCCTTGACCGAGTTGGCGACCTCGGGGCCGATACCGTCACCGGGGATGAGGGTGCAGGTGTACTTGCCTGTGAACGTGTTAGCGAAAAAGCTTTGCTTGGCAAAGAACGAGCTCGCGCGCGTGCAAGGCCGGTCTCCAGCCTCCAGATGTGTTTTCCCTCTGCCACGCAGTGGTCTGACAGAGCTAGAGAGCTAGAAACCAAACATTGCAGGCGCGGGCAAGTGTTGATGGGACACTAACCGCCAAACTTGGCAGGCAGCTGTTATCTCGTTAGCCACACTGCAATCTCTCCTGGGGCCCTTTTCGGCGGCCTGTTGCATTCAAACTTACACGCTGCTCCTCGGTGAGGGTGGCCATGGTGCGGGCGACGGGGACGCGCTGTAGGTAAAACGCATGAGGAGGGTAGCAAGTGTAGAGGAAGCGGAGCGACAATGTCAGTGAACTGTCAAATTTGTTGTTGGGATTGGAGGAAAGGGGGGTGGGCTGGGAGCAACGTCACTCACCTGGGCGCGGGTAGCGGTGCGGAGAGCACCCGAGGCCGAGGCGCGGACAGAGTTGGTGAACATGGTGGGAGGGGTGGGTGAGGTGGATGGGGAGGAGTGGGGGGAAGAGAAGTGAGATGGAAGGTGTGGATGAGAGAAAGAGTGCTGGAAGGGGGGGGGCGGGGGGATGCAGCGAGAGCAGTTGTGACGACGACAATCGCACCTGAGGGTCTGCAAGGGAAGAGGGGGAACGAGGGACAACCGGCCGAGAATCCGACCAAGTCCGCGCTGCCAAACGCTGCCAACAGGCTCCAGCTCGGGTTTTGATCCCGCAAGTCCATGTATCGCCGTGCAGCGCCGTCATTACCCAGCCCTGCTGCATGGGCCAGTGCCGCCGGGAAGCTCGACCCCCGTGCTCAAGAGGACCGGACGCCATGGACAAGGGGCCAACTGGGAGATGCCAATGCCGCAACAGAGACGAGGCCGAAATGGGTGACCAGTTGGGCAAACACAGTATTTCTGCCACAAGAAATTTGAGCCATTGCGTTGTGTGTTTCTCGTCGGGGCATTAGCATTGTTAGCGCCAACCCATTTGAATTTGCAGCGCCCGCGTCTTGGCCATGTTGTGATCTCGTGACGGTCTCTCGGTGCCTGTCTCTCATGATTCACTTTGATTACTCCAATCTCGCATCAGCGAGGACCTGTATTGTCTTCGTCTGTTCAGCCAACGATCGCATCAAGGTGGGAGTGAGCTGCTGTTTACCCTCTGCGCCCTCGAAGAGCAGATACTCGTATGTTGCTACCTGCCACGTCTTTTCCACCTTCCTTCCTTCCTTGCGCAGCCGCGCTTTCAGCCAGACGCGCTAATGGGACACCACTACCGCACTGCCCAGCGTTCATTGCCGCAATTAGTACCGCACTACGCAGTCAGAACAGCAGGATACATGCGCTGGCCGCATAGGCCGAGCAGCATATGAGCAGTTAAAGCACCTCTGGCATGCGAGACCACGCGGTTCGCCCGAAACCCTCAGAGCAGTGGGCCCTTCACCCAGCATCCCTTCCAGTGGCACCGGTGCGTTGGCCGACAATCTCCGCGACCAGGTTTGGCAACGTGCTAGCTGCCACTGATGCATGGTACGTCGGAGTGCAGCGCAGGCCGTCACAAGCCACACATACACGCTGGACGCTGATTCCTGGTCGACGACAATGAAAGTCGGACTGAAGGATAACGCTCGTTCATCTGCGCTCTGGATGTTGCTGAACGAAAGCTTTCGGGCGTGCGGCCATAGCCGCCGAACCGCCGGCAAGATATCAACAGTGTGTGTGCCTGAAGATGCCAATGCAAAGATGGTTAAGAGCCCACGTGGCAAAAGGGGGAGGATTACACAAGCTATTTACAAAAACGCTCAGTGTAATCAACCACAGACTCCATTAGAAAAGACAATTCTAATGCCGCCCGAAAAGTTGAGAATCTCGGCCTCCAACCCTTTGGCCACCTACTTTGGCCTGTTTTTGTTGCTCAACGCACAGTCCATGCTCGCGCACGCCCGACGCGGACTCACCAGACTCATACATATCCCCACTCTCTCTCGCCGCAACATGTCCTCCGCTATTGCCTCCGAGGTCGCCACTCCTCACGACACACCTGGCAGCGCTACCCCCGTCGCCGACGTCGAGGTCGACGCTTCCGCCGAGGCTGGTCCCTCGAACGGTGTCCGCATGAGCGTCATTGACAAGTGGCTCAAGCCCAACGGTCCCCCCAAGGGAACCTCTTTTGGAGCGCGTAAGCTCGGTGGCGAGGACGATGTGTGGGCCAACAACGCCTGGTAAGTGACCTTGTCCTGCCCCCCAAGCTCGTTACTGACCACTGTCTAGGGACCACGCCGAGCTCCCGGACGACTTTGACCAGCGCGCGGCCGAGATTATGGAGCAGCACAAGTCCAACCCTGTCCCCGAGGACAAGACTGCCGACTATAACGCTCGCCCCGCGGCGTTCTGGAACAAGTTTTACTCCCACCACGCCGACCAGTTCTTCAAGGACCGCAGGTGGCTGCCTCTCGAGTTCCCCGAGCTCGTGGCGTGCTGCGAGCCCGAGGCTGGTCCCAAGACTGTGCTCGAGGTCGGCTGTGGTGCGGGAAACACCGTCTTCCCTTTGTTGATGCACAACGAGAACCCCGACCTCCGCCTCGTGGCCACCGACTACTCGTCGACGGCCGTCAACGTCGTCAAGCGCGGCGAGCTCTACCCCAAGGCGCCCCACGGTATTGGCGAGATCCGCGCCGCCGTGTGGGACATTACGTCCAAGCCTGACCCCGAGTCTGGTGTCGACTACTCTCTCCCCGAGGGCGTCGAGCCCGGATCCATCGACGTGCTGACTGTCATCTACGTTCTGTCGGCTCTCCACCCCAAGGAGTGGGAGCAGGCCATGCACAACCTCTACACCGCCCTCAAGCCCGGAGGTCTCCTCTGTGTTCGTGACTACGGCCGCCACGACCTCGCCCAGCTGCGTATCAAGAAGGAGCGTCTGCTGGACGTCGAGAACTTTTACATTCGCGGCGACGGCACCCGCGTCTACTTCTTTGAAAAGGAGCAGCTGGGCGGTCTGATGACCGCCCCGCCTCGCGGTGAGGCTGAGGACAAGCACATGTTCGAGATCAGCCAGCTTGCCGAGGACCGTCGCTTGGTACGTATGGATATAGTTTCCCCCGTGATACCTGCTGACCCATCACCAGTTGGTGAACCGCAAGGAGAAGCTGCAGATGTATCGCATCTGGCTCCAGGCCAAGGCCTACAAGCAGTAAGGGCCTGCGACAGCGACAGCCACAGCGGTAACGTCTGTGGTTGCGCAAACAATTGTACTGCCCTTTGGGATATGCATTCTTGGCACTTTGGACAGACACTGCGGCGAGAGGACATGGAGTGTAGTCCCTCTATCACTAGAGGGACCACGACACATTGCAACGACGACGTGCGGGGATCGTGGAGAGCATTTTGCTTGTCAGTGCGATGCCCATTCAATGCAAATGCCTGACATAGTGCGACACAAGGATATGAGAACGATATGACATGGAACTCCAGTATATGCATTCTGACATGCCTGCTAATGAGTCCCGCCGTGGACCGTGGACGGCTCGGAGCGCTCGGTGCAGTAATACAACATTGGTCGGTCGAGGTGGACTTGTGGAAGGGTCGTGTCTGGGACGAGTGAAGGTCGGTACGCTGCCTGGTTTACTTCTTCTGTAGAGGTATCAGCTTACAACCCATACACCGTACCTCGAAATGGAGCAGCTCCCCCAATGCCACTCACCTCGGCCTCCTTCTTCTCAGCCTTGGCACGCATCATCCTGCGCTTCTTGGCCTTGGGGCCGGCAGACTCTTCGACCACACGCTCAGGCTCAGCCTGGGGGACAGGCTTGCTAGCGGCCTTGGCCATCTTGGAGACGGCCTTTTGCTTTTGCGTAGGACGCTTCATGAGCTTTGCGGAGCGGCCCATTGTGACGAGGTTGTTGGAGCGAGATGGATGAAAGGTGCTGGTGGAAATTGTTTTCGACGTTTTTGGGTGGCAATTAGAAAAGCGGGCATCTCAATGCTTACGTAAAGGCCTTATATCTATAAGCGGGACCTAACAACCCACCCATCGCGATGGCCCCGCAACGAAGGCCGAATGCGTGTGCATGCGTGCGGTGCGACGATGACGTGCCCCTCAACACCTCTCTCGCTCTCCTTCTTCACAACAATACATCTGTGAAAGAGTCATGGCAGCAGCCGGGTCCAGCACGCCACCGCGGCGCGCGTTTGGAAGCGGTGCCAGCGCCGCCAGCAACTCCACCACCAACGCGGCAAGACGAACCGACTCGGCAGCGTCTGTCGCCAAGCAACGGCCCGAGAGTATCACTTCCTTTGCCCAAGTCGTCGCCGCTGCTCAGCAGCAGCAATCGAGTCTCCCATTACCCAAATCCAGTTCGAGCGGGACACTGTCTGCCCCCCAGCCCAACCACCCACCGCATTCCGCACTGGGTAGCAGCCCCGGGTCGGTGAGCTCGGTCGCATTTGTTGGTGGGCGGGAGCGGTCCACCTCCAACTCGAGCACGGGGGCCATTGCCGTCGAGCGCGCGAGCCAGTGGCTCTCGGCACTCGCCCCCCGTGGTGAAGGACGAGGACGAGAGTTTCTCACATCGACACTGAGCGGCGTAGCGACCGTGGCCAGCACGGTGGGCCAGGAAGTGAATGGATTCATCAACCGCCCACCTGGTGGAGGACACTCCCGACCCAACTCGTTCTCGGCGTCCAGCCCTCCCGATGGGGTTGTGCCAGTGCCAAGGACTCGAGGGGGTCACGCACGACGAGACTCGGCAGGTGCAGTGACTGCCTTGGGATTACAGCGTACGATATCGCCTGTACCCCTCAACGCCAATGGGAACGGCAACGGAAACGGCGCAGCAGGAGGGCGACGGATACCACAGCCTGCCAACATGAGCCGACTGGGCGGGGGCACGAGTCACCAGTCCCTAACGAGCCATACGTCCCACACAAGTTTGACGAGTCCGTTGACGAGCCCGACACAGGGCACTTTCCACCGCACAGCACAGCACTCCGCCACCCTCCCGCCTCCCACCTCGTCCTCGTCCTCGTCCTCCACTCCTCGTCCCACCTCCCCCAGCGCCCTCTCCACCACGTCCACAGGGACAGCGACAGGTCCAGCCCCGCGGCGCGGGTCGCACCACCGCGCAAACTCACTCGGCGCCGTCGGGGCCCTCGCCACCTCGCCAGCCCTCTCAGCAGCAGGTACCGGCCGTGTCCGCGCCGCCGGCATGCCGTACAAGATCGGGTTCCAGCCCAGCGGTGTGCGGAGCGACCGGACGGCCGAATTTATGATGGAGCGGCGAACACTGAGTATCGAGAGGGATAAGGAGGAGGGCCGTCTGGGAAGGCGGTGGGCCAAGCTCGTCGACCTGCACTTCAACCCCAATTTCCAGACACCCATCGGCGCGGCAGCGGCAGGCCTCACGCGGTCGCCTAGTTCGAGCAACTCGCTTACGGGGGCGCTGGATTCGTTCAACCCCAAAGAGGTCTGGAAGGGGCTCAAGATGGCCACAGGGCCGAATCCAGAAGAAGCGCGCAAGAGAGGTGAGCTATGGACCAACGATTGCAGCTGACAAGATAGCCACCGAGCAAGGGATCGTCAAGTGGGAAGACGATGCAGATGTCAAAAAGTGCCGTATTTGCCAGTGAGTTATTATACATGAAATGAAGTGTTCCAGCTCACACAGCAGAGCGTCATTCTCTCTGTCTACACGCAAGCACCACTGCCGCCTGTGTGGCCGCATTGTGTGCTCCCTCCCGCCAACACCGCCTGCCCTCCTCGCCGTCCAGATGCAGCTCTTCGCGCCCGCTGACGCGGGTGCCGCTCACGACCTGCACACCTTGCCCGTGACCGCCGCGCAGGCGGCCCTGCCCCCCGGGACCAGGCGCGAGAAGTGCTCTCTCCTCCTGGTAGCCGACTGGAAGACGGGCCGCGGCGAGGAGGTGGACGAGGGCTTTGTCGGGTGGATGACGCTCGAGGGCGCCGACGAAAAGGGCGACCCGGCGATCCGCAATGCCAAGAAACGTGCCGCAGCCGCGCACGCGCGCCGCGCCTCGCGCGACTCGAACAAGGTGCTGATCGAGTCGCGCGCGTCCACCCCGCTCCCGCAGCAGCCCCTCGAGGTGCCCGTGCACGGCGTGCGGTGCTGTCGGGAATGCTGGACGGTCGTGTCGCGCAAACACAAGATTGCCGAGCGGTCGCGCACCACGCCGTTTACACGCCTGTACGTGGCGCTGCGGGCGATCCAGAGCGAGATCGACAGTGTCCTGCCCGAGTTTGAAGAGCAGCTCGCGGCGCACCAGCAATCGGGTAAAGAGGACGCCGAGCCAGACGACGACCTGCTCGATGCGCACAAGCACCTCGTGGCCTTGCTGGGACAATACGACGTTGTGGCAAAACGCATCGCCAACCTCCCCTGCGCCGAGGGCGGGTCGCAGGGTCAAGTCCAGGCCGCGCTCGCCCGGTCGGCCGCGACGGTCCTCGCGCGGGCCATGGCGAGCATACAGGAACTGCCCAAACTCCAGCGCCGCGCGGCGGCCGCTCGCCAGAAGAACATGGTCGTCATTGAGAGTTCCATGAGCGACGTGCTCAAGGCGGGCGGGGTGCGCGAGGACGAGGCCGAGGACGTCGCGCAGGCCCTGCAGCCGCTTCTGGAGCAGCAGGCGCAGTTGGAGTGAGTAGGCCATGGTAGCCGTCTGTAATCGAACGACACAGCTGACTCGCCGTCCTTAGGTCCTTCATCGCCGAAGCCAACGCTCAGCGCAAGTACGACGACTCGCGCTCGCTCGCCGCTGCGCTCTCGGAGATTGAGGCTGAGATTGCGCGGCTCACGGCGAGTGCACTCAAGTAACGAAACAAGGGTATCGGCCGCGTACGCCGCGCGTCGCGCGCCACGACACGACAGGGTGGCAGGATGACAAGACGAGACGACAGTGGGCAAGGAGGGGTCATGTCAGCCACACCACCGGCCACCGCGCGTCCAGAGTGGCGGCATGTGGGCATGTCAGCATAGAGGCACGCGTAGACGGTCACGCGCCCACGAAACGATAACGAGGTATACCATACCACATTCCACTGCTGTTTGCCCACCACGGATTCTTCCTATTTTTGCTTCCTCCCTCCCTCCCCCCTCTCTCCCAATCACATCCTATCATCTAGAGTTCATTCGATCGGAGAGGCACCGCACCACGCCATTAGAGAAGAACCGGACTTGGAGGGCTGGGAATTATCATTTTCACGCATGGAGACGTCGAGGAGGGGACAACGGTTGTATTTGCGCTACTTCAATGCAAGGTTTTTTTCATGACAAGAACAACTAGAGTGCGTGTGGTGTGTTGTAGTGGAAGTTGTAGTGGTGGGTTTGGGACGGGACAAGGAGGCCCCAGTGATACAAAAAACGGCCTTTTGGGAGTTGTTACACAGTGGGAGGGAGGATGGGAACACGTGAATCCTCGCGAGAACAGATAACCAGGGGGGGGCTGTACACTCATGAAAAGCTGTGGGGGTTGTGGCGGTGATGGTGCAGTGTGGCAGACAGGTGGTGGTCGTGTGTGGTGGGAAATGAGGATTGGCGGGGGGCTGTGGCGGTGTGGGGTTTAAAATTGTTCAATGTAGGTGTAGGTGCTTGGGGGTACAAGTCAACAGTCGAGGTGGTGAGCGTGGCGAGTCACTTTAATACATGCGCAAGGCATCGTTGGGGTCGTCGATGGTGTCGATGGTGTCGATGGGCATGTCGAAGAATGAATGCGAATGCGAATGCTGGGGGTTGGGGCTGGGGTTGGTGATCATGTGCGTGGCGGGGTCCGCCTTTGGCTGATACCCATAGCTGTACGGCGCTGGGTAGGTGGGCTTGGCATTGACGCCGACGGTGGGGTCCAAGTCGACGCCGAGACCATAGTTGTAGAGCCACGAGTCGTCGTTGGAAGGCCATGGAGTGGGGCCGGCAGTAGGCACGGCCCACTCGTGACTAGCGGGGCTGGGCGCCAAGTATGCGGGCGAAGTGGGCTGGAGACTGGAGCGTTCGGGGAAGAGCGTGTCGTCCACTGCGGTGTGCGCGAACGAGGGAGGGTCATACTCTGGCTCAAGAGGCATGATGACCGGCGCTCCACCAGAAGGCGACGACTCGCCGACCATGTCGACATCGGGTGCGTCTTGGGGTTGTTGCTCGGGCGGAGCGGAGAGGGGACGCGACCAGTTGACCCTGTCGAGGGTAGAGGTCAAATCATATCGATGCGGCGGATCGGCCGATCCGACCCTGTCATCAAGGTGGTGGCCGCAGTTGGGGTTCTGCGGCGGGTTGCCCGTGAAATTGCTGTCCACCCAGTCACTGAGCGCGGCGATAAAGTCGTGGGGGGGTTGATGCAATGTCCGCGTCCCGGCGGCCTCATCGGCGCCAGTACGTGGCGATGCAAGCGGGGACTCGTTGATCGCAATGTTGGCCCAGTTTCCTGTCCGAGTGGCAGTGGCAGTGACATTGGCATTGGTATTGGCGGCCCGGTTTGCAGCTGCACTGGCCATTTTTGCTGCCAACATGGCAGTCGTAGTAGCCGCGTCGACAGTCGTGGGCATTCCCACAGTCGGCCACTGGTTGAGTGGCGGCTGAGGCGTTGGCGCGGTGGCGTCCTGAAGGGCCCAGTGCCAGTTGGTTGGAACCGAGTGCCCGGGAATGAACGGCTGGGCAGGCTGGGGCTGGTCGCCGCGCCCAGCGGTTAACAGAGTCGCCAGATCAAACCTGATAACAGGCGCGGGTTGAGATGGTTGCGGCGCAGGGCGTTGCGCGGCTGGTGTAACGTTGCTGGACGGTGTCGCCGCGGGGGCAATGTAGGTCGGGCCGTCCATGATAGGCGGGCCGTTGAGCGACAGACCGAGGAAACGCAGTTCGTCAAACGATGCGGCGCCAGGTGCGGCTGCGCGGCGTCAGCCTGCGGTACACATTTCGGTCCGGCAAACAAAGGGAGGTTGCCAGGGCAAAAGGAAGAAGGAAAAAAATATAGGTTAGTTGCTTTGAACTCACTTGGGCTTGCATGCTGGGCTTGAGCTTTGACTTGGGCGAGCGCCGCCGCCACCTTTACAGGCTGGGATGCCACTCCGCGCGCAAAGATGCCACCTCGTGGCATCTGGACGGTGAGCCGTCCTGCTGCCCCTTGTACAGCGTTCGACTTGAAACGCTCAGCGAGGGCGAGCTCGGCGAGAGGGCTATTGTCGAGGACGAGCTTCTTGGGAGCCGAAGTGGGACGTGTGGCGGAGGGGAATGCAGGCGTCGTCGTCACATGCAGCAAACTTGAACGCAAGCCCATGGCGGATGCGCCGCCAGCGGCCACTCCATTCGCGATTCCGAGGGCGTCGGAAGCTGGGGGGAGGAGCAAGTCAGTCAGGTACAGACTATTGCCCCGTGGTCTAAGGGGCAGCAGGGGGGGGCTCTGGCCAAATCCAACTTACCTCCACCTTCCCTGGCCTCGTGCAACCTGGCTGCGCCGCCGCCGCCGTTGTGATGGTGGTGGTGGTGCTGCTGGTCGAGCATGTGGTGAGCGGTGCTACCGGCACCATCCTTCCGCCGGCTTGGATAGGGCGCGCAACGGGCGTCTGCAAGACGCTTTGCGTGCGGGCGAACAGCGTTTGCGGCAGCCGCGTCGAGGGCCAGCTTGGCAGCAAACACCTTTCGTGCCCGGTCACGTAGCTCCGTGTCGGCCAGGCGGCGTAGTTCGGTATCAGCCCGGGCTAACAATGCGGCCGCTGATGGGAGGACTGATGGTGCCCTGGCCGGATCGTAGTCGAGGTTCCAGTCTTCCTCGCGCAGGTGGTCGCCGCCGGTGCGAGAGCGCACAAAGTAGCTCATGCCTTTACGGGCATGCTCGAGCGCGTACGGACGGGTGGCCGACAGAAAGTGGGCGATGTGTCTGTTGGGCTCGGCAACCTGGGGTGGGATCGCCCTGATGGGCGGGTTGCTGCCCATAGCAGAGACGGCCTGGCGGAGGGGAGGGGGAGGTGGAGCTGGGTGGGCGTGGTATGCGTGATGACTGGAGAGGGGGGTGTGGTGGTGGGTGGGGAGGAGGCGAGGGGTGGAGAAGGGAGAGGGTTGATGGAGTTGGGCGGTGTGGGCAGAGCAAGAAATAAAAGAGGAGTGGAGTGATGGGGGGGTGAGAGTAAACGGTGGAGAGAGACAGAGAGAGAGAGCGAAGGTGAAGGTGGGGGGGTGTGAGGATGACGGGCGAAATGTAATGGGTGTGTGGGTGTGTGGTATGGGTGGGCAGGGGGCGCGGCGGGGGCAAGGCGGACGAGTGAGGAGCACACGCCGCAAATGGACGACACAATGAGCGAGACACGCGAGAGGATTATGTGCACTGGCCCGTAACTGGCGCTTATTTTGTTGTGCGTCTGTGGGTTTGTGTGTGTGTGAGGTGGTGCTGGTCGGGATGCAATTCTTTGTGTGGCCTGTCAGGCAGAACGAGGCAGCCTACGTTATCTAACCAACGCTCGCTCCCCCCCTCCTCCCACCCTCCGGGCCTGCGCGTGCGGAGAGGAGCATGCGCTTTCATGCGCTCAAATGAGCCGTGTCTACGCCACCAAACCCAGCACAACCTAAGGTGTGTCGTCTGGTCGGTCATTGCCCCTGTATTTGCCTCTTTTCCCGCCGTCGGTCGCTTGGCGCAGAATTGAAGCGTCGCAGCCTGCAGAGCCAGGTGTGTCCTACAGTTCCGTCTCTCTCTCGGTCTGGCCCGATCGACGGCATGGATGGAGGGGCACACCCACCAATCCACACTCGTTGTTCCGTCTCTCACTGTCTCTCTCTGTCGCTGTACCTCTGTACCTCTGCGCGTCTGCGGCCCCCGCTAATCCCTCAACATGCATCCGGGCAAGAGGGTCCGTGTATATACCACGCTCTCGTTGCGTCGGTCGCGGATACCTGGACGCATCACATACCGCCCACACTGGTACACTGGAGCAATCTGGCTTGTCCGGTGGACTTGGGCAAAAAGCCCACCTGTGCCCATGGGCACGGGGTCACAAAACGGGTGTCATTGGGTGTCATTGGGTGTCATGGTTCTGTTTTGGAGTCATCAGGAGGCCACAAGGCCCACAAGTGATGCAAAGTGACGCAGAATAGAAGAGAGGGTCCACATGATGGCATATGATGGCGCGCAGGTGGTGCGTGGCCATGCGTGGGGGGCGAGGCTGAAATATGCCGCGAACGGAACACATGACGCTTTGGGCACGGGGGTGGGTGGGGGGGGGGCGGTCTTGAGAGAGCCGACATCACGAGCAACGACGCATCCCACGGCTAGGCGATGGACAGGGCAATCAGGCCGACATCCGAGACTTGTTAAAGCGAAAGGGGCTGGCTCGACAGAGGTACAGAGACGCAAGACAAGGGTGCGCAAGAGAGATGGAGCCGAGTGAGAGAGAATTCAACCGAAGACGGCACTCTCTCTCTCTCACACACATACCCGCACATCCCAATCGTTTTAGACTTTGGGTTGGTGTAGGCTATTGGATTCCCCCATTCAAAGACACCGTGTGTGGTCCCTGGCTGGCCCATGTTGCCGTATCATCGCCCGTGGCCCGTGGAGGCTCCAGAGCCTGAACGTCGTCATTGCTCAGATCCAGTCACGTGTGTTCCGTGTTCACGCATCACGCAGACGAGTTCCACCGTCGGAATGACTCCAGCTTTGCGATACAAAACGCCTGCAACGCGCGATTTTGGAAACACGTACACCTCTTGCTGCGTATGAAGGCAGCCGTGGCAGTGGCCCAGTGTGCTTGACGCTCTGCAGAGATGACACAGAGCCAAACAAAAAGCACACACCCGGGTGCGTGTGGGTGCACGCTTATTACCGTTAGCGGCCCCTCGTGTAATGGATATAGAAAACGCTGTTTAGCGGCATTTGAATTCAAAGCTTGGACTATTTTGAAACGCCACCTGCACGTTTGGGATCTCTCTCCGTCTCCACACTCTCACGGATCACGTTGCCATCAACATTCTCCTTCCCACAACCGCCCCCTTGTTCTCGCTTTCTCCGGCCCATCTCCCGGCAACAATGAGCTCAACAGCCAACCATCACCAACAACAACCCGCGGCCGCACGCGCTGCTGACCTGTCGCTACCCACCGGTCCCGAGTCGGGACAGACATCATCGGCATCAGCATCGGCATCTGCATCCACCTCGGCATCTATATCCACCGCGGCATCCGCACTGGATCTTGCGCGCGGTGGCCATGGTGACAGCGCTTCCGGTACCGCCACCGCTGGGCTGCTGCACTCGTCATCGGACCGCGCTCATTCTCCCGAACTCGCGCCGGCCGAGACGTACCAGATGGACAGCGAGGCATACGACTCATCCGACGCCGAGAGCATGGCCGACTCGGAGTACGAGACCCTCGTCCAGGAAGGTATGTGTGTGTTGGTCTTCTTCGTTGTTGCGTTCACCCCCGTGTGTGGCTTCACATCGTCCCAGGGTGTTCCCTGTCACTCACGCCATATCTCTCTCACACACACACGCATCCCCCTTCTCATGGCAACATACCTGTGCACATGTTGTGGAACTAACACGAGCAGCCGACGCAGGGTACACCGAGGACGAGGCGGCGGCGTTTGTCGCACAACTCAAGGAGCAGGGACTGGTCAACTTTCTGCGTGAATACCTGGCACCCCAACCCGATGGGTCGGTGCAGAGCCTACGCAAGCTGCTCCTCGGCATGGGCATGGTACCGGTACGTTTTTTGAGACTGCCGGGATTCGCCCCTTGTTCCCACAGTTCACATATACACGTTGTGCTGACACGCACACTCACAGCCACGGAGTCTGCGTGAACCGGGCACACCGGACCTGCATCTCCTTGGCTTTGCAAAAGTGGCGCTGTCGCGCGTGTTGCGGCGCCGCGAGAAGCTGCCGCAGGAGAACACGGTCGACGATGCTGTCCGCCTGTTGTCAACTGCCAAGCGCATCATCGTCCTGAGTGGTGCTGGAATCTCGACGTCGTGTGGCATTCCCGACTTTCGCAGCTCGACAGGTCTCTACGCCCAGCTCCAGGCCGAGGGCAAGTACGAGCTCGACGACCCCCAGCAAATGTTTGACATCAGCTACTTTCGCGAGCACCCGGAAGTCTTCTAGTGTGTTTTCAGTCAAGCCACAATGACGACACGCCTCCCGCTGACACTTTGCTTGCTTTTTTCAGCTCCTTTGCAAAGCAGATCTACCCGTCCAACTTTGTGCCCAGCCCGTGCCATCGCTGGATCAAGTTGCTCGAGGACCGCGGTGTGGTAAGCCTGTGCCTGAATGCCTCGCGACTGACATTTTAGCTGTTGCGCAACTATACCCAAAACATTGACACGCTCGAGAGCCTTGCGGGCGTCACCAACGTGCTCCAGTGCCACGGATCATTCAGCACCGCGTCTTGCCTCCGCTGCAAAGACCGCATGCCCGGGTCCGTTATCGAGCCGTACATCATGTCCCAGCGTATCCCTTACTGCCCGAAATGCCGGCCGCAGCGCGACGCCGAGATTGCCGCCATCAAGGCATACCGCGCCCAGCGCCGGGCCAAGAGCAAGAGCAAGGGAAAAGCCAAGGCGACGTGGGACGACGACGAGACAGAGGACGACGACGACGATATCCCAGAATGGAGCGGCGAGCCCGGTATCATCAAGGTGGGGCGTTCATTTGTGCCGTACTGTGGCGCGCTTTGGCTGACACAACAAACGCACAGCCGGACATTACATTCTTTGGCCAGGCGCTCGACTCTGAATTTGACGAATGCCTGTTCCGGGATCGCGAGCAGGTCGACCTGCTCGTCATCATGGGCACGAGTCTCAAGGTCGCGCCCGTGAGCGAGGTGCTCTGTGAGTGGTGGTGCAAAGTGACATTTGCGCCGGCAAGCTAATTTCCTTTCCTCGCCAGCACATATACCCCACTCGGTCCCGCAGATCTTCATCAACCTCACCCCAGTCACACACGTCAAGCCTGATGTGAGCAGCTAGCCACCAGCCCACCCCCAACCCAACTCCTCCCCCACTGACCCCCGGCCCAGATCTGCCTGCTAGGCGACGCCGACTCGATCGTGACCGCCCTCTCGGACCGGCTGGGATGGTCCATCCCGCCACCTCCGCACGGTGACGCCGCACAAGTCCCCATCACACCCGATGACGCCGTGTGGATCAGTGGGGACGGCGATTGGTGAGTGCAGTGGGCGTGCAGTGCAGAGCTGTGCCATTTGTTTGGCGGTTGTTTTGCGGTTTGCAGCGTAGCGTATTCGTGGCTGACACGGTCCATAGGGCCCACTTACACATGCTGCGCTCGCAGGCCGAGCGCGCAGCCGCCGCGGACAAGGCGGAGACGGACAAGGCCAACGGGCTCGCGCCACTGCCGACGCTCGAGGTCAACGGCCTGCTCCGGCCATACACGCCCGCAGGGAGCGATTCGGGCAGCGACAGGCCCGCGAAACGGTCCAGGATGGGCAGCCCCGAGCCCGGCGAGGAGGCGAGTCGCAACGGCAGTGGCAGTGGCAGTGGAAGCGGTGGCAGGGGCCGCGAGCTCAGTCTCGTCACTGCCAGCCACTCGCCCTCGCCCTCGCCCTCGCCCGCGGCGGACGGTGGTGTGGCCGAATGAGGAAGGAGGACGCTGTAGATAATATTGTTTTTTACCTTTTTTTTTCTGAACCTTTTTTACAACAGAGGGCCCCTGTAGACAAACAGACAAACACACACATACACACACACCAACACCCACACGCACTTTTTGTCCCATTCCCGCACGCAACTTTATAGCTGTATATAAAAGAAAAAGGCCACCACCAGGAGAAACACGGCGGCGAGGTGCAGCGCGATGCATTGCAATTCCATGACATGACAACTATGAGCGGCGGGGCAGGGGGGGAGGGGACGTCGGGGGGACGGGGGGGACCGTTGGGGGCCTTGGGAAGGGGAGGAGGGGGAGCGGGGTATTAAGCGCATTGCCTGTGTGGCACTGGCTCTCGTTTCGTGTGTTCGGTTGCTCTTGTCCGTATTCCTCCTCGTCTTCTTCCTTCGCTTCCTTGCTTTCTTCCGGTCGTCTTTGTGTGCACACGTCGTGTGCACTCGGACCGGGGGGCCAGGAGGGACTCGGGACTCGCGCTTGTGGCGAGGGAGGGAGCCGCGGAGAACGGGGGAAATCAAGTGGTTGGGATCAGAAACCGTGGCGGTGGTGGGTGATGGGGCGTGTACAGACGGGGAAGGCGTGGGTGGGTGTGTTCGTGAGGGCCGGTATACAAAACACGTACAACGTACGATAGATCGATTCGATTCGATTCGAAGGCGTGGGCGGGGTACAGATCGACAGGGGGAGAGGAGGGGACGCCATGACGCCGATGGCGGTGGAGCGCGGGAGGGAGGGGGGATGTGTAGTGTGGGTAGCTTCGCGACGCTAAGCAGCGGGTGTTCGAGGTTTGAGATTCGAGACCTGCGGCCTGCGACAACACGCGCCGGCCCTGGAGGCTGGCACAATCTGCACGCTTTTGCTTCGGCGGCGCAGTGGTGGGTCTAGCCTCGGCGGCGGTGAGGTGGCGATGGCGGGGTGGAGGTGGTACGATAGCGAGCGGTGATCAGGCGAACTGGTGTGGGTAGCGTGGGCGTGGACGGGACGTGACAGAAGGTAGCGGGGAATTGATGAGAGAGGGAAACGGATCGATGGTCCAACAGAAGAGTATAGGCGATAGACATGTGTCGTGTGCTTCTCGGGCCCACGGCGTGTATCGTGGCGTCACCATGTGAGCGCCCTGCGCCTTACATGATCACGCAGCTGCACCCTCCGACGTCCTCCTCGCTATGCTGGTTGCGGTGCGTGGACGTCCGGGTTGAGATACGGTGGAGGCCCTTCTTTGCATCTGCAAAAAGAGTGGAGTGTCAGCAAATTGCCACTAGCGGGCCCAGGTACTCGTCTCCTGGCCTAACATGAGGCTGAGGGGGTGGCTCAGGACGATAGCAGATAGCAGTGCCAAATCGAGATAGGCGGCACCAGTGCAGGTGGGGGCGCGGGCGCCTGTGACGACATGACAAGACGGAAATCCCGCCCCACTTTGAATGCAGTCACACATGAATGCCTGAGACCCCCCTTGCCCTTTGGCCAGATCTCCCGGAGAGGGGCGGCAAGCGCCAGAATCATGACTCACCATCTTCGCCGCGGATCGAGAACGAGCGAACCGATAGATGGATCACGGTAGGCAGCGACGCTGTCATGGAGGCTGGGAGGTTGTTGCCTGCATCGTGGTCAGCAAGGAATCCCACCGGGGATCAGGCTGGATAACGTGAAACGCAGAGATGGGACGAAGCACACGATGTAGACACACGGGGGGGCACAGGGGGGTTGTCCCTCCGCACACCGTGACGATCTATGCTGTTCTCCGTGCTCCAGTTCCAGTCTCAATACGCACTGGTCAAGGTCGAGTCGTCGCTCAGCACGCGGCCGGCGTAGAGTACTCGCAGCCAGGAGGGGTTGGGCGGTTGTGCCGGTGATGTCCATTCTGCGCAACATGTCAGCGACGCTGCAAACACCGTCATCGGTCACTCGCGGCCACTCGGCGCGGGGAGGGGTTGGCGCTTGGGCGGTGTTGCGGCGAGTATGGGCTGCGCCTGTAGCAGCCATACACGGAGAATCACAGGGTCGAAGCATAAACGCCCACCGCCGCCGCCGGTGTATCGTTGCTCAGCGGCAACGGGAGAGAGCCCCCCCACATCAAGTGCGGGGGCCGTAGGAGAGGGGGGCCATTCACACTCACCAGAAGGCCACATGCTCCAAATCAACTCCTTCATGCGCCCGACAGTGGTCTCTGGCTCGAACGAGAAGGTGTGGTTCTGCCCCGAGATGATAAGAACGCGGACGTGAACCTGAGTCAATGTGAGCTGGTGCTTTCCTGAGCAGGGGTGTGTCAAGGTCGCAGCGTACCATGGGAGTGGGTTCTGGGGCAGGCGCAGCTGGCGGCGCTGGTGCAGAGGACGCCGCTGCGACTGGCGTCGAGGTGGCCGTCTGGGACATGGTGGCCGTTTGTTGTGAGGGCTCGGCCATTATGGGCGAGCACAAGGACAAGGGTGGTGGAGTGAAAGTGTGTGCGGGGGAGTGTTTATCGGCAAGGGGGAGGGGAGGCTGCCAGACGACGGGGTTGTGTGCTGGCTGTATGCAGTGAAGACGGGCGATGGTGTTGAGAAGGAAGAGGGAGAGTGGGCAATGCAGAGATATGGTCTTGGGACGACGATGAGTGCGGGGGAGGTGGGGGATAAACGGCGTGCCAAGAAGGCCGAGACTATGGGTGAAGATGAGTGCTGGCAACACTTTCTGGCCTCTGGGCGGCAAGACCGAGACGGAGTGTGTGCGCACAAGGAACAGAGGCGGCGGCGGCGGCAGGCGGCGGCGGCGGCGGGGCGGGCGGGCCAGAGAGGGCTCTAGGGTTTGGGATGGGCTCTCTCTCTATCGTGCAGTCTCGGGGGTCGTTGGGTCGTCGTCGTGGTCGTCGGTGTGTTTCTCACAGTCTTGTGACGAGAGCCAGAGAGACCCGGGGGGGGCAAGACAGTACAAAAGCAAGGTTGTACGCGGACAAGCCCGATGGTTGTTGGTACGGCAGGAAGGGAGGGAAGGTTGAAGAACAAGTGACGACAATGGATTTTATTATTATGCGGCGGGCGGAAAAGGGTCAAACGGGTGGTCGTCGCTGTTTTCTCCACTGTCCTTGCGTTGGGAGGCGTCGATCAAGGCTTTTGGGAGTGGGCGTTCAGCCGCGGTGATGCAGGGGGGGGACCACGCAGAGAGGGGGACAGAGAGAGCAAAGGTCTCGAGAGAGCAGCACGGCGAGGCTTTTGCAACGAGGCGTTCCAAGAGTAATAACGAAACAGACAGACATCTCTCACACCACGGCGCCCTCTGCTCTCCAAGGCGGTCCCCCCGGGGGTTCCGAGCCGACGCTACCGATCTACCGAATGACGAACGTACGCACATCCACATGCGCGCAAACGACACAACAACACCCACCCATGTGCGGCCACATCCGCTCCAAGCACCGTTGCAAGCGAGAAAATAGACCCACAGGACCCTTCATTCACAATCTCGGTCGAGGCACCACACCAATGCACCGCTCTCACACCCACACCACCCCACCCCCTTTCAATCGCATATCATCATCGTTCTAATACATGAAATGATTCAATTCGTGCGACATAGGTGGAGTGGTAACGATCCCGCTACCCCCCCCCCCCCTCGATCTTCCACAATGCACTCCTCCACAGCCTCTACCGTTTCTCCAAGCAGCAGCTGGTCCCAGCGTGCGGAATGCTGCGCAGCATTCGCCCTGTGTACTGTCTTGCCCCCACGCCCTGCCGCCCGGTGGCCTCCTCGACTCCCTACTCGTTCGAATCAACCTTTACGTAGTTGTCACTCATGTCAGATCGGTCCAACCAGCGCTCACACAAGCCACAAACGTGCAAGGCAGGGTCTCTGCTGTGTCGGACAATGATCCGTGATCTCTTGGGATCCATGGATATAAGATTCCAAAAGGCTGCCTCTCCTTCACCGCCGCACCGCCGTTCCTCGAAACCTCCACAGCGCATTGATCACATGCACAAACAAGACCCAAGGTGGTTCCAGCGTCGTGTGATCTCCCCCTCCCCCCCCCCCCCCCCCTCCCCCCCCAGGACAGAGAACTGCGTAGGCGACGCCGCGGCCATCGAGAAGCCACTGACTCAATGGCGGAGGGGCTGGGCAGGGATTACGTTGGCCCCGGCCTTTTCTTATTCTGTTGTCCAGCCGTGGGTGGCTGTTGCTTGTTCATACTTGGCCTCTTGACTTGGCCGCCTTGGCCCGTGACGTCGATTAATGGGTGCAGTGGGAGAGAGGGCTCTGGGGGCTTTCTTTGTGGAGAAAAAAGCGCCGAAGCATTTGATGCTCTGCCCAGCCATTGTGGTTGGACACTTTGGTACCATGAACTCGAGTCTGACGCACGGGTGTTGCAGGTACTGTCTGTACCCAAGACATAAACTTGCATGACGCAATGACGACAGGCTATCGCCCAACGGGCCGTGCAGCATTCCATCCGCCATAGGAGGGAGAGGATACAGGAGGCGGTGGCCGAAGCTCAGTGTCAGCTGCACATGTGGCTGAGCCAGCCATGTGAGAGCAGTGGCAGACCCACTGCGACGCCCTTGGATCTCGCTCGGTGAGCCACCAGTCGCCACGGTACGTTAGGTGGTTGATGAACAGGATACCAGCATACCCTCGTCCCCTCCTAGCTTTGCGTTCTCTCCCGAGGCCAGCGCAGCGCGCCGCGATACAAAGGGGTGCGTGGGGAAGACCGATAGCCGCCAAAAAAAGGACGAGGGGACGCTCCAGCGTTCCTTTGTTGTTTACACCAGGAACCGCCATGTCGGATAATAAAAGAGCATGGTGGTGACGTTGACGTTAAAGTTCGCTGTGGTTGGTGGAATACTCGTGTCGCTGTAGAGCGCCACCGGATGCAGATGCCGGTCGTGCTGTGCTTCTTGTTCTGCTTGTGGCAGATACTCGCCCGGGTCGGAGGCGAGAGAGACGTGGGTGTATGGCGTCGTTCGCGGGAGGACGGGGCCGACACGACGCACAGATACCAACAGTGGCATATGGACACTCAATAATCTCAACATAGGGTCACCACCACCAGCATCGTGGTGATGAGGACTCTATGCTCTACGCCTAACCCAGCAACGTTTGCTGAGACGATAGAGACGGAAAGTACGGTTTGTGAGTGGCCACGAATACGGGTTGCACCTGGGGTCCTGCCCTCCGTGGCCCTCGCTCACCGTCGTGTTAGACGACAATATGGCACATTAATGACTTCGTCAGTAATGGGGAAATGGAGGTTGGCGTCACAAGGACAGCCAGCAGGCCAGGCTGCTTTATTTTGCCTGACCGAGGGCAAGTATGTATTGTCCAGTTGCGTAACTGCAGATGAAGTGGCCCTTACGACGATTGTTGCACAGAATGCAGGATGCAGAGCCAGCTGAATGATCCTGGGTACGTGCGCCTCATGAGACAGTAGCGGAGTCTTGCAGACGCACGGGAATCTTGCAAGGGAGCTCATTAACAGTGGATGTTTATGGAAAACACGTACGGCGGCATCTCGCGACCGATTTTCAGCACTAGTTTGTTTTTTTTTCTGTTGGAGAACACAGTATCCCTCGGTGCCTGCAAACGAAGCAGCGGGATACTCGGTTTTCTTGGCGAATACCACAAGACGTGGAATCATGCAGTCAAGGTTGCGTAAGTGGTCCTGGAGATACATACACAACAACGCAGCTCGCAGTGCGGTGCATGCGTTGGCGGTTTCCTGCCACAAGGCAGCGTGAAACCTGCGTGTCCAGTTGTTGCTATTCTTGCAGAGCAAGCTTCTTGAGAGTGGGGTTCATGGAGAACGCAGTCTGCCGGCTTCCTGTAGACATTACTGTTCTCTGCCGAGTGGTCAAAGGCTGAACGAGTGCACGCTGGTTGCAAACGAGGCTGTGCCGAACGAGTGTCGCCACGACAACCCAGTATTGTTTTTCTTGCATCCCAGTCGAGTGCATTCCACTTTGCACCGGGTCACTCCTATCGCAGACTGTTGGATCGGATTCTACTCTGGAAAACCCGGTCAGCGATCACCTGCCCGGGTCAAGATATCAAAACCGCGTCTCATACCACATGGAGATGAAATATACCTTGTCACGCGCGTACTTGAACGCCTTTTCAAGAACACGGCAATAACAAAGAGCAGAGTCAACGTCAATTACGCAAGCGAACGTCAATTACACTACGTGCCGGGTCAATAGCGGCGACCACAACGTGAGTGAGCGCTGCAAGCGCGGCCATGAGCGCCCCGTCGGCAATCCCGTGTAGGCCTACCCAGCGACAAGAGATATTTGGGTACCATGTATTGGTTATGAGCGTAGAACGCAGATTAGCTCTGGCAGCGGTCTAAGTCTCTGGCTGTCAGCGAGTTACTTGAGCCCAACCCGCAACTCACAAGATGTACAACAAAACAAACACAAAGATGACGATCCTCACACGCGCGGGGGTAACGCTCACTCCTGCTCCCCGCCCTCAATCTTCCTGGGCTTATTTGAGAACGTCGGCGCCCACGGCGCCGATTTGAGAGTCAGGCTCGCGTGGCGGATGTGGTTGACCCATCCCTACGACGACGTCAGATTGCGCTGAACACGGGGTAGAGGTACAGGTAGCGCTGGACTCACGGGATACATTGCGCGTACCCAGAGCACGATCCTGTCCCCGTCTCGAGCGTTGCGGACGAGTGGGTGACCCGTGTCGAGGAATACTGTGTGCGCCTTGTGGTACTGACCGGCTAAAGGGCCGAGTCAGCAACGAGCTGGGGTACGACGTGAGGAGGAAGGGACGTACCAACGACGTTGTACTGGATGGTGCAACGTGACTCGGGCACCTCTTGGCCGTCACGGAGGAGGCTGAGCTCCATCCACGAGTAAGACTGGTTGTAGGTGCCTGTGGACCGTCGTCAGCTTGGGAAGAAGCTGGCACGGAGAGGATTGTTGACGGGGTACGGTTGGGTGGTACTCGTGGCGCGAGCGACGACCTAATCCAACCCATCACAACGCGCTGACCAACACAGGAGTGTATTCTTGCCGCGTGAAGTGTAAGAGACAGGACACACTCACCATATGCTGCTTGGTTATCAGACCAACCCTGGTCCCGCGAGAACGTCTCGACAGTGACCGAACGGAGCCAGTGCCTGCCGCGCTTGCTGGGACCGCTGCTGTACCCAGACGCATGTTCCGAAGGGTCATGAAGGCTGGAATGAGGACCGTCCTGTTGCTCGAGCTGTTGACCGGGGTCTTGTCGTGCGCCCCGCGTCATATTGCGGTGCGCGGTAGGCGCGTACTCGTAGTCGTACTCGCCGCCGACACTGGGTTCCTTCTTCTTCACCTTTTCTGCCGCACACCCTATAGGCGGAGAGACGAGATACCACACCTTTCCCGGGGCGTCGACCAGCCCACCACCCTCATGCTCGCCCTGCTCCATCTCCCTGCTCAACTCGTCGTCCTGCTCCATCCCCCACTCGAACCCTCGCCGTCCTCGCGGCGAGAGCCCGCTGGACGCGACAGAGAGGGCGCGTCTATTCTCGACCCTGCACTCCCCCCACACCTCGGCATCGTCGAGGATGCGATGCACGAGCTCGCGGGGCAGTTTGGTCGCGAGGAGGTTCTCGATTTCGATATCTGCAACGGCTTTGAGCCGGCGGCCTGCATCCTCGGGGTGCGTGTGGACGAACTGTTCCTGCGGCGGGGAGCGAAAGTACGAGGCTAGAGAAGGGAGACGACTGAAGGACGAGGTGGAGGCATTCAGGTCGTTTTGCGAGATGGGAGTTGAAAGGGACGAGCCCATGTTGAGAACATGGATGAAGTGGAAGACGGCAGATGAGACGAGCACGATGCGGACGTTGTGTGTGGTGGCAAAGAGTGGAGTGCCTGAGTGTTCATACATGTTTATCCGAAGCTGATCCATTCGCCTGCCAGAGCTACAAAGGGGTCAGTTTACAGACGCACGTCTCAAGCACCGACGAGCGCCGACAAGCACAACGCAAGTATTGTACGAGGGTAGCAGAGGTACATTGTCAAATGCACAGCGCATGAGGCCGAGTCGCAAGCATCGCTCTGACTCAGCCAACCACCCCGGGGCTGCTGACAACCAACCCGCCAGGGGGAGGTTCGGGCCACACGACCGAGACATCCGAAGCCGTCGTCATGACTCTTTTCTGTTGACAACTTTCACTCCACTTATATATCAGCAAAAACCACCCGGCCGCCCATGGCACACCACCATGCCATGAGCGCTTTAACACGACTACGACAAGCTCCCCGGGCTCTCATTCCTCTCGACTGGCCCGTCGCCGCTGGCTCGCGCTCCCGGCTGCGTTTACCAGCACGGTCAGTGGTCGTGCGCCCACTCTCGACGTCTTCGCCATGGCAGTATGACCTCGGCGCAAAGTATCGTGCACCCCGCCACCTGCCTGCGCCTCCACCTGCTGTGCACAACGAGCTGCCTGGTCCTCCCGCACCCAAAGCGCCCAGAGACAAGGCCGTGATGGTCCTGGGCGTGCGCGTGCCGCCCAAACCCATCCCACCAGGGGACGAAGGTATGTCTGTTGCCGCCGCGCATTCTCCCTGTTGCTGGCTGTAACTGTACTGTACTGACGCCTGGTCCTTAGACTGCTGCATGTCTGGCTGCGTCCACTGCGTGCTCACGATCTACGCCGAGGACGTGGAGGAGTACACCGTCTCGGTCCAGATGGCGCGCGACGCGCTGACCAAGGACGGCGTGCCGCGAGCCAAGTGGCCCGAGGCCGTGCTGGAGAGCGAGGAAGATGGAGAGGGCGGCAAGCCGGCCGCGCCTGCCGTCGACCCGACCATGGCTGCGTTCATGGCGTGAGTGCAAGTGAAAGCTGGGAGACATGCGCGCTGACGTGACGGCGTTCTTTAGGCTCGAGTCCAAGCTGCACAAGAAGTGAAAGGAGGAAACTTGCATCGATACACTACATTTATATCTACATTGCCCGCATGTCTTTGTCAAACTTGTCGTGTCGTGTTGTGTTGTCGTCGTGGGTGGTGGCATGGGTCGTCTGGGGTCGTCGGGGGGCTCGGGGCCCGTGTTGCGTTGGGCGTGGTTCCCACCTTCTTGTCAGCTGAAAGGTTCAAAGCAAGACCAGCTTACTGTTCATTGTTCTGTTCTGTTTTGTTCTGTTCTGTTCTGTTCTGTTCTGTTCTGTTCTGTTCCTGTCTTCTGACCGTCTTGTCTTCTAACCTTGGCTCATCTTGCCTGGTATTCGCCGGTGTTCGACGTGGCTTCTCAGCTGGTGGTCAGCTTGCTCATGCACATTTATTAGCTCACCACCAACACAAGCAGCCAAAGACGTGTCCTTGGCGCTGCCTTGCTCATGAGCTGTTACGAGCACCGAGCCCGCCCTGAGCGCCCTTCTCGTCTGTCATAGTCAGCTTCACTTCTACCCTTGACTTCTAGCTGGACTCACTCGCCGCCTCCTCCTTGAGCGCCGACAGGCATCCCCCGGCAACAGCAGCGCTGCGCTCCACCTCGTCGCTCACTTGGCTTGCCACCTCGGCAATGACGTCCTCCATCTCGGCACTGAGCAACGCGAGGTTATCGCATGCCTTGGCGATGATGGCATCTTGGGCCGCGAGGTCGGCGCGGAGCTTGGTGTAGCGTGCCTCGCTGGGAGTGGAGGTTGTCAGCTACGCGCTTCAGCGAGAATGGGAGCGGCAGGTGACGAGTCCACTGAAGGAAGGCCACTCACAGCTCGTCGCGTCCCGTCACGCCAACAGCGTGTGCATACTGGTCCACCTGGCTGTCAGTGGGTTATCCTGATGGTTGGGATTCGGTTACCCACGACCTTGGCAAGACCCGTCTCGGCGCGAGTGAGCAGCGCGTCCTTCTTCTTGTTGGCCTTGTCAGTGACGTGCTCTGAGTGCCGTGGTCAGTTCCGCTCGCTGCGGTTCAGCCTCGAGCGTACTGTTCGCCGCGGCGTAGGCGTCGGCAAAGGTCGCCTGGCTGCCGTAACGTCAGCACAAGCAGGTGTGTACCGGTGGGTGGGGATGAGATTGATTCGGGAGGGAGGGAGGGAGGGGGTTCCTCGGTATCCTTCGGCTACCAACGCCGACCCAGGCCCCATCAACCTCGCCGACCACCTGACCACCACCCCATCCACAGCCTCCATCCATTGCGCACGAGCTTGACACGAGCACGCTCGCGCACGAGCTTGAGCGGAGCTCCAGGTTCCGGTGGCGTGGGGGCGGACTATGCGGCGAACGAAGAAGCAGGCTAGCGATGGTGTGCTGACTGATCCGTTGCTGGTGGAAGCGAAACGAGCGTTGCGCCATGCTTCTGATCAGGCGGCTTTGGCGCGCCACTCACCTTTCGGGGAACGTGTCGGTGTGCCTGCTCGGCATGGGTGGCGAAGAGTGTGAGCGGGTGGATGGATGGATGGATGGTAGCTTGGGGAGGATGGATGAGGGAACGAGAGAGGGATGGATGCAGAAGAGAGGGAGGATTATGCATGTTGATCTGCAGAGGGAAGACGGCGAGGGAAGGTGGAGGACTGACACGCAGATGGGTGTGAACACGACACACTCTCACTCCACACGTCCGAAACCACTTCGTCGTCCGAAAGCACACTACGCCGCCCACTCGCTCATCGCATCATGGGGAGGTCCGTGCCGCCCAGTATCGTGTCATGGAGGGGCTCCACTGATCCCACTGATCCACTGATCACTGATGGCACCACCCCTCATCAACACCGTGTACGTGATCCATGCAATAATCCGTGATGACCCCCACATAGCCCACCACGGCGACGACCTGTCTTCGTAAAGACGACAGCGTTCGTAAAGACGACGCGATGGGACAATTGAGTCTCCGTCGTTCCGGACACTCGTGGGCTATTCCCACTCGTTGTATTATTCCTATTCCTCCCCTCTCCCTGCAGCACGCCAACGCGATGATGCCACCGCCGCGCACGCAAGCTGGTGCAGATTCGTACTCTGTCCATTACGAACGGTTTCGCGAGACATAGAATATCATGTCTCCTATAAGACGAGCCAACGGGTGGATGAACAACCTCTAGACAACTACTATCACAACTACTCCTCACCTCCCCCATCCTCCCTCTACTGTCATCCGCTCTTGTATATGGTTTCGTCAAGACTCTCCGGGGTCGAACCCGGTAGTAGCTTTACAACGACGACCGGTATAACTAGCTTTATACCTAGTCTCTCTCTCTCACTCTCTCTCGCTCTCCGGGGCGTTGTGTGGTTTATTTGCTTTGATTTCCTTTACTCGTCACGCTGTTTCCTCTTGCCGAGGGCAGCGATGGCAGCTTGCAGGCCGTCGGTGGTGGTAGCGGCGGCGGGGTTGGCGTTGCCGTTGCCCTGGCCGTTGACAATGACAAACTTGAGGAGGTTGTTCTCCTTCTCCAGCGAGGCCTTCTCAGCGGCGAGGGTGGCGACCTGGGCCTCGAGCTCCTCTGAAAGGGGGTTGTCAGCATACTGAAGAAAAAACGAGTACTGAATGATGCGTTGGTGGACTCACTGGCACGGTTCTCAAGAGCCTGCTCGCGCTCCTTCTTCTTTGCGCGGAAACGGGCCGAGGCCTCGGTGTTGCGCCTCCTCTTGTCCTCCTCAATCTCAGCGGGGGGAGCGCCGATCATCTTGAGACGCTTCGCACCGGTCACTCGGGGAGAGTCGTCGTCGTCGGCGGGGGTGTCGGCGGGAGTCGACACGGGGGCAGAGGGGAGGACGTCGGTGGGACGGACGGCCGAGGTCGACGCGAGAGGGGAAGCAAGGGCCGAGAGGTACGACGAGGGGATGGCAGTCTCGCCGGCAAAGGTAGCGAGGAAGGACTCGAGGGTGGTAGCGGTGCCGCTAGCGGGCTTGGCCTCGACGGTCTCCTCGACGACAGCAGGAGCAGCCTCGGGGGTCTCGACGGGCTTGCGCTCAGTCTGGGCCTGCTTGGACTCGAAAGCCTGAGGGGCAAGGCCAAAGTTGGAGAAGAGCTCGTCGGTGTTCAGGAACGACCAGAACTGCTCCTCCTGCTCAGCGTTGATGGCCGAGGAGGAGGGAGGCGAGCTCGACGAGGGCAGCGCGTTGAGCGTCTGCAGGTGGGCGGGCAGGTCGCTGTACATGGCGATGGGATGGGGTAAGAACGACGGAGTCGACTAGGAGTGGGGTGGGGATCAAGGCCGAAGGGGACAGAAGGGGGATTGGTTGTGTCGACTCGGAGCGTGTCGAACGGGTGTGTGTCGAACGAGGGTGGCGAGGTGTCGAACAGAGGAGGGGAGGGGGGTTCTCGCGCAGCGATGGGAGATGTCGCGGCTCTTTTGGAGTGTGTGTAGATGTAGTTTGTAGAGATGGAAGAGGAGGTGAGAAGGATGGGGGGGGGATGAGGTTTGGGACGGGGGAGAAAGGGAAATGAACGTGGGTTGCTGCGAGAGCGAGGGGGATGGACACCCCACCCCGGTTCCGCCTTGGTAGCGAGCGGACAGCTGTTGGCCGGCGATGCGGTTTTGCTTACACAGCGCCCGACGGGCCACAGCGGCGGGGGCAAGCGGGGGCGGGCGGGCCAAGGAGGGGGAACCACCGCGAGCGTCAAGTTTGCGCAGGCCGGTTCCTTTTTTTTTCCTCCTCGCTGGTATGGGCGCCCGTGTTTCCCTGCGCGGCCGTGCAGTCCGCCGAGCATTACGGCCTGGCGCGGTGAATGAGACAATAGCCCAGGCAGTGCTCGCAGTCATTATTGAAAAGTGGGGCCGTGTTTGGTTTTGTATTTGCCCCGGGATTTCTCGCAAACCGTCGCAAAGGCTCGGCCGGGCGAGTTTTGTATTCAAGAAGCGGGAAGAGGGGAAGGGGTTGGATCAGGGAAGGCACACACCATACAAGCGCGATTTCAAGGGCAAAGCACGCCATCCGGACACCAGATGACTCACTTTTGATCCCGCTTCCGGCTGTGGCGCCGGTCTTTTCGCGTTAACAACACTGGTAGGCCTGCAGAACCGACAGGCGCGCGGACAGGCGCAAACGCCCAAGTGCCACACCGGAAGTTGTATAACACCGCAAATTGAGGCTCGAGCAAACTTCGGAGATACAGAAACTGTATGCGTTCCCCCCCGATTGCAAGCTTGCGGCGGGCTGCCACGGACAGCTGCAACTGGGCATGCCAGGTGTGTCTACTCAACCATCAATCCAAAAGCAGGAAGTGGTCGCCATGGTGAGTAGCATCACAGGCAGCGGCATCGGCACGACTCGACTCGACACTGGCGACGGCGCACACGACGACGACGAGGTCCGAAGGAACGGGCACAGACGGCTGGACGGTTGTGTCTGTCGGGACAGACCGACAACGGGAGGACGCGGAGGAAGGATTGCGAGCAGGAGGATTGTCGCTGGATGGGGGGGTGAAGGAGGAGCCGTGGATGGGGAAGAGGGAGAACGAGCTGGCGAGCTCGTAGTGTTGGATCCGTCCCGTTCGCCTCTGTCGTCTCGCCGCCGTGCTCGTCCAAAACAAGCGTCGTCGTCTTCCTCGAATCCGTGTCGAAAGCCGCTGCCAAAGCCTTTGTGTTTCCCGTTTCTTGTGGACGTCCAGGAATCTAACGTTCTCTCCAGTCGCAGCAGCCCTCCACCTTCAAGCGTTTCGTCGAGGTCGGCCGTGTCGTTCTTGTCAACGACGGCCCCTCGGCCGGCAAGCTCGCCGTGATCGTCGAGATCATCGACCACAACCGCGCTCTCATTGAGGGCCCCGCCACCTCGGTCCCCCGCCAGGCCTTCCCCTACCGCCACCTCATCCTCACCCCCTACACCCTCGCCAAGCTCCCCCGCGCCGCCGGTTCGGGTGCCGTCAAGAAGGCTTTCGAGAAGTCGGGTGTCTCGGAGAAGTGGGAGGCTTCGGCCTGGGCCAAGAAGCTCGCCGCCCGCCAGGTTCGCAAGGTGAGTCAAACCGTTGCAGACCGATCCCGTCCGACGCCTTTTGCTAACGTTCCCTCCAGAACTCGACCGACTTCGACCGCTTCCAGGTCATGGTCGCCAAGAAGCAGCGCCGGGACGTCGTCCGCAAGGCTCACTTCAAGGAGCGCAAGGCCTCGGCCTAAGTTCTAAACTTCTAGAGCTTGGACGGGAGACTTGGTGTACGGGGTAGAAGACGCGGCGTTTGTAGAGCGTCGGTCTGATGACATGCTCATTCGCATCCACGGACATACACGAGAGAGCCACAGTACAGCACACCCAGGCGGTGATACTCACATTACTCACAGCAGTGTACCCGGTGGGGGGTTAATGCGGGTGACAAATGAGTGCAGATCACTAAGGGCTGTGATCGCGCGGAGAGTTTCGTCTCCCACGTTCCTTGTACTGAACGCCTAACGCACTGAGGGTGTCCAGACAACAAATACAAGCCCCGTCTACTTTCCAGGTCGCCTTGCCTGGCTGCTGCTCCATGCGTCGCTCAACGTGTCTTGGCGTCGGGTCGATGGTGACATCGGCTCACCCTGCGCCCATCCACCAGCCAAATGACCGTGCAATGTAGGCACGGCCACCTCCAGGTCCAGGTCTCCACCATCACTATCACCACCCCTCTCACCCACCCGCACTGGTCCCACTGGGGAATACCTCGCGACGTCGACCCAACAGTACGCGTATGCCATTGCTGCATGTTTGTCGCCGTCGGCCCTTGGACTGGAGGCAGCTGCCGAGGGTATGCGTGCGTTGTGTTGCCCAGGTTTCGCCGACGATCGTCCGAGTCCAGCGGCCCGCGACACGGCGCCATAGAGATGGGCGGGCTCGGGTCAGGACCGATGGGTATCCCAGACCTCAGGTCCCAGCGTACGATGTGGAGAATGCGTTTGCGTTTGCGTTTGTGTCCCGCCCATCGTCGTTGGCATGTCATGGCCAGCCAAACCAGGCTGTTGGACCTCTGGCCCCCGGCGTATAGACACCCAAGCCACAGACAGACGGCGGGGCCCTGGTACTGTGTCCTGTTCCACTCCGCTCAGCTTGCGACCCGAGGCCGGGCCCAGAACACATAAAGCACACGAAGCACCGCACAGTTGTTGTATGTACAGTACAGTACGGCCTGGACGTGTCGGCAGCCCTCTGGCCTCTGGCCTCTGGGACATGACAGTCCCAGGCGCAGGCAGGCGACATTTGCAACCCCCATAGGGACATGAACTGGTATTCCCTGCGTGATGATATCCCTGCCCGTGCCCAGACCTACCCCGCCTTCCCTCTCCACAACAACACCCGTCTACCTTGGATACTTGCTGCACACTCAAACACCCCATCGCATCTCACGTCGACAACCGGTGTGCGACTGCCACACGACGGCGCGGGGTGCCGTTTCCCGCTTCCCCCCAGCCCCACACTCACCCGTTCACCGCAACGTGCAGCCCAGATACAGTAGTCATCACCAGGCAACGAAAGTGTCCGTGATTCATATACAGAGCAAGATCGTTACAATGACCCCTCTGGCCGATGCTAGCTACATACAGAGTACGTTTTTTCTCCCGAAGAAAAAAAGGCAAAAAAAAAAAGAGAAGAACAAAAACATGCAGGGGTGTGCTCCCCCTTGTGGGACCGTAGTGTGGTCGGTGCGTCCAAGGGAGAGGTGGGGAAGGTGGGAGGGAGGTGGTCCAATGCGTTGAGACACATTGTCAATGCGGGAGAAGGCGAAAGGACAAGAATGGAGAGGTACGTGTAGGAGCGCGAGAAACTGTCCCAGTCACTAGATCGATGCTGTCCCCATGCTCTTCTATGTCATGGTCAGAGCGTTATTATGGACGTTCTGGGCCATGCTCATTTGGCTGGCCATGTCGGCAAACGACGCCGCAGGCATGGCAGGCATGGGGAGGGGGAACAGGAACGTCTCGAGGTGCGGGGGCATGGCCATGTCGGCGGCGTTTTCGTCGCCCGCAGCAAAGGCGGCGCGCTTGAGCTCGGCGACGGCCTTGGCCTGTGTTCCTGCCAGGTGCATGGTCATGCCGATCCGCGCCATTTCCTCGATGATGACGTCGGCCTCGCGACCGACGTTGACGGCCGTGGCGTGGTCGCCGAGTTTGGACAGACGGTGAATCTCCTTGACGAGGACCTTGGCGATGACACTCCACACCAGCACGACGAACGCGTCCACGTCCGTAAAGGGGATGGGGGGCATGGCACGGAACAACAGCACGCTCTGGCGGGCCGCCTCGAGCGCGTCCTGGTTCTCGACGCCGATCGAGTTGATGTCGTGCAGCATCATGCGGACAGCACAGATGAGGTGGTGCAGCATGAGGGTGTGGTTGGTGATCTCGGGCTCGGGGGCGCCATCTTCCTGAGCACGCTGCTTGCGGAGCACAGGGAAGATTCCCTCTTCGCCAAGCGCAGTGACCAGCTGCTCCACAGCCAAGCGACACTCTTGGTAGTCTTTGGGGTTGCGGTATCTTGGCTGGTTGAGAATCTCGGGCGGCGGCTGCAGGCTTGGGTTGCGGTGGAGGTTGAGCGTGTAGTTGTCCCACGCGACCGAGTATGGCGAGCCAGGCGCTGCATCGCGGAAGGAGAGCTTGGCGGAACGTTCAAGAATGGCGACGCACTTGATCCATTTGGTGCTACCACAGTTAGTGTTTGTTCATGTTCAGACCAGCTCACTAATTGTTGTCGTTTTCACCCGCGCCGCCGCCGTTACCCGTGTACAGGTCGCGGACAGTCACGTCATCACGCTCAGACACACTTCCCGATGCAATGTCGGCGAGGGGCCTGCCAAACGGCGTTGTAATATCCTCGTCGCTGATTCCGGATGGGTATCCAGTGGCGAGGGCACCACAGCGGTCAATCGCAAACACTGACCAGAAGGCGTGGATGCGCTCTCCCAACTCGACGGCATCTTCTGGTGGAGGCAATAGGAAGATGCGGTTGCGCAAGAAGGGGTTGTTTGGCTGCTCGGGCTTGTGGACGCACGACTTGATGCGATGGAGGCCGCATGACAGCACAAGGCGTACGGCCAGACCGGCTAGACACCAGCCCTCGTGGTGACGTCCTGACGAGTGCGAGTAGGCTGCCAAGAGCATCGCAGCTCGAACAGCGTCGATAAGACGGTCAACGGTGGAAGTAGACGTGTCGAGGTGCTTGCATCCCTGTTCGAAGAAGTTTTGCTCCTGCTCAGACATGGACGGGCTGTTGGATATGCGTGTTGCCCAGAGATACATGGCGTTGAGCAGGGCAAGTGATGGTCGACGACGATCTGAAAAGGTCATGCGGTACTGGAAGCGGGGAACGCTCATCTCGAAGAAGAGGGTCGTGTGTGCCAGGAAACAGTCCAGGAGGAGTGAGCGTGCCGCATCCTTCAGGCCGTCGAACTCCATGCGCATGCGTCTTATCGATCCTGGCGATGTTGGCCGCATGGGGACGGTGGCTGCTCGAGTGGTGGACACCTTCTTTCGTCGCTTGAGTTGCTCCTCTTCCTTGACGGAGCTCGCGTTGGGGCTGAAGAGGAACTCGCCGAGGCGTTCCGTCAGTCCGTCAACAACATTGGCGTCTGCGACATAGTGCAGAGCCGCGGTCTGCTGGTACATTCTGGACGGGAACGGCCGCGACGTGGTGGTCGTCGACGACGTCGGGGTGTCTGGGTTGGAACCGCCGGAGATTGCGGATCCTGACTGTTGCTTGAGCACGTCGTCTGGTGTCGACGGGTCCGACGGAAGACCGTTGACAGACGCCGATGGCATGCTGGCATCTGTGTATGGCGCACTGTAAGACGACGGTTCGGCGTACATGTCCATATACGACGCCGAGGACATGGTATTCGGGTCATACGCCTGAGAACCCGGCATGCTCTGGGGTGCTGGCATCCACTGTGTCGATTGTTGCTGGTCTGGAAACGTGCTGAATCCAGAACCTGTCTGGGGCACATATGGCGGCATGCCAATGATGGGTTGCACATTGACAGACGTATCCACAAACGGCGACGGCTGGGTGAACTCGAACGTCGAGCCTTGGTACGAGATACCGTCCGGCGAGAGCTGGCTGGCCGCCAGGAAACTGGAGTCGACCATGTTGCTGTCCTGGAACATGTCGTACGAGACAGGCATTGTCCCCGCGTACATGTTGCTTATGGCGTTGTACTCGACGGTGCTTGGGAGAGACTCTTGCTGGGGCTGTGCCTGCGCCGCGATGCCCGCGTCATACTGGGCCCGGGACGCATTGTTCGAACCGCCAGAGGCCTGCTTCTTTTGCTCTTTGACGGGTGGGCCGTATTCACACACTTTGGTATACTTTTGACAGTTTGTGCATGATGGTCGGTCTCCGGAACAGCGCTAGCATGTGTGTCAGTACACAGACACCGTTACAGTAGGAGGCACATTACTTACCAGCTTGCGACGACGACAAAAGGTACAAGCCCTGCGGGGTAACAGTCAGTCACTCAGAACTCGCTTGTGCAAAAAGCACACACGGAAAGAACAAGGGGGGAGGAACACTCACATGCCACGCTTCAGTCCATAATGCGGAAAGTGGGAAACGTCGACTTTACTCGGTCCGGTCGTGATGCTGGTTGTTGCTGTACCGTTCTCACCATGGCCGTCCCGGCCGTTGCCAGAGGACGAGCTGGTGGCCGCACTGGGAGTTTTGTTCAGTACACCTGGGCCTGAAGTGGTGGTTTAGGCGTGTGCTCACTCGTTGGATGAACGTCCACCTGCTGTGTGTGTGTGTTAGCTGGGTGAAACTTGGGCTGGGATGGTACGGCACACATACCTGTGTTCATTCCTTGACTGGCGCCGGCACCCGTCTCGACCTGATGGTTCATCGCGTCAAGACCGGCCGACGTCGCGAGTGCTGGTGTGCGATAATTATACGGAGTCGTTATGGTTTATGGGCTGTAGGGTAAAGGATGCGTTTGGCACGAGGGACGTTGTGACGAGGAAGTGTCGACAACGGCGTTGATGGGAGAGGAAGGTTGTGAAGACGGCGTTGGGATGGGGGGGGTGAAAGGTCTCGCGCGAGATAAGGTGTGGTGGGGTTGGAGTGCAATTGATGCTGATGTTGCGTTGGACAGGGGGGGGCAGGGGGTGTTGAGCGGCTGCGCGCAGAGCAAGAAGGGATGTATGTATGTGTGCGCGTGTGTAAGAGTGCAAAACGGTGGTGTAGTTGATGGGGGGGGTTGTTGGTGAGTGCTGGAATGGGACGAGAGGGTTGGATATTGGATGGAAGGGTGGTGCTGGAATGAGAGACTCGGCCCCCACCCAAGCGAGCGCGGGTGTGGCTCTGGCGGCTCTTCTGCGCTGTGTCGCGCGCTCTCATGCGTCTCGCTCGCTCTCTCCCTCTCTTCCCTCTCTCTGTGCCGCTCGCAAAGGTCGGGTCGTTTGCCGAGACCCCGACCGCACATGCTGGCGCTCTAGAGTGAGGCGGCGGCGCGCGCGGCAGGCGCGAGAGCGGGCTGAGCCATGCGGGCGGCTCTGTAGCTCTGCAGATGGGTCGTGAGCGGGACTATATTCGGTGCCGATCTTACGTCACCGCGCACCCATCTCCCAACGGAACGCACTAGTGATCGCTGTCGGTGTGTGCACAAACGCACACACGCGCAAAAAGATATAAACAATATACAGGATATACAGGCGGGTTCCTTTGTTCCTCTTCCTTAACCACTCTGCCAAAACATCGTTCCTTCGGCGCCTCCTTGCCGCCACAGCACAGCCCTCTGGCACTCACTGACACGCTCACTTCATTGACACACCTCTGCCGGCTCATTTTCGTCATGGTGCCACATATCCACCAACGCCTGCCCCCCCCCCTCCAACCCCAACCGCCCACCCCCCAACCGAATTGAACCAAACCCAAGGCGACCCCGCCAGTCTCGGTAGCTCGGCTCCGAGTCTTTGTGTCAGCGCGCGTGTACGGCGCGTGTGTCGGCGCATGTGTCGGCGCTCCGAGGCACTCCGGAAATATCATTCATACCACAAGCTACAAGAGAGTGTCCTTGCCAGATCGGATTTTGCGTTCCTCGATCTGGGGTGACAGCCTGTGGCGCCATGGCTATACCTCGAGAGGTATGTATGTGTTTCCGGGGCCAGCCGAGGACACCCAGGAGGCGACCCAAACGGTGGCCGGTGGGAGGCTTTGGGGTGCGTAGAACGTTGCATACCTCGACCTGCGCAGTCGGCTCAGCCCCCGTCTATTGGCTCACGCTAATGCACAAGTTCACCCCTCTCTCCAAGGGTGGCGGTTTACGCAACTTCCGTGTCGGAGGGGGTCCCGCCACACACGAGTGTGTACATACATGGCGGCACACAACACGCACCAGACGAAACCAGAAACAAAGGCTTACCGAAGCGCCGCAGATCAAATCGGAAAGTGCCCAGCGTAAAGGCAAATGGGCGTCCAACGAGGCGTTGCGGCTAAGGGTGTATATCCATAAGGCGCAAGCCGAGGCGTCACGTTGCTCCGACGTGCCCGCCGGCCTACCCGCCCGTAAACTGGACACACGAGTGCGGCACCGTTTGGTGAGCGTCCCGGGCCACCACGGCATACCCGGTGCTCGCATTGTACTGTACAGCAGTGCCTCATCACCACAAGCGCCCCGGCAGCGCCTCGGTGAGAGCGAGAGGGGGGGTGCCTTTGCCTTGTCCTTCCTCCCCTTTCTTGACCCCTGCCGCCGGTCTGCCGAACTGCCCCCAACAGGCGCCCAAGCCGCACTCCGCCCCGCTATCTTTTTTTCCGTGTGTGTCTTCCAAAGTGTCGCAGGCGTTGCTGGGCGCTGATATATTTATTCTAGGCTGCTCACTCGCATGTTCTGCCTGAGCTGGGCGGTGTGATCTGCCAGAGCAGGGCGGTGTGATCTGCCAGTTTCACAGTGGTCACTGACATGGCCCTGCGCGGCAAGGACGAGAGGTGTAGCCGGTGCTTTATGTAAATTGGTCGGTAAACATGTGCCGAGTGCCACACCCGGCCTCCGCTGACAGAGTGCTAAACTATGTACTAGACAAGCCAAAGGACGACATGTTGTTATTACCGGTGTACTGCAGAGTTCAAAAACGAAGCAAGGGGAAGAACTCATGGGGCACGCCTTCCGGGTCAGGTATGTTACCGGCGACTGTGTCGTTCCGGCTCTCACGACCAGATCCACGTGGAGTCAAAGTCGACGGCAGTGTGGCATACTCGCAGCGGTTACACCAGTCGTGAACAAGCGCAGTGGACGTGGCGGTGAGTTGTGATTTGATGTATTATCTTGTTTTAAATGAGGTTTGATGCGTCGGTCGTTTCCTTATCTTGATCTCGTTAATAACGCCCATCCATGGCGCACTCTCTGTCGTCTCATACACTCCCTCGAGTCTCGCTCCTCCCTCGCCCTCCGAACGGCCCTTGGTAGGCTCCCCCTCTCTCTATCGTTCTGATGCTTACTGGCTCTCCTCGAACAAGTGCCACCCCCGCCAAGCTGCAGGTCATTCCAGGTTGAGTGAGGTACGGATGTACATGACGTTGCGGATGAGACATGTGCAGAGGGTGCCACGCATTTTTGTCCGCATAACAAGCCCGTCGAGCTCCGCTCCCCGCGTGGCAGTGGGCCAGAGGCCCAACTTGGCACATGTTGTGTGTCTGCGCGAGCCATATTTACTGACAACCATCGAACAATGCCACCCACCCACGCTCCCGTCGTCCACTCGAGGTACATGGAGGCACGCACAGTAGATTGTGGGCGACAAATGCGCCGGCCGCACCATCGGCCCGCCGCGTCATACTGCCGAAATCAGGTGTGGTCTGGTGAAAACCCGTAGGTGGAAGTATGGCTTTGGTCGGCGCCGATCAATAACAATCATTGTACCGATAATAAAAAATGGTCCGAAAACGGCGCCGATCCACGAGCCACTCACAGCCCCCGGTTCCCACACACTGCACCTCGGTGAGCTGGGGACAGTAAGCAGCAGACATGTCAGTGTCCGGATTGAGCAGAGGCAGAAGAGCACCTCTAGGAGTGCCTGGTAGAAGCATGGGGCGTGTCGTGCTATAAAAAAAAGAAAAACAAAGAGAGAGCCGCAGGAACAATACCGCTCAGCCGATGGTTTCAGCAAAAGCGAACACTCTCGTGTCCGACCGTACACCTCTTCAAACAGCAAGCTGCTTGAACAAGCTCCAGTTATACATCCAAGGGGACTCGAACCCCTATCCCAAGCGTGGAAAGCATGTATACTAACCCTTATACGATGGATGTAGCTGACAGAAGGATGGTGATGGCCATGAAGAAGGTGGTGGTGGTGGTGGTGGTAAACTGCCACATTGATGTGCGCGACGGGTGCGCGCCGTGTGTGTTTTGACTGAGAACCCAACTTTGCCACTGCCGAGGCTATTCCTCCAGCGTGCGCGTCTACAGTGCGGGGCGTTCCCAATCTGCCTCGGATACGGCGGTCGGAAGGGTTACCCTTTAGTGCTTCTGCTCGTTTCCTTTCAGGAGAATTCAGGACGCCGGGTCGTGTGCCATCGTGTGGCGGTGGTGGTGGCAATCGCGTCTAAACCGCGTCTAAGCGTCTTGCTTGGCATGGGTTAGTGTGGTGCTTCTGGAGAGCCAGTTCATACTACCGGTTTAACGGATGAGCCATGTATAGACCGTATTGACAAGCCTAGCGGTATTCGGGGGTTGGCCGAGTTGTGCGGGTTTTGGGGGTTGGTTGCACATGGTTCACAGTGGCATACGCGCATACACCAGCAACGAGGTTGGAGGCTTGCGACAGTGGTGCACGGGCCACAAAGGACAGTCGTCATGGCAGCGCCGCCACACCCACTACTCACCCACAAGACACCCACAACACATCCACACGAGCCTGCTCACCGCGGACATGAGACCGAGCGCACTGGATGCGCTCGGTCGTGACTGATTTTCTGGCGTGGGTAGGTACCAAAGGTACCGAACGTGCTCGACACCAAAGGCACAGCCACAGCCTTTCTTTCGAGGTGGCGCCGTCGCAGTAATGAAGCGGTAGCAACAGTGGATCTGCAGCGGACCAAGTCTGCGGAGATTGGGCTACCGTTTAACGGGCCGTTTTGTCATGTCCTCACTGACCACAGCCTTGCTGACGGACATTGTCGACCTCAGCGTTTTACAAGATGAACGGCGTGCAGAGGGCCTTACGGTGCGGGCACCGCTGCTAGCCCTTTTGCTCAGGCTATGACCTAGAATACATCCTAAACAACATACGTGTATTAACCACCCTACACTAACCCAGCTCGAAGCATCACAGCTCCAAAATCATCGAATGACAGTCCTCGCCCCTCGTTCTGAGTGGAAAAGAGGGACACCATGTCTGTAATCTGCATACCGTGTCAGCTTCCAATGGCAATTGGTCCAGACAGCTCACCTCTTCGTCCGACCACATTTCACCCATCTCCCTCGCCCACCGCTTGACGTCGTCCCTTGAGAGGATAAAGTTACTTTGCCCAGATCCAGGAGCCGGTGCGGCAGCGGTGGGGGGCTTGAGCATGTCCCAGAGTTCGCGGGCCAGTGCGCGCTGAGCCGTTGAGAGCTTGGCAACGGGGGCCGCTTCCAGGCCAGTCCTGCGAGTTCGGCGCTTGGGCTTGGCTGTAGATGTCGAAGGACCGGCGCCGTAGCCGCCATCGTCATCTTCCTCCGGTTCGTCGTCGTCGTCATCGCTGGGCCGGAACGCATCCGTGTCATTGTCATCCGACGAGAGGTCCTCCTCCACATCTTCATCGTCCTCTCCGCCTCCGTCTCCCTGCCCTGGTCCGTCGTCCTCGGGCAGCAACGCAGCGCATACAGCTCTGAAATCCCTCCTGCTAACGGCACCCTCTCCTTCTCCTTCAGTCCCGTTCCCGTCCCAGCCGGACGCACTCGCACGGAAGACGGCCAGCACGTCCTCGTCAGCAGGGAGACCGAGCGCGCCGAGCAGGGACGGCACGAGCCGGAGGGGAATGCGTTCGTCCGAGTTGGTTGCGACAGGTGTTGCAGGAGTGGCGCGTGTGGATCCCCGTGAAGGACCGCCAGAGTCGGTTGGGATAAAGCCTCCATCGTCATCGTCGTCGGCAATGAAGCCTCCCCCGTCGTCATCGGGAAGGAAGCCGCCGGCGTCGTCGTCGGGGAGGAAGCCCCCACCGCCCCTATCGTCGTCCGGGATGAATCCACCCGCATCGTCATCAACGATGAACCCGCCACCTCCGTCATCGTCGTCGGGGATGAACCCTCCCCCTCCCTCCTCCTCGAGGGTTACTGCGGCCGCCGCTGCCGTGGACCGTGTTGATCGAGTCTTGCCATTGGAAGTGTTGTTGTTGAGTCTTCTCCGCTTGCTTTGCCGACCACCCGCTGACCGAAGACCTTTATTGAACGCTTTGTCGACGGCACGCTGCGTCCTTGCGCTGAGAGCGAGAAAGTCGGCGTCCGCTTCAGCGTCAGCCATGGCGATGTGGTGGATGTGGATGAGTGGGAGAATGCAAGGAAAGTGGTTGACTGGACTGCCTCCACTTTCCGTCATGTGTGTGTGTGTTTTGCTTCCGCTCTACGTCAGAGCCAGTCGTAGATGACATGCCGAGATGTGCTTCTCTTGTAAACACCACCCAACACACCACCACCCTCCAGCTCTCTCGGCAGACCATGTCCCTCCTCGACATCGGTGGCAAGTGCTACACTTGCTCTCTTGTCGATTTCCTCCCCTTCACCTGCCCCCATTGCGCCCATGTGTTCTGTAAAGACCACGTCCACGGCCACGGGTGCGCTGACGCCTCCACCGACGACGCTGGACCGAGCAGGACACTGTTGCCAGCGCGCATAAAGGGAGAATGTGCTCGGAAGGGGTGCACGTCTGAGACTATCGAGAGCGTTGGCGGTCTGGAAGCAGGTGTGGAGGGCGGGGCCGGCATTGCCAGGGAGGTGCGGTGCGCCGGGTGTGGGGAAGCGTATTGTATCAAGTGAGCCGAAGGAAGCAGGTGTTCGTCTAACAAATTGCACCTGGGACACAAACCTCATGGAACTGAACAACACTGACTGGAACCCAGACATCGAGCTCAAGACTCGCACGACTGCACCGCCCCACGAGACTACAATGTTCGCAGCGACGCCGGCCTGGAGAGGCAGAAACACGCTCAAGAAGTACTGGCACGCACCATGCCTTCGGCTACCGGCAAGCGGAGGTTGGCGATGCCAGAGCAGATCGACCGCACACGGGTGGCACCTGCTCCAGACCCAGAACGTCTGCCGCCCTCTGTGATTGCCGAACGGGCTGCAGCTGCTGCCGCTGTCTCGTCGTCGGCGGCGGCCGCATCTCCGCCTCCGCGCCCCCCAGTAACTGCTCAGGCGACAACAGCGGCAACAATTCCCTCGTCCTCCTCTGTTCCAGCCCCAACACCCGCAGACGAGAAACACCACAAGCTCCACTGTGTCAAGCTCCGTTCCCTCGCAAAACCCCTCGACCCCAAAGTCCCTCGAGACACGAGCCGCGCCGTCGAGTGGACAGTGGACGAGACGGGCGACAAGGTCCGCGCATGGCTGGGCGGAGTTGGCAAGTACGCGCCAACCACAACGGCAGCGGCACTCGGCACACGCAAGGCAGAGCGCATATGGGTCCCGGACGTAGGTGTTTGGCAGCCTTGCTCGAGCTAACCCGCCAGGTCATGCCGGGAGGCAAGCTGTTCGACACACTGGTCCCCCAGTCCAAGCTCGCGCGCGATGGTATCTCCATCCTCTGTATCTCGCAGAAACCAGGGCCGCGCACCGCCGTCGTCCTGGACCTTGCGACGTCGGCGGGGGAACAAATGAACATGGGTGACGTCCTCGTTCTCGTTCGCGGATGGCCTTGATAGAGAAACAATGGGTGGTTTGGGGAGTCGGGTATACATGCATAGGGTATCCGCCTGCTTGGCGTGGCAGACTACTTGATTTTTTGCTCGACGAAGAGGACGTGCTTCTTGACTGAAGTGAAAGCGTGAGTAACATGACGAACAACAACATACGAGGACGTACCGACAGGGTCGTACTTCATGAACGAGATCTTGTCGCCGAGACGCGCGCGCGAGGTGGTGTAGAAGAAACCAGTGAGGGCGCTCGACACGAGACGCACGAGAATGCGCCTGTCTGTTAGCTCAAATGTCGCAGGCCCTGTGCTTACTTCTGCTTTGCCTTGGGTGCCATCGTTGCTTGCTTGCGGTGGTGGTCGTTGGAGAAAGATGGACGGCCGACCATGTCCAAGATCGCCCGGCGGAGGCTTACGTAAACGGCAGTGACCAGAAGTGCCACGCTCACGTGGCGATGGGGGCACAAATTGCCGGAATATAATGCCGCTGGGGAAATTGGCGGGCGCAGGCAGCCTGCCCGCCAGGCCCTGGGTGTGCACTCCGCCTGGCAGTGCAGCGCGTGCAGTCGATCTTTTACGACGAGCTCACCATCCTCTTCCCCCCCAGCCTTCAACACAGCTTTTGTAAGTGTAGACAGAGAGAGACCAGCTCCTTCTTCTCGTCACTCACACTCTCTCAGCAAAATGGCCGCTCGCCCGACTGTCTCCATCTTCTCCGCCGCCGGCGAGTCCTCGGGCTCCGTCGCCCTCCCTGCCGTCTTCACTGCGCCCATCCGCATTGACGTCGTCCAGCAGGTCCACAGTGAGTAGCCGCAAATCCCACATACGCAAAAAGGTCGCGCATTGCAGAGCACAGGAGGCGAGGAGAATGGGCTGTTTAGCAGCGCCGAGGGGAGCTGGAGCCGCCGTCCAGGAAATTTGGGAGAGGGACCTGCCGAAAGTGCTCTGTGACAGCGAAACCTGTGGACAATTTCTTTTGCGATGGCGCGCAGACGACTGACGACCCCCTCCAGAGTCGATCGCCAAGAACCGTCGCCAGGCTTACGCCGTCGCCGAGAACGCCGGCCACCAGACCTCGGCTGAGTCGTGGGGCACTGGTCGTGCCGTCGCCCGTATCCCCCGTGTCGGCGGTGGTGGTACCCAGCGCTCGGGCCAGGCTGCCTTCGGCAACATGTGCCGTGGCGGTCGCATGTTCGCCCCCACCAAGACCTGGCGCAAGTGGCACGTCAAGGTGAACCAGAACCAGCGTCGCTTCGCCGTCGCCTCGGCTCTCGCCGCCTCGGCCGTCCCCTCGCTCGTCCTCGCTCGCGGCCACCGCATCGAGCAGATCCAGGAGGTCCCCCTCGTCCTTTCGTCGTCGGTTGAGTCGATCAACAAGACCAAGGCCGCCGTCGAGCTCCTCAAGACCGTCGCCGCTTACGCCGACGTCGTCAAGGTCTCGAACTCGCGCAAGATCCGCGCCGGCAAGGGCAAGTTCCGCAACCGTCGCCACCGCCAGCGTCGCGGCCCCCTCGTCGTCTACGGCAAGGACGAGGGCCTCGTTCGCGCCTTCAAGAACATCCCCGGTGTCGAGACCTCGCCCGTTGACGCCCTCAACCTCCTCCAGCTCGCCCCCGGTGGTCACGTCGGCCGCTTCGTCATCTGGACTGAGGACGCCATCAAGTCGCTTGACTCGATCTACGAGAACAAGTCGGGCTTCACCCTCCCCACCGCCAAGATCTCGAACACCGACGTCACCCGTCTCATCAACTCGGACGAGATCCAGTCGATTGTCCGCCCCGCCGGCCAGCCCACCCAGAAGCGCCCCTTCACCCAGAAGAAGAACCCCCTCCGCAACAAGGCTGTTCTCTTCCGCCTCAACCCCTACGCCAAGACCCTCCGCCGCCAGGAGCTCCTCCGCCAGGAGCGCAAGGCCGCCGGCAAGACCAAGAAGACTGCTTCCACCGGCAAGGCCGGCGAGGCCTTCCTTGCCACCCTCCACGCCGCTTAAGCGTCGTCTGGGATCTTATCCAGGGATTGTATTGGTGTTGGATGCATAGCCTCCATACGCTGCTGCCCTTTAATATTGCACGCACACGGAACACAGAGAATTAGAGATCTTTTGTGGGTGCCACTACTGATGTCGATCTGCCGCTGCGCAGGCTGGTCCGTTGCGTGACCGGGTGCAAGGAAATCTCAGAATTTTGGGCTTTTACGGATTATTTTGATTCCGTGCGATGAAATGCCCTGGGTGGGACGAGAGGGTTGAGGGTGTGGCATGTGGCGTGATGCGACGACAGAACTCAGTGCTACCTTCGATTTGAGAAGTCGCGTTGGTGTCAGTCGCCCACGAGAGAGAGGGTGGGCTTTGTAGCAAAAGGTCGCAGGCAGAGGTTGAGCTTGTGTTCGACCAATTCCTTGCGGCAGGCGATGTTCACCCTACGGCCCGCATCGACTTGCGTATTCTCCCTTTGCCCTGTGTATCCTTCCTGTCGACGCCTGTGTTTATCTGTATTGGTTGTTACCGGAGCCACCCAGTTGTCCCATACACACGCCAGTGCACTGCCTTTGCTCTACACGCTGAGCTTCTGTCGCTCATGGTACGCCCATTGACCGATTCCCTAATGAGGAACCTTACATATCGTGGTCTCCGCGTATCAGGAAGGAGGGCATGTGTAGCATGCGGAGGCTGACAGTTCTGTTACAGATCGACATCGAGGAGGTAGACCTCCAAACTGACATTCGAGAACGACATAATTGACGGCGAAATACAAAGATCCAGGACATGATGAACACTAGGTGCGACCTGGATGAAGATATGAAGACGGATTACACGAGTCCTAGCTCAGTACAGTATTCATTCCGGCGCATTGAGGCCAACGCTTGGCTCTAATGACTCTGAACCAATAAGTACACCGTCGGGACCGTAAGAGGTGGGTGTACAAGGGGTATAGGTGATGTGCCGGCCGCGTCACACGCTGGTACGCTGGCCGTTGCCACGGTACCATGTTGCTCTCGCCCTGCCTCATCTGCAGACTACCATTTTACGTTGCCTTGCTCTGCAGCATGTATGTTGCTCAATTCAACTCTGACTACATAAAATGATACACACTTGACTATGCCCCATCCCGGGCGCCAACGGGATTCCCGTGTACCGGTTATGTGATGCTGTGTGCACCGATGGCTTTTTTCCTTACTCTTTGTTGCTTCCCGATTTGAGTTGGAGGATTTCAGAAATTTAACGTACTATTTTGATTCCGTCACTCGTCCGGTCCCTGAGTGCATCTTGTGGAATGACCATCAACTCGAACTTTCACCAAAGACATCTCTTCCACAACTATCACCCCAGCCATGTCCTCCCACCGCTCCTCCAGCCCTCCCAAGAGGCGCGCCTCCAACCCCGCGACATCCGACCTCCACAAGTCATCCAAGATGAGCGCTGAGGCCCCCGTCTTCCAGCCCCGCGGTGCCGATACCAAGCCCTCCGTCAAGGACGAGGAGTACGATCCCGCGGTCGCAGCGTCGTCCAGCTCGGCCCCCGCTCCTCTGGGTCCGGGAGAGACTCGCGGTGCCCAGGAGCTCTCTGCCGAGACCCGTGCTGCTCTCAGTGCTGCTGTCTCGGCCTCGCGCGTCACCCGTCCCCTCCCCAACAGCCGCCGCCAGGCAGTCGCCGCCAACATGGTCCCCCAGGCCGCAACAGTGGCCAAGTCGGGCGAGGAGAAGGAGAACCGTCGTCGTTTGATTGTTGTGCTTTCGCAGGTACGTTGAAAGACCGAAGTGACGGGGGCACGCGCCCTGCCAAGGCATTCCAAGCTGGAGACCGCGGTGGTCTTGTGACACCGCGTGGTGCATCATCCACCATCTCTGAAAGGCAGGACGTTCGCCCCAATCTCGCCCGTACCCCGGCCGAGCGACCACAGGTTACTAACCACCATCGCAGGCTTGTCTCGAGGCATACCGCGTGTCGTCTGGTAGCGGCGGCAAGAACAGCTCGGGCAAGGAGGCCAAGTATGCTCTCCTGAACTGTGACGACCACCAGGGCATCCTGGCCAAGACTGGACGCGACATTGCCGACGCTCGTCCCGATATCACCCACCAGTGTCTCCTTACTCTCCTCGACTCGCCCCTCAACAAGGCCGGTCTCCTGCAGGTGTACATCCACACCGCCAAGGGCGTGCTCATCGAGGTCAACCCCAGCGTGAGGATACCCCGCACGTTCAAGCGTTTCTCGGGTCTTATGGGTAAGTGACGAATGAAGGACGCAGCCGCGTGGCGTAGTCGTCTCGGTTGCTGTATGCTGCAGGCGAACTCTACTAACTCGTCCACAGTGCAGCTCCTGCACAAGCTGTCGATCCGCGGTGTTCAGGGCTCTGAAAAGCTCCTCCGTGTGATCAAGAACCCAGTTACCGACCACTTCCCCACCAACACCATCAAGCTCACCCTGTCCGGTGACGCCCCCACCGTTCGCCTGTCCCAGTTCCTCCCCACCCTCCCCGAGTCGCACAGCGTTGCCGTTTTCGTCGGTGCCATGGCCCGTGGTGCGGACAACTTCGCCGACGCGTACGTCGACCAGAAGATCTCCATCTCGGACTATTCGCTGTCGGCCTCGGTTGCGTGCGGCAAGTTCTGCTGCGCCATGGAGGAGATGTGGGACATTGTGTAAACCCCTCGACCCACCGTACCCGACTCTTGCGACTATTTGCCCACCTAGCCTATCCTCTCTATCCATTGCCCGTGTTTCCCTATCGTATCCTACCCAACAGTCCATGGCCTCATCGCGCCAACCACCCCCCCGTCTCGAGAGATCGATCCACCAAGTGATCGTACCAGTTTTCGTCCATTTCTCGCGTCAACCGCCTGCCTCGTAAAATGTCCCTGTGTATGCATCTAGCTGTCACCAACGTTGAGAGAGAGAGAGAGAGAGAGAGAGCGACAGTTCTTCATTGAGGTATTAGTGTAAGACGAAGCAGACTAATGACATCCATCTACAACTCATCATGGTTCACCTTCTCCTCGTTGCGGACTGCCTTGTCCTCGCCGTCATCGCCATTCAGTTCCTTGTCGATAAGAGCCTGCAGTTTCTCCAGGAACCCGCGCCTCTCCTCGCCGGATACATGCAACACACTGTCAACCTCGACAGGCTGCATCTCGCCGGCCTCGTCTTCGGCGAACGTGAGGACGACCATGTCAGCAACGTCGTCAAACGAGACTTGGTCCACGTGCCCGTCGTCGCCGGCGTCACCGTAATGCGCCTCATCGTCCTTGACATCGCCACCGCTGTACGAGTTCTTGATGATCTCCTCGAGCTTGCGTTGGAGGTCAAGGCCGAGGCTTTCCATGCCGACCACGCCATTGGCGAGGTTGAGCTTCCTGCCAGCAGACTCGGCCTGCGCCTGGCTTTGGGCCTGCTGGGCAAGCGCCTCAACGTTGACTTCGGCTGGGCGGTCGGGGAGGCGCAGACGCGCTTCTTCGTCCTCGAAAACGTGCGGCTCGGTCTCCCAGCGCGTAAACTCGTCGTCGTCCACGACCTCGCGACAGCGGATGGGGGCGGGCACAATGTCGTCGGCGGTCTGGGGACGGAACCCGGGCAGAGAGCACAGGTGCGGGCTGTGAATGACCATGACGTACTTGCAAATGTCAATCTCCTTGACCATGTAGATCGCGTCGCCGCTCGTCATGCTGCAGTGCACCTGCACCTCGACCTCGCGGGGCCGGCCAGTCTTGTCGCACCGCGTGCCGTCTGTCCACCGCTGGACGAGGTATCGGCTAGCGGGACTGACACCCAGAGTCACAGTCTGTTCGGGGGCGAGGTCGTCGTGGTGCCCGTGTCCATGGTCCTGAGCGTGGGCTTGGGCAGCCTGACGCTGGGCGACGGTACCTCCCCGACGCTGGCCGGGAGGGAGCGCGCCCTTGCTCCGCTTTTGCGGGTGCGCCTGGCCGAGCGTGTATGCATCGAACATTGGGTCCTCCTTTGGCGTGTATCCCTCTGGCGGCGCCGGGACCGTGTGAACTGCCTCGCGGAACTGTCGAATGTAGTTGTTATGGCAGTACCTAGAGAACACAGTCAGTACACCTTCGCACGTGAACCAGAGGGGTGGGTTGCAAACTCACGCGTAGGTGAACCAGGTGTGGCGGGCGTAGAGGCATTGACCGTCGAGATGCTTCAGAGCCTGCCAGCTCGCCACGGGATCCGGGTCTGGCTCGTCTTTCAGGTGTGTCGCAGTTTGGGACTGTTCTGCCGTGGTGTTCGTCGAAGGCATAGCGCAGAGGTACGTGTGCGCCCCGCCATCGCTCCCTGGCGGAGTGTAGTGGAGGGTCACAAGCTCGAGCGTCTTGGGCCTCGGTGGCGGCGATGTGGAAGACCCTTGCTCTCCCTCTCCCTCTGAACCATCAATAGTCGCAGGCGATCGGGGACGCAGCTCCAAAAAGTCATCATCGACCACGATGCCCTCGGCGCGACAGCGGTCCGCGTCACTCGCCGCCAGAGGAAGCTCGTTGAGGAACTGCACCTCATATTTGGGGAAAGCGGCCAGGTCTTGCAGTCCAGCCGCAGGAGAGCGGATGGAGAGTGCCGGGGACAGTGCCGATAGTGCCAGGAGGTAGATGGCAAGATGCGACATGGTTGCGTGGAGAATAGATCAACGGCAGAAACGACCTGTTCGCGGTCGATGCGTCGTCAGACACGTCAGTTGTCGAACCAGGTGGAGGTGGCGCGGTGGCAGATTACGAGCCAACAACAAAGCGCTCTCTCGGTCTCTTTCATGTCCATAAACCCATTACAAGTGCTCCTAAATGCGGTTAGGATGTTGAGAAGTAATAGGGGTGGGTACCGGTTCACTGCATGCATGGACGGAGCCTTCCTTCGCCCAGGAATAGGCCGACAGACGATCGTTTTAGGGGGCTAGATCTTGCTTGTGGGATCATGCATCCAGTGGGAGCGGCTCATATCATTGTGGCCCACCCCTCCCTCCCTCTGAACAGGTCTCACACTTCGCACGGTGGCTGTGGACGCGTGGACGGGCGGTTTGCGTCGTCGTGTTTTGGTCGGTGGACGAGACGTCGGCTTCCTCCGTGTGCCGGGCCCTCCGGCTACTGAATAGTGACATCAACCCCATCGCCTGGGTGACATCTGCACGTTCAACAACACTCTTCGCCACCATACTCGTCCCGCAATGACACCACGCAACCCCGATCCTATCGAGAGTCTTGTACTGCCCCTCAAGCCTGAGTCGCTCCAGTGTGTACACGTCTGCATTCCACTGGTGCCCACCCGCCTAGATCCCGGCGATCACCGCGAGCCGCCCGCCCCGTTGTCGCGTCTCAGTTGAGAAGCCAGCACTGACACACGCAGATGCCTGTACCGGTTTATGGAGTACAAGCGCACACCGCTGCCGCACCCCGTACCCAAGAGCCGCATGGCGGCCGTGGCCATCGTGTACGTTGCCCTCCTTTCGGCTTGCCTCGACGCGTTCCACTGCTGGTCGTGCCCCCACTGACACCTGACATCATACTGACGCCTGTGCAGGCTGTTTGTCGGGCGCAAGGGCGACCTATATGTTCTCCTCTCTACGCGCTCGGGTGAGCTCCGAACATACGCCCACGACACAGCCCTGCCCGGCGGTAAATATGAAGAAGGCGATGAGGACGAGGAGGGTACTGCGGTGCGTTGCGAACGTCATCATAGACTGCCAGGGTACTAACGCTGCAGCGTCGCGAGGCCTATGAGGAGGTATGTGTAGTTTGATCTCACGTAAAGGTGACAAGCTGACAGCCAGATTGGTCTCCCCATCGACAAAGAGCGCGTGCGGTGCCTCTGCATGCTGGACCCCTTCCTCGCCGGCAACCAGCTGATCGTTACACCTGTGGTCTTCCTCAACATTGACCGGCGTATCAACCCTGTCCTGAACCCCGCCGAGGTCGAGTACCTCTTCAGCATGCCATTGACTGCCTTCCTGTACGACAGGCCACAGGACATTCCAGGCTGGAACTTTGGCTTCTCTGAGAAGGTCCGGCGGGGAGCCGACACCATGCCGACGACCATGGCCCCGCCAATGCGACCCGACTATGCCAGTGACCCCGTTGTGGGCAGTGCCGACGCTCCCAGTATTGGTGGGCGTGAGGGCGTCGCCTACTACCAGTACCGCGACGTGGCGTGGGGAGGCGGCGTGGTGCGTATGCACCGCTTCCTCACTGGCAGGGAGGGTGGTGGTGTCAAACCGGTGTACGGTCTGACTTCGTGAGTACAATGGGTGCACGAGCCAGAGCTATTGGGCGGGCTTGTTCGTTAGCTCGATGGCTTGTGTGCTCAGGAGAGAGACGCTGTCCTAACAGCCTCCCAGTAACATCCTCATCCACGCCGCGGTAGTTGGGTTCGGACACCCGCCAAGCTTCCAGGTATTCGCTCCCGGTCAACCGACTATGGCCCAGCGCGTCCGCCACGAGATCACACGCGGAGACGGCGGTCCCCTGCGACGTGCAGTGGAGAAGGGTGGCATGCTGGACGCCTGGCTCAACGATAATAGCCCAGGAGCCTATGAGGGCGTGGGCAAGTATGATAAAGTGGACAAGGAAGGCGACAAGGCCAAGTTGTAGACCGCACGGGCGCAGGCGCGCAGGGTTTCCCATGCAATAGTCAATAGTTAGTACCCCCACAAGTGAGAGATATGCTTGCCTTGGGAGACCAAACTCTCGCCGGCTATGGCTGCACTGGACCGAGCAGAGTGGATTTCGGCTTTCGCTCAACTACCCCGCATTTCTCAGAGGTGCCTATGCCAAGCCGAACCGAAGGTATCACCACACATCTAATGCTGCCTGCGGGGCCACAACTCACGTCGCGGCGACATGCAGCAGGAGTTGGCCCGACCTCCCGATCTCCGACCAAAGCAGGTTGCGGGGCTCACAGGACCGCTTCCGTTGCTCTCTAAAGGAACGGAGGGCGGCAACGACCGCTGGAAACACGAGACGGACAAACCCCGCACAAGACTGGCCGCCACCCACGTCAAGTTTGCCTATTGTCAGCAGTAAAAGAGTGGAGGGCCATGTCGGCTCGCGGGGGGCATTTCACCGGGAGCTGAGTAGCCGAGTAGTACTCTCGAGATTCTATCTGTGCAGGCGCGGTATGGGGAATTCATGGCCGGAATGGCGACACGGCAGGCATGAGGGCGTAAGGCGGAGGAAAGAGCAAGTCAGAATGGGTGAATTTAGGTCGCAAATGGGTGGAGGCTGGCCAGTCTGCTACTGGTGCAAGTGCTCGTCACAAGTAGAGGTCTAGGCAGTGCATCTACAGCATCTACGCCTTGGAATACAAATGGCTACGCTGGAATCTCGGAATCTGGAGGCTGGGGGGGACGGAGGCCGTGGTGGGGGGCTGGTGGTGGTTACTAGTTACTAGTGGTTTCTACAACTAAGAACGGCCTCGGCAAGGATTGTCGTCGTTTATTTGCTTCTTTCACCTCTTCACACCTGGTGCTCCTCGGCCGCAATGGAGTTGGGCGAGGGAGCACCGAGGGCCTCGGTGACACCGGAGGACTGCAGGAACTGGGCCCACTTGGGCTCGATGAAGAGGGCGCTGGCCTCGGCGATGCGCTCGCCGTCCAGAGTCTCCATGGTGGCGCTCACGTTGACCTTGCGGCCCTGCTTGTGCTCGAGCTGGGTGCGGACAACAACAAACTGGTCGGCCATGCAGGGCGAGCGGTAGTTGATGTTCAGGTTGGCAGTCACACCAATGTGCGAGGGAATGTTCATGAGCGCCTGTATTGTGTTAGTACCGTACTCGATAAATGCAGCCCCTTCATACTCACATTGCGGGCAAGAGTCTCGTCAAAGACAGTGGCGAGGAGGCCACCGTGGACGATACCGTCGTGACCACAGAGTGCGCGACCAAGGTGCAGGACAACTGTTTTTAGGTTAGCATTGTTCATATCTCATTCTCCGCTGCGCAGCGGCGTGGACTAGAAGGGCTCGAGGTTTGGGACAGCCAGGAGGCTTGGGAAACCATAGAAAGGGCTGGGTTGTGGTCGACTCCGCCCGGCCCCGAGAGTCCACTCCGAGCGTCCACCGACGAGCCCTAGGGACATGTGATTGTTGCAAAGAGAAGTGCACGGCCCAGGTACCCCGACATGAAGGGACCAGACGCCATCTCTTTGCCGCCTTTTGTCCTTCGTGCCCTCTACTTCACCCCTCTTTAGCAGCGCAAACTTTACTCACCGAGAGCTTGGGTCTCGTCGTGCTTGGCGAAAGCGATGGGCGGGACGGCAAGCTTGCCAGGTCCACGGAGCGAGCCGGCAGTGAGGCTGTTGTGGATCTTGTTGGGGTCGAAGCGCTGGTATGGGCCTGGTACTGTCAGCATCCCCATTCATAAAGGCGGCAAGTCCTAGGGGATGTCCCGCATGTTCACACATGGTGTGTGTGGGCATGTGTGGTTAAAAAGGCTCCCTACATCCGCGGCACACCCGCGGCCCGGTCGAGCAAACAAGCAGAAACCCCAGAGGCCAGAGGGGAAGAACTCACGCGTCTCGTACCACTCCTCCTTGTTGCGCATCTTGGCCACAACAAACAGCTCCTGCAGCTCGCGCTCAGTCTCCTCCATGAGCGACTTTCCGTGCTTGCTGTCTGCGGTCGGAGGGGGAGGGGAGTAGCGGGGGTTGAAGATGAGGACGAGCTGAGGAGGGTAGAGTGCTCCCACGAGGAAGGCGGTGGGAAGAGCGAGAGCAAACGCTGCGGTACATGTCAGCAAGCCGTCATGGACTCGAGGGCATGTTTGATGCTCCTTTCCGGGTTCGGCCCAACAGGCAGGCGATCACGGGTGGTTGGCTTCTGACGACGACGTCACCAACCCCCCACGTCCGCGCTTGTCGCCCTCCACGGGAAACACAAACATGCTGCTGTCACAGTACATACCAAGACGAGTGCCCCAGCGGCGGCTAAAGCTAGGTCCTGCACGGCTGCCACCGCTAGATGCCTGGCGAACCGTCATGGCGGGGACGGCGCCAGCACCTGCCGACGCGACGGTGGCTGTGCGGGCAGTCGCGGTGGTCGAAAACGAGTGGTACTGCTTGGGTGCGAACGACTTGGGTGCTGTGCGTGGCACAGCACGGAGGGCGGGGAGGGCGAGACGCAGGGACATGGTGGTGGCGAAGAGAGGGATGTGTCTAGAGCTGCTGGCTGACAATGGCTGGCCTGTATTTTCTAGAAACGAGAAAGAGAGTAATGACAAAGAATGGAGGAAACACACGCCGTTCGGCTCACTTTTGCTCGTTTCCGAGAGCCGGCCGCCAAGATGCCCCACACCCCCCGCACGCACGCACGACGCTGCACACGCTGTTTGAGCGGCAAAGACTGATCCGGCGGGCCGACCGGCGAGGAACAAGCTCCCCCCCAGAGCGCCAGAGCCGTACGCGCGGGTAATTGGCACTGCAGAAAGATGCCGCACAATACAAGACGGCTGGGTGCGGGAACGCGCTGCTTCCGGCCCCGGACATGCGTGGCCGAGAAACAACGAGCACGCGGGGACTCCAGATGGCTGTCGGTCGCACAGCCGACGGTCCGCCGAATGCCACCAGCCAAACGAGTGGCCGCGAGTGGGCTCCACACCACCCTGTGCGAATCCTTCCTGTATGGCAAGGTTGTCTGCCGTTGTCCATGGTCCCACATGACAACCCACGCCTGTTTCCCGATGCCTCGCAGAGTACCCAGTGTCGACGTTCCCCACTGCATTGCAGTCAACGTCAACCAACTTTGACCTTCTTCCAATCTTCCATCTCGCTGGAATCGGACCGTTCGGGTCGCTCAACACCTCGCCAATCAATATCGCCATCTCGGTTAATAACTGCTGCTATCACTGATCACTGACCCACGCCTCGCTGTTAGAGTTTACAGAAAAAGAAAGCAACAGAAAAAGGAAGACAAAGTGCAAGTAAAAAACGACGTATCGTGCATACATGATGAAAAAGCAAACCTGTGCAATTGTTCAATGTTCGGAGAAGGGAGACGGGATGGCACGTCCCTTGGCAATACAAGTCTGGGACAGAAGTTCTACTTCTCTACCTTGGCCAGCCGGCGCACCGCGCAGCTGAGCAAGGGGTGTGGGTGAGGGAGATGTGCGACGGATGTGTGTGACGGTGGTGTGGGGGTGAGGCCTCAGTTCGACGGTGGCCCCGAGCTCAAGGCGACGACGACACGCGCATGCGCATGGCAACAGCGCTCTTGACGCGAGTGACGGTCCCACGCTTGATGATGACGTTCGAGTTGGTCTCGCCGCCGTCGCGGACGGGAGCGACAGTCATGGGAGCGGCGCCCCCCGACTCGATGCTGCTGACAGCGCAGAGCTTGTCGACAGCAGCAGCAGCACAGGCGTCGTCGTTGTCGTCGTCCTCGTCCTCGGCGATTGGGTCCGGCATGTCAACGCTGGCAGCGCTCGAGGCGCTAGTCAGCGACGAGATGGACCGCTGGCTCGAGGTCGTCGACTGCACGCTCGTGTCCGACTCGAGGGACATGGTCGAGGGTGAACGCATGTTGTGTCCGGGAGACGATGAGACGGGGGTCGCTGTGGTGACCGTGAACGCCGGACCGGGACGCGAAGAGGTCGCGCCGAGGGACGAAGCCATCAGCGACTGGCCGCGCGGAGGCGGGGCAATGGCCGACTGCTGGCGTTCCAGGAGGGCCGAGAGGTTGGAGGCCACAAGCGTCGAAGGGCGACCTCCCGGCACAGCGTCCGTTTCCTCGCGCATGGAGGTGTCCTCCTTCTCGGGGGACGTACGCGGCGAAACGTGCTCGGACTCGACACGGGGCTGTGGGGCAAAGAGTGGCGTGGTGCTCAGCAGTGGAGTCGGAGGAGCACTGTAACTGAGCTTCTGAGCCGACGGCGCGGCGAGCACCTCGGTCGAGCACGCCGACGCCGAGCGACCCTGGCGAGTTGGCGAGCGGTGAGCGCGAGGTGGAGACCATCCAAAGTCGGCGAGGGACGAGCGCGATGCCACCGAGGACGATGAGATGGTCGACGAGCCAGCAGCAGGGTTATGAGGTTGCTCGAGGGCCTTGGGAGTAGGCGGCGGCTCGGGATACGTCTCCACGCTGTCTGTAGGCGTAGGAAGGTCTGGGAGCGTAAACTCGGCAAGGAGCGCAGCAGCCGAAGCACCAAAGTCTAGGTTGGCAAGACGCGGAGCCTCGATCGCAGGAGGCTGGAGCCCCGGTGCGCAAGGAACGGTAACGTCGACGTCTTGCTGACGTTTCATGAGGTCGGTGAGCTCGGCGACCTGACTGCGACCCAGCTGGAACGACGACGGTGTGGGGCTGGGTGGATCGATAGGCGACAGCTGTTCTGGGGACGCGATGAGACCGCCACCCTCATAACCCCCCACAGGGGCAAAGTGGCGCTGAGGAGGCTGATACTCAAACTCCTGGAATTCCTCCAGAGGCGGCGACGGAGAACTTGGGTGCGGCACGACCAGCTCGGGGAGAGGCTCGAGTGGGACCGGGCGCATGCCGGGGTTGGACCGGTAGTGCCTCAACGCCTGGCGGGTGGCCTGTTGAGGCGACGACGGGTGGGCACGCCGGGGTGTGCCAGGTGGCGAGAGGATGGGAGGCGTGCTGGGGTTGCTGTAGACAACCCCCATGGGCTGGTGGCCCAACGAGCTGGAACGAGTGTGTTGGTATCCGGGGCCCGGTCCGTAGCCAACAGGCTGCATACCGGGGGAGCTTCTGGGCTGAACACCATTGGGAGGAACGGCACTGACAAATCCAGGCGGGATGGGTGCTCCTTGAGGGATCGCGAACCCAGCACCTCCAGGCAGCACATAGACCGGGGTGTAACTAACTGGGGGGCCGACAGGTGCGCCTGGAGGACCAGAAAAGCCTGGACGCATAGTCGCCTGAACTGGAATCGCACCTGGCGGCAGCGACTGAGACTGCAAGTACGATGGTGGTGGTGGCCGAGCGCCCAGGCTGTTCATATTCGTCATTGGAGCTGGTGTGGCACCTGGAGGAGCTGTTGGCCACGCCGGGTTTGGCATTGTGCTTCCCCGTGCAGGCGACTGGGAGTGTTTGCCTTCGGTGATCTTGCTAAGCAGCGGCACCGAGCGCGATCGTTTGCTGAGTTTGCGAGCAATCATGCTGCTCATGCTGCTAAAGGTGCTCTTGCTCTCGCTCCTCTCCAGGAGCTTGCTCTCAGGTCGTGATGGCCCTGTGGAGCGCAGAGCTGAGTGCTGCTCGGTCACGGCGACGCTCGCTGGGCGGGCCGAGACGGGCATGACAACGCCAGCGCGCCGCAGACCGGACCGCGAGAAAGTGGGCGCGCGCTTGTCCGCAAACTCGACCGCGCACACTCCTGGCAGCGCAGTCGAAGGGTGCACTTCGTGGATACTTTCGCGAGCACTGCCGCCAGAGGTCGAACCGCTGGAGGAGAAGATTGACGATCGCAGCGAGGGTGTGGCAGTGCCGGGGGTGGCGGCGACGTCTCCCCACAGACCCGGAGCAGGAGCAGAGAACGGCCTGTTTCCTGGGACAGAGTTGATGCTCGGCTGGCGACGCATCGACTTTCCAGCCGCAGGAGCGTTCATCATGGATTGGCGGCGGTCGAACATGCTACGGCGCTCTCCGCCGCTCAGGTTACGCTCGTGCGAAGCCCGGGGCTGGCCGAACTCTTCGCAGTCGCGAGCGTTTGCCGGCGACCGGGGAAGGGGTGGGTGGTGGATAGTCTGTGCCCATGCCACACGGGTACCTGCTCGACCGCGGAGTGACCTAGTGGTGTCGTCGTCGTCCGAAACTTCTAGTGGCGCAAGGAGCTCACACTCGTCCGTGTCTGCAACTGGTAAGCCTGGCGAGTCCACGCGCGGAGTGGGGCCACGGCGAGCCACGGGCGTCTTTGGCTCTTCCTCGTACCCAACCTGCTGCCGGAGCGGGGAGGATATGCGTACGGCGCTCTTCTGGTGGCGGAGGATTGGTCGGAGAGTATTGTTGTCTGAGCTTGACCCAGACGACTCGCCAAATACGCTCTGTGTAGACGAGCTGGAAACCAAGGGCGATCCCACGGCGTTGGAGGGCGCGGGGGCAGGCGCTGCCAACGGTGGGAAGCGCGGGGATGCCAGTTCAGACACAGAGAGGCTGCGTCCATGCACTGCGCTGGGCATGGCGGCTGGTGTTTCGATGGGGTCGGAGGGTTCAGAGCCGGCCTGCAACAGTGTCAACAACAACTCTCCGCGGCACACGCCTGTTTTGGGGAGGGGTCCTTCTTTTCCACACATTTGCGCCCAACTTACAGAAAAAGTCTGGCGGAGCGGACTGCGACGGGGACCGCGGTAAGCACTCTGGGTGCTTCTGGCCCTCGCTATGCGTGGTGGGGTGCTCGCTGTCGGAGGACGACGGGGCAGGGAAACGGAAATAGACCGAGCGAGGGTCTCGGGACTGGCCGTCTTTGGCGTTGAAACTGGTGTACACGGTGCGGATTGGGACGAAGAAGTGGGAAACGGTAAAGAAAGTGTTTTCGGCGCTGCCGGCAAAGAAAGGCGTGATGGTGGGGTGAATGGTGTCGATGTTAACGGAGAAGAGATGGATGACTGGCGACGATGGTTGGCCTTGAGCTTGAGCGTCCGCTTCTTGTCCTGAACAGGCAACTGCTGGGCAACTGGTTGTTCGTGGCCGTCGTCCTTGTCCTCGTCCGGGTTCTCGCGTCTTTGCTCCTGGACCTGGCCGTCATCTCCCTTGAGCTTTGGCTCAGTCTCTGCTGCGCCTTTGCCTTGGCTGCGTTGGAAGATGCCTTGGTATTGCTGGGCGGCAGCAACAGCGGCGGAGGCGGCGGCGGCGCGAGGGGTTGCGCCAGGAGAACGAGGTCGACAGGATGCCTGAGGTGGGGGCAGGGGCAGTCGGAGGGCACGACCACATGTCGCGTGCAACGTCGGTCCACTGCTGCTGCCGCCGCCAGCAGTAGCAGCAGCAACAGGTGCAGATGCCCTTCTGGACAGCATGTCGCCCTTGTTTCTCTCCCGCCGTCCGGCTGCACTACTTGCAGCGTGGGTAGTCATGTGCCTGCAGCAACGACGACGGCAACGACGACGTTGGCACGCGTCGTCAAGGTGGCCCCGCAAACAGACCTGTCCCGCACCGGCGATGAAACGCGAAGCAGCAGAGCCGCTCAATCACACGTCCGTCCAGCGGGCCGGCTTCCTGGCCAGCCTCGTCTAGTAGCTTGGTGTCGCCTGGTTTCACCGACTGGCCCGCCCAATCGGGACAGAGAGAGAGACTCTGTAATGGCCCAAGTTGCAAGGTAACGCTGGGTCCCAGAGAGACCTGTCGCACGTCCTCTGCGCCCAAGCTCTCGACGGCCGCCGCAAGCTAGACAGGGGCAAAAGGGGGTGGGGGGAGAGGGGAAGCTGTATCAGCCCGCGCGTCCACTGGGGACGTCAAGCTGTGGCACAGAGAGAGGTAGAGGTAGTGCTGGCAAGTGCAATGTGTGGCACCAGCAGTGCACAGGCAGAGAGGCAGCGGAGACACGTCCAGCGGCCAGCGTCGCGGGTCAGATCTCGTCTCTGTACCGTGCGTTCCGAATCCTTGGATCTATCCTTGGATCTGTGTGCCTATGACACGGTGCGCGCGCAGAGTAATGGTTGAAGGAGTGTGGATAAGGTCGAGCCAGATGATCGAAGAGTGTCGTTCCGAACCGCAGAAGACGAAAGAGGATGAGGATGTGGGGAAGATGGAGAACAGGTAGAGGTAGATACAAGGTTATAATTCTTGTCTTTGCTATCTACCGTTCATGCATTGATGAGCACCCAAGCAGGATTTTGATGGCCGCTCGCTCGTTGGCCCCTTGATTGCGTGCAGAGACGCCTGAGAGCTGAGACGGCGCGCTCACGCGCGACAAAGGTACTTTGTGGGGGCTGTCAACAACGCGTGCCAAGCCCATCGCGCCGGTCGCGCAAAAAGCAAATGGTTAAATGGAGGCTTACATTCAGTGGCGTCAGGCCGTAAACTTTTTTTTCCTTCTTCCCTGCAAGCAGCGTCCGTCCACTCCTGCCTGAACTGGGACTGACTGGCATGACTGGCCCCTAGACACGCAACCTTGGCGGAGAGCCCTTGGCTCCCACCAAGACACGGCCTACGCGACTGAACGCGGCGACACGACGGGCATCAACAATACCCCAGAATATAGTGACAGGACAAGACCACGATGCCACAACATCAACAAACGTTCGACCAAGGGTTCCTCTCACCGTCCCACAGCTCCCCCGTAGCGCAGGCCACCAGAAGGCTTCGGAGACATTCACCCTCACTGGGCAGCGTCATCTTGACCCTTTGTCAGAACGTACGGACAACCTGTGGCAGCTGGCAGCTCGCTTCAGTCATCGGTAGTTCGCAATCTCGTCAGCCTTGGAACACATACTGTACAAAGTAACGTTCCCCTTGGTACCTCTCTCGGCCTGTCCGACGCTACACTACTAATGCATGCATAGGGTGCGGATCTGGCCATTCAAGAAGGGTGGGTTGAAGAATGCACTCGTTTGTATCACGACGACGACTCGCTTTGTTCCCCTACCTTCGCTTGCAGCACTGTAACGGTCTCGTCACGACGACAACGCTCGCAGGCTCGGCCCGCAAAGCCATGTGTTGCTCTCTTGCATCATTTGGGGGGATCACACTTGAGAGAGTCTACTCGTACACGGCCCGGATGCTGGTGCCAGAACAGCGGCACCAGGACTGAAGCGCTGCCACACAACTGGGAAACCTCCTGGCCTCCTGGCTCGCCGTTAAACTGGGTGAAGTGCTTCCTGGCGGCTCAGAGATGAAGCTTCGCTGGTGGGCCCACGCACGGCGTGGGGACCACATGCGGCGTTTGGCACCCATGCACGGCCTCAGGAGCCAGGAGATCAGGAAAACGCATCCATTGCCCTCCAGGATAAAAAGACTGAAGGAGGTGCAGTTCGGATTGCGGGGGTTGCCAGGGGCAAAAAATGACGGCAGTGTGGTGCCTCGATGCAACGCGTCCTATATCTGCTGCTTGCTGGCTGGCTGGCTGGTGGTCCACCTGCTCCGCCGCAGAGTGTCAAGAGTCCGAGAACCGGGTTGCCTCGTATGGCAACACAAGCCTTGAGCGATATCCCTTCGCCAGGGACTGCTATCGGAATTCGCTCCTTCCACCCATGCGCTCAACTTTACAGGGCCGGTGAACACCGCGTGAGTCATGAGTGGCGGCGACCTTCAGGACGGCTGCGACAAGGCGTGAGAGTTCTTGGTCACAGCCATTGTGGTGCTTGAAATAACTACACCAACAAGGTCGTGGAGCGGTACATGTGTGCTAGACAAGTTGCGATTTAAGCCATCCTAACAATGATTGCCATGCACCGCAGCCTGCTTTTCTCGTGTCCCCACCGCGTAACCAAGGTTCGAGTGACGGTCCCCATTCTTAAGCGCCTGTAGCCTAGTGACTAGCACTGTAAAGTTGCTCGGAACCCTGCTCTCAGCTGGCCAGTTGCTCCGTGAACAATGTAGCTCAGTGCCTCCGTTCACACATTCCCACCCAACGTTACACTGCTCTCGTATCGCTTCTCGGTTCACAGTGACTCGTGATGAACATTCCCCACTCCACAGCTCTGGCCTAGCTATGCGCGCGCGTTCACATGGGTCGAAGGTCATTCTTCGCCAATCTTAGATCCATATTTGTCGCCTTACCCAAGTTCAGTCGATCAATTCCGTGCGGGTTGCAGGCTTCGGGCTACCGCTGGCACGACGAGGACTGGCACCAGTCACGGTGCCGGCGACACTGGGTGAAATGGGCCCCGCCCAGACTGTTGCGTGTACGTTCACAAGTTGGTACTCGCACCTTCTCGGCATCGGCTCAGTTGACGTTGCCCGCGCTGGAATCTGGGGCATGCCTTGGACTTCAATCTCGGCACATTGATGGCACAGCTAACGGATCTCTCGGCGGGCCTTTCGTATCTCGATATCGCGGTGCCGTTGTCGTGCAGGTCCAAATTACTTGGTGTGTGGGACATGCGTACCTTCCAAGGTACAGTACTCGTGCCATGGTTATCATTGCAGTTCCCAATGCTGTACGAGGCGGGAGTGAGGACGCGGTTGCAGTGATGGCAATGCAGAGGCCGGCGGGAAAGGGGGGTATCACGACACTGCCAATACCATCTGCTCACAGCATTGGCGATGCGCAGAGTTGACCAGGACGACAAGACAAAGCAAGGCGTTTGATAGGAGCCGTGTCTTATTTTTCCCAGGCCATATTCTTGACGCTTCACACCCTCCAGCATTCAATGGCATGTCATACGGGACGTGTCACGCGGTAAGTTGGCAGAGCGACAGCAGCAGCGGTGCCACGGGAACAGCAACTGGTAATATCTCTCTTGTGACTCTTCCTCTGGCACAGGAACAGTCATTCCAGCTCAATTTCACAGGCGTGTACACGGCTCGGTTGAAACCTATGGCATCAGTGATCAGTGTACGCTGCTGGGAATCGGGGTCAGCGGAGGACGACACCCGGCTCCAAGTATGCCACGTATCATTCACAGGTGAATGTTACTATTAAATTCAGCAACATGCAACCAGCGACCAACGACGCCAAAGGGACAGCACCACAGCCCTCGTATCACGGTATCATAGGTATCACAGGGCTGCATTCTTATACCAGTAGTGAAGATACAGTCGTGAGGGGACACCTGGTCATTAAACGGGCTGTGCTCACGGGAGTACCGAAGGCTCGTCGACGGGGACACCGACGGACAGCTTTCGGCTGTGCACTCCTTGGAGCATGTACAGGCCACCACGGTGTCCCAGGCTATACAGGGAAGACGGACGCTCTTTGGAGTGTCATATGCATATGACCTCAGAGAGAGAGAAGACCTTAGCAATAATGTACGCGGATGTAGCATCTGTTTCCCCACAAATATAGTTTGCCGGTCATTGTTCGACTTTTCCGCTGGAACCGCCACTGAATGCGTTCTCGACGCGTGTACTGTCCCGGCTCGAGAACGCATTCAGTGGTGGTTCCAGCGGAAGAGGTTCAGTACAGAAGATGACTAATTCTGCGCGCGAGGTAGACGCGGTGTGGGGGCATGTCCGCTATACACGGGCTGCAGACGTCCTGCCACCAGCTGCCACTGGCCACTTTTGGGCTAAAATCAATATGCCCCCCGTTGACGCTGACATTATGCATGGACGCCGAACGTGTAGTTGCCCCCGTTTATGTTAGTGACCCTCGTACATGTATCTAGTCTTTCTGTAGGATGCGATCAGAGATCTGAGGTCTGCGAGCTTCAAGCAACACGGAATGTGCTTATCGACTCTGAAGCTATATCTGGCCGAAGCCACCGCAACGAGAGCGCTGCGCGCTGCGGCGGACACCATTCAGCCATGCCCTCCCACCCGACCACCCATGCGGGTGCGCGCAGTTGACCACAGTAGTGAAGGCTGGATGTGAAAGGGTGGAGAGTATGGGGTGTGCCAGTGCACAGGAACTGTCACTCCAAAACGGAACGCAGTAGACGCAGTATACCCAGCCACATGATTCCTCGGCCCGGTGGGGGTGAACGGGCCGCCAGTGGTCATCTCCTCCTGACGACAACGAGACACTTAGCGCAGGTATCGGGCTGCGTTCTGCGTTCGTATTCGACGTGTTACCATGCCCACCGCCTGGCACTGTGGGGGTCCAGCACATCTCCGCAAGCATCCCAAACTCCTGCCTCACTCATTTTGACAACTTCCCTTTTTGTGATCGAGGAAAGGGTTTTGTGCCGGTCCGCCCAAACTGAAACAACAGAAAACGCGACGACGCGTTTTCACGTGCCAAACCTGTCCAAGTCTGCAACAACGGACCTTTGCAGTACAGGTATGTCAGGACGAGACGGTCCCAGAAACCCCCATCAGATGCGTTGGATCGATTTACATGATACATCTTCCACATGCACCCTGCCACTCTCTGACCGACCATCAGCCAGCGACGGCTGGGTGGTCTCTATCACCATGAAGGCTCTACCTCAAACGCCTGGCGCCACGCTCGTATTGCACGGATACACGGTTACATAGGCTGTGCTGCATGTCTGCGGTGCGGAGTCGCATCTATTCCCAGTCGCGGTGTTTGGGAGGGCTGAGAGTGTGCTTCTTCTGCCAACCGTCAAGGAGCAGTTCGAGGCGCACCTTGGCCGCCGGGCTGTCGCCTGGAATATTGCCGCCCTCGAGACCCGACTTGATGGACATGAGGAGCTTGTCCAGCTGCTTGGGGTGGACGACGGCGAGGAGCGCGTGGCCGACCGTGTCGATCGCAACGGCATAAAGGTGGGCGCTGGGTGGCAGGCCTGGAAGGGGTGCACGCTGCATGGCGGCCAACCACGTCCATGCGGCTGGCAGGCGGAAGGGAGCTGGCACGAGGGTAGCGAGTTGTTGTGGCGTAGGTTTGGCGGGCAGCGTCTGGACAATGGACGACAGCGAGGTCTGCACCACTGCAAAGTACAGGGTGGAGATGCCGGCCATACGGGCGATGTAGTCTGCGATCGACTCGTCGGATCCACGACCCGTCGACTTTTCGTACTCCTCGCGTGATTGATTCTGGACGTTAGTTAGCGAACACAATCTGGCAACTCACTGTGGTGCGAGCAGGGTAGTGTGGTACGACCCATGGGCACTTCTTGACGAGACGTGCAAAGAAGATGGTCGCAACGGCGGTGTGACCACGGAGGATGAGGCCGAGAACGATGCGGGCGAGGGGGAAGGCAGCGTCGGGCTTGGCACTGACCTCGCTCTCGGCCTGCCTGATGAGGGCCTTGGAGAGGTGCGAGACAATGTAGCCGTATGCCGGCGGGATCTGGCCCTCGAAGGTGACGGGCTGGGATGCAGACGGAGGAGATGGAAGCTGGGAAACGAGAATCTTCTCAATCTCGTTGGTCTGCGAGTTAGTGAATGTCGATTCGTAGTTGACTTACGACGCGGAGAATGTCTTGCTTGGTGTTGACAACCTGGCCGAGGCCACGGGTGATGAGACGCATGCTCATACGCAGGCCGCTGCGGACGTCGCGGTTGGCCTTGACCGGCTCGATGACCTCAACCTTCATGCGCTTCTGCACTTTGACCCAGTTCTCCCACTCGGTGATGTTGCGTGAGCCCTCGGCCTGGGCCGCAAGGCGCTTGTCCTCCTCAGCCTTAGCTGCCTCCTCCTGCGCCTTGGCAGCAGCTTCGGACTTTTCACGCTCAGCCTTGTCGGAGGCCTCCTTGTCGGCCTTCTCCTTGGCCGCACGCTCCGCCTCAGCCTTGCGAGCGAGTGCCTCCTTCTCAGCCGCTGCGATGCGCGCCTCCTCCTCCTGCTTCAACTTCAGCGCCTCGGCCGCGCGGGCTGCCTGATCCTCGGCCACTCGACGTTCCGCATCCTTGATCGCGGCGTCAACGTCCTGAAACGGTCAGCGTTGAGTTTCAAACTGTTGCGGTCCTGTACGTACGGCCCAGAGCTTGGCCTCGCGCTCGGCAAAGCGCTTTGTCGTGTCCTCCTCCTCCTTCCTCTGCTGAACGCTCAGGCCAGCCATAAATCGTTGCAGCTCGTCGACCTCGGTCTGCCGCTTTCCCTTCTGAGCGGCCTGGATCTCGGCGCGGACATTGTCCTCGATCTGTCGCAGTCGTGCCCGGCGCTCGCCAGCTACACGGTGACCGTCACGCCAGGCCTCGGCCTCGGTGTCCTTGACCCAGTCGTTGTATTCGTTGGGCTCCTCGCGCAGGAGCTCGCGCATAGATGGTTCCCAACGCCTCCAACTAGGACCGGCACGCTTTGAAGTCGACGCATGGAGAGACTTGGATGTCGATCCGCTGAGCGCTTTGGTGTTTGAGGTATTCAACGAGGCAGACCGTGACCTCTCAGAACGTGGAGGTTCGGCGCGGGCCTTGCCCTTGCCCTTCTGGGGCGAGCGCCAGGACTTGCTGGAAGCAACAAGGTAGCTGCCGCCGATAAGGTCGAGTACTTCGTCCTCACTCTCTTCATCGCCAGACGAGTCGGACAGGGCCAGCATGTCGCGAATGCTCTCGCCGAGCTTGGAGTATCGCCGACTGCTACGTTAGAGGCCATGTACATTCATAGGGCGCGCTCCCTTACCGGTTGAAGTCGGGAACATGGTCAGACTCGTCGCTGGAGTAGGACAGGTCGAGGTCGACGACATAGTCCTCGTCGTCGGGATCGGGGATGCCGAAGCGCATGATGTAGGGTACGTCTATTGATGTGGGATACTGTTACAGGTTGCGTGTGACACCCATGTGGAGCGAATGCAGGAGCAAGTTGCAGGAAGGAAGGTGGAGATGTGAGTTGCTGGATAGCTGGCGATGGTACTTACTTGTGTCCGATCACTCGCAACCCAACAAAGTCACTCCCACATCATCTTACGTAAACGGAACCAACAACATTACACGCGGAATCAATCTCGCATTTGAGGACTATCCTAATACGTTCCTAATGAAGACGTGTCAAGTGGCCGAGTGCAAACAGAGTCTGTTGTACGCAATGTGCATCGGGAGGTGCATCTTAGGACCTCGAAACTCATACAGAGGGGCGTCTCCGATTCCGAGGAGCGCTCGTTGCAACACAAAATGTTACGCCGTTACTGGGGTACAGACTCCCGCATAATCGCTGCGGCCGGATCTTCGAGTGGGCCATCGCCACCCAATTCAGATCGCCGCTGACAACCATCCCGATTCTTTGCAGACGTCTTGTTTTTCTTTTCTTTCTCTGACTGCAGCCTCTTGAGGAAGCCAGACAGGATGGTCTCGAGACGGGGTCGCCAACAGGAGGCAACATGGATGCGGGGAGGTGTGGGGTCGATAAGATAATGGGTGATGGCGTGATCACTTTTGGTGGTGTGCAAACCGCCCCCCGCGCCGCCGATTGTCCCTGCCAAGTTGCATATCCAACCACACCATCTTGTCCTTGTCCCACTCTGATGACGCCCCTCCTCATCTTCACATCTCCCGGGGCGCGCTCACCCCGGCCACCTGTCCCACGCCCAAAGTCATACGAGACATACGATCACCGCTTCCTATCGTAGAGAGAAGGCGCGCGCACCCCCCGAAAACACGAACGTGGGAGCCAAAGCGTGTCACCTACGTCATGTCCGCGGACCCCCGGGGGGTTGTGAGGCGCTGCTGTGTCAGCAGCTCAGCAGCTCAACCGCAGAGCCACTCTTGTGTTCCGCCCGCGCCGCTTAGAGTTGACATGAGTTGACGTGTGTTGGGCGCGATATCCCTGGCCTTCGTCGCCGTATCGACTCGGGGTGTCCAATACATAAACCCACCACAAGCGGTCGGCTCTCCCACAACACTCCCTCCAACCCCCTCCCTCACGTACCGTTTCTCCCTCTCTACCAGCCATGTCATCCAGTATTATCTACACCCTACCACCTATCGCTACCAACGGTGAACCAGAGTCGTTGCGCGATCAGGTTGAGCACGGCCTCCTGGGCACTAGCACCCCAACCGTTCCCGGTGACACGCCCGAGGACAGCCAGTGGGCTTACAAACGCTCGGTCCCTACTGTGGTGCTCTACGATGAAGCTGGCCTTCGGTACGTTCTGTTACATCATCCACCTCCTCTTGCTCGCAACTTCTTACCCTCTCCAGGCTGTACGACCGCATCACCTCGAACGCTCCCGAGTACTACCTATTCGAGGACGAGCTTAATCTGATCAAGACACATGGCCACGAGATTGCCCGTGCGATGGGGTTCCCTGGCCCCAGTGGCGCCGCAGCTCTCCGCACTAACGATTCGCCCAAGAACCATGACGCGCCATACTACCCCCCTGTCAAGCCTTGGAAGCCAGCGCGCTGGGGCGACGCCGATGTGGGCAAGTGGAACGAGGGGGTGAACGGCGAGGAGGGCCTTGGTTCGGGGAGGCAGACGACGGGCTGGGACATTGTCGAGCTAGGCGCTGGTGCCCTCCGCAAGACGGCTCATCTTCTTTCTGCACTTGCAGACACAATCCCTGGCAAAGCATCCGACTCCAGCACCGCCCCGATCACCTACCACGCGTTGGACCTCAGCAGGCCTGAGCTCGACCGTGTTCTCGGCCAGATGGACGAGACTTATGGTGACAACCTCGCTGGCCGCGTCGCATGTGTTGGTCTGCATGGAGACTATACAGCAGGTCTCGAGCTGGTCCGTAACGGTGGCCTCTCGAATCTCGAGGACGGCATGTCCTCGATGCCCTCTACGCCGACGAGTACCCATCTCAGTGGCCTCGACTCCTTGTCCCTCGAGACCCCCGATTCGCCCGACTCGACTCACCTTGCCACACCCGCCCTCACACTCGCCGAGCTTGCTGGTGACCAGACCCAAGTCGTTGATGGCGACGTACCGGAGCTTGGCACCTCTCTGGGCGGATCCAAGTGGAGTCCCAAGGTAACACCCATCGTGCCATCCAAGGCTGTCAGCGAGGACACCACGATGCCCTCTCGCCCGCTTCATTTCATGTTCCTTGGCTCCTCGCTCGGCAACTTTGAGCGCGCCCAGGCCGCCCCGTTCCTTCGCTCGCTCCCACTCCGCCAGGGTGACACCATTCTTCTTGGCCTCGATGGTCGCCCAGCCCCTGGGCCCGAGGGCAAGCTCAAGGTTGAGGTGGCTTACAACGACCCGGCAGGCCACACGCGCGCGTTCGAAGAGCACGGCTGGGACGTCGCTCGCACTGAGCTTAGGCTCGCTCCCGATGATGGCGTCGAGTTTATTGGCCGCTACAACGAAGTCCTTGGTGAGTTGCAACAGATCCCACCAGTAACTGACTCGAAACAGGCCGCCACGAAAGCTACTTCCGTGCGAAACGGGCGCAGACGATCCACCTGCCCAACAGTGGCACTGACGTCACGCTCGAGAAGGATGAGCTCCTTAACATTGAGTGGAGCTACAAGGTGGGTTTCGCACGCGTTTTGGCGTACTAACCCATCAGTACTCTGTCGGTGAGGCCCTCGAGATGTTCGATGAGGCCGATCTCTCCGTCATTGATTCGTGGAAGGCGCCCAACTCCGAGTACCGCCTTTGGCTCCTCGAGCGCCCCGATGTTCGCTTCAGCAAGGGTGCGCCCGAGGACACCACTGTCGCTACTCGCTGGCCGTCGGCTGTACCGACGTGGGACGAGTGGCAGGGCATGTGGAAGCTCTGGGACCACATTACCCTCGAGATGATCCCCACTGAGATGCTTCACCAGAAGCCCATCGACCTGCGCCATATTTGTCTGTTTTACCTCGGCCACATCCCGACTTTCCTCGACATCTTCCTCTCGCGCATCACGGACGGCACCCACACCGAGCCGGTGTACTTCAAGGACATTTTCGAGCGTGGTATTGACCCGGACGTCGATGACCCGAACAAGATCCACGCCCACTCCGAGGTTCCCTCGTGCGAGGAGGACTGGCCCATCCTCTCCCAGATCCTGACCTTCCGCGACGCCGTGCGCGCCCGCGTCCGCCGCATGTACGACGACATCGACGCCGGCAAGCCCGTTGGCCGTCGCACTGCCCGTGGTCTGTTCATGGCGTTCGAGCACGAGGCCATGCATGCCGAGACCCTGCTCTACATGCTCATCCAGTCGCCGCTGACAGTCGCCCCGACCGAGATGCCTCAGTGGGACGTCTTGGCGAGCCACTGGGCGGACGCCTCCAAGCGTGCTGCCACACAGGGCAACGCCGGCATCCTCAAGGTCCCGGTCACGACGGTATTCCTCGGCCACGACGACCTCGAGGCAGATGACAAGGGCATTGTCGCAGACCACGAGTTTGGCTGGGACAACGAGCACGGCCGCCACGCTGTCAAGGTCGAGGCTTTCAACGCCGAAGCGCTCCCCGTCACCAACGCCGAATACTATGCCTTCCTCGCGACTACCAATGCCCTCAATGGGCTCACGGCCGCGGCTGCTCCTGCGTCCTGGGTCCTCGGTAAGGACGGCAAGTGGGCCGTGCGCAGCCTGTACGGTCCCGTCCCCTTCTCCGTTGCCGGCTCGTGGCCGCTCATGGCCTCGCGTGACGAACTCGTTGCATATGCCACTTTCCGCGGCGGCCGTCTCCCGACCGAGCCCGAGCTCCGTGCGCTCTGGGTTCACCCGGCCGGTCCCCGCCCCGCCGGCCTCACCTCCAACACTGCCTTCAAGCACTGGCACCCCGTCCCGCCCATGCCGACGCACACGGACAACGCCGGCATCGTCGTCCACGGCCACAACGGCGGCGTGTGGGAGTGGACGTCGACCAAGTTTGCGCCCTTTGACGGCTTCATCCCGTCCGAGCTGTACCCGGGCTACAGCGCCGACTTTTACGACGGAAAGCACTTTGTCGTCCTGGGTGGATCGTACGCGACCGTCCCGCAGATTGCGCGTCGCGAGTCGTTCCGTAACTGGTACCAGGGCAACTACCGTTTCGCCTGGTGCGGAGCGCGCGTCGTCTATGACGCGTAAGGAACAAGAACCCAATAAATAAACGATGTGTACAGTACAAGAGTTTCAGAAGACTTCACCCTTCATCCGTTAGAGCGGAAGGGTGCAAAGGAAGAAGGCAGTGGCGAGGAGGAAAGGAAAGGAAAGGAAAGCAAGCGGAGGCACGCATTTGGCGCTATCTTGTAGCTCCTCACAGTACACGATGCATGTACACCTTGCACTAGAAAACAAGTACACTACACAAAAACCGAGCTCCTTGCCAGCGTGGTCGTGACCGATACACGCTCTACAGGTGTCACCATTGGCTCGTCGTCCTCGTCGTCTATCACTCCATCTTGACATCCTCGCCATTGAGGATGGCAAGCTTCTCCCTGGGAGATGTCAGCTACCGGTGTTTCAGCCCGGCCACCTGTACTCACTTCTCAAGCTCGCGACTCCTGTCCGTCCACTTGTTGGGGTGGCTGACACTCTCGCTGTTCCCCAGTCCCTCGCCGCGCTTGACGTTGTGGGTAATCTCAAACACCCTCGTACACGCCACATGGTAATGGCTGCTCTTGACACTGTCCATGATATCACGCATATCAGGAGACCCACGCTCGAGCTGCGGGTAGGTCGACAGCAGGAAGGACTGCAAGTTTTCGGGCGAGAAGTGGCGGAACGGGCAGCCGTGGCTGTCCTGTGTGCCGGGCTGGTTCGAGGTAAGGATCTGGGTGCAGCTCTTTGGGGGGTAGTTTGCCCTACGACCTTCTTGGCCGTACGAGTGGCGAATGTTGTACCTGTACTCCTTGTTGAACTTGTCGTCCGTCATCGTGGAGCCGTACATTCGCCGCCAGAAGACAACAGCCTCCTCGAGAGGAAGTCCAATACCCTTGGAGAGAGTTAGCTTGACGGGCGCAGGTCACTGCAGCTAAACACCCACCTTCAAGAACAGTCCCAGCTGCAAACGGCCAAAGTGTTTGAGGTGGTGATCGCGCTTGAGGCGTTCATAGAGGTTGAGCATGCAGGGAGGGAAGTGCTTTCGCGCGACATCGTCGACCATCTCGGCGGTGACGGCAGCAGTGGAGTCTGTGGGAGCGTATTCGCCGGCGCCAACGCCAGCCAGGAAGCTCGCCGCGAGGTGGTCGATGACGGGACCGAGACGCTCGTCCTCATCCAGGCGGGGCAAGTTCTTGGCGGTAACCTCGAGCGCGCGGGTGAGGCGTGTGTCGAACGCCTGGAGTACCAGACTGATCTGCATGCTCTGCGGGACGTACGCCATGCCCTGCTTGACAAAGACGCGGCGCTTCGCCACGAGGTCCGGAACCGCCGTCCACGACACCTTGAACCAGCTCTCAGCAGCAAACTGCTCTGGACGAGCCCATGGCATGCACTTGCGCAGCTGAGATTCGTACGCTGAGCGCTCGTCTTCGCCGACAACAGCCCAGTCCAGGGCGAGGTGACGCAAGAACGCCGCACGCTCCGACGCATCGTCCGTCTCAAACCGGTGACGGAACAGCATGGTCTCGGCGCGCACGAAACGGGCACGCAGCTCTGGCGAGCGCGAAAACGCAAGGCGGAGGACCCAGTGGCCAATCTCATCGCGACGCCTTTCATCGTCGAGGTTGGCCGTGCGGGCCGTGTTGGCGCTCAGGGGCAGGTGCTGCTTGGTGTAGGTGGCGATGGCGGTGGATAACTGGGCAGGTGGGAGGTTGCGGTGGGACAAGGCCTCGAGGTGAGAAAGGATACGGAGACGGTCGATCGCGCATGTCTCAAACTCGTCGAGGGTAATGTCCAGAGATGGAGGGCGGTCGTAGCTAGGATGTCAGTGGGTGGTGGGTCGCGGCAGACACAGGATGCTCCTCACAAGTTTAGGCGGTACGGGTAGCGACCGCTCGACGACGCCGAGCTGACTGTCTGGCGCTTGTGCAACTTGACGTCGAGGGAGCTCGACGCGGTCGCGCTAGGTCGTGTTGTTGGCCTGAACATGGTGTGTTATGTATGGGATATGGAAGGTCCAATCACCAAACTCGCGACGCGACTGTTGACAGGCGCGTCGCGCCCCTTCATGAGTGATCTCGCGGAAGCATTTGGACAGGCACGTGACTTGTCATTAGAAATAGATGTAATGGAGTTGTTACTAATGGCATTACAAACAAATGAAGGGTTTCGTTAAGATAAAAAGGAAAATAAAAGCTAGAGATCGTGTGTGTGGCTCGTGGATGATCGTGTGGGAGATGGGGTACAACGGGTCCGTCCGCATTACGTCGGCACGAACAGACGCGCTCCTTGGTCAAGTGCGCCAGCGACCGCGTTGGGGAAGAAGCCCTCTCCGACACCCGCGGCCACAGCAATCGTGTTCATGTGCGTGAACAGCTGGGCGTCACGCGGGTTCACGCCGGCTGGTCCGCCGCTCATGATGCCTGTGCCGACCGCCATACCGACTGTAGCATTGCGTTAGTGCCAACTCGCAACACAACTTCAAGAGGGACTCACTAGCGAATGCCGCGCAGGTCCACACGGCCCATCCACCAATGCGTGTGCCACGCTGTTCGTCGGTAGGGACGCCAGAATAGGTCTGAGACCTCTTGCGGCGGATCTGGTTCGGGTTGGGGGGCGGAGCGAGCCCAGCGGCCACCTGCTTCTGGCGCTCGGAGCGTCGCATGCTAATCTCCTCCTCGTACACCTTGCACTTGAGGCCAAGCTTGTGGGCGAGGAAGTCGTAAGAGTCGTCGTCGTCAAAGTATGCCGGGCCAGAGTGCTCGCGGGGGTGTGCGCGATCAAGGACTTCCTTCTCGTTGATCGGCTCGGGGTTGGCAGTGTACGCCGGGGGTGAGTGGGGAGGAATGTCGTCACGGCTGCTGTCATTGGAGGGACCAGCCTCGGCCTCCTCAATGACTGCCTCGGGAAGTGGGTCTGTTCCAATGGACGCATCCACATACTCCACATCGCGGTTGACAATGGTCGACGAGTCGGACGTGGTCGTGTGGCCACCGTTGATCTGCAAGTCAACACATGTACACCTTGTCCCGTTCCACGCAAGTTACTCACCACGGTCGTGCGAGTGATAACAGTCTCAATCACACGCTCCCGCATCGGGGCCTCACCGGCATCTGGTCCAAGCTCGTGGTCGTCCTCGGGACCCATACGGCGGCTGATCTCAGCGCCAAGGTTGCGAGTGAGGGTCGGGGGGATGGAAGGCGTCAAGCTCTGGGTGCCGCCAACCGAGAGGCTGGGGAGGGTGCGCATCTCCTCCATCTCGAAGCGCATACGGTCGATGGTCTCCTTGAGCTGCATGTTCTCTTGCTTTTGCGTCTCGAGGATGTTCTCCGCCCTCTGAGCGCCTCGCAGGTCCTGTTGGAGCCGCTCAATTTCGGCCTCGAATTGCCGGACCTCATGAGCGTACTTGTCTTCCTCCATCTGGTGCGTGTTGGCCAGCTCTTCAAGCTCGCGGATCTCGTCCTCTTTGTTGCGCATGACGTCACGGAGGCGCTGGGATTCTTCACACTGGGACGAGTACATCTTCTGGATGTTGGCGTGGGCCGAGCGGGTGTGCTCAAGGGTACGCTTAAGGCCTTCAACCTCAGCTTCCAGAGCCGCCATCGCCAGGGCTTGGGAACGTTCCTTGCTCCGGCGATCATGGTCATCTTTCTTGCGGAGGGCCAGCTCCTGCTCAGTCTCGTCGAGCTTGAGCTGCAGGTCCAGGACCATGCGATCGTTCTCGGCCCCAGCGACATCCATACCCTTGCGAGACTCCTGGAGCTTACGCTGGAGCTCGGTGTTCTGCTTCTGAAGTTCCCGGAGCTTGTCATGAGAGGAGCGAAGGGACGCGGACGACGCGGTCTAGAAGAGGGGTCAGTCACCATCCAAACACACACACACACAGGAGAACGTAGGTTAAACTCACTGTTAGCTTGGCAAGGCGTTCGGTGTCCGCTGGAACAAGAAGCATCGAGTCATCTGCGACACCAATGCTGTCGAGATCGAAGTCTTCGGGCTCCTCGGTCCGAATGTCCGTCAAGGAATTGTCCGTTTCGAGGTCCGTGGGTGGCGACTTGGCATTGTGAAATGACGTGTTGTCAACGGACGGCGAGGAGGGAGAATCGCGTCCTGTCCTGTTACGAGGAGGAGACGAGAACGAGATGGACGACGAGCTTAGGCTCCTGCTGAACAACTTGGCAGTGCTGTCCTCGGGGCTCGTCATTGGCTCGTCGGCGCTGTGCCCGCTAAAGTCGCGGCTGGACCGACGCCAGTGACCAGCAGGTGGCGGTCGGGAAAAACCAATGTTTCCATAGGCGCTGGGCGGGACCATGGCGGTTCGCATGCGCGTCGAAAAGGGCGAGTCCTCACGAACTGACGACTCGGAGACAGTCTTCATCCTCCGAGGAACAGCTGGTGCTCGCGGCCCATCGGCGCTTGAGGGGAGCGCGGCCGGTAGGGCATAGGTGTCGGCAGGGAAGGGGCGGGATGTTTGCGTGGAGCCACCTGCGGGCGCTGAGTTTGGTACCTTCTTCGACGCCCTTTTCCTCTGCCGGGTTGCATCATCCTCCGACGAAGACGACGAAGACGAATCGGAAGGCGACTTGATGCGGTCGGAATGGCGCCGGCGGGGTCGTGAGTCGGAGGGGGATGACAGCGTGCTGCTGATAGATGGCGTCGGTGGGTCGACTGATGGGGAGACTGGACGGGATGTGTGCTTTGGGATGGTACTGCGTGGGGACGTCAGGGGTGTGTTCATGACGGCGGCGCCGCAGCCTCGCCCGCCTCGCTGCAAAAGACTCACGTCAGGAAGTGCAACAACTCCTGTGGTCCGAGCTCGAGATCAGTGTGCTGCTCGCACAACTTGCGCAGAGTCTCGTGGTCTGCTGCATCCAGAATAACGTCGCTGTGGGTACGTTCATACGTGTCGAGGACTGTGAGGGGGGGGGGGGGCTGGTCAGATTGGGTGACGTCGAAGGATTCCTGAAAACTTACGGCCAGGAAGGTGTTGTGAGAGAACAGACCCAGCACTGCCTATCATTTCGTCAATGATGGGCTGGAATTGGGCCTCTGTGAGCTTCTCGGGGAGCTCGGATGCCTGTTTGGATGACATTGGAGCGGGCAGAGGTGGCGACAAGGAGACTGGTTGGTAGCTGTTCTGGATGGGGAGGGTGAGACCTACCATGATGGCAAGATGGTCAAACACAAGAGTCTGTGCAGAGTTGAGACCGAGTGGGGAAAGGGTTGTAGAGCGTGCCGAATTGTAGCGTCGTGTGTCGTGATGTTGATGGCGGCTGTGTGATGGATATGACGGAGCGGGAATAAGGAGAACAATGATTAAGGGGACCGAGTGATGGGGGGTGAGGAAAGGACAATTGTTGTCTTGGTACGAGACAGAAGGAGTGAAATGTTTGTTGTTGACCAAGGAAAGGGTTTGACTTGTCACATCGAAGGCTGCACGCACACACCGCCGTTCTCGTCTCGCCACCGCAGTCACACCCGCCCGGAGCGTGTGGGCCAGTGGCAGGTGCGGGCCTCAGCGTGCGGCATGCCGAGAGAGAGCCTGGCTCTGGACGCGCGCTCGTTCCTGTCACGTGTGGGCATTACGTAAGTATTGAAGTTACTCCGTAAGGAGAGGGGTTGTTTGTTTGTGACTCCAATGACGTCAAACGGACTCATGGCCGTGGTGGACGGCCACCACACCACCGCAGTAACACAGTACCACAGCTCTGACCACCTGCACATGTTCAATGTCTATTCCTTGCCAGTCCAGACAACCTGTGCCAAGAAGCTTCATCCTACCAATACCTCCAGCACGTCGATTAATGTCCAGCCGGAACCAAGCGCGGTATGGGCCATGCTGTACGTGACAGCCTTGTTGCGGTGACCCCGGGGTTGAGCACGTTGGCATGGCTTGCCCCAGGATCGCTGAGCCAGCGTATCCATGGACAGGCATGCGCCGTGGGGGGTGGACAAGGTTGGTAGTTGTTTCACACGTCGACCTCTGAAACCGTGCTGTGCGCCATGTTGTGCCAATGGTGTGTGTATGCGTCTGCATCGAACACCAGGATTACGATGGGAGAGGCACGTGTATGGCCTTCTCAGAATGTGCATGTTACGATTTGCGACGGCGAGAACGGAGACGTATCGACAGGTGTATCACGGCACCGGCCCTCAATCCATGTTGGTGATTGATAGGCATGGAATGTGGTGAGCCGTACTGTACACTGCACTCGTGTCTTGCCCATAGCCCTCCTGGCAGCAGCATCTCCCCGACCTAGTGGCACTGAAATCAATGGTCAAGTTGGGTCGTCACCCGCGGTGTACCTCCGCGAAATTGCGCAGAAGGCCCAACGGGCCCGCACAGCGAGCTTCAAGACTGTGTTATACGAGGCAACTTTTGGTCTGTCCTACCATTGATGTCGCGGAGGTGCCCCGCGGGGCAAATCAGCTGGAGAGCAGAAGGACGTTGTTGCCCAAGCTACGAGGACAATCCGTCGCTCACGGATATGCTACGACCAGTGGATTAGAACACGCAACTTAATAATAAAACGGCCAACTCATAAGATCATAGGCCGCTTCCTAATCAGCCCTCACATACTTTATCCTTTTAACAAAGCCACACAATCATTACGCAAGGCCGCGAGAACGAATAACGGCGATTGGGACCGGGTCCTAAAGCCAGCCTCGAGGGATTATCGGCGATAAATTTTAATTCCCCTTTTCCATATTTTCTCCCGGGATTTTCGGCGTTTTGGGTCCCAGTCGAACGCAGGTTCGATGGCTGCAGCTTGGGACCCGCCTGCCTGGCTGCTGTGGTGCTGCTGCTACTGGTGCTTGTCGAATCGTCACTGAACACCTTTCCTTCATCCCTCAAAAACTCAGACGAGTGAGTACGACCAACGGCACTCCACGACAGCAATCACACACACGCGCGCGCACGGCATCTGGCTCGACATCGGTACCGGCACGGGCAACGGGCGGCGTCTCGAGAGAATTGCGCGGGCGAGGAAAGATAAACTGGGGCAATGTCTGCGCCATGATGAGACCGTAGAGCTCTCGTTGAGGCGGGGTCTACGAGGTTTGCGTGCATCTTGTGTGTACGCGAACGCTCCCCCACGCCGAGGAGGCCTCGGAGTCTGCACCTCGAAACCCGTCTTCGACGCCCTGCCAAAGCCGCCGAAATTATTGCCTTTTGCCGCCAAAGTTGTGTGCGATTGCTGGAAATTGGGGCCTTGTCGTTTTGCATCCCGACTTTTACGACTCTCCACACCACACTTGCTAACGCTTTATTCAGGATGGGCCGTTTCACCGAGTACTCCGTTGTGGGCCGCAAGCTCCCCACCGAGGCGGAGCCCGAGCCGAAGCTCTACCGCATGCGCATCTTCGCGCCCAACGACGTTGTCGCCAAGTCGCGCTTCTGGTACTACCTCCGCCAGCTCAAGAAGGTCAAGAAGGCCTCGGGTGAGATCGTTGCCCTCAACATCGTGCGTACACCGACAACCCAACAACCCTTGGGACATGCAACTGACTTTGTGTTTAGATCCACGAGAAGAAGCCCCTCAAGGTGAAGAACTTCGCCATCTGGCTCCGTTACGACTCGCGTTCGGGCACCCACAACATGGTCAAGGAGTTCCGCGCCCTCTCGCGCGCCGAGGCCGTTGAGGCCATGTACCAGGACATGGCTGCCCGTCACCGTGCCCGCTTCAGGAGCGTCCAGATCCTCCGCGTCGCCGAGATCGAGAAGAAGGAGGACGTCCGCAGGCCCTACATCAAGCAGCTCCTCGAGCCCGGACTCAAGTTCCCCCTTCCCCACCGCCGCACCAAGTCGAAGGCTTGGTTCGCCGCCAACCGCCCCTCCACCTGGGCCTAAGCGGACATGTACTGTTGGCAGGTTGGGACCCTCGGTACGGGGTCTTGGAGATGAACCTGTGTGCATTATTGGAACAAGACCAGTCTACGGACTCGCAACTGACGTTTTCGGGCTTCTGAGGAGGGAGAGCTGGATGGACACGGAATGGGAGGGACAGAGGGCAAGCGGCTCAACAGTGAAAGGCATGAGAGGCTCTGGGTTGCGACAATGCAGAGTTCGGGGGCACTGCGCGTCGCGCAGCGCGTCCTACGCATCTGTGCATGTCGCCGACAGCGCGCTACAGTTGGGTAGTAGCTGTCTGTCTATCATGCTGTCCCCAGACCAGAGGCGACGCACGGTGACGGACTAGACCGGTGGCCGGTGGTGAGACTTGGGGCGTTCCGAAAATCAGCCTTGGGAGTCGAAACTGTCCAAATTGCTTCCGTCGTTCGAGGTAAACGCTGGAGTGGCGAACCGTGGAGTTGACTCAATGTGGTGGCCTGTCCACAGACGCTGTTAGTGTGTGATATGTTCTGTGCAAACACTGTTCATGGACCATGGAGGCAGTTCGGATCATGGGACCTTCATGAATGCACTGACTGTGCCGTGAACCACCATTCACTGCCAGCTGTGGTGACTGGCACAGGGGAACACGTTGCTCCGTCAGCTCTTGACATGGCATGACAGCAGCTTCATGTTATGCAATCTCAGCTACGAACCTGCCAATCACAGCACCTAATGCCGGTCACTCGCCTTCCCTTCACAACACACACCGGATTGTTGGATGTGCGGGTGGACGCAGCATACCTTTATACGTTTGTCACTTTCGTCGGCAGGTGCCGACGGCCTTCAGCCCGAAGTTCACATTGTCAACTCGTGAATTCCTCGTTGACCCTACAAGGCGTCCACTAATTGAAAGTACTCACTACTTGTCGATGGTGTTGGGGTGCCCACTGCGTTTGCAACGACGCGGGCCCAAGTGGTATCCAGGGCTATCACCACCTGACCATAATTAACCACAGCGGTCCCAAGGGCCGACCAAAGCAGGTCAAGAGTGGCCAAGCGCCACACACACACTTCACCCGTCGACATTCAGCTGATATCCACATGCCTCCCCTGTGTAGGGCCGACGCGTCGAACGTAACGGCCACACCCGGAGCCGCTCACTGATATCCATGAATGACAAACATGACAGAGTACATGCCGTCGATGGCTGCGTGCGGAATTGTAGCTGCTCGGCGGCCGGCCACGGATGCACGGAACGTCGCCATACTCCTCGCTTTCACTACGAGCTACGAGCTACGAGCTACGAGCTACGAGGCCGATCGCATTCTGGCGTACGCCACCTAGGCGCCATGCTTGTCACGATGAATCGGAACCGGTTCCCGGAACTGTTGCTATAGCTAGTGACGCCCACAGGCCAGAGGGACAAGGGCCGTGTTGTTTTTTGGGGAGAATGTTCGGCCGCAGGGCCCAGTGTCATGAGCTCGGTGATGGCACCTTGCTTTGAAGTGTTTAGCCTTTTGAATTCTGGGCAGCCAAGGGTATTGTAGAGGGCACTCATTTTGAGACGGCTGAGCATACCGCGATTGTTTTCTGTGCTTATAGCACGCGGACGATTCAAGTGTTGTTGGCCACAACGAAAGGTTCACCAGCAATGCTGACGTCAACACTCGCCCAACCCACTTGGAATGATCTATTCCTACTGTGGCCGCAAAAGAGTAGGGGCCAGCATACAGAATAAGGAGTTAGGGGGGAAAGTGTACTTCGCCCTAGAAAAAAAAAGGCTGCAGAGATCCATGCAGTGCATCTAGGGACTTGACGTTGAGTGGTATCTAATATTCTGTTCGCCTTGACAGGTGCTGGGCCTTGGCCACTACGAATATGCCCATGTGCTGCACAGGTAGCGCTCGACATGGCCATGCAGTTTCCAGCCAGGGCGAACACTATTGCAGCGCCTACATGGCAATGCAGGAGGCCCCCAGACAAAGCTGCGCGACACTCAGGTCGCCACTCGGACGCTAGTCTCAGATCAAAGCGCGGATCGCGCGGATATGAGATGCACACGTCGCTTGCATCTTGGTCTGAAGTTCCGAGGCAGTTTGACTGTGCGGCGCATCACACGCGGCGATACCACCACGCTGTTGCGTCGTTGCAAGGACAGCGATGTGACGTTGTGAGACATGGAGAGACGGAACGGCAGAAACAGGCTGCAGGCTGCCCTTATACCAGCAGCGGTGTCCAGGAGACTGGATTCAGGAAAAAGTCCCAGCGAAAAGGGTTGAGCAATCTCCTACCCTTTGTCGCACCGCGCCGTGCCGATTGCAATACGCAGCGAGCACCGCACACACCGAGGTGTGCACCATGAGGTGTGCACCATAGCAGCACAAGGTTCTCTGGCCCGGTAAAATATGGACAACCAGGTCGCAGGCTTGCAACGCAATTGTTTTCTCTGTAAGACCCCTACCAGGCTGTTAAACCGAGGATCGATTGAACAGTGGTGGACCTTCGTTGCGGCACCGTGAGATGTACCGTGCACCCCGGCCAAGGCACAACGCTCCGAGGTCTTGGCGAAGCCGTTGAAGACCAGATCCAGGAGGCGACACACGGGACGACCATCAATCGGTGTCGGCCACTGAATGGGATCGAAAAGCCACGAGTTCCCGATGTAAACGCTCGCCGTGACCTATGTACTTTGTGTGCGCGTAGGTGTGTGTCATAAATCAAGGCCCTTCGGTGGTGAGCCCCAGTCAATCCCTACAGTACATGTGCATGGTCCTACGAAACTGGATATCGGCAGCGAGCCAACAGCAAAAAGTCAGCCTGGTTGGCATTGTTAGAGACACTTTGGATGGCGATAGTCGTGGCCGTCTATGCCAGACGCCTTGCTGACATCTTACTTCTCTTGATAGCTCGGTGACACTTGCAAGTACACAGGGAGAGCGGGGTTCGCTAAGCCAGCGTTTAGCTGGTTGATGGCCTTCGGATGGGCGCCATATTGGGTGGGCAACGCGGAAAGTGTCCCTCCAATTCTTAACAAGGGGTACGCCCACCTGGTCTTATGGAACAGGTGGCCGGTGGATGGGGGTAGATGGTGATTTAGATGAGCCGACCCGCGCTATGCGCCTCTCCGTGCGCCTGCGTCCCCTGCACATATAGCATTGGTACAGCTCGGTGCCACGCTGCCGAGCTGCTGCGCGAGCAGGCGCGAAGAAACATGCCGGCCACGGCCGGCTTTGCCGACATGCTGCGAGCCCGAGTGTGATGCAGAGGCGCTTCAGTTAGACGCAATGTGGCGTCGTCGCGCTCTTCTTTCCATGAATGCAATCCGGCAATCCAGGGCAATCGGAACGTCACCCTTTTCGTCCTTCTCATCGGCCCCAAAGCCCCAAAGTCTTGAAGTGACGTCTGTTCCGCTCTGCAATTTCCAGCTCACAGCAACATAACCCTGGACACGTCCGCCCCATCTCGTCTCCACACACCCTGGGGATGCATCAGGATCCAGAACAGGAATCTGCTGGTACCCAGAGCGCGAGGAGAGATGTGGGTGGATACACAGCTTGCACTTTGGGGACAGGGTCTTCATCAACTCCCTTTGCCAGGATCCTGATGTGGCGACGCCGCGCAGTCCCGAAACAACAAATCTCGGACAAGATGAACGAACGCGGCTGTCCTCTCCCTAGGTAGCAAGCACTTCTGGTACCCGGTACACTCGGGGGAAGAACTGGCAGAATATCCCAGACAGACTTGAGACGACGACAGCAGTTCGTTGCTTAGAAGTACGTCTGATTTGGCCTTCACCATCACCTCATACCTAACTCTAGTCTTGCCTTGACATTAGTTGTTCAGCAAAGCGCTTCGAAAGCATCGCCTAGAGCACGCTGTCGGGTACATCAACGTGCTACGGCAAACCCGAACCCTCCAACTTTTGTCGTTCACTGCTCCATTCACAAGACTACCGTCTATCTTCGACTACAGGAGCCCGGTGGGCTCGAGACGTAGGCCGCGAGCCAGCTCATCCACCATGGCACCATCACCACCAGAATATGGCATTGCCCTCGAAGGCAGTGACTACATTGCGCACATGTACCACATTGCGTCCGAGACGTCGTCAGTGGACGACGACACATGGGTGCTGGCTGGTGACACGGCGATTCTCGTGAGTGTAACCGCAGCCATACCAAATGTTGTGCTGACGTGTGACAGGCCTTGACGATCATCGGCTCGCTGTTCATCATGGGCATGATCCAGTACAACGACTGGAGGGGCAAGTCGGCCACCACGCGTATGCGGCTCGTCCAGTCACTCGTTCTCAGCGACCTCATCATGGGGTGAGTCAGCCCGTGTTCTGAACATTTGAAGTGTGGACGCACTAACGGCCACAGGATCGTTGGTATCATCGGGTGCGCATTGACGTTGGATGGCAAGCCACTGGTCCTGGACACGCCAGAATGTGACGGGCTTGGAGTGTCGATGGTGGCCGTCATCTTTTCGCGTGAGTTCAAGGAAGCTGTGTGTGGCTGCATGTTGGGTTTTGGCTGACAGACTAGAACACCTGTGGACGCTGGCTCTGGCTGGCAGCACGTTCATGATCCTCGTTCACGTGAGTTTTTATCGCCAGGCGCCACGAAGCTGACGTCAGCCATTGCACAGTCTTACCTCCTGGATCGAAAAGTACTGGTACTGGTCGTGGCTTGCCGTGTGGCTCATCTCCTTTGCCGTCTCCGTCGCGGGCTACATCCTGTACGGATACGGACCTTCGGGTGGCATCTGCTACTACATGAACGACGCTGGTCTCTTCGCCGAGCTTATCCAATTCCTCCCACGCGCTATCGTCTTCCTCGTCATTGCCATCCTGTACGGCAAGCTGTACGTCTTCCTCCGCCGCCCAGACAAGATCCGCACTGGTTACACCGACACCCCCGTCGGCTCATCCTCCTACTCCAAGCTCAAGAGCTCTTGGTTTGGCAGCTCACGCCGATCGCGTCGTAGGGCGGAAGGCGGCGGCGGCTTGTTTGGCCACGGTGGCCACAACACTGTGATTATCGACAAGAACGGTCACCGGATTGGCAAAGACAGTGCACTCATGTCTTCTGGTGGCAACTCGTCGTCAGAAGAGGAGGCACCAGAGGTTCCACAGACACGCGTGATTGAGGTGCCGACGCCACGGCGACCAGCTGCCACTCACCAAAAGTCACATCGTACGGTCAAACGCCATATTCCCAGCGATGCCCCACCGTGGGAACATGTCGAGCTTCCCGTGTTCCAGGTAGACGGACAACGATACGGGGGTCAAGAGGCGGACCCAATTCACCAGCGTGACAGCATGTGGCGCGACTGGAGTGGCTTTGGCAGGCAGCACAAGCATGCGTCCACCACGTCAATGCATTCAAGCCAGGTAACGCGCGTTCCAGGTACCGATACCTCCCCCTTTGCTTCCCCCGTCAAGGCGAGCTTTGACAAGGGACTCACATCGCCCACCGCAACGCTCTTCGAAGACAAGGTGTCACCGACCCGCAGCACATTTGACCACCAGTCATTGTCGCCCACCACCACCTATTTCCCCTCTCCCTCCAACTCACCGCCTCGGGCCATGAAGAATCACAGCGAAGTGCCAGGCACCCATGGCCCAAAGAGCTCCCCCAATGAGGATGGCAGTTCGTTTTCGTCTGACGACGTCGCCGAGGTGACCAAGCCACCCCCTGCAGTTACTCGTAATCCCGTTCCCGTCATTGGGCTTTACGAGGACTTCAGTATGGAGCAACGGAGAGGCTCCATCCCAGATGGCACCATCCCCTTCCGCCGCGCTTCCAAGATTGCCATGCCGTCTAACATGGTCCTTCCAACTACTACAACTGGGACAGCGTCATTCCTATCCAACCCCGGTGGCTCGATTGCCGGTAACATTGCCGAACTGCCTCGGGTTGAGACGCCGGCCATGTATCTGGCGCGAGATGTCGAGAAGGGTCTCGATGGCGATGATGATGATGACGACGAGGACACCTGGGACCTCGCCCGTATGCTCAAGGAGGAGCCACCCAGTACCGCCAACGACCCCTTCCAAGTTCAGCAGACCCAGGCTAGCGAGGGTGACGAGTATGTCGCCGAGTCGATGGCCTCGTACCTCAACCGTAAGGCGTCTCTCCTCATGCTCTGGTTTCCTCTGGGCTATGTCTTGTTATTCTCGGTGTCGACCATTCGAATCATTTACGACTTTGTGGGCTCTCCCCCACCCGAGCTGCGCGCCATTTCGCGCTGGACAATGTTTGGCCAGGGTATCCTCGACGGCGTCATCTACGGCGTCATCGAGTACCACACCAAGCGTGTCGTGCGCCGGAGGGTGCGCAAGGGCACCTTTTCGCCACGCACGTCGCGCGGATCGCAGGGTGCCACTGGTGGTGGTTCTGCGCTCGGCAACGCTGTCCGTGGCGGGATCAGCGGCTTGAGTGGCCGTTCGCGTCCCACCAGCCCCATGAGCGCCAACAAGCAAACCGCGTCGCGTCGCGAGGGTGCGTCCCCGACGGTCAGCTTTGCCGACCCGGAGACCTCAATCATGCAGCGGCTGGACACCAAGCAGATGGAAGCCGCGTTGAGGCTGCGAGGGAGTGACAGTGGCAGCAGTGATAGCGCGGAGACAAAAGAACTCAAGGACGCTGTGTGAGTTGAGTTGAAGGAGCTTGTGTGCATATAGTATCCAACCCCCCCTGTATTACCTACCGTTATTGCCCACTGCTGGGATTGTATGCATGGACACTTTTGTGCCACCAAAGCAGAAAATGTGAGAGACTGGAGCGCTTCAGCTGTGCCATGCTTGTGCACTCGTGCCACTGCATCCCGCAGGCCCGCAGTCAGCTAGGCGTGCGGGGCGTGGCGGCCGTTGCATGGTTGCACTGCAGTGGCCACGTGTTCCTCGCGTGGTCACCGCGCTTGGCGACTACAGTGCACCGCCCTTTCGGAGCCCTCTGTGGGAGAAGAGGGAGAGGAGCCCTTCATTCCGGCGGTGCTCTCGTCGCGTCCATTTGCTCATCTCCATCCATCCATCCTCTCGTTGTACACCACCCCTCCTCACACCCCTCCCCACTTTAACACCACCCACTTGGCGAAAAGGACAGGCTCCTCTTCCGCCCTCTTCCCACTCGGCATCCTGTCTCCCATCCCCCCTTCATCTGTACCGCGCGACGGACCGCGTCAACCACCACCACCCGAAGCAATGCCCAACCTCATCGACCCCCGGTATTGTTGCTGCGGTGAGTCGCCATAAGGCCACAAGACCGACCTCGATGCGTGCTCTTGTGCAGTCGCACACGGAGGGAGGTTGTACACGGTCCCGCCTCCTCGTGTACACGCGCGCTAACTTGCTCCACAGCCATCCCCCTGGTCAACGCAGGAATCTATGCCATCCTCCTCGAGCAGATTGTACGTGACAGCACGGGTCTTTCTGTCCGCCTGCTGACTCTTTTCTACAGGCAGTGGCCATGGCCACGGGTGTTCTGTGTTTGGTTGCACCGAGTGGTACGTTGACCTGCCCGCCTTCGACACCGTTCCCCTCTCCTGGGCGCGTGTGAAGAAGACCCAACAATCCAAAACACGCAAGCTGACGGACCAGTGACTGGTGCCGAGGCGCCGAGTGTGTTGACATATGTCCTTGCTGCCATATGCTTTGTCGGCGTGGTCGCACAGCCCATCGGCTTCTTTGGTGTCTTCCGCGTGAGTAATGACTCTGGGCCTGCGGCGCGGGAATAAGAAGTGGAGTGCGCAGTGGCTGCCATCATGGATCTAGATTCTACACCGCAGCCACTGCACCGCCGCCCTCTATTCGCAACTGCCCTCGACACTTTCATGACCGTGCCATGCTAACACCTTGTGCAGGAGAAGACCACCACGTTCCGCGTCTACTCGCTGGTCAACGCGATCCTGACCGCTGCTGCACTCATCGTTGCAGCCATCATTATTGTCATTTCGGCAGTGAACCACAACAAGGCTGTGTCCAATTGCCAGACCGATTTCTTCTCGCCCACCAACACTACTACCACGGCTGCTGAGCAGACCCTCACTGAGGAGTCCAAGATGCTTTGCATGGCTTTCGCCTGGGCCGACATTGGCTTTATGGGAGGTCTCTGGGTCATTCTCTTTGTGACGCAGACTTACTTTGTCTGGACCTCGCGCGGCTACGGTGTTGCCCAGGTGTCTGACCACAAGCTCTATCACTCGGTCTACTCTGAGAACCCCGAGGCGTTCACCATGTCGATTCTCCAGTCGCGCCGCTACAACCCGGACTCGGTCATGTTCACCAACTCCATGTACGGCGGCGCTGCCCCTCGCCCAAGCCACGGCGGTGACGCCTGGGACCACCGTCCGTCGTATGAGAGTGGCCGCCACGAGCCCGGCCCAGAGTCTGGAGGCGCCTACTACAACCACCAGCGTGGATACTCTGATGGGCGTGCCGATGCCGGCCAGTTTGACGACTACAACCCCAACCAGCAGCACCCGGACCAGTACACATTCAACGCTCCTGGCGCCGGTTACGTGGACGGCAACGCCGCTGCTACTGGACCAGGTCATGTTCACTACGGCAACCAGGAGTACGCTCACGACAGCGCAACCGCCCCTCACGCGTACACTCCGCAGACCCACTAGTTGGTTGGGCGGAGCTCGAGAAGGAGGCAGCGCAGCAGCCAGCAGTCACAGCAGACCTGATACATGCTCGATACCCTCATGTACACCATACCCCAATGTATGCACACAGACCGTGCCATCCAAACGAGTAGCAAAAGAAGCACATGTGGTGATGGTGACGGTGAGAAGATGGTGGCGAAGCTGGGGCACTCTTTGCACCGCTGTTGCTGCGCATTGTCCAGCGGTGAAATGGCAGAAAATAGGAACTGTCGTTGCCGTACGGCGAAACATGACATGGCTCGACCTCGATGACGATGACGAAGGCTGTGCTTCCGTTGGACTGTGGGCCCAGCACTTCAAAAGATGCATGAACTGATCACGTGGGAGCATGGAGCAAGGAACGACAGGAGGAATTGTTGCTCCAAAAAGTGGCAAGCACCGCCGGTCGTTTCCCACCCGCTGGAACCAGCAGTGGTACCTTTCCAGCACGCACCCTGTAGGCCGTCGAATGCACGCACGCCTTTAAAGCTTCTCGCTCATCAACAAGTCAAACCTGCCCCCCGACGAGGCAGACCCATTGGCACTGTGACCGTTGGCCTTTTTACTGCCCTTGCGACGCTGCTGGGGCGACTCGGCCTTGGGTGATTTGGGCCCGTGTGCACGCGCAAAGCCGAGCACGTCGGCAGGCAGGTCGGCGAGGACGGCCGCCAATGTGTCGCGGTACTTGTTACGGTACGCCGCCGACCACCTCCACCCCGTAGAAACCGGAGGGTCTTGGCCCGAAAGGAGGAAGTGCAGGGCTGAGCCACTGAACAAGGCGTAAGGGGTGAGGTGGGTGAGATTGTCCTTGTTGTCCGTGTCCGAGTCGGGTGTGAGGAGGAGAGATTGGGCAAGGAATGACGCGTCAGCGAGCGCTGATGAGAGCTGGGCCACGATCTCGGCATTGCGGTTGGTCAGGAGGGGGTAGGACTCCTCGAGCTCGCCATCCTCGGTAGTCTCCTCGTCATCCGCGTTGGCGATGAGATCCCAGCCTTCCAAGCAGCCAATACCGGCGCGGAGAACGGCCTCGAGCTCGTCCTTGCGCCACCTTCGTGAACCGGTGGTGTCGTTTTCGGCTGCCTCAACGATACACATACGAGTGGCGGCGGCAAGAGGCTGGAGGCGGAGTGGCAGGGCGTGGATCTCGGGGATGTCTGAACCGAGGTGCAGGAGGTACGTTTTCAAGCGGTCCGTGACAGGACGGAGACAGGTTGGCGGGTCATTTGTGAGGGGGGTGGGAAGATCAAGGGTACGCGATGCGATGCGACTGGACGAGCCTTGCCGGAGGTACTCTGTAACGCTGTGACTCGGCTGGGGAGGCTCGAAAGCGGCGGCTAAGTCGGCTTCATCTGGGGTTGATGGTCTTTGCTCCTGGGAATCATTCTCTTCAGCGTCACCCTTGTCTCCGCTAGCCACGCCGAGCAGCTTGCAAACATCCTTGTCCTGCTGGAGGACCTCGAGCTCGTCGATGGTTGGTTCTGGGAACGAAAGACCACCCAGCGCCTCGTCTGCGATTGAGTAGGCGGCCTGTCGGGCAATCGTTGCTGATGAGGACGCACGCGAGCATGGTCCAGACGGGTCTTCGAGAACGGACCAAAGGTACAGGCGGTCGGGATAGAGGAAGGCGTGCGTGATGTTATGCAACAAGCCACGACGCTGGGCAGCGGCGTACGCCGCGACCCCCTCAGGGGGTGACGGTGGTGTAGCGAGTGGAGTGGATAGGCGGCTGAGGTTGGTCTGGCACCCGCCCTCGCCGCAGAACGGATAGATCGAGCAGCACTCGCCTGTCTGAGGGAGGACGTATTGGATAGTCGCCTCGATGACAGCGTCGACAAGCTCATCAACCTCGTGATCGTCGACGTATGGCCTGGTGCAGAGCTTGCGCACGACTCGGCGGACGAGGTCCGTCACGTCGCTGTGGGCGAGCGGGCGAGCGAGCTGTTCTCTCAGAATGCGAGCAACCTTCTCAATGCGTTCGGCTGGCTTGGCCCCGCCGGAAAAGAACAGGTCGGCAGCCGAGGTTGGGGTGTAGTCGTTACCGACGAGCGAGGAGAGAAGGGGGAGCATGTTAGCGGGCAAGCGGAGACGCCGGCAGAGCGATGGCGCGTTGTAGGTGTAGAGTACCAGAGTCGGGTTACGGTAGTTCTTGGGCGGAAGGAGGCGGGACATGCGCGCCTGCTGCTTCTTGGCAGTGACAGTCATAAAGCTGCCACCATCTGCGCGACCCTCAGAGCGCTCGCCCTCGATCCACTCGACCATGTCGAGCGGAACGTATCCCTTCATGTTGCCGCTGGCCGCCGACGACAGGATGATAAAGTCGGTGTCCTTGCCCAGGACGTAGCCGCCTAGTTGGTCGGCAACAACCACACACATGCCGTCTGCTTCTCCACGCGCGACAAAGCGTGCTGAAACGTCCAGAGAGCTGAGGGCACGCGCAAAGGCAGGCATCGTGAATGGGGGCAGGATGGTGTTGCCACGGGAGAACGAGGGTGCTGACCGAGTTTGCGCCGAGATGGTGTAAAACATGCGCGAGGTCGAAACCTGCCCTTGCATGCGTTCCAGGAGTGTTGCGTGCTTCTCTGGAGGTGCCGCACCTTGCCAGCGCATCAGCAGGGCACCTTATCGCTTGCTGAAATAAAAAGGAGCTCACCGTCAAAGACGAACATCGGCTCCAGCCCGACGCTGCGCCATGCTTTGATGAGTCGCCGTGTCAAGCGGTAGAATCGAAGGTATTCTCCGCCAGAAGTCCAAGGCAGCGAGTCAAGGTAGAGCTGGTAGATGATGCTGCCGACGCGTCAGCTCGCCGTTCTGAGTGGCAAAAGTTCGACGAAGTTGAAGCAAACTCACCCCCAGGCATCCACAACAACGGGAACAGGCGGACGTTGCTCGGCGCCATCACGCGAGAGGATTACAGTGTTGCAGAGGGACTGGCGGTTCTCCTTTAGAAAGGATTGGAGGCCGCGGACTCCCATGGCGTGAACGAGGGATGAAACGAGAAAGCAACTTTGCAGAATGAGATGACGATCCGAATCGTCAAACTAAAGAGATCAGCCGGCTCGGATCCGGAGATCCGCGCCTTTACTGACTAAGTTTCTTAAACGGTCATTAGAAAACATTTTCAAATAGACTATTAACACGGCATTTCCGAGGATAAGATAAGGTGTGCGGTCTACAGACGAACATACAGTGTGCCGAGCCCACATGTAGTGCCCACAGGCCCCCAAGGACTCAAGGGAGACTCGGAATGTGTTGGAGATTTGTACACAGAGGACGTTTGGCGTGGTATCATAAAGCGGGGCATTCTTTGCCACCGCGCAGCATCCAACCAGCACCGGGTTCTCCGATCACTGCCATGGAACCCCAAAGAGCCCATATACATCGGCGTACATATATCTACAGCGCCATCTGCTCGATCCCCTTGCTCGCACTTTCGACAGACACCTCGCCAGGCAGCGTAAGAACCTCCACGCGACGTCCCAGTCCGGGCCATGGCTTGCCGCGTTTTGATGGGGTCGAAGGCTCCTGGTCCGCCTTTGCAGCGGTAATCTTGCCCAACGCCTGGTAGACAAAGTTGGCATCGTCGAGGGGGGAAAGGTCCGTCTGCTTCTGCAGCCGCTGAAACGTCAGCACTGGAGAATAAATGTGGTCCCTTCGGTTCCCTCCTGCACCAAAATAGGTAGCAGTGGGAGTGCGGCCGAAACAACCCGAAGCCAAAGCTCTACTCCATTCCACTCACCAGCTTGACCTCATCATAGTCGGCTTCCAGTCCAGAGCACTCGCGAATAATTTCGTTGCTGCCAAACTCGTGGTACACGCGCACGTCGTAGATGCGGAAGAGAACATTGTCGACGCGAACAAAGAGTCGAGAGAGGATGAAGAACGAGTGTGGCATGACGCGGATACGGGCGTTCAGGATACTCTCGCCGTTGTCGTGCAGCTCGTCCTCGAAGAGAGCAACGTCGTCGTAGAACAAGATCCGGTCGAGCACAGGATCCTGCCGAGCCAACAGGGCGAGTGGAATCTCGTGTGTCTCGGATGGGCGGAAGGTCTGGGGTCAACGCACAAAGATCAAGTCGACTTACACTTGAGCCCAATGTATGTCCAGCATAGCACGTCGAGTATGTCCAGTCATGTGGACGCACAGGCTTGGTGCTCAGAGGGATATCGGAGAGAACGCTCGTAGCCGACCTTCCATCAGCGGTCACTCACACGAAGTTTCCTCACCGTTTGCTCCACTTTTCAGCCATTGACACCAGCACTCCGCCGCCAACACGATCTTCCCAACCCTCCCCCGTCGCCACTTGACCGAGCGCAGTGAGCGTGTCGAACGCCAGGCGTATTTGCGAGTCGGCCGCCACGGAAGAATCAGGCGCACTTGTACTCGCCGAGCTATCCGGGCCAGCGCTTGTGACTGGTATGCTGGCACGAGACCCAAACCCGCTTGGTTCGAATGTGAGCACAAGGCTGTTGTTCCCAAACGTCATCTCGGGCAGAGGCAGGCTCAGAGCCTTCTCGGCAGCCTCGATCTCGGCACCGTTCAGAATCGAGCGCTTCGTGGACGCAATCGACCACTGTCCAATCCGCATGGTCGTACCGTGTCGTCCCTCCTGCAAGCTATATTTGGGAGGTATAGCCGCAGTAGGTGGCAGTGCTGCTGCCATGGAAGAGGCCATGGTTTGTCGGATACTGTCAGTCAGTGATCGGTGACTGTTTGGTAATGTTGAGTTGTTGAAACGCGACCACCAATTCCACCATGGGCGCGTCATAGGCGTTGCGGAAGCAAATTCCGTCCCCCTGCGGTTGTGGCGAAAGCGGGGGGTGGCAAAACTGTCTCTGTTTCTTGAGAGTTGTTTTGCCCATTTGAACTCCTTCCAGACGCGACAAGACGCAACACTGAGGCCGTCACGCTGCTGGCGCTGACTAAATATTTATATGACCAAGTAACATCTTTGGAACGCCTATTCTGCTCCGTGTGGGCGGTGGCGTGGGGCGGTGGCACCCTGTGGGTCCAGACCGCTCAACGGAGAAGGACAGTGGCCAACTGTCGCCTCTGTGGACGCCGCTTGCCTCCGCTCGCCTGACTGATGATATACTTGGTCCGTTCCGGAGGCGTTCCCCTCTCAGCGTCTTCTTTGTCGTCGCGAGACGGCGTCAGCCGCCGCACATACCTCGCTTCTCAGTCTCCCACCATAAGAGTCATTGCCGTGGGATGTCGGCTGCTTTCAAGCTCACAATCATCCATACCGGTAAGTCACGGTTTCTCGCTTCCTGAGAACGTCATACACTGACACTCTGCTCTTAGACCAAACTTGGTGAACGACTTCGACATGGACAATAGTCAACGGTATGAACGAGCTCATGGTGTGCAGGAACGGCCCCGAAGCGCATCCCTACCTACTGTCCTGCCGTCCAATGACGCCCGCCTCCCCTCCGGTCCATCAGTTGCCGTCCCCGTCTTAGCTCCTTCACCAGACCTCTTGAAGTCCGCAATCCCTGTTGAATCGCCTTCCACAATTAACCTGCACCCGTCTGTCCGGATTGGCACTGGCTCGAACGTAGCAGTATCACCCGCGACCTCGTCCCTTGCCATTGCCGCCGAGGCTGTTGCGGCAGTTGCGGCTGCTGAGGCCGCAGCTCAAGCGGCAACAGCGGCTTCCTCTGCTGCTTCAGCTGCAGCCGCGGTGGCTATTGCCGCTATAAAGGCCAGTGGTGGCATGCCTCCATCGACTTTCGTGCCAGTGCAAGCCACTCTTCAACACTTGACGAGTTTACCGGCAGCTCCCGACATCGTTGGAGGCTCCCGAGATGCCACCCCCGCCTTTCAGCTGTCCTCTCCGAACCCTCAAAGTCAGTTCTCCTGCCTCCTCGCTGTCTGCCTAACCCGTCCCAGTACTCCCGGCACTGCCCGCCCCCACATTTTCCTCGTCAGACAGTTCCGACTAGGTCGACAGTTCCGACTCAGTCGACAGTTCCGTCTCGTCAGACGGTACCGGCAAGTTGAATGGGAGTATCGTGTCGAGAATGATGCTTGGGCTGGAGTTCCCTGATATAGATCCAGAGCGTTTCGCAGTGTGGTCCCTTGACAAGAACGAAACCCCTGGGGAGATGTATCCTCGAACGCGCCCAAATATACGTCCTCCGTCGTCTGCCTGGGACAGTCCTGGTCCATGCATACTTGAGTGTGAGTCAACTCTACACTTGGATGGCTGGTCCTTGACATTATACCGCCGCGCTGATCCGGGCAGCAAACATTGTCCAGAGCACCCCAAGTGGTATACGACACTTGGTATCGAAGGCTTCTCGCAAACGAGCCTCGGCGGTGCCCTACTCAACGTCATGGGAGACGGCTGAAGGTTGGCCTTTGACGGAGGATGAGAGGTACCTAGGCCTGAGAAACGACTTGAGCATTTCTGGTGCTCGCGGAGAGTATCTCGAAATTGTCGCTCACCCTATTGTCTACCGAAGCGACGACTTATGGGATTTTTTGACGACCGAGTCAACCTCCGAACCGGCATTCACCAATAAAGCATTCAGATCTGAACAAAGGTCCATAACTAGTCGGCCGGTTCCTCTTTTCGAAATCCACTCTGGTCTATTAGACGAGGTGAAATCGGCATTGGTTAAAAACCTGTCCCATACGGACGTGAACTTCAGGCACATTCATCTACGCTACACTCCGACCTCTATCAGGGGCAGCAACTCCAGCGAAAGAGCGTTGAGGCGCTGGACCAATATAGAGGTACATGCCCATACGGCTCTCTTTCTGGTTGCCTGCATTCGCCACGATATCGACATGTGTGAATACATCTTCGGCTCGGAAGTTGCCCGCGCGAATGTGGCGTCGGATATTCGCACCCATCGCCTTTTCCCAATTGTTGGTTCCTTCGTCATTCGCCGTTTGCTGGCAAATGGGCCACATATCGGGGACTACTACAAGCCAGATAGTACCAAGTGGGGGTTGGAGGCCATACAGCCTTATCACGATCTACTGGTCTCCTTTATTCGTGAACAATCGACTCTAAACGACATTCATAAGCGAACTCGCTATCATCAGCTAATCGACATGTTCTTACCGGACGAATCTGCACATATTGCGCCTTATCACCAGACCGATAACATTGAGCTATGTGCAATTCGAATGGGAACTATTTACGCAGCGGTCATCAGCACAGTATCCGACATCCTGGAGGATACCACGAAACACGACAGCAACAAGGAGGCGGCCTGGGCCTCTGTGGTTGCCATCGTCAGTGGAGGCGTTTCAGCTGGTGCAGCATTTATACCTGCGTCTGGGGTTGGCGATTCGGCGACAACGTTGGCCAATTCAATCACTTCTGCTCTGTTTAACAGGGCAACTGCCAGATACAAGCAGAGACAGAGCTCCCTTCGCGGGGCTGTAACCCAAGTGATATCAACAGTCATGTGATCCAAGCCGCCGACAAACGTCAAATCCCGTACCTCAACATTCTATCCCCTCCTAGTGATTCAGAATTGATCCCCTCATGGTCCCTGCCGCTTTTAGAGAACCATGCCGACCAACAGCAGACGACATCACACTTTACAAAGACACCGCCGCAAACGTACTGCTCCTCTTGTGTCACAAGATGGGCGTGGAGTCTGTAGAAGGATCTCTTTCGCCTGAGTTTAGGGCGCCAGCCTTCCTTAAACCGACCGTCGCCAACAACGTAACCCAGCCTAGGGACCGCTTAAACAAAGACAAATCCTATGATCCCGGACCTGCACTGCTCGCCGAGATACGCAGGCATGGCCATGAGTTCCACCCAGACGATACAAAACTGTGGTACACTATCGTGGAGACGACTGCACGTCTGGTTCATCAGCCACAGCTCATCAGAATCCTCCATTCTTCTGGGGAAAAGACTTTGACGATCCAACACGACTGGTCGACTCAAATTTTCGGTCTTTTCAGGTATCTTTCCCCCCACCAAGCGACGGAAAGAAGGGAGGCACAACTTCAAGTAGCTCTTCATCAGCTGCGGACGGCGATTGGTTCGAGAGAAAAGCGAAAAGTGAGAATAAGGGAGATTGTGGCAAAGGTGCGGTATTTCTTCATTGAACCATACGAAGTTCAGAAAGCCTGGGAAACGGGGACGGTTCAAGCGTATTATTAGTGTCAGTAGTCCCAGTCCAGACCGCGGCCCTTGAACTCGTTCTTGACAAGGACGCTGAGGGGTCTGTGTCTGTAACAGGGCATGCATGTACTTCACAGACATACATCGAGTAGGATACACACAACACAAACTGTACGATCATCAAACAAAACGTTGCTGTACAGCGCCGAGGTTCTCAAAGAACCGCCTCTTCTGACGAATCCCAGGACACAGCGCCAAAACCACACGCTCGGCGCGCCCGGCATCATGCCAGCCGGGACTTGACTCGAGGCGGTCGGGGACATTACGCGATCCCACTCCGGAAGCGCGGAGGGCGCGGCGCGCCTCGTCGCGCGCGCGCTGGCGGTCAAGTGCGAACGCACGGGCACAAATGGACGCCTCGGCGCGTCCAGCCGACGGCGGGAGGATACCTTTCGCGACCAGCGCGAGACGGGATGGACGCGCAGCGAGAGCGGTAGACAGGCTGCGGCGGAGGGTGACGCGTGAGATCGTATCGTGGGCGCGAGACAGACGGACGGCCTGAACGTGTCAGTGTCACGGGCTAGGAAGAATGACCATGGACCCACCGATGGACTCGCCCAGTACCCTCCGGCACGCACACCCGATACAACGGCAACGCCCCGAAGGGTACCTCGTCGTACAAGTTCAGTGGGGTCCGGGCGTAGACTGAGGGGTGAGAAGAGCGCGTGCCCGACGCGGGATGGTGCGGTCTGGGAAATGTCAATACGGGCGATAAGCGATGACGTTGACATTGTTGTTGACAGGGACGCACTTGACTTATCCACGTTGTCCAGAGAAAGTGGTCGCGCTCAATACCTTCTAGGGGCTCTACGACGCGTGAGAGCACACCGAGGTCGTCTGGTGAGAGAAAGAGGAGGATATGAGTGCGGAGCTCTGGTGGCAATGCGATGAAGGCGTTGGCGAAGGCAGTCAGGGGGGCGTGGGCGGCGATGCATGTCGAGGTTGAGGCGGGGTGTAGACGGGTGAGGGACGCGTCGAGATTCGCGCCACCCGGTGAGGTGAGCACCGCGACCATGGTTATGGTCAAATGGCCATGATAGAGAGGAGATGTGAGAGATAGGAAGACACGATGAGTGCTGCCTGGGGGGGAACGCGGCAAGTTGGCGCAATGCCCGATCGGCATGAAACGCGACCGGCCCACGCCCAGCACGTTTCATCACGAGACCACTCTGCCCAGTCCCGCCATCCCGCAATGGTTCAGTTGCACATACACGCGTCAACTATCATAATTATAGAAGGTGTGGAGGAAAGTCTACGGCCTAGCTGTGGGACAAAGCATCTAGCATGTGCAGGCGCGGGGCGTCTCCTCGCTCTTGGCAACCTTGACTCCCTGGGCGGTGGTCTGTTTAGGGGTGGCAAGGGGGAGCTTCTTGGCTGCGACCGTTAGTGCAGTCGGGTTGGTTCGGGGGTGCTCACCAATCTCCATGAACATGGCTTCAACGCCATCACCGCTCTTGGCGGACGCCTCGGTGAACAGGAGACCCTCTTCCTGAGCAAACTGTTCGCCCAGTGCCCGAGGGGTCTTGCGCTGGGATGTGAGGTCGGCCTTGTTGCCAACGAGCATGATCACAATAGAGGGGTCGGCCTGGCGCTGGAGCTCGCGGACCCAGGACTTTGCCTTTTCGAAGGACGTCTCTGGGGGCTGGGTAATGTCGTACACGATCACGGCGGCGTTGGCATTGCGGAAGTAGATGGGAGCCAGCGACTTGTAGCCTGGGGGTCAACTTTGAGATGGGTGCTAGACTCACGCTCCTGGCCAGCAGTGTCCCAGATCTCAAACTTGATGTTAGTCGACTCGTCGAGGGGAACGGTCTGGGTCAAGAATGCGGCTAGTCGTTAGCGGACGTTGACGGAGGGCAGGGGAACTCACCGCCTGATGGACACACAGTCAAGGGGTGACGAGGTCGAGGTCAGCGCGGGTCAAGCAACACGGGGTTCTGCATACCAATAGTGGACTCCCTTGCCAGTCAGTATGCAAAACTTTGCTGCAGAAAAAGGACCCACCTAAAGTCGGAGAACTCGTCACGAACCTGACGGGAGGTCAGTATCACACACGGGCCTCGCTCCACGCACGAATCTCAACACTAGGGAACTCTTTCCGACGGCCGACTCGCCTGGGGGCGTCAGAGAGGGATAACAAGGGCTTGGGATGAGCGTACCGAGGAGGACAAGCTTGAAAGCAGCTGTGCGAGGCATGGTTTGTGAATTGAGGGATAGTGGGTGGCGACAAGAAGGCGGTGACCAGCCCATGTGTATCCGAGTGAGCCGGGCCGATTAACAACCAGTGTTAATGCCACTACTAATGGGTCAATTAAGGGTTACCATTCGTTTGAAACGGCCGGCCGAAGGTTGACATTTGATTCCGTCGGGAGCCCCTCCACCACAGAGACCCACAGGGTGCGTCCTTTCGCCCCTTCGTTTAAGGACGAGCAATCCTTCTTTGCTCAGTCTCTCAGTCTCTCTCTCTCTCTTTTCTCCCCATCTCTCACGTTATTCGACAACGTCCACCAAAGCCTTGTGCTACCGTTTCTATCTGGCAGATCCGTCGGTCAGACTCGCATAACAACGCACGCACGCACTTGGATCTTTTCCGCCTTCCCCTCTGCGTGCCATCTCGCCGATCCTCTCGCCCGCGTCAGCTAAGCTCAAGCGTCTTCCTTCAGTCAATACATCAGTCTCAGTCGTGGGATCAGTCATATCATGAGTTTCGGGCCTCCTAGACCACCCTTCCCTGCAAGAGACTACCAGGCTGGGCCTCCCCGTGGCGGTCCTCCGGGCCACGCGAGCGGCGGGATGGACCGTTCACCTCCGGGACGTCCAGTTGGTCAGTTCCGCCCACCCCCCTTTGACAATGCTGGAGACTATGGTCAGCGTCAGCGTGACTTTGAGGCTGCGCCCATTCGTGGCGGGTTTGCTGGCCGTGGAGCACCTAGGGGTCGTTTTATGCCGTATGGCCGTGGTTCAGATTATCCCGCTGGACCAGTCGTTGGTCGTGGCCCAGAACACCGTGAGCCTGAACAAGGGCGTGATTACAGTGAGCCGAGCCATGTGTGGCTCTCGTCTTACACTACAGATCGCAAAATTCCCCTCCCAGTTCCCATCCGTGACGCACCCACTCAAAAAGAGCGCATTGAACGTCTGGCTCGTGAACGTGTCTCAAGGACCTTGTTTATCAGAAACATTGCCGTGTGTTTTGGGAGTGTTGGGTTCCACTGACATAGCAGTATGAGACAAAGTCACAGGACCTGCGTGAACAGTTTGCGGTCTACGGCGAGATCAAGGAATGGTTTGACAACAACATGCCCAGCCGTGGCATGATCTTTTGCACGTTTTACGACGTCCGCGCTTCCGAGGCTGCTCGCCGCGGTATGGTCGGGTACAAGTCGTATGGCCGAGCAGTGAGTGTTATTGTCGTTTGGGGTGCACTTGACTGATTTTTCTTTCTTTCAGATCGAGGTGAAGTACAGTCTACCGAAAGAGCACGACCGCGACGGACCATGCGACGAATCAAAGAATCAAGGTTCTCTTATCGTCACCGTTCGCCCTGCGCCCAAGCGTGAGGTCGACGAGGCCGAGCTGGGTCAAGCTGCCGAAAAGTATGGCGCTATCAAATCGATTCGCCCTCACGGTCGCGACGATCGGCGTGTTGTCGAGTTTTATGACTCTCGAGCGGCCCGCGACTTTTGCCGGCGCGAGCAGGGCCGTCGTTTCATGGATGGGGTTCTCAATGTCGACTTTGTCTGGGACGCTGGAGATGTTGTCAACCCCGACCCTGTCACAGCGGACGCCATCTCGCAGGTCACGGCGGCGGTCAATCGTCCCGTCCGGCGTTATGATGGACCACCTGTCAATGACCGCGACCGTTTGCCGGGACGCTACAACGGTCCGTCCAGGTACAGTGAGGCGCCCCCAGCCGCTGCTGGTCAACCTCCCGCCGATGGTCGCATTGATAAGGCTCGCCAGGTGCAGGATTTGCTCGCGTCGTTGGCCAATGTGGCCGCGTCGGGTCCAGCTCCGGCTCCGTCAAACCAACAGGCTCCTTCGTCGTCCTACCCGCCAAGTGGTTCTGGCTACCCTCCTCAGTCGCGCGACGTCCGCCCACCCTCAGCATCTTACGCACCTGGTCCATCCTACCCACCTGGTCCATCCTACCCACCTGGTCCCTCCTACCCACCTGGTCCCTCATACCCACCTGGTCCCTCATACCCACCTGGTCCATCCTACCCGCCTGGTCCATCCTACCCACCTGGTCCAGCCTACCCATCTGGTCCAGCCTACCCGCCATTCGCTTCGCAGAATGCCTACAGCCAACCTCAAAATGCACCCGTTCAACCGCCTCCTCCCTTCTCCAGCCCTCCCCCGCCACCCCCATCCTCCCTCGCCCCGCTACCCCCGCCCCCGACACCCCCATCAAAGCTGCCCACTCAAGTCCTTGCCATGCTCAGCCCCCAAGGCCAACCTCAGTCTCGACCTCCTCCGCAGGACGAAGGCTATGACCCAAGGAATGCTGATGTGGGAGGTCTCCTCGCAAAGCTCCAGAGGTAGACCAAAGTTTCCACTCGCATCATTCTCCCGACAACATGCTTCAGCATATCATGTGAAGCCACCTTTCACCCACGTAGATACATTTCATGCATCCCCATACCATTATATAATTGCGGCAAGGGCAGCAGCACCAAGGACTCCGCCAGCGGCTGCCAAGGTCCTGCCCGCAGACGAACTCTTTGCGGCGGTGGTGCTCGCCTCGGCTCCAGCACTTGTGGTTGCAGAGGCGCCGGAACTCACTGGCGCCGTGCTCGCCGACACCGTCGTGTTTGTACTGTTCGACACTGTTCCGTTGGCGTTGCCGACCAGACCCACGCCGTAGGCCTTGGTCGACGCGCCATCCAGCGCCCACGTCAGGCCGCCAAAGACGTGCTCGATGAATGTGCTGTTCTCCCACGCTGAGTAATGTCAGCATTCGTCTTGTTCTTGTCTTGTGTGCCGCGTTGCTCACTAGAATTCAGGTGGCCCAAGGACGTGTAGAACGACCTGCCGGCCTTTGGCGCACCGTCCGCGAGCGGCAGTGCGCTCTCGGGCGACTCGATGTACCACGCAATGGGGTGAGGGTCGTCCATGGACGGGTAACTGCCCGTACTGGTGCCATTGTTCACGTAGCTTGATTCGTCCACGGTCATGAGGACCGTCGCGCCCACGCTGCGCGGGTCCGAGCGAAAGTAGTAGACTTCCTCCTCAAACGTCCACTTGTCTGGGACGGGTGCGGTGGCCGGGTGGGTCGTGTTGAGTCTCTCGAATGTCTTAACACGTTAGAGCGCGTTCTGGGATCGTGACGTCACTAGACTTACTGCTTGCTGGATCTCTGGGTGGTAGTCGAACAGCGCGCCGACGGCCTGGAGGTAGGTTGTGTCGTTGAAGAGGCATGCTGAGGCCGCGTGGACGCCCGTGTAGACGCCGCCGTTTTGGAAGAAGCGTTGGAGGGCGCCTTGTTGCGTGTTGTCGAGGACTGTGCTCTGTCAGTAGTTGTCTTGGCGCTGCTGCGCAATCATACCTTCGTCCGAGTTGGAGACAAACATGACTCCGTCGAATCCGCTGAGGGTGTCGTCGACAAAGAGGGATGCGTTTCTTGACCGGTTAGCCTGTGCGCTCTGTGTAGGGATGTGGGGTAGGCTCACTCGCTGAAGACAAAGTCCACACCATAGTCGGATGCGTGGTCCCCGAGCACTTGGATGGCCGTTGGGATGGAGTCATGTCGGTATCCGGCCGTCGCGGTGTACACGAGGACCTTGGGTGTGCCAGCAGTGGCACTCACTGCAGCTGCGCGAGACGGCATGGCGAGGAGTGCTGATAGCAGCAACGGGAGGGGGAGGATCATGTGGATGGTGGGATGGAGGAGTGGGCAGTTGGCGGAAATTACTCGGATATGGCCGACTGGATGGAAGGTCACCTCCATGTTTCATGCCGGATGTACCACGCTGTGGCGGTTGCGAACCTTGTTGGGCATGTTGGGTCCCGGTGTCCACGCGTAGGTGTTATTCTCAGTGATTGGTCTTGGACTGGAACAGGTCGGTAGTGGTCATGTCAGCTGTAAGGAGGACTTATAATTATACACATGCATGACTAGAAGACCGGTCGCCAACCGGAGCGGTGTGCAGTGCGCCTTTCAGCGGTCTACAGCCGGCGCGACGATGAGCTCTACCACACCGCAAAAGGTGGGTAATGCGGTGAAAGGATGGCTGTCATAGGTGTCATAGGTGTCACAGGCTACCACATAACCTCGACAAGAAGCTGCACACTCAAGTCTTATACCCCATCTCTGACAGCGGCGCCGAGCAGCTGCGGTTGGAGTCTCGTCCACTCATGGCCATCCACCATGCCCCTTCCTGCTCCGACTTCTGACGAGGTTGACAGGCCACCCCTCCGGCACAAACACCTCGGATCCAGGAGACGAAGGTGTTAATGGTGTCGACTCTCGAGAGGGGTATGGAGTCGAACTTGAGCTCGGGCTCGCTGGAATGCCGTCGGCGTCGTCGGCGTCGTCTTCGTCGTCTTCTTCGTGTTGGGCAGGTGCCAGGCGGAGGAGTGGAAGCTGCATTGAAGGCTGGTCGAACCACCAGGGGGATGGCAGGAAGTATGAGAGGTCGGGAGAACGCTTCACTTCGCGCGGGATGATGACTGCTGGAGGTCGGAGGGGCGCACCTGGAGAGCCTTGAGGTCGAGTCTGCGTTTTGGTCCGAGCTGCAGCACGAGGCTTGACGGGAAGGAGGCCGGGGAGGGGGGTGCTGCCGTCCAAGACTGCGTCGCTCCGCTTGCGGCGTTTGGCTGGGGTATTGGATGGGAGCGGTGGTGAAGCCTTGTCCACAAAGGTGACCTTCCTTTTTGCACGGGGTGTAGCAGGCAGCGTGTTTGTCTTGCTCTTCTCGCTGGTGATGGCCAATGCGGCTGGGACGCTGTTGGCCTTGGACGTGCTGCCGTCCGCCTTTGTGCCGTTGGACTTGCTCGACCTGGGGGTCCTGGGTACTGGATGCGTCCCGTTTGCTGCCTTGCGATTAGGAGTGTCGCGCATGTTGGTGAGTGTGGAAGAGCAAATTGACGCTGGCGTTCAAGAAAGTTGGAGGGAAGGTCCAAGTCCAGTCACACCTGGTCACCTGCTGGAGGGATCGGCACGCACACGAGGGGGATGTAACGACGGATCGGCGCTGCGAGATGCTTCTGATGCGCCCTCTGTGCACAAGGCTTCTTGACATGCTCTACGTGACGTTCCCCTTTGGGCAGCAGACGCCGTCCGTACAGGCGATCAAACGTAGGCCCCACGGATCGACAGCTACAGAGATCCAGAGATGGCCGAATTCGATTGCCAAAGGAGGGGCGGTTGGCCGTGGGCATACAACGTAGTGTCGACATGTCAAGCTTGGGAATTGCTTTTCATGAATACCGCGCGCGCTACTGATGCCACTGAACTAGTCTCGGCGACAACCCCACCCGTGCTTAGCTCACAACAACACAGAGGACCATCAGATTGACCGATGATACACTCCAGGGCGGTGGATTGATATCGCAGGTACTGACATCGCTCATTGGTTGGCCACCTCCAGTCGGCAATCAACGCAAAGGGCAGCAGACGGGCTTTCTGACCAAGCTCTGTCTTGCGCATACAGGCCACATGCCACAGGCCATGTGCATGTCAGCATGCACTCACGGAGCCATGTGTGCACCATCTGCCACAGCTGCTTGCGACCCAAAGTCAACTAGTTCAAATGTCTTGGCGCCCGTCATCGCGAACCGGCCAGCTGCGATGGTAATTCACCGCGTTAGGTCCGGTCCGAGCACCGGCCACTCCGAACGTGCGGCGGGGCGGGCGAGCTGGTCGGCGGTCATGACCGGATGATGGCATGCCGTATCTGAGCGACACCGGCATCCTTTCTCACACGCGCGTAGAGTGTAAATCTGCGGCTAGCGATTGGGGCTGGCAGGCATTGTGTATGACGCGTCCACGACACCATCGTTGCATTCACCATCCAACTAACTGCTCATCATCAGCATCTCAATATATCCCAACGCTGAGTTGCTGCTGAACGCGTGCTGGTATTTCACCGAATTAATTTTCGTCTATCCGTCAATTGCCGCTCCACTACCCGATTACTCCAGGTGCAAGCATACCTTGTATCCGCCCACAAACCCCCAATCGCTCTCCAACCACCGCCCACGATGACCTCACCTGGCGACACACGGGTGAACACGCCGACATCGAGGAAATCCCTCGAGTACGACACAGACTCTGACGACGAGGACAAGAAGGACGAGGCAGTGGCGGGCGATAAGCCTGCGGAGATGAGCGATTCGAGCGGCGAGTTGCACGACGAGCACGAACACGGCCAGCACGAGCTCGCTCCCCTACCCGATATCGGCGGCGGCGGCGGGGGCAGGAAGAAGACGGCGCGCACGTCGTCGTTCACCTCTGGCCACTCGGGACCGGGCCGGCTGCGTAGTCGGCCGCGCGCGTTCTCTGCTGGCGCCGGCACCGGCGCAGTGGTGACGCTGGGCGGCGAGCTGCCCACCACTGCACCCATCTACCCTCCCAACGGGGCGAACCACGGTCTCGCAGGCCACTTCAAGGACGGGACCGCCGGTGGGCCGTTGGCCCTCACGGCCTCGCGCGTCAGTAACGTCTCCAACCACACGTTTGCCGATGCCGCCTCGCTCGTCAACCTGCCTGGCCTGTCGCGCGTGGAAACGAGGACAGAACGCCGAGCGCGTGCACGTGCCGGAACGGTCACGACACTGGCCAGCCTTGCCCGCACCGTCAGTGCGTTCACGGAGGGTATCGACGAAAAGGACGAAAAGGACGAGAGGGACAGTGTGGGCGAGGAGGCGCTCGTCGCGGTGCAGATCCTGGACGACGGCGACGAGGTTGTGTACCCTGATGGCGGAATCGAGGTGAGTACCAACTGCTGCGGAGCGCCTCGAGCTCGCTGACACAGTCCCAGGCGTGGCTTGTGCTCTGCGGAGGCGTGTGTGCGGCCGTGTGCGCGTTCGGTCTTGCCGCCTCGGTCGGTGCGTTCCAGTCATACTACAAGGACCACCTGTTGTCAGATTTCACTTCGTCACAGATTGCGTGGATTGGGTCCGCCCAGGCGGCCATCTGTTTCGCCTTGTGTCTCTTCACGGGCCCCCTGTTCGACCGGTATGGCTGCCGAAAGCTGCTTGCGTCCGGTACATTCTCCCTTGTGCTGGGCTTTTGCATGCTCAGCCTGTGTACCAAGTACTACCAGATCTTCCTGTGTCACGCGACTCTGATCAGTCTGGGCATGGATTTGCTCTTCGTCGTGCCCATGGGTGCGGTCGGGCAGTGGTTCTTCCTCAAGCGCGGCCTCGCATTGTGGGTTTACAGTGACCGCGTTTAATAGAAATCGTTTCGCTGATACACATAATCAGCGGCATCCTCATGATGGGCTCGAGTGCCGGAGCAATCATCTGGCCCGTCATCGTGGCCAACCTGCCCGAGAAAATCGGCTTTGGGTGGACGTGCCGCCTCATTGCGCTCCTCGTCGCCATCCTCGGCACCGCGGCGACGTTTCTCATCCGTACCCGCCTTCCCCCCAACCCACCAGGATCCTTTTTCCACTTTGACGAGTTTAAAAACCCGGCCTACGCCTTCGTCGCGTTCAGCTTCCCCTGCTTTGTGTTTGGCTTTTTCAGCTTTTTGACATTTATCGGCACATACGGCAAGCTCGTGGGGTTGGGCACGCTCGCACCGTATCTCCTGATGATCACCAACGGCGCGTCGGGCTTTGGCCGCGTCTTTGCGGGCCTCATGGCCGACATGGTGGGCACCTTCAATGTGGCGATTATCGGCCAGCTCGGCATGGTGATCCTCATGTTTGCGTGGCTGGGCATGAAGTCGGCGCCGGCGCTCATCGCCCTCTGCGTCCTGTACGGCTTCCTCAGCGGCGCACCCGTGTCCCTCCAAGGTCCCATGGTGACGGCGGCGGCCACGGACCCGCGTATCGCCGGTACATTGATCGGACAGGCTCTCAGTGGGTTTTCTTTTCGCATGTCCTGTTGAACCACAGTGCAGCTGTGCTGACCCACACCCCAGTGGTGCAATCCTTTGCCCAGCTCTGCGGCCCGCCCATCTTTGGCGCCATTGTTGGCGCTGGCAGTACCGAGGAACAGCTCAAGCGGTTCCCGCACGCGATTGCCTTTGGAGCAAGTATGCTCGCCTGCAGCATGGGTCTCATTATTTGTGCGCGCGTGTACCGTACGCGCAAGCTGTTTGCGATTGTCTAGATATCCTAGAATGAAGAAAGAGGAAAAAGAGGAGTAGAGGGGGGACGAGGTGTGAGGATAGAGCCAGTAGAGGAGTGTACAGGGAAGGTACCCACGGACATAGTAACGACTGTAGATCTTTTTACGCAGCACGTTGGCAACGGCATGGCGTGGGTGGCATACCTAGAGCACACTGATCACTGATGGAGATCTGATGGAGATCACACATGCTTGGGAGTCTCCGTTCCCTCTCCCCAGCGCACTGCCATTCTTCTGCTTGAACGCGTTATGCATACAACAAACTCTAGCGTCACACTCCCTCTTAAAAGTCGTACACGTCACCGCTATCGCGCACAGCTCCGCCGACGACGGTACCGCCGCCGCCGAATCCGTCGCCGTACGGGTCAAAGCCGCCGGGGCCGGTCTGGGACGCGGCGCCAGGCATGGCGGCGGCCTCGGGACCCATGCCCATCTCAATGTTACGGGCCTGGTCGAGGAACTGCTTCTTGACGGACAGGGTCTGGGTGATGAGGAGCTGGCACGCGCGCTTGAGCGCGTCGGCCGGGTTGGAGCGCTCGTCGGTCTGGATCTTGATCGTAATGACGTTCTCGAGAGGGTGCGGGAGCTTGTAGCCTGCGAAGAGAACGGTGGGGTCGAGCAGGAGCTGGCTGTGGGGCTGTTAGAGAACGAATAAAACGGTGCCTAGTCGCGAGATATGCGTAAAGCTACTCACGCCCTCAGCATGTTGCCCAGCGTGTGGTCCTGCGCGCGGACGACGACGGTCGCGGCATTGGGGACCTTGGGGTCCTCGGTAAGGCTGAGACGCTTCTCGCCGTCCTGGAGCAGCCACGTCTCGACGCGGTTGGGCTGGTTGATACGGCCCGACATGGTCGGTTAGAGGCTTAGCTGCCGTCTGTTGTTGGCGTCAGCTCTTTGATACATGACAGTCATGATGGAAGGTGACGGAACAGACAACGCGTCATGTGAACAGGAAAGCGCTGGTTCTAGGCAGCGTCTGTTCTGTGGATTGCCAGATGACGGATTGTGGGTATAACCATTGTTTGCTGTCATTGTTTGCTGCCTGGAGGAGGCGCAAGAGGGAGAAGGCAGGACCGTGATACTCACTTGGAGGTGGTTGTGGAGGTCGAGATGGTTCCTCTCAAGAAACACAAGAGTAACCAACTCTGGTGTCGGTGGCGCATGATACTTGGTTAAAAACACGTCATAGTTATTAGGCCCCCCAATTAAGTAATTGCCTAACGGCCGGCCTATTGGCGGCCATCAAATGCCCTTATGCCTCTGTAGCCACCGTACACCGTGCCGTTGTTGAGTTGAGACATGCATGACAGCAACCAGGTCGAGCGGTGCGATGCATGACGTTGCGTGCATGCGTGTGTTGTTACAACCGTACACCAGTGCAACACGAGCGTTTTGAGCGTGGAGCTTGGTGACGGGCGCATCTGTCAGTGCCACCTTTCCTGTGGCCTGTGGCAACGCTTCCAAAGATCCAAAGGATCGTGGCAAGATTGCTGGTCAAGGATCCATGCGCAAAGGTGTGTGGCATGTGTGGAGCATTCACAATTCACAAACCCCATGCGACAAGCCGGTGCACCCTTGGTATGCACTGTGGGCAGCTTATGTGTGTCGGGGCCCAGACGGAAGGCGTCAAGCTTACCGAGGGCTTTGACCTGTCCAGCAGTCCTTTTCCGATTGACAAGGCGTCACACAGCCTGCAGCCAGGGTGTGTCCGTTACCGTTGTCCAGCCACTGGCCATTGAGACGGCCCACGCCGACGATGTGGCAGCGCCCACTTGCTGTCCTTGGACACAGCATGGACACATCGACCAGTTGGGGAGGTTGCGGCATGACGCATATTTCTCGGGTCGCATGTTCCACCACGAATACACGGCGACCACCTCTCCGAAAGCCACCCACCTCATTGCCGTCTGCCGTCTGCTGTCCGGCTGGCCTCTTTTATGGCTGTTGTTTTTATCAACAGTTTCCCAGAGCGGCAGAGCACAGCCCACGCCCTACGGCCCAAGATCCGTGATTCCATACGAGCCCCGAATTCCAAGCGCCGGCGCCGGGTTGTTCTCATGCCGGCGGTCCCCTTGAAAACAGGATCCAGTTGTGGAAAGTCTTGTCGGTTGGCCCACTCCCCCAGTTCCTTGCTGGCGCGCCCCTGGTGCTGAATGGCCGACCAGGCTGGGCTGCCGGCGAGAGGCCAGAGGACGTTGAGTGGGAGGGTTGGGTTTGGGGTGCCTTGCAGGTTTTTTTTTTAATCTTAAGACGGGGGGGAGGGACGGGCGGACACTCTGCAGACCATGGAAACCAGGGACACAAGGCGGCGCTGTGTGTGGCAGCCGGCAGGATCGGCAACACGGTCGCGGCTCTGGCCGCGGCAGAGACGCCCCAGGCTGGGGTGCCGCCCGCTTCCGTGCGGGTTCAGGGACAACAGGCGACCAGGCCCGTTCCCCAGCCAGGGGGCCACAACGTCGTTTGTGTGTGGACGCGCCGCTCGCGCCGTTGGCGCGCTCTGGGCATGGCCGCGTGCTCTCACCCTGGCGCGCGCGCAAGGGACGGCGCGGCCCCCTGTTTTCCCTGAGCAGCAGACGACCAACGACCCAACCACCCACGAGATGGTTGATGGGCCTTCTTTCAACAACATCCCTCCCATCCATTCTCCAGCACCCCCGATTTTTTGGCCTTGTCCTCCTCCTCGGCCTCTTCCTCCCTCCTTACGGCCTCTGTCCAACCCCACACTTCGCAAACCAGCGACCCTCGTACATTCTCTAGAAGAGTGCACACCTTTCCATTCCTTTAAACGAAGAAACACTTCACCCCCCCCACACTCCCTCCCTGTCAACCAAGACACACACTCGCTCTCTCCTCGCCAGCCGAAGAGAACCACCCCCCACACACGCAACAACAACCAAAGTGCTCGGTCACTTGACTCTCTCCCTGATCCCACATCTCGCCCCTCGCCCTCGTACTTGAACAGTACAGTCATTCTTTGTCAGTAGCAGCAGCCTATACCGCAGCCGGAACATCAGGAACCTGACAGAAAACAGATCACTCCCTTCCTTGAAACACAATCCTTCCTTTACCAAAAATGTTCGCCTACATCTACCTCTTGGCCGCCTTCCTTCTCCAGGTCGCTTGCGCCCTCCCCATCGGCAAGCGCTCGTTCTCCGGAAAGGCTACCTTCTTCGCTGTCGGCCTCGGCGCCTGCGGTGGCACCAAGTAAGTGTTGCTCCAAACTGGCACCCGCCAAGACAACGAGGCGCTCGCCCGAAACGCACCATGTGCCAGGGTCATTGGCCTGTGCCAACCTCCCACATTCGCAACCCAGCCGCTGACGCTCCCTCCAGCTCGGACTCGGACTACATTGTCGCCCTCAACGCCGCTCAGTACGGCTCGGGTGGTTACTGCAACCAGGGCATCACCATCACCTACAACGGCAAGAGCGTCGGTGCCACCATTGTCGACATGTGCCCCGGCTGCGCCTACGGAAGCCTCGACATGTCGCCCGCGCTCTTCAAGGAGTTTGCGGACGAGTCTGTGGGCACTTTCCAGATGACCTGGGACTTCGGCAGCAGCAACAGCGGTGGCGACGCCACCACCTCGTCGTCCTCGTCGACGTCCCAGTACGTGGCCCCCTCGACCTCGTCGACCACGCAGGAGACCCCCACCTCGACCTACGTGGCGCCCACCACCTCGGACACCCCTACCTCTACTAGCCAGTCCACGACGGTCGCTCCTACCTCCACCGAGACGTCGTCGTCGGCTCCCGTCTCCACCGACCTCACCACTTCGAACTCTACCCTGCCTGCCGTTACCTCTACTGCCGGTCTCAACGCTACCAACGCTACCATCACCGCCACTGCCAACATGACTGCGTCGACTGGTGTCGTGATTGCCAACGCAACCTCGACCATCCTCCCTGACACTGTCACCACGGACTCGTCGTCCGACAACAGCGGCCTCGCTTCCCTCAACAACCTCGTTTCCCTCCTGGGCCGCATCGTTGTTGTTGGCGCGTCGTTGTAAGACAACACCACTTGCAACGACGTGTTAGCTCTTTAGACGGTTTCGGGTTTTCTCCTTGGACATTTTTCTTTTCCAGTTTCCTTTTCATCTTGTTTATCACTACAACACCCCGGGCATCCAGAATCACCTTTCTTTGTTTAGATACCTCCCCAACAACCACCCCACCCATTTTTCTTTTATTTTTGTGGCGGGCGCCGCCGTCTTTTATTTTTCGGCCAGTTCGCCTGTACCATTATCTGGTTTATAATGTACCGCCACAACACCCACCCACCACACCACATCCCAACACAAACTTGCCGACGCGGTGCGCGGCTGTCCGACCTCCCTCATCAATGGCTTTTCGCCAGGCCTACTTTTTCTTCTCTCCAAACTCTCTCCCCCCCCTCCTCCCTCCCATCTTTCTTCTTTATCTCCTCCCACATTCTTTACGTATCACACCCCCTACCTGTATCGTTATATAGATAGGGCCGGGCCCGCCGGGCCCCACAAACCACCCTCCCCTCCGCAAAATCTAGCGAGAGAACCCATAGTATCCTGGCGATGAACACGATGACACCGTGTACTCAATGACGCACACTTGCTGCGACTTACATTACACGCCTCTGCTCTGGGGCTCCTGGCCTCTGGGGTAACCGACCTGGCTGTCTTCTTATCTCTCGAGATGTCTGCCTGTCGTCGATCCTACGTCACCGTCGGTAGGGTGGCACGCAGGCCACAGAAGTCACAGAACAGACGAGGTTGCGTGAGACATTAGGGCCCCAGGGGTTGGGCCTTGGCCACCTTTAAATCGAATAGACTATGGTTCCCTCTTTGGTCGGTATGAAGAACGGCCGACGTCAAGGACCCCATTTCTCGGCACTGTACCTTTGTTGTTTCAACCGTCCACCGCCGTCCAGGCCTCCAGGCCCACTCGCCATTCCAGTGTCTATCAAGCGCAAGCCACACCAAACTCGTGGACCGCGCAACTGCGTCGGGCCTGCACAACACATGGTACATTACAAGAGCACAACCTACGGTAAGGAAAGGGAGCAGACTACAGGGGCCGGAGGCGAACGAGGACGTCGGCAATCAGCCCCGCAGCGTCATTACGGTCCACGGCGGTCGCGCACGCCTCGCGAATGTCGGGCTCGGCCTCGCCATCGACTTCGCCGGCACCGGCACCCGTGAGCACGGCGTCGATGAGGCGCTGCTGGGCGTCAAACAGGAGCGTGAGCTGGGCCACACCGTTGGGGCTGCCGGGGAGCGTGGTGTCGTACTCGAGCACAAGCTGGGACGGGGACACGACGCGCGCGGACCGGATGCCCATGAGGTTGCGGTACGCATTGAGGGTGGATTCGTACCTGTTGGTGTGTCAGCGGTGTATGGTTCTAGACTTGCAGAAAACGCAGCTGGTGCCAATCCGGACATCCCAGCTGCGATGACGCTCAATCCCCACAACTCACCACAAGCTCATCTCGTGCACGCGCACACCGCTGCCGCCCTTCTCCCTACTCCGACGCACATCCTCGGCCCGGGCCTCGTGAACCTCCCTGTCGCGCGCGAGCGCGAGGACCTTCTTGCTCCGCTCCGCCACCACGCTCCGCAGCTGGTCGCCCCGCGGTCCCGCAGCGGTAATCTCGGAGGTGAGGCGCTCGAGCTCCTCGGTCTGCGCGTCCAGGCGGTCGTTGGCCTCGTCGACGGTCATGCGCGTTTCCTCGGGGTGTGCAGCCTTGATGCGGGCCAGCTCCAGCTCCATGTCCCTGATCTGGCGCGACAGGAGCGTCGCCTCGGACGCGGCAGCGGCGTTCTTGGCGTGGTCTGGTCGTCAGCTATCATGCTATGTGGTACCGTTGAGCTCACACTCTGCGTTGGTCTTGGCCAGCGCAATCGCCTCGGACCGCATCCCCTCAATCTCGTCCTTGACATGCTTTAGCTTTGCCTTTTTGACCTTGTTCTCGGCCTCTGCCGAGGTTAGCTTTATACTTGAAGCCATCTGCACCCACCAAGCTCCTCATTCTCGCCCGGCATGACCCGCTGTGGCTCGTCGCCCGTGATGCTGAACAGGAACGACCGCTTGGCCTCCTGCTCGAGATACTTGAATTTCAGGTTACGAAAGTAGATCTTCTGCTGGTCCTTTTCATACGGCACGGCCAAGGGGTTGCCGTCTGCAATGCTCGAGGACACGAGGCGCGCGCGGAAGCGTTCGCGGTGGGCCTCGAGGTGTGTTTGGCTCGAGGTAGACGTGGTAAAGCTGGGCGGTGGTTAGCGGCTGGTATGAAGGTGAGTCAGGCAGACGCACTCCTGAGCCGACTTGTAGAGCGCCTCGTGTGGCGAGGGCATGCTGGATGTTGATAATCGCGACATGGTTGCGGTAGGAATAGCGGTTGAAACGTCGCTTTGATATTGTTGTGATCTTGTTGTTGCCACCAGAGCGTAAACAAGCAACCACGCGACTGACTTCCCAGAATCGGAGGTTTGCGGCGTTTCCCAATGTGGCAAAATGGTTGCTGTTGTCTCGAGCTCATGCTTTGCTGCGACCATTGCCCTTGTCAGGCCGATAAGCATGCATGCTTAAATGTAGGTTAGCAGAAGGAGATCACCAGTGGCTTGGCTCTGACTCCTGCAAAGGGTGTGAGAGCCATGCTGCGGCAGGGTTGCACTGTGGATCGACTCCAAAGCCACCAACCTTATGTTCATCCCACTCGACACCACCACATCGCACTCAGCCCAATGATCTATGAATGCATGACACAACTACTTCAGCAACGCGCCCACCTGCGGGTCCTTATCGTACGGAGGCGTGGAACGGAGCAGTTCCCTGGCATCGCGCGCCGGGCGGGCAATGACACCCACGTCCGATCCCACCGACGTCTGCACTTTACGCACAATGTCCTCGACGCAGTCGAGCGCGTAGAATGCCTCGGGGGCAGTCTCGAGCACAGCGCGGATACACTGGCTCACAAGCGCGGCGGGCGGGGTGGGGGCCGCGAGGAACGTGTCGGCGATGGGGCGGATCGCCTCGGCGTCGTGCTGGGCCAGGCCGGCAACGACGGATGCAGCGGCCACGTTGTACGCCTCGACCTCGCCGGCCATGAAGGCCTCCTCGACGAGCTCGACGATGGAGGTCTTGGCAGCGGCACCGATGTTGGCACCGGCCGACGAGCAGACGGCACCGAGGGCCTCGAGAACCGAGGGTGCGACCTCGCGCTCGGCGCTGCGGACACCGCCGATCAGCTCGGTGATGAGGGGGTCCACACGGGGCTGGTGCTTCATGAGCTCGCCGAGACCGGCGGCGGCCTTCTTGCGGACCGAGAGGGCCGCAGGGTCCGACGCCGACTTGACAAACGTGCGCGTAAGCTGGGGGTGGAAGGGGCGAACAAGCTGGGGCACCTCCTCGAGGAGAACGGTGAGGGTGTTGAGGATGGCACCCTTGATCGTCGGGGAGATGGACTGGCCAGAGATGACACGGATAAGGGGACCAGTGAGCTGGATAATGTACGGCTTGATGGCCGCCTCCGAGGTACGCTGGACCAGGTCGGCAATACCGTTCGAAGCCTCCTGGCGCTGCTCCTGGGTACCGCTGAGAACACCGGCAAGCAGGATGGGCACAATCGACTGCACACCCTTGGGGCGCGAGAAACCGGCCACGTGGATACCGGCAACACCGGTAGCCTCAATGGCGTTCTTGACGGGCACAACAAGGGTCTGGAGGTCCTCCTTGTCAATGGTCTTGACAAAGTGGTCGAGCGCCTCCCAGGCGGCAGTGACAACCTCCTCGACGGGGTCGGCAAAGAGGCCAATGAGGGTACGGACCCAGTTGACGTTGTAGTCCTCGGTGTCGGCCTCGGACAGCTGGCAGAACATGCCAAAGATGGTACAGGCAGTGGCACGACGCTGGGGGTTGTTGTCCTTGGCCCACTCGAGGAGCTTCATCTCAAAGGCGTTGACACCGTCCAGGTCCTCCAGAGTCTCGCAGAGGGCCTCGAGGGCCTCGTCGAGGGCGTCCTTGGTCTCCTCGTCGGGGCTGCCTTCGAGGGTCTGCACGAGAGCGCTGAGGATCTCGTCGACACGACGGTTGAGGGCCGAGCCGGAAACGCGGATGAGCGAACCCATGGCACGGGCGTTGAACGCGCTGATGGGCTGCTTGGTGAGGTCCTTGAGAACCTTGGGGAACACGGTGTTGGCGCGGACAGCCATGACCTCGCGAAGGGCAGAGAGGGCAGTCTCCGAGCTCTCTCCGGGCTGGGCCATGGCGGCGAGCAGAGTGGGAATGGTCTGGTCGACAGCCTTGCCACCGAGGTAGTGCTGCATCGAGTCGAAAGTGCGGGCAGCGGCGGCACGGACTCCGGCCTCCTCGTCGACGAGGGCGTCGCGGATCGACGAGATGATAACGTCCTCGTGGGCCTCGATGGCGTCCTTGGAGGCAGCCTCCATGACATCCGAAAAGGCAAGACAAGCGCCCTCCTTGGTACGAGCATCGTTTGAGGTAATGGCGGTGCGGAGGATGGGAACAATCTCGCCAACAATGCGCTCGCCGTTCTTGCGACAGAGCTCGCCGATAGTGCGCGAAGCGGTCTCCTGCTGGTCCATGTGGGTAGATCCGAGGAGCTGGACGAGGAGCTGCATGAGAACAGGCAGGATCTCGCGGGTGGTGCGGGGAGTGTTCTGGACGAGCGCCTTCCAGATGTGGATGGACGCCTGGCGAACGACGCTGACAGTGTCCTGGCGGACAATGTAAAGAGTGGCGAGGACACGGTCGCGACGCTCGGCACCGAGAGTGTCCAGAAGCGCCTTGCGGGCAAGCTCGGCACCACGAGCGGTGTCGTCCTCCTCGAGCTCGACCTTGCCGCTGATACCAGTGACACGGTAGAGAAGCTCGCCAGTAAGCGAAATGGACGACTGGCGGATACGCCACGACGAGTCGAGCATACCCTTCTCGAGCTCGGGCAAGAGGAGGTCGACAGCCTTGGCCGAGTAGTTGGAGATGATCATCTTACCGGCACGCATCGACGCCTCGCGCACGAACTCCGAGTCGTCCGCAAGACCGTTGAGGATGGGCGGAATGATACGCGCAAGGTGGGGCGCGAAACGGTGACCGAAAGTGGCGGGGAGATAAATGAGGAGCGAAATGAAACCTTCACGCACGTAGGGGCGCGGGCTGGCAGTGTTGGTGATAACCTCGGGGAGGAGACCCTCAAGGCGCTCCATACCAAGACCCGAGAGAACCTCGGACAGGCCCTGGGCGGCACCTTGACGGTCGACACCCGACGTGTCCGAACGAAGAGTCTGGAGAAGCTGGTCGACGAGGTCGGGGAAGTTGGTCTCACCGAGACGCTCAACAAGGGTACCGAGCGACTTGGCGGCGGTGGCACGCGCCTCGGGCACGGGGTCAACAAGGACCTCGTGGATGAGGGGCATGAGCTCGTGGAGGTAGGGGACAAGGTCGCGAGCCTCGGTGAGCGATGCCATGTTACCGACAATCTGGACCGACTTGCGCTTGGTCTCGGACGAACGCTGGCGGAGACCACGGTCGATGATGGGCATGACGAGCGCGAGCGACGGAGCGTCGAGGTAGTGCTCGAAGGTGGTCTTGAGAAGAGCGGACAGAGCGCTGGTAATGTTGGCGGTAGGGTCCGCAAGAGCCTTCATGAGCTTGCTCTGGATAGCCTTGACCTCGGGGTTGTTGAGGACCTCGCCGAAGCCCTTGAGGGACTTGTTGGCAGCCGACTTGACCTGGGCGTGAGAGTCGTTGATAACGTCGGTAAGGTGGGGAATGATGGTGGGGAGCGAGAGCGAGAGCTGACGGGGCGCACAGAAGGCCATGGAGCCAAGAAGCTCAATGGAGCCCTTCTTGGTACGCCACTGCTTCTCGTCCAGACCGCCGAGGAGGGTGGGGAGGATGAGCTTGACACAGTGACCCGAGATCTTGGACATGATAACCTTGGCGGCATACTGCGTGGCCTCACGGACGTAGTTGTTGGTATCACCGAAGAGGGTAAGCATGAGGGGGATGACCGCGACGATGTAAGGCTCAAACACCTTGCCGAGGGTGGTGGTAAGGGTCTCGAACGCGAGACAGGCGCCTTCACGGCTCTCAAACGAGCCCTTGTCCTCGGCAGCCTCGGTGAGCTTGTCCATGAGGTCGTACTCCTTGAGCGAGCGAAGACCACGGCCCTTGACAATACCAGCAATACCGTAAGCGGCACCGCGACGGGCAGCGTACTTTTTGCCAGTGGTGAGAGTCGAGAAGAGGCGGTCAACAAGGTACTCGACCTCCTCCTCGCCCATACCGGACACGAGCGCCGGGAGACAGTCGGCGACCGCCGACTGGACGAGTTCCGAGGGGGTGTTGAGGGCCTCGATGAGACGGTCAACGACCTTGGGGACACGCTCGTCCGAGGCATCGAGGTGGCCGGCAAGACGACCAAAGAGAATGACAACAGCCTCCTTGACGTAATCGGAAGTCTGCGACGTCGAGGGGGCAGTAAGGTGGCCTTCAAACATGGCCATGAGACCGGTAATCTCCTTGGCACCGTGGATCTCAACAAGGGCAATGGCCGCGTTGAGCATACTACGGCGAACCTCCTCGTTGCGGTCACCAAGGGCCTCGCGCTTGATCAGGAAGTCGAGAATGGTCTGGACCAGCGAGTCCGGAATGAGCGACGCGAGCTTCTGGAGAGTCGAGGCAATGGCGGAACGCGACTCCCAAGGGTCAGGGCGGTCGACAGTCTCGGGAATGACCATACCGAAGCGGTCGTACTCGGGCTGCAGGAGCTTGGCCTTCTCGACATAGAGCTCCTGGAGACCGACAATAGTGGGCTCCAGCTGCGAGGGGAACTGCTCGGCAGCATCGGCAAGGGCTGCCGAAGCACCGGCACGGACAGCAGCGCTCGAGTGGGCAAGGTAGCGGATGAGCGAGTCGAGGTAAGTCTCGGGAACATCGAGACCATTGTCCTCCCAGAGGTGCTCGGCGAGGGCAGCGTTGGTCTCGTCATTGTCGTGGGTGGCAATGAAAAGCTCCTCCGAGTAGTTGAGCTCGGTAAGGTCGACGGGCTGGAGGGCCTGGAGAGCGGAGTTGCGCACGTTGGACTCGGCAGATAGAGTGCCAGCAATCATCTCGCTGATCTCGTCGGGGGTAGCAACGTCGCGAATGGCGGCACCGAGGTCCACAAGGGCAGCCGAGCCGTCCTTGGCCAGGCGCGAGTGGCCGCCAATGATCTGGATGAGGTCGCGGACCGTCGACAGGCGAGGGTACTGGTCGTTCTCAAACTCGCCGACGCAGGCACTGATAATGGCAACAACGAGGGTGAGCTGCTCCTGAGCCTGCTCGCTCTGAGCCGAGTCGGAGCCAATGCCGCCGAGGTTGACGATCTGCTTGTTGAGCATGCTCACAAGAGTGAACGTGACGGGGTCGAGGGGCGAGCTCGAGGCAACAAAGTTGACCTCGTGCATGATACGAGTGACAAGGTCGCCCACCTCCTCGTGAAGGTAGTCCTCGGGGATGAAGGGAGCGTTGTAGCTGCGCAGGAGAGCAGCGGCAACCATACGGCGGTACTCGCCAAGACGGTCGTTGGCGAGTGAGCTGAGCTTGATGAAGACATCAAACGAGCGGCTGTCGACAAGGAACGCACCAGGACCGAACACACTCTGAAGGAGGAGGTTGGCAAGGGTGTCGAGCTGGTTCTCGACGGCGGAGACGTGCGAGTCGGCAAGAGCAGCGACAAGCTCGAGGCCGCGGCGAAGGCGAGCCTGGACATTGGCAATCTGGGCGCGAATGTCGGCCTCCTTGGCCTGCTGAGCCGCCACAAGAGCCTTGTCCTGTTTGGACAGGTTCTTGGCAATGGTAGTGGCCTTCTTCTTGGCAAGCTCGTCGCGAACCTCCTGCTCCCACTTTTCGTCCGCATAGTTCTTGCGGTTCTTGTTCTCGCCCTCCTTCTTGGGGGTAAGGACATCGACGTAGAGCTGGTCGGCGGGAGTGGCCCAGATACCGCGCTCCTCAAGACCGATAAACTCGAGGGCGGCGGGGTCGAGGTCGCTCTTGGCCTTGGCGAGGACATCGGCAACAAACTCAACGGGGTCCAGGAATGCGAGAGTGGCAATAGCACGGTAGGCGGCCTCCGCGAAGCGCGAGTCCTTGGGGGGAGCAGAGGCAGACTCCCACAGCTTCTTGAGGATGACCTGGTGATGGATCTGGACGAGGCGGGCAGGGTCCAGACCAAGGTGCTGAACAATCGTGATCCACGAGACCGACGACTCCTCGCCAATCTCGGGGTGGTGAGCGAGCACAACAAAGTCGGCGGCAATGTCCTCGAGCGTGGCTTTATCGGCCTTGTCCGAAGGGGTAACCGCGGCCAAGAGGAGACGGCCAATCTCACGCGAGCGCGAGACGTGACCCTCGTCCTCCTCACCAACCTGGCGCTTGGCACGGGCAGCAATACGCAGCCCGTCCTGCAAACCAAGCCAGACGGAGAGCGACTCCCGGACAACCTGGGCCGTGAGACGAGGCTGAACCTTGGAGAGCTTGGTGACGGTCGAGAAAGTCTCACGGCGCACCTGCGAGTGCTTGGACTCAAATGCAAGGTGGATAAGACCGAGACCAATGGCAACGCGGACCGCCTCGGGGCCAAGTTCGGCGTTGTTCTCCACCAACACGCTCAAGGCGTGCAGCAGCCACATCTCATCCTCTGCGGTGGTGAGCTTGGTGTAGGCCATGTGGTTGAGGATGAACGACGGCTTGGGGGTGACGGTGAGGACCGACTCGAGCGCGGGACTGGACGCCAGCTTGGCCGCACCTGCCACCGACTTGAGAGGGCCAAGGGCAAGAGCAACCGCAACGTAACCCTCGAGGAAGCCAGCGGAGTTGGCGGGAGGGTTAGCGGCGGCGGTCTTGAGGTTGTTCTCAAGCGCAGGGGCAAACGAGGCCACGAGCTTCTCTCCTTCGGCAGAAAACGTAGCCTTGTTGGTGTAGACCGACCAGACAGCGGTACCGACTGAGTTGGAGACAGCGCGACGAGTGGGGAGCTTGGTCGAGGCAAGCTCCTTGGCGAGGGCGGTGGCAGAAGCAGCGGCAACGGCCTTGTCCGAAACGAGGACGGCGGCGAGATGGTTACCGAGGGCAGCAGCGAGGGCGTTGAGTGCAGCCTCGTTGGCCTCCTTGGCAACCATAGGAGGAAGAGTGTCAACAACGACCGACGCTGCAGCCTCAGGGAGGGCCGAAACCATGGTGTACAGGGCAACACGCTGCTCGGCACTGGCAGTCTTGCCGGTCTTGGGGAGGGCAAGAAGCTCTGTCGCAAGCTTCGCAAGAGCCTCGGGAGAAGAAGTCTTGCGGACGATAGCCTTGAGCAGGAGAATCGACTTGGCGCGAGTCTCGGCGTTAGACGACTTGGATGCCGACAGGACGGCAGGCACCAGCTTTGCGGGGATGATGGACGAAATGTCGACCTTGCACGAGTCGATCAGGTCAGCCGTGAGGGTGAGAGCAATCTCAGGCGAGCGGAGGAGCATGCGCTCGGCGGTAGGGATGAGCTTGCCGACGAGAACATCCTCGGTCACAAAGTTGGCGAGGAACTCCTGGAGTGCGAGAGGGACGTGTGGGGGGAGAGCGACCTTTGTCGAAAGGATGTTGGTCGAGTAGTAGGTGGTGATAACCTCCTTCTCGGCCTCGATGACAGCACGGCCCTCGGGCTTGCCCTTGTTCATGCGGACACGGAGAGCCACACCAACGACGTGGCCGAGCAGGACTGCGGCGCGAACAGGGTGGGTACCCTTAGTGGCAAGGATGGTAATGACGGCCGAAAGGTGGAACTTGAGCTGGCGGATAACGCGCCACACACGAATGTTGACCTTGTGGCGAATGCGAAGAGCGCGGGCCGCACGAGTGGTGGCTGAGCGCACCTCCACGGCATCGGTCACAGCCGCAAGGGCAAGAATGAGAGCCTCAAACTGGGGGTAGCGAGGAAAGCGTCACCGCGCGACTCGTACAGGGTCGAGATGAGAGACGAGACGAGGATGAGCTGGGGCACAATGGCAAGCGATGTAGTCGACTTGGGTGCAGCGGCGGCCTTCTCCACCTCGGCGACACCCCACTTGACAAGCTTGTCGCCGAGCTTGAGCGCAGACTGTTGCCTCTCGTCACGCGCCACAAGCGCCATAAGAACGTTGCTCGTGAGCTCGATAGCCTTGAGGTCGCTCATGGCGATCAATGACTGGAGGAGGGGAGGAAGAAGAGCAGGGACCTGAGCCGGAGCCGGAGCTTGGGGACGTCAGCTTTGTTTTGATGTACAATAACAAACAACGTACCCTCGTCGGTAACATAGAGGAAGCGGGCAGCAAACTGTTCCCTCCTCTTTCCACTGCGGTCGAGAAGCGCCGGGCGCACCTTGGGAAGCACGACCTCCCAGTCAATGTTGAGCTCGCGTGAGCTCTCGTCCGGGGTCTGAAGCTCATCGTCGTCGTCATCGAGCTCGTCGACCTCGTTCGCCTTGGGCGGCTCCTCAATATCGCTCACGACCGACGCAGCGGACGACTCCGAGTCGCTCTCGTTGGCGTCCTTCTTGGCCGCGCCAGCGCCATCGCCGAGCCAGGAGCCAACCTTGGCCTTGGACGACATTCCGTCCTGGGCCTGAAGCTTCTTGAACGGTTTGGAAGAGGGAATGGTGTCGGTGTCGACAACGGGGGATAAGAGGGGAATAAGAATGTAGGTGGGAGGCGCTCTGTGATCGTTTAGAAGCGCCTCGTTTTGATGGGTGTGGAGGGAGGGAGTGAGGACGATGGAAGGGGTGGTGCCAGCGTTCGATCTTTGCTTGAGATTTCCATCCACCTTCTCGCGAACGTCAGAACGGATCCGAGATGCCACCGCGGGACCATTTGCCACGACTAGGTTTAAGGTTACGTAATGCTCAAACAGTGTGCCTTGAATTTGATTCCGTCTCAGACATCTGCATCAACATCGACCACCACTTCAACATTTCGTCTGCTTCTCTTCCAAGCAACCATCGCACCTCAATGACATGCAGACACCTCCGGAATCCAAAAAGGAAGCTTCCTGACGGAGAATCGAACTCCGATCTCCCGCGAGCTGCATGACAAGCGAGCATACTAACCGTTATACGATAAAGAACTTGATGTTCTGTTCTTGGCTGATGTGAGCGCGCGCCGAGGCCGTTTTCGAGCGATTGAGAGCCCTGCAGCAACGCAATGCGCAAAGGATAGCACAAGGTCGCCTGTAAGCGTGTGCTTGAGTGCCAGTCAAAGTGCAGGGCGGACGAATAAGGGTTGTGGTTGGCGGCGGAAACATCCTCACCCTCTGTCAGGAATTTCGCCACTACCCTTTGTCCCCACTGTCCACTCCACCTCCACCACGAACAGGACGAGGGTGGTTCTCATGGGGAGTGAAGCATACATTCCAGATACGGATCTTGCATGGTGACACGTGGTCCTCGGAAGATGAGGGACACAGGCCCTCGAGATACGTTGTGTGGCGGATTGGTTGGCCATGTCTGCTCTGGTGAAATTCAAGGTAACCTGGGAATTGTGAGATGATGATACCATTCTGTTTGCCGGAAAGCACACTGTGGTACTGTGGAGAGACTGCGGCGTCTGACGTGCTGCTGTGTGTCGTGTTGCTTTGTTGAGACGGAGAAGGCGATGGCCCACATGGCCACATGGACTGAGACGGCTGATGACGTCGCTTTTCGGTCGACCTGACATTCGGGACGCGTTGGGACGCGTTGGAACATCAGTGGGCATGGAGAAGAAATCTCCATGGGTGTCCTGTCGGCCGGAACGTTGACTCTGCGAGTAGATATGCTAAGCGCTAAAAGTCCTTCGGGCACGAGGCCGCGAGTGAGCTGATCGAGCTGAACCATTCCCGACAACGAGCTCCGTTAGCCAGCATTCAGACTTGGAGAGATCGGAGGTCGCAAGGACTTTGGGAGGATGTAGCCAGGTGGAATATCGTCCCCTGATACTGTACCTCCCTCTGCCAGTGGCGCACAGCCGGTGAGCAATATCCACCTCGAGCGCCCTTCTTAGCAGCCAGAAGAATGCATTACGAGGGACGTGTTGAAGGTCAGCAAAAGTTGCATGCTTGCCCGGCGACGATGGATTAGCCGCTGTTTTGGGACTGCCAGGCTGTTGTACAGTTGTATTAGTTGTATTGTCTTTAATCTTAAACGTGCATGACAATCGGGAAGCTCGGAAGCTGTTCCGGAAACTGACCGACGGCGACCCTCCTCTAATGGCTCAATGGCTCCGGAGGCGGCGCGGGCGGGCCGACGAGCGCTGGCAACAGCCAAAGTCCTTTGCGGCATTCCTGGAGCACAACTCGGTGTATGCATGGCATAACGAACAACGCACCGAGCCATAGACACTTCACTTTATCCCACCCATCGACCCATCCTGAAAGCCCGTTGCCTGAAACGTGCTTGCTTGGTCACATTACTCCACCTCTCCACCTCCATCGGCCGACCCCGGTTCCGGTTTGTTGGGGCACGTCACCGCCCACACACTCGACGTTTGCTAGCGATTTCTCAGCTCTACACACTCATTGAAGAGTCACACACGCATACCATCGGGCTATCTATATAGTCTCACACTCCAACAGACCAGCGCCCAGCTCTCCCCAAGCGCAGAGCTCGTCGTCTTGGCACGTCGATCCGCCCCCACCCGACAAACAAGAGGTCCCGCGGCACCACACGGCAATACTCGCCGCCCGAAATGGCGGCGCAGATCCGAAAGCACCCACAGCAGGTCTCAGACATCGACTCACACCTCGACAGCATTGTCTCAACATCTCCCCCATCCTCCTCATCCCAACCCCCCTACTACAACAGCCGCCCCGCTCCCCCCGGTGCAGGTATCGCCAGTGCCCGCCCAGCCTTATCCCTCACCAACCGCATCTCTTCCCACGGCAACTCCCTCATGCGCGGACCGGCTCCACCCTCCCCACTCTCGCAGGTTGCTGGCGGCGCATCGACTGGCATTAGCCCGCCAGAGGCGTCTATTATCATGGCCCCAAGAGTGACAGTGTCGAGCACAGGATTAGTGCACACACACCCGGGCGCCGCCGACCACCACCTGAAGAAGAAGCATGTCCACATTGCCGACGACAACTCTGCCCCACCACCTTGCTTTATCCACTCTGGACTTGACAAGCATGGCTCGCTCCAGGACTGGCTGCGAGGCAAAAGCGAGCACCTCCTTCCGCACCACCGCAAGAACCGCGAGCGCGTGCGTGCTGACTGGGAGCGTCCACATGCCGAGCCTGTACCTGCCCGCTCCGCTCGCCGTGTGCCGTTGAGCATGACGCCCACTGAGCATCGCCCTGAACTCGACAAGGCAAAGGACAGACGCCCACCGCGCGCTGGTATGACATCCCCTCTCGCGGATGGATATGAGAGCGATAAGAGCAGCTTTGTCGACACCCGCACATTGGACAGTGCAATGGACGATGACGACGATGACGACGACGACGACGATGCTCCTAGCTCGCTAACCAAGCAGCTGGCCGCAACGGCACAGGGAGTGCGCGAGGTTAGCAAGGAGCTTGGCCGCACAAAGGTGCACTCGCGTATCCAGCACGTCCTCATTGTGACGAAGGCTCGTGATAACCGTCTCATCAAGCTCACTCGCGAGCTTGCGTTGTACCTCATGCTCAAAAGCCCAACCGGCCCACCCTCGACGGCTGCGAGCTCGACGAGCGACCTGCGCGGCAGCTCGAGTGACCGCCCCGAACGCCCGCCGCGCCGCGGCATGGTCGTTTACGTCGACGCTCAACTGCGCACCTCCAAGCGGTTCGACGCCGAGGGTATTCAGCGTGACCACCCCCAGCTCTTTGAGCCGATGGCGCGCAGGCGCTCAAGCTCAACATCGGCAAGCACCACAAGCATCTCCACCATGGCCTCGTCGTGGTCAGCCGTGTCCCAGCCAGACAAGGACAAGGATTCTACTGGCCGCCGCCGTGACGAAGGCCAGCTGAGGTACTGGACCGCAGACATGTGTTCCAACTCGCCCCAGCTGTTCGACTTTGTGGTCACTCTTGGTGGTGACGGTACCGTGTTATTCACGTCGTGGCTCTTGTGAGTTGAATCGTGGAGTGAATTGCAACTGACGCCGTTTTAGCCAAAAGATTGTCCCCCCTGTGCTCCCGTTCGCTCTGGGCTCACTTGGTTTCCTTACCAACTTTGACTTTAAGGACTACAGCCAAACGATGGACCGTGTCATCGAGGAGGGCATCCGCGTCAACCTCCGCATGCGATTTACGTGTACCGTGTACCGCGCAATGGCTCCCGAGGAAATGCTCGTGGTCAAGAAGCACGGCAAGCGCAAGGCGATTCGTCGACCTGGAGGTGAAATCCTTGTCCGTCAGGTAGACAAGGACGGGTGGGAAGCGCTGGAGGGTCGCTCGCCTCTTAGTCCTCCCGACCAACAGACTGGTGGCAAGGATAAGGAAATCATGTGCTTTTCCACTCGACCGGTCGAGCAGTTTGAGGTCCTCAACGACCTCGTTGTGGACCGCGGACCGTCGCCGTTCGTCTCACTGCTTGAAATCTTTGGCGACGACCACCACCTCACCACCGTCCAGGCCGACGGTCTCACCGTGTCTACCCCGACTGGATCGACAGCCTATTCGCTCTCTGCCGGCGGCTCGCTCGTGCACCCCCAGATCCCCGCCCTCCTTCTCACTCCTATCTGTCCTCACACCCTCTCGTTCCGCCCCATGCTCCTCCCAGACAGCATGGAGCTGCGTATCTGTGTCCCCTACAACTCTCGTTCCACTGCATGGGCGTCGTTTGACGGCCGTGGTCGTGTGGAGCTCAAGCAGGGCGACCACATCAAAATCACGGCGTCCAAGTACCCGTTCCCAACCGTGTGTGCCGACAAGCAGTCCACCGACTGGTTCAAGTCAATCTCTCGTACCTTGCGTTGGAACGAGCGCGAACGTCAAAAGTCGTTTGTCGTCGTCGAAGAGGACGAGGAGCCCGCCAAACCCCACCACGACCGCGCCAATGGCGACGCGACAAGTGGCCGTGACGAGGGCAGCGACAGTAGCGAAAGTGACGAGAGCTCCGAGGACGAGTTTGACATTGACGACCGATCTGGAGGCGAGATGACGCCTTCACCGCAAGGAACCAACGCTGGCACTGCGCCAGTCCCGTCCCGCAAACTCCGAAGTCTTATTGCCATGGATGTTATAGACTCGCAGCCGAGCGGCGTCCAGTCTCCCGACCGCTTTGCCTCGGGATACTATGCCCCTCCGCCGCTCAGCCAGCGTCACCTCCTGGAGAGGCTGGCCAGTGTTGAGAGTCAGCTCCGTCAGGCCAACCTCGGCTCGGACCCTCCTTCACCGCGCTCAGACGCCGACGGCGACATGTCGCCCCTCCCAGAGGAAATCGACATTGAGCGACCCCCACTGCACCATCTCGCCTCGGAGGTGCGCGAGGTCCGCGAGAGCCTGACCGGCGACTATCTTGACTCGAGTGGCAACGAAATCGAGCCTGTGTCCGACTCGTCTACCGGCTCAGGAATCCCTTCAAGCCTGGTGACGCGATGCGAGTCGGACGCTACGCTCGCTCCAAGCGCCAGTGAGGCCGAGTCGCGCGGCGGACGCAGTGACAGCGGTCCATTGGGCCTGGGAGCGAGGACACCGCGCCAAGGTCGCTCACGCAGCCGCTCGAGGCATAGCACGCACCGCCTGTCTCGCGGCAACTCGCCTGCTCCTGGCTCACAGCTGGGGGAGGGCAAGAAGAAGACCAAGGCGTTTGCTTTCTTTGGCCAGGTGAGTAGAGTCATGGCCACAATGTTGAGAGTTGAAAGCTGACCAACGCAGGACGACTCTACGTCGGAACTGTCTGACCCCTCCGACTGAGCAATCGAGATTATTGCCTGTAACGACACCTGTCCCTACAGAATACGCACACCTTCTTTTCAGACATACTCCCTTTGAGAACCCCTCTGTCTTGCTCTTGCATTGAAAACTCCAAAGAACCCAACAACGCATGCCGTGTCTTTGCGCAATATGTATAATGTGCCCTGCCTGGACCTCGCTGGGCTGTTGTCGCGGCTGTGGCGTGGGAGAGAGAGCATTGCCGCAACGTATCGCCGTAACTGTGCTCCTCCCGGATGTCAGCCTGTTCAACCTGTTACAACTACTCACATCCTCGACTGGCCACATAACCATACAGCTCCCCACAGTTCCAACCCCCAACGTCAAGAGTGAGGAGCCGCGCCGAACACAAGGGTGGGAGAGCGTGCAGTGGCCCAGAGACACTAAGAGTTTGCAATCTTTGCAGGTTTCATCTTTTGTACAGGACTCGAGTTTGCAGTCACAATCACGCTGGAGTGTGACCTGGCTGCCACCCTTTGCCACACACACACACGCCCTTCGCACCTCTCCAAGCTCCATACCGCACCCCGCCGGATTTCCAGGGCCCTCCCCATCTCGCCCAGACGCTCCCAACCGCTTGAAGCTCGCTTCTACTTGTTGAGATTACGTAACCACTTGCGCCACTGCAGTGTGGCACCGAGCTGACCGGAGAACGAGGGTACCGCACCAATGCTGCTCTTTCTGCTTCTTCATTGTCCTCATGCTTCTCTGTAGTGCTCGGGCCTCCCTTCTGTGTGCATATAAGCAGCTCTGTAGACGTCTATGCATCCCCATCCTCTTCTGAAAGACAAACTGCCAGCTTAAGACCATCGGTCTCGGGCGCTAAACGGCATCAAATCCCAACAGATTAAGAGTCAAAGGCTTCTACCCACGATACCTTTGAGACCAACGGTCTCAACTGTACCAGAACCTTCACTCGAGGATCCCACAACCGCCTTCCGAGGCATAGCAGTCCGCTGCTTGTTGTAGCATCGCTACACATCGAGGTTAAAGCTTGCTGCCACCTTTCCGAAGGGGCACACACCTCCACTCTCCCACGGTGGTCCGCCACATACCTACTCCATCTACTACCTCATATCCAACATGGCTCGCAACGAATCTTCGTTCCCTTCCTGGTCCGACCTCAAGGACAATGTCCCGGTCCTCACCTCCACCGACAACTTCGAACGATGGGACAAAGCTATACGCACGTACTGTCTAGGCAAGGGCATCCTCGCCCATGTCAAGGGCTTCGTCCTCGACCCGTACCGAGCTCGTGACAACCAGCTTCCGCTTGAGAACCTGCTCGCGTTCGAGACAGACTACATTGCGGGTGTCGAAGCTCCCACGGGGCAAGACATTGACCGTGAGGCTCTCCACGACCTCATGGCCACTGCTCTTGGCGACGATGCGCTTCCGGCTGAAATTGCTGAAGCAATCGATGAAGCTGGAGATGAAGTTGTTCTGAACGAAGACATGTTCACACGCTGGAACCGTTGGGCCCGTCTGGAGCGTCTTGCACGCACCGTGCTCCTCCTCACCATTCATGACGACCTCTCTATCGACTATGAGACGCTGCCTACGGCCCGTCACATCTACCTCGCCGTCGAGTCACGTTTCCGTACCGACAATCCTGAGAAGGTTGCTCTCTTGCAGCGAGAGCTCCATGGACTCTATCTCAAGCGCGGATCTACCGCCGACGAGACTGACAAGTTCTACATGGAGTACGTCCGCATCTACGCGGCCCTCGTTCGCCTGAACATCAGGCTCAGCGACAACGACAAAGTCGCCAACCTGTTAACTGCGATTCCGACTGAGTATTCTGTCATGCTCCGCTCGCAGTGGGCTTCCGAGCCCCTCAAAACCTGGTCCAGGTTCACGGCTGTATACGCCACCTTTGTCGAGAGCCTCCGGGCCACTGAGGAACGCGAAACGATCGCCAGCAACGGAGCGTCCGCCGCTACCGCTGCCAAACTCAACCTCGACAAGAAGTCCAACAACACGCAACAGCGTAGCCGCCAGCGCGGCAAGGGCAGGACTAACAACTCCCAGACCTCGGGCAACAAGCCCAATCTCGTCTGCGTCAACCATCCTAACGCGACGAGCCACAGGACCGAGGATTGTCGCACCGGACCAAAGGTCGCCGCTTCCATAGTAGTTGCCGATGGATACTATTCTGCGTCTGTAGTTCCTGTAGACTCCCCTTCCCCATCGCCAACCATGACTACGACCTTCCTTGTGGACAGTGGTGCCACACATCACATTGTAGGCAACCGAAACCTCCTCGTCGACGTCAAGAAGGTCGCCAAGCCCATCAAGATCCAGCTGGCGGGCACCAAGTATAGCATCTCTGTCTCCGAGGTGGGCAATATTGTGTTCCTTAATAAGGACCAGCACCCTCACACCGTCGAGAACGTGCTCTACTCGGCAGACACCACAGACAACATGCTCTCGGCCTCCGCGCTCACCCAGGACGGTTGGAAGGTCACCCACGATACCATGACCAAGGGCGATGACGTCATTCCGCTCTCCAACTCCTACCTCGGTGGTCATCTCGGCGTCGCGCTCGTCCTCGCCGACCATGGGCACTTCGCAGCCTCGGACCGCGCACCGCGCACTCCGCTCCATCACCTGCACCTCCGCTATGGCCACCTAGGCAAGCCAGCGCTCCTCCGCGCCATCCACAATGGCTTGATCCCTGACGTCACCTTCGACGAAGTCAAGGACGACCCTTTCACCATGGCCAACTGCGAGCCCTGTCTCGCCCACAAGACTGCCAACCTTCCTCGAAGGGGTCCCTCGGATCGCGGCAACTCAGCCACACGCGAGTACGTGCACGTGGACATCAAATCCATGTCACACCCGACCACGAAACGCCATCTGTATTGGCTAGCGTTTGTGTCCGACTTCATTGGATACCGCCTTGCGATCCCCCTCACCAACAAATCCGACGCCACGGCTCGTATCAAGACTGAAATCGCAGCCCTCGAGCGACAGGCCGACGTCAAGGTCACTGTCATACACTCAGACCGAGGAGGCGAATTCAAGTCCGGCGAGTTGGCTCAATGGTGTCGTGCGCAGGGCATTAAGCATCAGCTGGCTCCTGTAGATGACCAAGCCCTCAACGGCGTGGCTGAGCGTCACAACCGCACCGTCTCCGAGATGGTCCGTACGCTCCTTGAAGACACAAAGCTCTCCCACGACTACTGGGACCACGCCACATGGTATGTCAACCGCCTGCTCAACATGACGACCATGTTCGATGACAAGATCACTGTCTATGAGCGCTACAGTGGACGCAAGCCGCACCTCGAGCGGTTCATTCCATTCGGAGCACGTGTCTTTGTTCGCAGACCAGCGGAAACAAGCATCCCGACGCTATCGCGTCCACGGTCGGTACCAGCCAGAATCCTTTCCACCTCGTTAGAACTGCCAGGGTGGACTGTCCTCTTCGACAACAAGCGCGTTGCCAATGTGTACGACGTGTTTGAAGTCAAGGATGGCAAGGAAGGCAACAAAATACAGCCCTTCGCCACCATTGAGGACATCGAGACCAACATAGACGCTCGCGAGAGCGACGATGACGTCACCGCCACATCGACTAGCGCCCCTGCTACTCTCAACGGTCTCGACGACTCCGACGATGACGAAGCCCTTCCTGCAGCCTCTGCACTCGCGCAAGATGGCGAGACGGCTTATCTTGCCTCTCTTGCAGCCGAAGCCATCGTTCTCGGTGACCCCGTCACCGTCAAGGAAGCTCTCGGCGGCCCTGACCGCCAATCGTGGATTGAGGCCATGCAAGCCGAACTCGATAACCTCAATGGCAAAGGGACATGGACTGGCTCTGAGCTGCCCCGCGGCCGAGTACCCATCACTGCCAAGTGGGTATTCAAGCGCAAGACCAAAGCCGATGGCTCTATCGCCAAATTCAAAGCTCGTCTCGTCGCGCGCGGTTTCTCGCAGGTACCCGGTGTTGACTTCGAGGATACCTTTGCCCCTGTCTCCCGTCTCGCCAGTCTCCGCATTCTCCTCGCGCATGCCGCCACCCACGACCTTGAGCTCCGACAGATAGACGTCAAGGGAGCCTATCTTAATGGTCCCCTCTCTGAGGAAATCTATCTTGCCCCACCTCCGGGTGTCGAGGTCAAGCACGGCAACACCCTCCGTCTCAACAAAGCCCTGTATGGACTCAAGCAGTCCGGACGTGCATGGTGGCTCGAGCTCGACAAGGCGCTACGCTCCATCGGGTTCAAACGCTGCGCTAGCGAATGGGGCCTCCATACAAAGCCCACCAAGCTCGGCCCCATCCTTCTCCTTGCGTATGTCGACGATATCCTTATTGTCAGCCGTACCAAGGCTCAGGCCAACACCGTTGTGACCGCTCTCGCCAAGTTCTGGGCCCTGACCGACTTGGGTGAGCCTAGCCAGATGCTGTCCATCCGTATCGACCGCGACAGAGCCACAAAGACCATTCGTCTTTCGTCAACCGCCTACATCGAGCAGATCGCAGCCCAGTATGACCTAGAGTCCGTCCGCACAGGCAAGACAGCCCCTCTGCCAGCCTCAGGGGAGCTCAAGGACCTACTTGCCGACGACGACACGGTTATCAACGCGCACGATCACCGCGTTTACCGCGAGCTTGTAGGCAAGGCACTTTGGCTCGCCATGTCGACTCGCCTCGATCTATCCTTCTCAGCTTCCGTCCTCTCGCAAGTCCTTCGTTCCCCCGCTCCCAAGGCTCTCGAACTTGCCCGGCGCATGCTTGCCCACGCGCATCACACCAAGAACGCGTATCTCGAGCTCGGCGGTGCCATCGACAACCGACTCATGGCCTTCGTCGACGCCGATTTCGCCGGCGACCTCGAGACTCGCCGTTCGACCACAGGTTTCTCCGTCCTCCTCTACGGCTCCTCCATATCATGGGCCGCACGCCGCCAGGGGAGCGTAGCCACCTCGACAACTGCCGCAGAGTACGTCGCCATCGCCGAGGTCACCAAAGAGAT